CACTTGGGATGTCATACCGTGGGAACACAGGCACACGAGGCACGCTAGGCACGATTTCGGAACTCGGCACGAACGCTGAGCCTCTCTCCGCAGAGCAGCAGCGCACTCACTTATGTTGGTACGCAGGGGCGGCCGTGCCTGTGTCAGGCGTGCCTTCTCTGGGGCCTGGAGCTTCGGTGTTCTTTGAGGGTTGCGGCGCGTCAGTCAGCGCGTTTTGTCAGCGACCAAAGTGACCACTGTACACTATCCGTGCACGGCGCTACTAGCAGCCGCATCGGTGTCGGCAATCTTATCGTTCTTTCGTGGGGATTATGTACGCCTCTTCATGATATCACTCTTCCCAGGTAACTCACCTTCTTCTCCTGCAGGTACGACTTGCGACGCTAGCTCGTGGACCAGGTGGAACACTCGGTATCCGTAAAGTGAGGTCGAGAATTTTGAAGCCTCGAAAATCACCTCGGTGATCATCTCTCTGACATTGCTCGCTCGTGTGCAGATCATCCAAACCCTCATAATGACATCACGACCCAAAGCCAAGCCTATTCCGAAGCATGCAATCTAGCAGAGGCCTGGTCCGTTGCCGAAGACGAGATGCGCACTGAGGCCGCAGGAGGGCCGCGCCGCGCCGAGTCCACTGCTCCAGCAGTGGAGCCCGCCGTGAACACCGAGCACATCGATACGCTCCCGATTCCAGCCGCCGAGCTCCAAATTGCATTGCCTCGCTTCGGCCTTCGGGAGACGGTCTGGATGCCCGATCGCCGCTGCGGAGCGTTTCCAGTGAAGTCTTCGGCCCCGCATCGGCGCAACCTGCCTGCATGCCGCCGCCGCGAGTCGCGAGCCGCCAGACCCGCTGGACCCGCGTGACTGCCGCGATCGTTCTCGCCGAGTATCCCTACATCCCTGCCTCCCACATGGGACACCACAGCTAAGCGAAAGGGTTGCTCGTCCCTCGTCTTGTCCCGACATCAGAACCCAATCGATGGGAAGCGATTACAGCAGTGGCTTAGGCCCACGCCCACGATTATTCTGCGGGTGAAGAATCGCTTATCGCTTGTGCCTGATGTGGCTATTGATTGGGAGTGAGGTCACGGCGCTCGGCTCGGCGGCGCAGGCGTGCGGAGCAACGAGGAAGCGCATGAGCGCTCCAGCACCTCCCGACCCTCCCGCCGACGCCGACGAGCACGGGAGCACGCAGAACACGTGCGAGTGACGCGCGTCGCGTCGATATGACGACGGCGTTAGGTTATCGCTTCGTGGAGATTGGTCCAGATATGCATGTGCGCAAGCTTTCTGGACTCTCTTGTCATTGTCTTCCGGGCTTCCCATGTCGGCGGTGCCCTCCTTTCTGCTGCTGCGCCGTGCCCCGTGCCGTGTCTCAATGGCTCGTGGCTGGTTCCTCGTCCAGCGAGGGTTAGTGTCCGCTGCCGTATAGGCATCGCATGGTAAAGGCCGAGGGTCCATGGGTGATCGCTTAATGCGCAGCAGCAGAATTGGCCAGACAACATGCGAGACCGATAGACCGAGCGCGCGACAATGATTAACGTGCATTAGTGGCGAATGAGGGTGCAGCGTTCGGCGCCAACAGAGCGGTAGCGCACGATGGCAGACAGGCACTAGTGCGGACGTCGCGGAACGCGTGGGACGGAAGGTCACGGATCACGGACTGTCTAGCATCTGTTTGCATGTCTCGTTGATAGGCCTAACACAAATGCGCAGCATTGAGACAGTCGCGACCGCGACCCCGCCAAGTCGGAGACGATCAGTTCCGAGATCCACGTTCCACGAGGTCCCTCACATACTCATGCATGCTGCCAAACTGCCACGCATGGTCATGCTTGTCGTTTGTATTTGTGCAATGTGTTGCAGCGCATACAGCGCGTGACGGGTCATGAGGCTCAAGGTATGCGGCCATTTGCGAGGATCTGATGCACCCATTCAATGACTCAGATTTTCGACAAATGCGATTCAGCGTCATGGTAGCCATCATGCGATCATGCATTGCTCGCTAGCGTATCGCGATAGTGTCCTTGGCATAGCACATGCAGGTGCTCGGATTATCTCAAATAGGCAACCATCTCAAATGGCCGTGTGGTGCATCTCAAATGGAAGCACATGACAGATGAGTGTGGTATTGTTCTCGGAGTCCAGACGGACTCGACGGCCGTAGCTTTGCGCGGCCAGGTGCGGGTGCAGCGACGGCCGGTGGGGCATGCAGATCGGCCTCGTGCGTTGGGTGTATTGGTGCGGCGCTCTGCGGGACTCTGCGGGCGACTTGCTCCAGCCAACCGCTGTACTCCGCTTCTGTTTCGAGCCAAGGCTATATTTATCGTGGAAATCACCGCACCCATCACAACGCAGAACGCATAGTTGGCTCGCGAACCTGCTAACTGACAGCCGCCCGTGAGCGCGTCCGCAGTGCGCCGGAGGTGCGTAAAGGCTGGACCGAGGTAGCCAAAGCTAGGGGACTGGTGCGGCCACGCACTAGGGAGTCGTTCGTTGCAACGCCTGCAGATCTTGGGGCTGGATGTCTGAGACAGGGCTTGCTCGCATGGCTCTATCAAAGTCTGACGCACAAGCGAGAGCCTGCACTCGACTGTAGAAGGGGGTCTAGTACGCAGTCTGCGATGTCGATACGAAGAGCTCCGAAAAGATGTCATCCGGTCATCTTGCGTGCAAGAACCGCCGTCATGGTCGGTGTGGTGATCGATAGAATGCGCTCATTCCAGTCCAGAGTTGTGCAAAACTGCCCGAAGGCCGTTGCAGGGATGGTGGAGGTTGCAGCGGTGCTGGGTCAGGCTGGGTCAGGCTCTCTGGGGCAACGGCGCAGGGTCCGCGCCAAATCTTATTGCATAATGAATCATACAGGGGGAAGGCCCGAGGCTTGGCTCTGCTGACCACTTTGTGGAATGCCTTGCTCAGCACTCCCAAGTGCATGACTTCAGCGAGCTCACGAGCCAAGGCCTTGCATGCGGCCCGCCAGCGTTCCAGCGGGCGCCATCCGCTGGCATGGTACGCCGGTATGGGCCAGCCCGTGGTCCAGCTGGGTTCACCACGCCTCTCGCCTGATCCATCGGCGTCTGCTGCATCATAGTCGCAACAGCTGATATCATCGCGTAGTGTTGCTTACACCGCTCTACCGGGTCGCAGCACCTTGATACCCAGACGTAGCCTAGGCCCCAAGATGTGGTATGTCCTGTCCTGACTCGAGTCATGGTCTCGACATTGCTGGCAGTCTTGAACTCCCACCCCTCAGGTCCTGCGAGTGGCTCCCCCAACTCCCCCCACTACGCGTACGGGTCGGGCGGGCGATCGTGTGGGTGTGTGAACATGACATAATCGAGATCTAGACCCAGAGCGTTCAACCTATGATAACATTGGTCGTCTTCTGTAATCGAGCGAAAGCGACAGAATCACGCAGCACGCAGCGCGCGCAGCGGATTAGTTCTGCGGCTTCGGGCTTCAGGCGGACGAGAGAGCGCACGCAAGCGAGCGAGCGAGCACAGACGAGCGCAGAGTGGCTGCAGCAGTTGCACGTTGGACACTGGCCAAGGGGTCAGTGACAGCGAGGGGGACAGGCCCAACAGGAACGAGAGCTTCGAGAGCTATGTCATGAAGCGGAGGGCCCGATGGCCCACGGTGATACGGTCGGTCATGTCGGTCATGATTGTGATCTGGTGATCTAGAGCGGGCCTGAGGGGACAGAGGGGAGGAGGCAGAACAGTCCGCCCGAACCCGAAGACAACAGTTGGTGGTGCGGCAATGGCGGCAGCGACGAATAGACGAAGGGTAGGGGTTGCGATGGGCCTCGGGTTACTGCCAGAGGCTCATGTCCGAGAGTGATGAGTGAGGTACAAATTTCGAGCGTAAGCCTGGTGTGTCAAGAAAAGTAGCGAGGCCAGGGCTGCAAGGGGGCAACCCTGGGCAAGCCGAGTCCCTGAGCTTCCTGACCGCAGGACCCTGAAGGGCTGCCCTGGGATGGCTATGATCCCTATCACATGCATCAAGACCCCTTTTGAGCCCCCCTCCGGACGTTGCTCTGCTCCTGTGCGCTACGCCCGCTCGCCCGCCGCCCGCCGCCGTCCGCCGTCGCCCGTAATCTCAGAGACTCGCGCAGTGCGCCCGCCCGTACGCCCGTGGCCCGTGGCCCGTCTCGTGCTTAGGTGTTTTTCCTGGAGTCCTACCTTCGGTCCTAGTTCCTAAATCCTGATCACCCACACGCTGGTTATCTCATCCACACCACCACACTGAACCACACCACCTCTGCTCATCTCATCAGCAGTATAAAGTCAACCCCACCTCCTCCTCACCCACCCCCTCCCAGCCATACCAGCTTACACCCCCCCTACCGTACACCACCCATCTACTACTACCCATATCTTGGTCTAGACTCGTTGCTCTTGCTACCCAGCACAACGTTCCAGTACCTTACCCCTACTGCAACAACAACAAACCACTTGCTCCACATAGCGACCGTCACTGCCACCAAAGCCACCACTACCCACTCCACTCACCGGCGACAACCCAACCCATCGCTCGACAACGACCCTTCCTCCCTCGCGTCTACCGAGATTGCATTGATTGCAATCATCTCCCCAGCCTCCCCTGTTCAGTACATCAGGGCAGCGCACCCACGCCAACGGGACTCGGATTTCCATAGCCGTTCACGATAACCATCGAGACACGGTTCTGGCTTGTTCAGTCTACCGTACGAGAGCAACTTTAGCGCGCAACTAGCAACACAACCGCCGGCTCGGGCGAGCAAAGCGGATTACAAACGAACGGCGCCAACCCTCAGCTTGGAGTTCGCAAGACCCGATCCACATACCTCTGACTCAGAGGCTCGAGGCACCTGGACGTCAAACACCCTCGGCCGTCGGCATCGGGCTATCCCTGTCCATTCCTCTGCCCTTGTGCATCGATCTTGATCCCCGCGATTCATATATATCTTCATACCTCTGCACACCTCCCCCTCCCTACTTCCACCACATCTGCTCATCACCATGGAAGCTCTCTCCGCTACCGCTCCCCCGACCCTCTTCGACCAGGGCTCCGTCGACAAGGCCAACCTTTTCGTGAGTACCTTCATACAACCAACCCCTCTACCACCATCCCTCCACTGTGGCACCCCAAACCCCCGGCCCTCGGCCACCTCGGCCGCCGGGTGTACCCCCGGCACCGCCGGTCGCCACCGCTGGGCAGACACCGGCGCCCTTCGGCCACCACTCATGCATACACAACAACAACACGCAAGGACCCTCGCTAATGCATAGCAAACCATTGCTCCCTCATGGGGTCCGAGGTTTCCTCGTTACCAACCCTCAACGCCCGTTTGGGCACGGCGTGCTAAACTCCCTTACTCTGGTGCCGGCATGGATGAGTTGAACGTGCTTCAACTCGAGTTAAAGCCGAAACCTTTCCTTCGGTTCCTTCGATTGCTCCTTCCATTGGGATGCCAGTCTGCTGCCCTTGTCTTGTGCTTGGGATGCCGCCCGTCGCCGATGGCCGTCCTCACCGAAGGCCCCTTGCTCACGACCCTCGCTTGTGGGAGCGTTACTTGTTGCCGCGGCTACCTGACCTTTGTTTTGTCTGAGATCAGAGTCTTCATGCTGTTAGCCTTAACGTACAGAGTTCGGACCCCTGCTGTCATGGGTTTTGGGTCCCGAAATCGTCCTCCCGATCCGACCACTCCTCGTGTGCATTAGCTGACCGAGCTGGTCACCGATGTCTGTGCCTCTTGCCAATCACGACAGGCCGACTCACACTGACCACATGGGGGCGCAGAAGGCCCGCGGCCAGGCCCGTGATCCGAACAAGTTACTCATGTCGAGGCTCGTAAGCTCGCAGAAGGTCGTGAGTCAGCGACCGGCAGGCGACCCGCTGGCGCCGCTGGGCGCCGCACCCAGACCCCGCAGAGATCTCCTCAAATCTCTCACGCAACGCCAGCTTTGTCATGTCGCTGCTCTGCATGCTCTGCGGGCTCTGCGGGCTGCGTTCGGATTCGAGCGACCGCAGCTCGCATGCATGCACAGCAAGGCTGGACAGCCCCCAGCCCCCGATCCCGGCCGGCCGGCGGCAGGGTCGTCATGCATGCACCCAAGGTGACAGGGACAGGGGCGAGGGGGAGGGATCAAGGGGGGAGGGTACGGACAGTTGCTCGGCACGGTCGGCTGGACGTACAGTCATGAGCGATTACTCAATCTTGTTGATCAGCACCTGCGTCCAAATCGCGCGCTGGGCGCTCCGGGTCGGGACGACGGTACGACGGGTTGCACAGTGTTAGGCTGTCGGGGAAGCGGCGGATGCGGCAAATGCGGCAAGCATCAAGTAATGCGCGAAAAATAGCGCCTCCCATCCTTCCTTGGCTCATAGCTGATCCCTCCCTCGGGCCTCTCCGACATCGGTCTTTAGCGCAGTGCTACTGGCGTATTTGGCGCAACTGACATTGTTCTAAACAGCGCGCTTGTTGCTCTTTCCATGCGAGCAATGTGCTTATTCCTGCTTGCCACCTTCTTTGGACCAGCACTAACGCCCGGAATGTCGGTTCGCCGCTAACCCTAGCGCAGCGGACAGAACACCCTGTCTCCGTCCATGCGGCGACTTCCCCAAAGCTTGGCATCGAGCCACCCTCCGCCAGCACGCCGGCGGCGAGTCTGTGCGCCGCTGCGCTCCGCCCGCATGAGGAGACGACCCTCGGCGTCGGCCAAGGCTAGCGCAAAAGCATTGCGGCATACAGGCGTACGGGCAGGGGACCGGTACGATCGCACGACAAGCGGACAACCGGGGTATGCCGAGGCAAGAGTGCTGGACAGGTGACAGTAGGTTGCGCCTTTGTTCTGCCTCAACCCTTCATGGCGCCCGATGCTCCGCTTCGCTGCTCTTCCTCTTGCATTGAGGCAGCTTGAGCAGATGCACGGAGAGCTTTAGGGTCGTCCGTGAGTCTTGCCCCGAGCTCCAGACAGGCTGCGGCCGAGCGTCTTCCTTGATCAGCTGACATTCACAGCGCCACAGCAACATTGGGCGGGCAATGACCCTTCCCCCGTTGTCTTGCGCGCAGATTCGGAGTTGCACTGGGCAACCTCCGTGACTTGTGCACCCTCGTTCAAATCGCGCTAGTGGTGCGCAGCGCGACGTTCGGAACTGCACACTGCATTTCCGCCTTCATTCCCCGTTGCCCCGTGCATAGCCAGGGTAGACAGCAACGGACAGGTCCAAAGGATGCACGTGAACATGCGGGGCTCAGTGCTCGTGAGGGCTACGGCCGTCTCGTACGCGGACCTGTTCGTCGACTTTTTTTCTGGACACGGAGAGCGGGGACACTCCGTTGTTTTTGCCCGCGGATCAACTTTATCAGATCTCGTGAGGCGCTCACGGGCAAAAGCGGGAGCTTTTTCTTCCTATCGCCCCCCATGCCCCTCTCCCAGATCTGCGATCTGCACAAAGTAATCTCCGCGCAGCGAGACGCTCCAAACGCTTCGCAAGCGTGCTATTGCGCTCTTTCGTCGCAATGAAACAGGCAGAAGGCTGGAGGAGGGTAGCGAGCTCCCCGTGCTTCGCTTGCTCAACGCCGAATCACGGACTGGCAGCACACACGAGCGTTCGAGACCAATCACACGACAGCCCCGTCGTCATGACCGAGGCCGCCAGGTCCGGCTCTGGGGTCAGCCGCCGGGAATGGCCTCAGTATATCCGCCTTACAGCCCTTGCTCTTATCAGACTTTCAATACGCCCTCAGCCATCACTCAAACTGGACTGAATTCTCTAATCGAACATGAAAGTGTCTTCCAACAGGGCTTGCTTGTTCGGCTTGGCGGTCTGCGCCTCAGCCCCAGCACAGCTGCATTCAGCCAGATCTGTACATTCACCATGTCCGTCCTGAGTAACCCATGACCCACTTGAGTGCCGGCAGACTATTGACGGACTCGACGAGCCCATCAATCAAGGTTGCGGCGTCGGGATCCATCCCACCCCCCATCTCTCATTGACCACATGCAGGCCATTACGTTCGGCGTGCCCGTAACGAGGGCGGTCCAGGAAGTGGGAAGCGCGCTAGGGCTATTTCAAGAAGTGCGTGCTCTTACAGTTTCCTGCAACTCAGTTGGAAGGCACGACAGGCACGCGGATAAGGCCAGCTTAGCGAGCCCCCTCGCCATCATTACATCCCTGCTGAACCCTCCGCCATAATGAAGCCCCTGGAATCAGCGGGCTCGGCGCTCGGCGTCGCTTCCAGCGACGTATAGCTAAACGACACGATTGATACGACAGATATGGTAGGATTAGACTCACCGACGCCGTGATGCACGCACGCACGACGCTTTACTGCGCGCTAGTCGGACGAAGTACCGAGACCAGTTGGTCTGCCCACTGTCCGGACGCCGGCGTTGAGCACGTTCATTCCCCACGCATGTCTGGAGGTCCATAAGCTGTTCAGCCCTCGCATGAAGCTGACACAGCCGCTGCCACCCCGAGAGCCCTTCTTGATGAATGCCCCATCGAGTCCGCCAGTCCCATTCCGGATAGACGACCCGCCCGTTCCGAGAGTGATTGCTGCTAGATGACCATTCAAACGTCATCTGAATGCAGCAGGAATCGGCACCCACCGCAGTCGTGCTTGGTCTGCGGCAGTGTCCCCGTGCACACGGGCTGTACGGGCTGTCTTCCGCCAGACGACCAGGTCCCAAAACAGGTCGCGAAGTAAGCCAGGTCCATGCAGGTCCAGAAGTCAATGGTCGCTTAGCTTGGGTTTCCCAGTTTGGATTCAGGGCTAACCCTCTGGCAGCATACAATCGTGTTCGGACTCAACCTTGTTTCGCGCCCTGCAAGAAGAGTTCGGGGACGCAGCGGGTCCGAAAGCGCAGCAGGTCGACCGACCAACCATCACGCAGATTTAGGCGATCACTTGGCTCGATCACGAGTCGTGCCGCATAGGTACTCCGCCCTCCCCTTGTCCTGGCTCCGCCCTTCTTGTCCTCCGACGGTCTGCCCTCGCCGTCCATTGGGGTGCCGAAACTGAGGGACAAACTCCGGGGTGCAGCGTGCCTCCTCCCTCGGAGCACTCGGACCGCGCTCCGTCTCTGGCCCAACGCACATCAGCGGCAGGGCGGACCGTCCAGTTGACCGAGCTCATCACCGAGGTTTCCTCGTTACCAACCCTCAACGCCCGTTTGGGCACGGCGTGCTAAACTCCCTTACTCTGGTGCCGGCATGGATGAGTTGAACGTGCTTCAACTCGAGTTAAAGCCGAAACCTTTCCTTCGGTTCCTTCGATTGCTCCTTCCATTGGGATGCCAGTCTGCTGCCCTTGTCTTGTGCTTGGGATGCCGCCCGTCGCCGATGGCCGTCCTCACCGAAGGCCCCTTGCTCACGACCCTCGCTTGTGGGAGCGTTACTTGTTGCCGCGGCTACCTGACCTTTGTTTTGTCTGAGATCAGAGTCTTCATGCTGTTAGCCTTAACGTACAGAGTTCGGACCCCTGCTGTCATGGGTTTTGGGTCCCGAAATCGTCCTCCCGATCCGACCACTCCTCGTGTGCATTAGCTGACCGAGCTGGTCACCGATGTCTGTGCCTCTTGCCAATCACGACAGGCCGACTCACACTGACCACATGACCTCTCTCACAGCCGTTTCGCATGGGGTGCATGACTCACATGATTCCTGCTCCTTGTTCCCTCACATTCCAATTGATATCTGCTCTCTCGCCCAACCACCCACCCTCTCTGCACGGTCACCATTTCTTAACGACCGTCTCAGAATTAGCCGATTTGCTGCCTAACCCTCGTCGTCTACCGAGCCGACCGAGCCTCCCCATGACGTACAGACACGCAGCTTGATGCAGGGCATCGGTCAACGTTCGAGACCACACAATCGCGATAAGAATCGGGGTACTCGAGTTGGCGCACACGACAGCACGGTTGGCGCCATCCAAGTCACCGAACCTCGTCATGAATGACGCTACCAACATGACAATCCGAGGATACCGCGCAGCGGCGTCAACCTTGAGCTCGGTCCTGGGAGTATCGAGGAGAGACCCTCGGCGGACGTTGCGCCGCCATGAATTGTGAGTCGAGCAAGAGGCGGTTAGCACTCATCGGACCGGCTCTCTCGTGACCAAGGGACCAAGTGATCAGGGGAGAAAACTGACGGACTTCGGTCATGAAAACTGACGGAGTCGAGAGTTCCAAAGGAAGGGAGAGTGGAGGGCGGTACGCAACCCGCTGTGGCTGACATTATGCAACTCCGCGATCTTCGTTCCGACGGATTCGATCGTGAGCAAGCACCCTCGCCCTTGCTTGTCGAGTCCGAGCCCCCCAGTACCTTGTTTCTGGTCACACCAACGTGTTCGGACATCAGGTTGGCATACCTCCGAGGTCCCTGTCGTCCTTTCCGACCATGGAGCTCCGCAGGCTCTCGACCTCGCCGAGGTATGCTGGAAACGTCATCGCCGAGCTCGGCATCGTGGTGGCACTTGAGGGCTGCCTCGATTCTGTGTGGCAGTCCTTTGTCCCATCTGGTGGTGGCGATGAGTGGGTTCATGACTAGTGCAGGGGGGCACTCATTGTGGCACTCCTGGGATGAACGAGGGATGACAAAGCGTCATGTGTCTGCTCAGAGGGGTCCGAAATACTCACTACAGGACTCTGCACGATGAGGAGGGGTTGCTCAAAGTCGAATGTCGATCGACAGCGCATGTCTCTTGCACAGCGATGTGACGTTTCTCGTCCCCCGGCTGCTGCTAGATCTAACGACGGCCTACAGCTCACAGCTGACTCTGCCAAAGGATTCGATCTCTCCAGTGGATTGCCAGCCGTCAAGCTATATTGAAAGTTGCGTTGCAAAGGTCTTGCTCGATTCGCGATCAATCCAACCCTCGGCTCGAGGCAAAAGCTAGCCGCCTCGTAGAGAGTTTGCCGGGTTATGAGAAAGCTCGAGGCAGCGGTCTCACTGGAGGAGAGGGCTCTAGCACCGATTAGCGACAAGTTCGGCAGGATAGCCCGATTGCAGGACGGCGTCATATGTGCGATCTGCACACGGGCGCTCTGTTGTCAGCACCGGGGAACACCACGAACCGTTGTCAGTCCATTCTGCTTGAGTGCTGGCCTAGCGTTGGGGGCCATGTGAGGAGAATGACCAGCCAGCTGGGTGCGGTTCAAGCCGGCCGGCTTCAGAGAAGCAGCCCAGGACGGACTAGACTAACCCATCCACCCCTCCTGTCTTTGGCAACCTCCTGGACTTGGTGCGTTGAAAGCACCGCTGAGACCTGGCGGCGGCGCCGACAGGATCGAGCTCAGACGATACCCGTGGGAAGCCAATCCACAGCTGGAGTGTCACCCTTATACGATGTCTCTCCGTTTACCAGAGAACAAGAGGTTTATTCAGCGGAGCTTGCTGCGAGACGAGCAAGACATACCAGGCCGAAGCTGCAGTTGATCTGGATCGGTCGTTTGCGGAAAATCCCTGCCGCACTTCGACTTCGGCTTGCGATCGCAGTATTGGCAGAGGAAGGAGACGGATCGGTCATAGGCCGTAGGCTGGTGATGCCTCCGTACCTGCGTCGCTCGCCGGAATCATTGTCGGATTGCTGCGGACGCGGGCGCCAGCGGCAAAGGTCCAGCTGGAGAGGAAGACGAAGGGGCTCAGCATAGCTGGCCACTGCGCTTGCCTTCAACACTTGGATGGACTATGGTTGTGACATGAGATCCGAGAGCCGTGGGGTTTGAGATTGGCGTTGGGGTATGGGGCGTCGATGGAGGTTCGGGGTGCTGAAAGGAAGGAGCGACTTGAGTGTGATTCGCATCAGTGGTCACGCATGAGTAGCCAGTGGTAGTCAGCATCGAAGGGCCGGGAAGGATGACGAGGACAGAAGTGTGTAGAGGCGGCGCTTCCCAATCTGACTCAAGCTGACTGTTGACGATGGTTGACGTCAACTGCCGCATGCCACACCGGTAGGCCGGTAGGCATGTCCTCTGGTACTCATCCCTCAGCCGCAGTAGGGGTGCCTCTGACTGGGTCGAAGATAGAAGGCAAAGCGACAAGGAAGCGGGGAAAGCAGGGAGTCATTCGCAGCAGTCTCGACGTCCCAAACTCTGCGCCCCCTATCCCTCCCTGCTTCTCTGCAGATCCGCATCTTCTCTGAAGGCCCGCAGCAACTTAAGCTTTCACCCAGATCGACGATCAGTGTGCCAAGCGCATGCGCACCCGGCACGCGACCAAGGTATCCCGAAGTGGCAATCCAGCGTGGGTCCGCTGTGCCTCCGTCCGCAGCCCCGCAGGGGTGCACAGCGTGGAGCGCTCGTCTCTACCCCGAACCACGAAGTCCGATACTCCGAGCTCCGATGCCCGCGCAGTTGCTCTGGAAGCTCCAAGGAGCTCCAAGGCACGCTCGGATTGCGTGTGTTGTCGTGTGCCACTGATCGTCGATCATTGATCGCCGGGCTGGCTTGGCGTGTGACCACATCATGCCGACGCCCAAGAAGAGTGAATCGTTGTGCTGGCTCCACTCCATGCAGGCCCGCATATTCGGGGTTGCGTGCGGTAGCAGGGCAGCACGGCTATGAGCGCGCGAGCTTGTCGGCGTTGATGTGCAAGCTCAGTTGTTCGTGGGCAGTTGCCGAGCAAGATCTGATCGGGCTGGTGAAGCAAGCTCGTTGGCGTTCCTCGTTAGAATAATGGTCAGTCCACCTTCTTTCCCGTCGGCGCTTGCATGTCCGGCTGTGGCGACGCTCCTGTTTGAGTATCGTGCACTTGTAGTCCATCACTCGCCACCCGCGGGGTTTTGGTCTTCAGCAGAAAGCAGTCGCGGTTCTTAAGCCCACAACCGGCAACCGACTGCCGGCCGCCGCCACAGCCGCCTTCACTGGCGTTTCTCACGCTTGCAAGACACGTCCACAGGTCGCCACGTCGACACGTCGACGCGGTCGCGTCGCGGGCTGCGGCACTGATGGCCGTACGTGCCTCCTGTGTATTCAGTCGCGTTCAAGGAACACCCGTACTTTGACGTGGCGGCATTCCTTGCAGGTTGGTGTCGCAGATATCTGTAGATACTTGCATGCTACAGTTAGTTGTTCCTATGCTACACTCATCCAGTTCCGACCTTGTCGTATCTAGCCGACTAGCGCGCGCTCCTTTGGCCATGGCTCGACGAGGGACAGCTGTTGGTTCCTTGTCGTTGGGTACCTCTTGACATTCGATGTCGTCGCGGGGGTTCAGAGCATGAGGGAATCTATGCCTCCAGCGCCTTGTCGATCCGCTCCACGATGCGCAGGAGCTCGGCGCGCAAGTCACGCAGTTCCTTCCTACATCCCGTATCGCCCGGGAAGTGCACTTCCTTTCTGGGGGAGGAGGGGGAGCGAGGGCTACCCTCGGAGCAGAGGATGCCTTGCCCGCAGCACGGCGACGCTTCCGCTGCCTGCGTTGTATCAGCGAAGAAAACCCAGATTGCTCGATGAAGTAGGGAATGAGAAGAGGGGGATACGAGGCACCGACGCAGAAGGAGATGCTCACCAAAGGTGATGGCCGGAGATAGCGCCCCAGCCTGATAGTCATCAGAATCCCGATTCCCGCGACGAAGAGCACGCTCGTTATCGTCTCCAGTGTAGGATATGGATAAGCGGGCGGCATGATGGCAGTGTTGTTAAAGTGTAATGCCATGAGGAAATGATGATCTGGATGTGAACAGACTTCAGCACTTATCGCGTTAGCGCCCGTTAGCCGGACCCGGATCTGTCAGCACCCATGACACTATAGCTCACTAGCTAAATCTATACAGCAAATGCATTCTGCAGGTCACGCCCGCATGACCCGGCGCACGCCCACGCCAGGCCTTTTGTGTCTCCCGTCAGTCGCCACATGACGGGAAGAAAAGAGAAAGGATAGAAAAGAAAGGAAAAGAGAGGTGGCGAGACAAAGAAAGTCTCGCCTTTGAAGACCAAGTTGGCATCGTCACTTCATGACTTCTTAGACTTTCTTCTGATCAAACATTTCTTCTTGGTTGAGCGCCTCCGCTCTTTCGTCGTCTAATAATATATAGGAAGGAAAAGCACTTGTACACCCTTGAACATCATACCCAAAGTGGAGAAAAGAAACAACCGGGGCGTCATGCCTCGAGCGAGGGCAGAAGACACTCGCGGTGGGTGGCAGAGGTAGAGAAGAATGAGGATGTGGGTGGACCCGCTCTACGCGCCGAAGCCGTTGGGGCCTGGAGGGGGATACAGATGTCCCGGAATCTGGCCGCCAAACATCATGTTCTGGTGCATGGCGTTGATGTCGATAGATCCCTCGGCTCCGGGCGGCAACCACTGAGTGGCAGGATGCATGCCGGGAACGGGGGCCGCGGTGAAGGGCATCGGCTCCGGATTTCCGGGCATGGCCGCCACCTGAATGACAAACTGTGTCTCGAGCGTAGCGGGGTTACCAGCGCCATCGATGAATTCCGCACGGGCCAGCACCTGGACAGGAGGCTGCAGGGAGTCGGGAACGCCGGCAAGCTTGGTTCCGTCCTCCCAGCGGAGCCACGGCGGAAGGGAGCCGGGCGGGGACGAGAAGGTCGGCTTGATGCTAGCAGACGGGGCCATAGGGTCCCAAATCTTGGGCTCCCATTCGTATCGGTGGTTGATAATGGCGACGGGCTGGGGAAGGATGATGATGCGTCTTTTGAAAGGACGGAACACCCAGCCACCTCCGGGGAGTTTCTTCGCATCAACGTGCCAGATGTGGTTACCCTTGGACTTGGCCTTCTTGCCATCAGCGTTGAAACGCGAGATAAGCTCTTGATGCCAAAGGTAGACCTTGACCTTCTTAATTGACATGGTCTCCTCGGTGATACCACGCGACTGGAGTTCTTCGTGGAACGCATTGGTGAATGCCTGAATGCGGAACTTGAAAGGGCGGTAATCCGGGGACTCATCCAGGCGCTGCATCTTTTTCGGCATGAGCACCTGGTGAATCTTCTCGCCCTTGCTGTCACACATTTCAAGATCAGAGCAGACCTTGTTCAGGAACTCATTGAAGATCTTGTCCAGCTGCGCTCGGATGTCATCCGAAATTACAACACCAGACGTGTTGCCGACATCAGCCATCTCGGGGCCTGCTGATGAGCGCCTTCGCTTAGGTCGGCGGGGCTGGGTGTCGTCATCGTCACCTCCGTCGTCATCATCATCATCGTCGTCATCGACGGGCGATCCCTGGCGTGACTGCCAAGCCGACGGAGGCATGGACGTCGACATCGACAGGGCGTGTCCAGGCTTCACGACGGAAGATGAACGAGCACGCGCGATGGGGCGTCCATCTGCACGATGCTCAACGACAGAGGAGCGACGCGACTTCTGGCCGTCTCCTTGGCTTTGCTGGTGCTGGGTCTGCGAGACAACAGCAGCTGCAGCCGCTGCGGCCTGGGCCTGAGCCTGGGCCTGCGCATGAGCTGCAGCCGCCTGTTGTTGTGCCACGGCCTGCGCCTGCGCCGCCTGAGCTGCTTGCGCAATTTGATGGGCGGCCTGTGCTTGTGCCTGAGCTTGGGCCTGCGCTTGGGCTTGGGCCTGCGCCTGAGCCTGAGCCTGCACCATTTGCTCCATGCCCGCCATGACGGCCGCACTGTTATCCGGCATCCACTGGCCATTTGTGGGCGACTGGCCTCGTGAAGGGGGCACAGCTGCCAGGGGAGAGGAGATGGCGGGTGGGTGGTGCATCCCGACAGCTCCCGCAAAATTGGTGGTTCCACCATTGATAGGTGTGGTCGGAACCGTGGCATTCTGAACAGGCTGGTGAACTTGACTCTGAAGTTGGTGTGCGTTCGGGAAAGAGTGCGAGTGGACGAGCGGAGGGGCGGAAACAGGCGTCGGGTGCATCATGGTCGAGGCTGTGGCAGACATTGAGACGGGCGAGGTCACAGTCGGAGTCGTCACGACACTAAGCGGCTGAGGTGGCTGGGTCTGCTGCTGCTGATGCTGCTGCTGCTGTTGTTGTTGCTGCTGCTGCTGCTGCTGGTGTTGCTGGTGTTGCTGTTGCTGTTGCTGCTGAGGCACAGGCAGGATGCTTGCCAAAGCCGGCGCAGCCGCCGCCAAGTTGGGGGCTGCCATTGTCTGTTGTTGAGCGGTCGGTGAGTAGTTCATAGGGGATATTGTCTGTCCGTTCGATCCTGGTGTGGTCTCTCGCGGTGTCGGTACGGGTGCCATACCCAGATCACTGGCGATCTCGAGCTGGGTGCTGATCTGTCCCAGTGCTTCCGGGATTCGTTCTCCTTCGCCGCGAAGCAGTGCCTCTTTAGCGTTCTGAGCCTGGTTGACGATGCTGGTAGAGGTTAGCGAATAGGTAATGGCAAAAGCGAGGGGCTGCTCGTCGACAGCCCATGTCAAGTGAACCACTCACGTGTCAAGCATCGTCAACCGTTCCATTGTCAACCTCTCCGCAATGTCATTTCCAGTAGGCACGGCCGAGCTCATCTGTTGGGCCACATTCGGGTTAGGCGCATTGGAAAGGAGGTTTGCGGAGGGGTGGCGGCTATGGCTAGGACGCGAGGGTGTCGCGTGAGAAGCATCTTCCATCGACACATCGCCCAGAGCTACAGCCACCTGGGACGCTGCATGGTCGCCGCCTCCAGGGGTCGTGGAAACAACCGGCGAGGCTGTACCTGAGCCGCCGTGGATAGCGGTGAACGACAGATGCGTCGGAACAGCCGAGACGCCATTCGGGGAAACGCCATTTGAGAACTGAGGCGCTCCGTTATCTCCGGCTATCGACGTTGTCGCCGAGCGTTGTCGCAGTTGCTGGGTTGAGGGCATCATACGGACAGGCGACGTCGGTTGAGACGCCGGGACTCTATATGAACCAGGGAAGGTGCCAGTAGTTGACGGTGCCGTCAACGGAGCAGACGGAGTCTGGTTCATGCTAGCGCTCGTGTTTATCCGAGGATGGGTAGCGGACTGAGGCTGCTGTTGTTGGGGCTGCCCGTTCAATTGCGGAGCGAAGGGTATTCCGGCACCCGATGCCTGATCTCCGTTCGCAGCAGAGGCAATCGAAGCCTCGGCAAATCGGAAGTAATCATCAGAGGGATCGCCGACCAGGGACAAGCTGGTCGCATCGGTGAACGGCGCGCTTGTGCTGACCAAAGAGGCTGGGGACATGCCGGCTGAGAAGGAGAGCGCTGGCGGAAGAGCGGAGATGTTGAGGCTTAAGTTGGCAGGGCGCGCTTGTTGCTGCTGCTGTTCTTGCTGTTGTCTCTGGGCAGCAGGCGATTCGGTGCTTGACCCCTCGGACGGGGGGAAATAGTCGCCCCCCGTCTGAGAATCGCTTTGCGAGTCTATTCTGCTCTTGTCAGTGACCGAGAAAGCAGAGGGAGACTCACGTGGCGGGGGAAGGTGGTGTGTCGAGCTGAGCACCAATCCAGACGTCTGTTTTCACGGCACAGGACGCTCCTGGATCATCAAGTTGGTAAGGGACGTCCGGGTAGATAGCGTTGTCGTGATGGACTGACCCGAACGGGGGGTTATGCCCCAAGGGATGGGTGAAAGCAGAAATGTTGGGTGGGTTCGCCGTAGAGGATACTGAAGCTACAAGCGAGTCGAGGCTGGGGAGCGGAGTTAGCAATTGTCGTGAAACCTGCCGTCTGTGTGTGCGCGCGGTGCTGGGTCGACGTTGGATCGGAGGCATCGGAGGAAGATGGAGGAAACGAGGAAGGAACGAACATCAAAGTCAGGCGAGAGAGGATGAATGCCAATGCGTGCGATGTTCACGTCTGTATGCTTCGCGAGCAGACTTGACGGTGACGAGGACCGCGCACAAAGTAGACAAACGCTTCCACACAGCTCGGGAAAAGCTCCCTAACAGTCGAAACCGAGGTGGGTGCGCTGGCTTTCCAACGATCTCAACCTCACTAGCGTCACCTGTGTGACCTACAGGTATGGGGTGTGATCTGCCAATTCGACAGAGAGAAGTCTCGAGAGCAAGGGTGATGATGGACGTCGTATTCAGAGCTGGGTCCCCCTCGACACTCGGTCCACACTTTACCTCTCGCAGCTGCGCCTCCGCTCTGCAGGCGGAAGGTGCGACGCTCTGCGCGTTCCACCAACCGATTAGCCGGGAGGATGTGGTACGTGCCGCGAGCCCTAGATGCCAGGTCGGCAAGTGGGCCCAGGTCGCCTGGCGCTACGCAGCAGTTCACCGAGAATGACTGGCTTCCCCCATTCACCCTTACGCTCCTACCTTGCACTCGAACCGCGCACAGACAAGCAGACCGTGAACTGGGGTATGTGTACTCACCGAAAAGCCCCGATACACAGCGACTCTGCGGAGCAGTCGTTGCAAGGAGGGAAACTTGACTCAAAAAGCAGCAGGGCTGCCGTTCGGTCAGGCTACAGGTGGCGTAAACTCCAGGGAAGGCGGACGTATACCGAGATGAAGGGCGTCGCGTGTGGACGTAAGGAAGCGATTTGAGGTGATTAACTGCTTCCGAACGTCGTGACAGGCGTGTAGGTTGCAGATGACCTCGCTTTCCGTACGTCTGTTCGAACGTCACGCACGCACCACGCGTATAGCGATGTTAACCGACCGTAGAACGCGGAGACAAGTGTTGGATGGATGCCGGGAATGACAACGATGAGTTGGTGAACAGCAACAGTTCGACAGATGTCGGTTGTTCGAGTGCGCTGGTACACGAGGAAGGTCGAGATCCGGTATTTAGGGAGAGGGAAATTCTCGATATGGCGTACGCAACGTCCAGACGAGACTGCACTTGAGCTGGAGCTGTGCCGGTTGACGGTCGAATGGGACAGGGAAGGCGGTACAAGCCGTGCACCAGGTACCGTACTGAATCCTTAGCGGGACGCGGATTTCCGTGCTATTGGGCGGGGATCTCCAGAGTGATCTCTCAAGCACAGCGAAACGTCCTGTCGGTCAGGCCAAAGATGGTATTCGGTTCTCCAGGCGTCGCTTAAGCCCGACCAGGATGATGGAGAGGCTTGCGGTGTCGGGTCGCGGGGGTCGACTGTCAGTTGAAAACTTGAATTGAGGATCCAAAGAACAAGCCGGTGATGGAGAGGGAGCAGGGGGAATAGAGCAACAGAGGAGAGAGAGGGTCGAGTGGTTGATGGAGTATCGAGCGTCCGGATGGATGAGCGAGGGACGACGGCGGTGTCGATTTTTCGGGCTTTCGAATCTGAATTGATACCGAAGCCGAGAGGAGATCGGAGGGGAAGGTGTGTCGTAACTCGAGGACGGTGCGGTAGGAAGTGTGGATGCACTACCGTCCGTGCAGTCGATTTCGACGAGGATGCGCGAGATTGATGGATGGGGTGGGGTTGAGGGAAGACGACTTGGATGATGAGATGGAAGGGAAAAAGGAGTAGGGGTGGACCAAAAACCGGCGGGCGGCAGTGGTCGACGAGAGGTAATGTAAGAGGGGTATGGGTGATGAGCGAGCGATAGACGCGGGGCAAGCCAGGCAGGAGGACGACTAGAGAGGGGAGGACGCCAGCGCCAGTGCCAGATAGGAGCAAAGCCTGCAGGCTCTGGGCCGCGAGGCAGTGAGGCAGCGAGGCTGGCCATATTGGGCACGAGTGGCCGAGTGGGAGGCCGGGAAGGGGGGGCAGCAGCCAAGAGAGAGCACGAGGCAAGGGACGGTGAGTCAGGAAAGTCAGGACGGCCAGGGCCGCAGATGCAGGACCCACAGGGCTCACAGGACCAGTCAGGTCGGCCAGGTCGGTCGGCCATGAGGTCGAGCTAAAGCTAGATCCAGAGACAGGCGAAGGACCTCTTCCGCGAGCCCATGCTCCCCAGCTTTGGAGCACGGTCAGAGCATCAGTCATCAGTAGTAGTAGTATCAATGCATGCCGTCGGGTCTCATCGAAGCCCAGCATCGAGCGCGTGAGGTGGGCACCCTGATTGGCTGGTGGGTTTGCCATGCTATGAGACCTGAGGCGTATGGGCGTGTGGGTGGAGGACCCATAAGGGTTTCAGGGCTGGAGTGGATTAGGTACTAGCTTCCAAAGCAGAGGCGCAGACCTGTCCGCGCCGCCGCAGTCGAGCAGTCGACGAGCGTAGGGATCCTGCTTGCTCGTGGTCGAGAGTAGCCGCTGGACCGGGCGATACGGCGAAGCTGATGGGCTGGTGGTGAATCAGACTTGGCGGCTCTGACCAGCTGCGCCGAGTCAGGTCCAATCAGGTCGAAAAAAGAGACGCCAACGCTCGGCGGTAGTGCGTTCCACCCTGAATTTTCTTTGTGGACGTCTTCCGCCCTTGAGGTAGCCCTCGCTAAGCCCTGCCCAATCCCTGTCAGTCCTGGCCAAACCCTTCAAGGGCTCCCCCTTGCTTGGCTTTGATACAACTCTTTGCGCCAGACACAGAGTTAACCATCAACGTAGGAACACATCTCGAGACGATCTCGTACCTGTTACACTCAGAGTCTATCAGCCCAGCCCACCGCCTAGGGCCCTGTCCCCCTTTGCGTAGCTCGCTCTCTCCTCCGCAAGCCTAGCACCGTTGGCCGGATCGTTATCGAGCGCTCAATCTGCTAGTCTCAAGCGAGCCCAAAGGCGATATCGGCATCTTGCCCGTACTGCCCATCCTCGTTTCGATCGCGCCTCCTGACACGCGGGCGGGCGGCTCCAATTCGAGACTCGTCCTGTTAGCTCAGAAAAGGCTGGCGCCTGTACCCATCGAGAGACAGGAAAGATCCCGACATCCAGCCGAGAGTACCGAAACATGCTGGCATCATGATGACATTTGCAAATGCTGTCGGAAATCGGGTTCTCCTGTTGAGGCGCCCAGCACCGCCGGACAGCGGACGGTCTGAGCCGCATCGACCATGACGCGAGCATATCTCTCGTACCTCGATATAGATGCCGACAACTCTTCCATTTCAGAGGCAGATCAGCCACAGAGTCTCTTGATCTGCGGCCCCATCCGGCATCTGCACATCTGCATTGCGTACTTGCGTGTCACAGGTAGGGTCTCTCTGCTCCCCACCTCTCTGCCTGTAGATCTTGAGTTCGAGGTTCTAGAATCTAAGGACTTTAGAGTCTTAGGGCAAGAGGGCTCTAGGCTAGGATGATTAGGGATGAGCCAGGATATGGGTCCGAGGGTCCATGGGCCGAGTCTTGTGAGCAGTTACTGGAATGCTAGGCTGGCAGGAGGTGTGCGAGGAACTGTCAGGCTGACCGCAGGATGTCGCGCATGCACTGAAGATGGTAAGTGAGGAGGCAAGGAAGCCGAGCCTTTCCGTGAACACGGAGAACATGCCGATTTGAGGCGATTTCAAGTTCTCGAAACCAATATGGTCGTTTACACCCTCAGCCTTCCGTTGTAATGGTAAGAGATGAGTATTATGAATACTCTTAATGCTAAAACCCAAATTCCTCGTTTGGGCAAGCACTGCACTGTAGTGTAACCCCTGGCTAGAACTCTCCCTTCATCAGGCAGAAGCTTGGGTAGATGATGGCTACGTGATAATTGCCTTTTGTAGCAAACGCTCAGAAACAAAGTTCCACTGAGCCAGGTACGACCCTCTGTCCGTCTGAGGTACGCTGTCGTGAGAGCAGAGCAGTCTGAGGTGGCGCGCGGACCGTGGGAGTGCAGCTAGGTTTGGCGGGCGGTCCAACGCTGAGCCGGCTGGGGCTGCCTTTGGTGGTGGCTGCCTCGCGTTCGTCAGCAGCATACCGTTCGCCCCCCACGGCCAGTAACTTGTGCCTGCTCTTGGGACTCGGTCTGCTTGGCTTTGAGACCGAGGGCTCAAAGCACGAAACGAGCTGCAAGAGGTGCTGCGCTGATGCCTTGCAGTTGCTTCACCTGTGGTCTCGAACCGATGACGACACTTGAACACTATCCCGGTCACATGGACTGAACGTCGGCCGTGGGCCGAGGTCGGAAGGGCAACCGGAGCCGTATCGGCCTTGTACGTGACTAACTTCATGCAGCCATTATAGCTTTCAACAGCCGTGGGACGCCTCCTCGGCAGCACCACAGCTGCAACATGTGGCGTCAAGGCGCTCGCACTGTCTGAGAACGCTAGTGTTGCAAGAGCCGGCCGAGTGAGAGCGGATAGCGGTTGTTGCCAGATCAGGTCTGACCGGGTGGTTCGGATGGTCAGGTGTAGGCTCGGGCCGATGACTACAGCCTATCAGCGCTGATGCGGAGCCTCCATACTGCTATTCGCACGCTGTACGTTGCACTGGACATCCTGCCGTTGCTCTGCCGTACTGCGATCCCCGGCCCGTTTCCCCAGTCTGGCACCCTCCTTTTCGGGCACTGGGGGCGATGGGATTTCATGGTGTCGGAAGGCTGGCTTGTTCCCACAAAGAAGAGTACGCGTAGGGGTTGATGCACGTGTGCAGCGCACTCCTCGCTTCCGCTCACTTCTCCATCATCTGACCGGCAGGCCGCATTCATAGTAAGTGAAACTGGCAGCCGCGGCGTTGCACTTTGGGGTTCCGACGGATCCGACAACACATGCAGTATGGACGGCGAAACGCTCGTAGTCGCGAAAGCAGCAGAGGCTGTGCGATGTGCCTGTTCGTCATTTCTGGACTCTCTGTACGGCCAGACTCTGTAAACATCTGAAGAAGCGCAGGAGGCAGCTTACGACGCTCGCAGAGCTTCGTGTCAGAGTCTCCAAACTTATGCCATGACGACCTCCGCCTCATGTCCGCGCCCTCCTTGTGCCAATGGCTTGAGCTTGCGGGGGCAGCATTCAGGATGAAACTCGACCTGTTGTGAAGGTCCCATTTCAGCGTCCGCGTCAAGTGTCCTGGCGATCCTGAGTTCTGGTCCTGGCCCTCCTGACGCGTGTATTCGTGTCTGATTTCCATGATCCCGGACGTACTGTGAGCTTCCATTAAGATTGCGCACTTGCGTCGCCCGTTTACAGGCCGCTGTGCCTGCCGCTCATCGGACGCGCTCCTAGGACGCTCATAGCCCCCTGCCCGTTCCTGCCCATTAACGACGGACTGCTTATTGAGGTCCGCCGAGGTCCCAACTATGTCCCAACGGTTGCACCCAAGCTCCAGACCGCACTCGGGTGAATCGTTAAATGCATTTTAGGAAGTACGCTTGTTAGGCAGTGCAGCTTGCATCTGGGAGTTTGGAGTGCCTGTGAGCATATGTGAGGCCAAAGGTAGCATGTGCACCGTCGTGCCAGCTCGTGCCAGTCGTCTGTATTCATGATATTGCGTATCGAAAGCAAAACGTTTAATCCAAATTGCTCGAAGGCAACACATGACTGGCGCCCTATTCTGCGCCTGATCGGGGGTTGACCCGGCACGATATGAAACTGATGTGCCGCAGCGTCATTACCGTGATAACGTACACAGCTTTTATCGAGGTTTTACCTTTCAACCCCAGCCTTTCCCATCGTCGCTGCCGCTCCGGCATGCTACAGGCGTGCGTACGTGCGCGCCGTTCGGCAGGTGGCACATCCTTAGTGGGAGCTTGAATGCAGGAGCGTGCCATCTGGCAATTACTGAGACGAGAGACAGACTTGTCTCCCCCTCACCAAGCGTTCGACCGACATAATCAAGTTGCAGAACAGAGTTCACACTCGCTTCGCTTCGTCTTCTATCTCCCACAGCTAGTTAAGCTCACAGTGCTTTGGGGGCGGAGACCCGGAGAATCTAGAGCGGACGGAATTCCAAAGATACCCGAAAACTTGAGCTTCCTCGCTCAGTGGTGAGGAGTGGTGAGACGTCATCCGCGGCCTCCGCGTCGCACGTAGACTGTCCATTCCCATTGCCCTCCAGCTTTCAAGAAGTGCTTGTCTCTGCCTCCCCAAAGGAAGCACGTCGTGAGTCATTCAGCGTGGCGTCGTTAGGGAGTAGCTTTGCTGGGAAAGTCCGATTGAGGCGGATAGTTGATCCGATGCCATCCAATACTTTAAGGTGTGGCACGTTCCCACGGGCGTTCTTAGGCATAGAATGATTATTGTACATGCATATGTGAGTGATTGATAGTTCGAACCCGAATTGACTCCTGTCCAACCTTGCAATTGAGCACTTCATCTTGCCGAGGAGGTTGACACGCAGGTGTTTTCAACGATTTGATGTTGATGTTGTAGGTGAGACGTCGATCGGCCGCCGATTGGGTCAGTCTTAGTACTTGATCTCCGGTAGCGGGTCGGCCATGATTTCCGAGTAGTCCAGAGATCCGTCTTTATCCTCGTCGACCTCGGCGATCAGAGCACTGAGGTGGGCATCAGCATTGTACCGATATCTCATTGATCGGCCGAGATCAAGCGGCCAACCGCCGCCCCGGACGTCTCGTGAACGCCGGCAGTGGTGCCGCCTCTAGGCTTGGCGGAAAGCCAACCGTATTCAAGGAGTTCAGACGCCATCGGCGTCGCCGTTGTCCGCCACTTGCCAGACTGGCTTACGCCGCCCACATCCAAGAAACTTACACATTGTCACCCTTGATCATGTAGAGCCCCAGCGAGATCATCTCAACGCCCTTGTCCGCCGAGTACTCGCGCTCGACACTGTCCGACAGAATCAGGTTGCAGTAGTTGTCATTGCCCTTTAATCTTCCCTGGGATCCTATCAGCCCTACTGTTTTCAAGCCAGATTTTTGAGTCAGACCACTCACCACGATAATGCGGCCATCGTAGAGAATCACCTGTACGAGCTCTGTTCGTCAGTCATGTCCAACGCGATACAGCCGTGCCATTGCGATTGCAAACTTCGGCAGCAGCGTTCAAGAATAACTGCTCTCTCTAGCAGCTCTTCGCAATCTCCCAGCGGCGTGTTCTGAGCATCGCGCAACGACGTGGTGTTGACGAGACTCACGATCACGAAATCCTTCGAGTGCAGACATGACAGGCGGCTACCACTGCGACTCCCAAGCTGAGAGCGACCTTTGCTCTGCTGATATCCGGGCCAGGCAGAAGGAGCGTCTGAAAAGGCAGGACGTTCAAGCTCGGATCGGCGGTTGAGTGGTTGAGTGGGGTCGAGGCGATTGTTGTTGTTTTCGTGACGTCGTAGCGACTGACCCACGACGTGATCGAAGCCGGCGAGAGCGGTCACTGGCACATATCTCATATGTTTGTTTCTGGGCCGTTAACTGGGAATTAATCCCAAGGCGAAGCAACTCTTCACGTGATGTCGGCAGCAATGTCGCGTGGCCTACTGACCCTGAAGCTGCGCGAAATGGACCGGTCTGGCCGGGCCTCACATCAGGATGAGGAACGAGCCCTGTTTTGTTGAATCGAGCTAAGAGGCTGGAGACCGGCTTGCCGGCTGTGTTTGGCCCTTGCGGACCCTCGCTGGGCCCTCTCAGCCATGGCCAGCCACGATTTGGGTGGCAGGAATTGCTTCCGTTCCGTACCTGTGGTGCATGGGAGATCCTACCCGACAGGCCTCAGGTCATGATTTTCGACCCAACCGAAACGAATCAGGCCGCGCAACGGATCCCAGGATGCCTTGATGAGCAAGGCCGATTCATGCGCCATTCATAGTCCAGCCTGTAGTCTGACTGGTGCTGCGCGGTCATCGCGGATAACACCATGAGCAACGCATGGGTTTGTCGGGTTCATCGCGCCATGTTTGTTGTCAGAGATCTGTCAAGAGCGGAAGCGGAAGGGTACCGGGCACACCGGGCGCGGGCGGGGCAAGCGCCGTTCACCGGCGCCTGTAGGAGATCGAACTGAGGGTCATCGCGAGACGAGCCAGCACTCCAACGCGGCCCCTTGCATTTAGTGCGGTTGCTTGGTCGTATGGATGGGCGAGCATGCGCGGGAGGCGACGGTCAGCGAGCACTGACAGCCCGTTGAAGTAGCGTTGCGGTCGAACTCGGTGAAGCACAGACGAGACATAGTCAAGCCATGGCGACTATGCATTGGCACATAAAAGCCATTGTAGTGCCGCAGTGTAGACAGTCTGCGGTCTGACGCCCGGACGCAGTCAGGCGCCCAGGCGCTGGGCGTCCATCTGGTGGAGCACAGCCACTTTGTTCTACACGGGTCGTTGCACGGTATGGGATGCTGCAGAGGCGCGGAGGTGCAGAGTGTGCTCAGCGTGCCAGTCGACGAGGCCGCGAGAAGGCACACACAGGTACTGACGTGTATCGGATCGGTGCGAGTCAGCCTCAGCGGTACGCAGACATCGCTGTCATCGTCGCCTGCCAGCTCGTACGCATCGCCGTCATTGTCTTGAGATCGTTTACACGCGTCGTCTCTGTGCGCGACTCCGATTCCGTGTGCTGCCGTACTTGGCCTCCGTCCGGTTCGAAGCGCTTCTCAAGATCCCACAGAACCCCACACTAGCCCACGGCCACAAAGTTTTTCGAACACTGCCCCTGGGTGCATTACAACGGCAGTCGCCTGAATACAACTCGGCGAATTCGCACGCGCGCGTGTCCTCGAGCAAGCAACACCGACTTTGTGCATGGGATCAAGAATCCAGTTGTTTTTGCACTCTTGCGCTTTGAATGCTCGCACGCTACAGAGCGTAGACCCACCGTGACAGCTTGACAGCTCGACAGGCCGATTCCACCACACAACAGGCCAATTACCTACCGCCTTCCCGCTCAAGCCCTCTTCCTTCCCCTTATTCCTATCCCTAACCTGTCCTCCCTCCCTACCCCTTGTACCCAACGACCCATACCCACAACTCAGCCGTCCATCCATCCAAACTCTCCTCATCCAACCTTGCTTGCTTCTCGACAATCGACCTCTTTCCTCTTTCCTCCCTTGTACTCATCTCCACCCTCCTTTTCTTTCCTCGACCTCATTAACCCTTCAGTCGTCGCCTCCGTCGTCGCAGTCTCGATCCTCCTCTTTCCCCGTCACCCTACCGGCTTCCCTTCCGCCCACTCGTCCGACACCCCCGGCCATCTGCACCCGTCATGGCCACGACCCATGTGATTGCGTCCAATCCGGGCGCGCACCTCTCTAGCAGCGGCCACTCATCGAGCTCCAGCAACATCGTCGGCGTCCACTACAAGGTCGGCAAGAAGATTGGCGAGGGCTCCTTTGGTGTCATCTTCGAAGGTACGTAGATGCGCAGTCGCATTTCAAGGATCCGGCGAGGATCGCAGGTTACCTTTCCCGCGCCTTGCCTCGCAAACATCGCGCACCGCTCCCATACACACACACGACATCGCCTTTGCAAGCGTTGGGGCATCCACTCACTCCTCGCAGGTACCAACCTTCTCAACTCGCAGACGGTCGCTATCAAGTTTGTGCGTATCTAATACGAGTCAGGACAGCTCGTCCCGGTCCGTGCGAGTGACCATAGCTGACATTCTCACAGGAGCCTCGCAAGTCGGATGCGCCACAGCTCCGCGATGAGTACCGTAGCTACAAGATTCTGAGTGGATGTCGTGAGTACGCAGACGGGCATCGAGGCGGTGCGATGGGCTGACGATCTCTAGCTGGCATCCCCCAGGTCTACTACTTCGGACAGGAGGGTCTGCACAACATCCTCGTCATCGACCTCCTCGGTCCCTCGCTGGAGGATCTCTTTGACATGTGTGGTCGCAAGTTCTCTGTCAAGACATGTTGCATGACTGCTCGTCAGATGGTAAGTTCCCCGTGGAACTTTCGGGCGCGGAAAGGCCGGAAGCTGACCTACCAGTTGACCCGCGTTCAAACGATTCACGAGAAGAACCTCATTTACCGAGACATCAAGCCCGACAACTTCCTCATCGGACGTCCTGGAACTAAGGGTGCGGGTGTCATCCATGTCGTCGACTTCGGCATGGCGAAGCAGTACCGTGACCCGAAAACTAAGCAGCACATCCCGTACCGTGAGCGCAAGAGCCTGAGCGGAACCGCCCGTTACATGTCCATCAACACCCACCTTGGTCGTGAGCAGTCGCGCCGTGATGACCTCGAGGCTCTCGGACACGTGTTCTTCTATTTCCTTCGCGGCGGTCTCCCGTGGCAGGGTCTCAAGGCTGCTACCAACAAGCAGAAGTATGAGAAAATTGGAGAGAAGAAGCAGTCGACGCCTATCGCTGAGCTCGGCGAGGGCTACCCGCCCGAGTTCGCCATCTACCTCAGCTACGTCCGAAAGTTGACCTTCGACGAGACGCCCGACTACGACTTCCTGCGCGACCTCTTCTTGACGGCTCTTCAGAACGCGGGAGAGGTTGACGACCAGGTTTACGACTGGAACTTGCTCAACAATGGCAAGGGATGGGAGGCTTCTACCTCGCACTCGAGCGCGGACGTTCAGCGTCAGCCTACAAGGGACCGTAACCGTGGTGACCGTGTCGACCGCCTCCGCAACGGATCGGGAGGTGGAAACAATGCTTCTCGGGGTACTCGCAAGTCAGGCTCAGCCCTGCCCAATGCCAGCAACCAGGCCATTGTTGGGGTCAGTGCCCCGTCAGGAACCCGCCAGCACTCCTCGAGCCACCCGTTCGCTTCTACCAACCAGAACAACCCCGGCTTCGACGGATACGACGCGCAGAACGCGACCGGCAACAAGGCGGCTCAGCCTATTTCGCCAATGAACGTTAACAACTCTAGGCCTGGAGCCCCCGGACAGCAGCACGACGGAGATTATGTCCCCGAGCGCCGGGGTGGATTCATGAACTTCCTCATGTGCCGTGGTTGCCGGTAGACAGTGGATCTTTACCAGCAATGACGAGTCTGGAAACGACGTCTACGATCTCACTTCCCTTTGCCTCCACCGTCCCTTTCACCGTTTCACCCGCCATTCCCACTGTTTTCTGGATCTGACGACGCGATCCCCCATCACCCACTAGCACATCACAACACTCAGCACATCGCATGTCCATCCCGTCGCGTCTCTTTCCCAAAATACATGGCCTATTGTTGCTGTCGCCTATTTGCATCTGCGCCCCTAATCGTTGTGTCCCGACAGGTTACCCCTTGGCTTCACCCTATCACCCCACAGACGGTCCGCGTCTCGATACCCTTCCCATAGTCAACCATTCACCGCCCTCCGCCTATTCCTCATTTACGACGATTGTTTTTGTGCATAGACCTGCGTCATGAATGTGTGTCAACACACTCTGGTTCCCATGATCATGACTCCTGAGCGCTATGGAGAGGGAGGCGCAACGGGTCGTTGGACGCGGAGAAGCAACTAAAGCGCGGAAGTGATTTGTGACGGTGAGGTGGCAGGGGTAAAGGAAACGTTGGGTCCCTGTCCTCCCACTTCACTCATGGTGGGGGTGAGTGAGTGGTTTGTTTATAGCCGGTTAATAAATGCTTTCTTAGATACCAAACGATATAACGCAAAACGATATCACTAGATGCGACTCCTCGCACGTACGAAGCTTTTGATCATGACTGGCGTCCCAACGTCCAAATAGCACTTTAAACGTGCTTGAACTCCTAGTGCGGTTGAACTCCTCCTGGGCCAGAGTGGGACCAGCGTTCAACAGTAGTGAGACTTGAGTAGTGAACAGAGCTAACAGAGCTGACATTCCGTCCATGCGCTGCTATGGAGCTAACGGAGATGGTCTGCATGGCCGGGTGGTATGTTGAAAACTTCGTTCGCTGTGCCCTTTCGATTGGGGTGCTTGAAAGCGGTCTTCACACGCAGCCACTTGTCAGAGTCAAGCGTAGTATATGCGGCGGAATATGTTGTCCTCAGCGAGACCGACTAGAGGAGCTCGCAGGCATGATGGAGTCAAATCCCATGGCATACGCCATGCGCCGGAGGCAACAAGCGCAAAGGTCGCGTTGCGAAGCATGATTCGAACTGAAAATCGCTCATGTCGCTCGCACATGGATCTACTTAAGTTACCAAGCATCCGAGGAGTGCGAGCAGTGGGTGTGGTGGTTGACAGCATGACAGAGGGACTACAGGTGATAGGGCAAAGACGCGCAGGCCGGGTGCGCTATCACGCGACAGTCCCGTGCTATTGGTCAAACAGATCAGTTCATTGGATCGGTGACGTTCAGCATACCACCGCACTTCCTCGTACGTACACAGGACGGTGAATTCGCCCACCCCTGTCATTGATAACACCCCCACAAGCTCAAGCCTGTGTCAACTCGTTCCTTCACACCTCTAACCCCTTGTCTCTCCCAGCACCATGTTCAGTACCACTTCCATCGTGGAGCCCGAGAATCCTACCAGCAAGGCCGTTATCCACCGCGGCGCCGTCGCCGTCATCACCGGAGCAGCGTGAGTCCCTCGCCCTACCTCCACTATCTCGGTTGCCAGAGGACTGGGACGCACGTCGATGTCTTCAACTCTTCCCCCGCCGCCGCGACACTCAAGAGCCATCGTTGTCTTGTCTGGCGAGGGCATGCATGCTCTGTGCTTCCGGGACTATCAGCATTGCTGTCACCCCGTCCCGCTTGTTATCAGTGACTGGTCTCGGTCTGATCACGTGGCCCTCCCCACGACAACAATCGCTGATTACAGCTCTGGCATCGGACTCGCGGCCGCAAAGCACCTTGCCCGGCATGGACTGAACGTCGTCATGGTTGACGTTGCGCAGTCGCTGGACGCCTCTGCCAAGGAAGTAAAGCAGGTGGAGGGGTCCGGCGACGTTGTGCCGGTGCACTGCGATGTTTCAAACATCGAGGACGTCGTCAAGCTTCGCGAACAGGTCTTAGACACGTACGGAGAGTGCCAGGTACTCATGAACAATGCGGGTATCTCACGCTCTACACCAGCTTTCAGCCTGGAACGTGACCTCAAGGATCTGCAGTCAGATTGGGCCGCGGTCCTGGGTGTGAACATGAACGGTATCATCAACGTCGCCCAGGCGTTCGCGCCGTTCATGTCTCGGCAGGAGAACGAGAGCGTCATCATCAACACTGGATCCAAGCAGGGTATCACCTGTCCTCCTGGGAAAGCAGGCTACAATGTCTCCAAGGCGGCAGTCAAGGTGTTCACCGAGCAGCGTGGGTGCATTCTTTCGTGGCCGAGCTGACACCGCAGTCGCCCATGAGCTGCGCAATACCGGGCAGGAGTGTCTCTGCACCGCGCACCTGTTCATGTGAGTGGTCCATTCTCTTGTCCTTGCAATAGTCTTGCTTCTCTTCTTCCAACGCCCCGTCACTGTCCGGGAAAGGGGTTGTAGTGGCCCTTGTAAACTCCTTGGCCGTTCTCAGCGTGATGCTTCGTTAAGCAAGGCTAACTCTCAGTCCCGGATGGGTCTTCACCGGTCTTTCAGGCGCGAACGACGGCAAGCCCAAGCCTCCCGGAGCTTGGACACCCGAGCAAACCATCGAGTACATGTTCGAGAAGGTCTTGGAGGAGGGCGACTTCTACGTGATCTGTCCGGATAACGAAACCACTCCTGTGAGTCACTGTCACCAGCGCTAAATACTGCAGCTCAGGCCGCGCAAGAGTGCTGCAGCGCCAACGAGAACCAATGCTGACTTCCAGGCTCTCGACAAGGCCCGTATCCAGTGGGCACTCGGCGACATTATCGAGAACCGCCCGGCGCTCTCGCGCTGGCATCCATCGTACGCCGCCCGTTACGAGGATTTCATCGAGAGCCGACAGGGACTGGCTGCCCGCAGCCGTAGTCGTGGCCGTGCTCCCCTCGACCGCATCCCCGATGTGCCCGGCGAGCGTGAGCAGTACCGTTTCCAGCAGTAGAATCTGCTTGTAGAGTGGCCTTTAACGGTCGCTTGTGCAAGTGTTAGTCCATAAATATGTAGATAAGACCAAACGGCAGTATGAATGAATCGAGTATTCGAGTGTCATGCGAGTTATGCTGAAAATGCTGAGTCTATGATAACTAATGATCTACGCGTGCTGCGCCTGCTGCTTCTCCTGCGCCTTCTTCGCCCTGGCCTGCTGCTCCCGCTCGAACATCTCATACTGCTCAAGCTCTATGTTGCTGATCTTGGAGTTGACGACATCGCGCTTCTTGAGCAGCTGCTCCATGTACTCCTCGTCCGAGATCTTCTTGATCGGAATGATGTACGCCATGTACTCAAGGATGCGGGACGAGAGGGCCGAGTCGCCCATGCGCTTCCCCTTCTCCTCCTCCGTCTTGGTCGGCTGCTGCATACTCTGCGTAAGGTCGAGCGGGCGGTCCCAAACGTCCTGCGTCGATCCCGCGGGCGTGAGCTTCTCCTCCTGGCCCTGGGACTGGAGCTCTACGCCTTCCTTGCGCGCGAGGTACTTCAGCCTCGCGACGCGGACTTCGTTCACGGCGAACTGTCCCCCCGTCGCGAGGAGCGCGCAAGTCATGGCGGCTGGAACTATCGTTCGCGGTCCACCTGCCGTCAGCTCCAGTTTTCCGGAAGCTACTTACGGAGGAGAAGGCTGAGAATACCTCCAGAGAGTCCAGCACTAATGGCCGAGTCGAGTACGCGCTGCGTGCGCACGTCCCACAGCGTCCCCGTCGGCTCATACCCCTCCTGCTGCCGAAGCCCCTTGATGATGGGAGAGACGAGGTACTCGCGCGTACCAAAGAAGGCCAGGCCGCCGATGAAGAAGTTCGTGCCCATGGACACTGCTGGCGGGAAGGGGTCGATGTGCTTCACGAGACCGTACGTCGCTCCGCTCACGACGCCGAGCGCGCCAGACGCGAGTACGGCCTTGGCCACGAAGAGCGGCGCGCCGGGGTCGACCTTGAACTCGGGCTGCGGACTGGCCTTCTGCACAGCAGCTCCCGATTGCCGCGGGGTGGGCGTGCTAGGACCAGCAGCATCGGACGACGACATGGCTGGTGTTTTCGTGGGTTTGTTGTCAACTTTCAAGCGGTCGATCGGCACTGAAACTCAGGCAACATTACAGGCCGTCGCCTCGCCGCCAGAAAGTCGAGCCGCGGAAATTGCCATATCGGGAAAGAGTCCGCAACCTCCACCAGAGGGTTCGTACCTGGCCGCACATGTGGCCAGGAAATCAGAATGAGCTCATCTCCGCAGACACTCCGCAACATTACTCACAGCACACAGCATGGGAGCCGGAGCATCAAAGACCGCACGCCGCCTGCCGACCAAGGTGCCGACGAGCGCGCACGCGAACCCGACGGCGGCTGTTCGCCCTTCCGCGGAGGCGCTCGCCGCTGCTGAGAAGCCGGCGGGCCAGGCCCTCGACTACGGCAAGAAGGACAAGGAGGACAAGTCGGCCGAGCCGTTCAGCGGGGAGAAGGACGAGGGTGAGCTAATTGCTGCGTTCACAGCTGATAGTAGACATTCTCAAGGACGGCATGGACCCGGACTTCATGGCGAAGCTGCAGCGTCTCGGACCTGTCGCTATCGATGACCCGAGTCTGATTGTTCGCACTGTGCGTTGCGAAGCAGGGAGTATGAACTGACGAGCAGCCTGTCGGCGCGCAGCGCACTTTGAACTCGCGCCGGCCAGAGTACACGAACCGCACCAACATTCCGCCCCCGGGGACGCTGACGGTGTCTATGCTGACCGGCCTGCTCGACCAGCTCAAGACGCTGCCGCCCGGCACTGACCCGAGCCACTTGTACCGACAGTACGGAATGACGCCCGAGCTGCTGGCGCCGGTGCGACAGTGGGTCAACTCGCCCTCTGTTGGTGACGAGGAGTACAAGATGCTCGACCGCAGCGAGAACCAGACCGTCGAGACGGAGATTGAGATGCCGGCCGTGTGGGTCGAGAGCAAAGATAAGCTTGCTCCGCTCAAGAACTAGTCAACTCTCTCACAATAGCAGCGCAAAAAGGCATCATCAAGGCTGAGAAATGTACACTGTATGCATAGACCCTCACTCCCGGAAGAAACAAGGAACCTGAAGGCGGAGTGGTGAATCCCGTACACTGGCCTGGATAATATACAAAGGGGGTGGCTGCAGGCAAGGCAGCCGATTGCGGGCCACAGGAGCCCGACGATGCTCATGCTCATGGTGATGCTCGTGGAAAGAGATGGACGACCCGATCGAGTCAGCCGCGGCGCGATCCGGACGATGCGCTGCCCGGCGCAGACGACTCCTTGCGCTCGCTAACACGCTCCAAGAACGCTTGCTTCTCTAGGTAACCGCCTGATCGCCGGTTCGCCTGCAGCTCGTCCGCGAGATGCTTGTCCGAGGACGTGAGTGACTTCCAGTCCATCTGCGACTGGGGAATTAGCACTGGAACAAGATATGAACTCACCTTCTCCAGCGTCGTCATCTTCTTTCCCTTGTCGATAGCGGCAGCCATGGCCTCGAGCGACTGCCGCGGACGCTTGCGCATCGGTCCTTTCCGAAGAGGCGGCTTGGACGGCGACTCGGTCGCGGCGATAGCGGCGGCGGCCTCAGTGTGTCCGTTGCCGTTATGCGTCGGTGTGACAGAGCCAGAGCCGGACGGCGACATCTCGCTCGCGAGGCGCTTCTGCTCCTGCTGCTGCAGGTAACGAATAACCTCTGGGTCGTCACTCGGGAGGCAGACCGTTTCACTGTTTATCAGTTCTAGACCTTTCGGAGGCTGGTGGCGTGCACACGACGAAGGCTGGGGTCCGATCCTGATCAAAGGGTTACTCACTAGATCGTCTCACCGGCGAAACGACGTGGTCGCTGAATCTCGACCATTTCGACCTGCACTCGGGGCACGCCACCGAGGGGTCCACCGAGCTTTTCCTCCTCGAGCATGGCACGGAAGGCCTCGGCAGCGCGCTGTTTCCTGTCGAGCGCCTCCTGCTCTTCGCGCTCCTGGCGCAGCTTCTTGAGCTCGTCGCTCACCTCCTCCGCGCCACCCTCGTCGTCAGAGTCGTCGCCCGAATCGTCGTCCGAGCCGGCGGCCTGACCCGCCACACGAGGGGCTTTCTTCTTGGGGCCCTCGGGAACGAAGTCAGTGTCGGCCTCATCGTCAGAGGGCCCAAGGTCGGCGGTGGCGAGGGTCGACATGGCTGCTGGCAGTGTTGGAGTGGTTGGTGCGACGTCGAGATTATTTCCGCTCATCAGCAGCGTCCAGACCATTTCAGGACGAGCTCAGGAAACAGGACAACAACATGATAGTTGGGGGGAGCGAATAGAGTTACGTCACGGCAACACGCAACTGTGGGCTCACGCGCAGGCGCGCGCTTCAGCATCGCCACGCGACCGCCCGTCCCTTACAATCGCTAGCCCGCAGCGCGCAGTGCCTTCACTTTGTCCCTGCCAACGAGTCGCCCTGGACCGAAGCCCGGTCCGTCACGTCGCGAAAGCCAACACAAACAACAGCCTCTCATCACGTCTGACCATCACCAGCAACTCGACGACGCCACGAGCGACCGCACACCCGACTGCTAAGGAATAACTTCTCCACAGACCTCATACCCTCTCCACCATGTCCACTCTCTTCACCACGCTGTGAGTGCATCTATTGGGAATCATGTAAACAAACCTCTGACCATCGCAGCAAGAGCAACCAGTCCCGAAGTGTGTTATACCAACTGAGATGCGTGCATGTCTAACAGGCCAGCTTTCAAGCCGAAGAAGGTTCAGGAGGGCACCAAGCAGTGGCAGCTGAAACAGTATGCTCAGCAGACGCTTGTAAGTGCAGCTTTCAGTTTCGGAAGATCGGCGGACTGACAACGCGTAGGGCTCTGGCAACTTGCGCACCGCCGTCCAGCTTCCGGACGGAGAGGACCTGCAGGAGTGGATCGCTGTTCATGGTGAGTGGAATAAGAGTGATAACGAAGATGACTCGGAGTTTCAACGCTGACATTGCAGTTGTTGACTTCTTCAACCACGTCAACATGCTCTACGGCACCATCAGCGAGTTTTGCACCCCGACCGAGTGTCACATCATGAACGCTGGTCCCAAGTACGAGTTCTACTGGGAGGATGGAGATGTCTACCGCAAGCCCACCCCGCTTTCCGCCCCCGCCTATGTCGAAGCTCTCATGACCTGGACGCAGTCACTGCTCGATGACGAGAAGATCTTCCCGCAGCGCATCGGCGTCAAGTTCCCGTCAAACTTCATGACCACCGCCAAGACCATTCTCCGTCGTCTGTTCCGTGTTTATGCTCACATCTACCACTCACATTTCGACCAGATCTGCGGCCTTGGCATCGAGGGTGAGTTCGAAGCGACCTGTCGACAGTGGGACCGTGATAGCTGACAGTCACAGCGCACCTCAACACCAACTACCGTCACTTCTTCCTCTTTGTGGACGAGTTCTCCCTTCTCAGCGAGCGTGACCTCATGCCCATGGAGGAGCTGAACAAGACGATCCTGGCGGACACGCTCCCAAAGTAGCGTGCTGGTGGGGATGCGATTCGAGGACGATGTCGAAGATAGAGCTCAACGGCAATCTGGTTTCGTTCTTGTCGTGCTAGAGCTTTGTATACCTAGAGAATGTAACGCACGTCATGATCATCTACGCACACATGCATGCTTTACGCAGCAGACAGAAACATGGGACAGTCGACAGTCGAGCATAGCTTGCATAGCACAGAGGTCTGAAGCTCGTCACAAGGTGGATAGCGGAACCAAACAAACCATTAGCTTGGCTCGCCACATGGTCGAAATAGGCCAAACGCCGTCACTCATTGGCTGGCGTCGGCGCCTGCTTTCTTTCCAAAACAACGGACAAGCGTACTGACGTCCCAACTTAGTGTCACCTATCCTCCGACAACCACCCACATTCGACCATCCGGCCACCATGTCCTCTCATTCCGGGCCTAGAAGGCGGTCTGGAGGACCAGCGCCGCTAGTAGACGACACCACTCTGCGCTTGCAGCAGTTCGACGACTGTGCGTAATGAGCTCACCGATGGGAACCACTATCCGTCTCTCGGGTTGGAACAGAGCAGAGATGGCACAAAACACAACATCAATACTGACTCTTCACAGTCCGACGACGACATAGCCGACAGAACCGCGAGATTATTACGGACAACATCAACAGGAAGACTGCGATGCGGAACCTGCAGGATCAAATCGAAGAGCTCCAGGCCGAGGTTTTGCAAGTCCGAGCTGAGAACTCCCGACTGCACGACCAGGTGAAGCGAATGGAGAAGGAGTCAGCCCGACTAAGGAACAACGCGGCGCGGGAGGCACTAGCTGGCATTCTGGCTGCTGTACCCGCTCTCACTAAGTTGAAGCAGTCGCTCGACACGCTCTCCCCGCCACCCAAGCCCATATCTCGACCGAACGGACAAATGTCAGATCGGACGTTCATCAATCCTATGGCGACTCGACCAGCAGCGAGTGCAGCTGAGAATGTAGGCTTGGGGATCCTAGATGAGGTTTCAGAGCCCAGCGACAGCCCGATGCGTCGACGGAAGAGCTCGCCGCTCAAGCAGTTCCCAGTCCTCAAGAAGAGCGCATACGGCTCACCGAAGCGCTCGCCGAAACGGACACCTCCACGAAAGCGCCGACGGGAGTCGGGTCTGTTGCCCCGACCGATGTCTCCCGACAGCGACTCCTCCCTGTCATCGCCGGAGCCGGAACCCGCCGTCGAGCTCGAGCCCATGCCGGAGGCTGAAGAGTCGGCTTGGGAAGAGGGTTCGTCTGTCCTGGAGTTCCGGTCTGAGGCGATCATTGATGATGGTGGCGCGATCACGCCGACACCGGGCAATCGTCTTGGTGTGAAGGTGAAGGACATAGCCGCGCATCTTGCTTCGATTGATATCGACAGAGAGGCGGAGCGTGCGACGCCGGAAGTCAAGATCGAGCTGGATGCAGGCGCGGACTTAGGAGCATCGGTGTCGTCGCGCGACTCTGAGCCGATCGAAGAGGAGGGCGGGCGTAGCCGGCGTGCGCGCACGAGCGTGAGCTACAAAGAGCCGAGTCTGCGTAAGAAGATGCGCAAGCCCGACGGCGTCGGCGTCGAGGACGTTTTAGGCGGCAAGCGGATCCTCGACACGGGCGTGCGACGTAAGAGCGCTCTGCCCCGCTCCGCAGCCAAGATTGGCTTAAACGACGAGCAGATCGACCTCCTCTCGACTAGCACCAGTACGGGGCGTGCAAAGTCCCGTTCGACGACACCGCGCGCTACGACGCCAACGACAACCCCGCCACCGTCGAGCCCCAAGTCGAGCCCGAGCTCCAAGACGAAGCGCGACGCTCTCGGCGAGCTGTCGTCGAACAGCATCCCCTCTGTCCCGCCCAAGACGAAGCGGGCATCGACGGCATCGGAAAAAACGGCAGACGTGCCGAGGCGAGCGGGGCGTAGGAGCGCCGCCGTCGTGTAAGCTGCATTCCTGCACCGCCCACAGTTTCACGCAGTCATCACCGGTTGTATTAGTAGTTGTTATTTCGTTCGCATTTCCCAACCCGCAACACCATGTCCGCAACAGTGCTTCAGTCCTCGCACTTCCACCTCAAGCCTACGTGCCCCCTGTCCCTTCATGCTCAACCTTCTTCTCCACCATGTTAAAAACAATCTTCACGGCCTCCTAATTCACAACCCTACGCTCCTATGAGCATGTGCCGCACGTACGACGTCAAAGACATAGAACTCTGCACTTCATAACTTGCTTCTGCTTACAAAACGATGCATCATCGGTGCTGATCTATTGAGGGCATAGCTTGCCATGTAGTGGGTGAGAGACGGTTGTGTGTTGAAATGCTGGGTGTGGAAGGTTATGTAGTACAAACAAAGAGTCGAAGCACTCGTGCTGTATGAACTATGCGATCTATCTATTTACGTGCGAGATGGTTGTTGATTGTCGCGCGGACGTTCCCGACAGGAGGTCCTGTGGCGGGGCGGTTTGGCTTTTTCTTCTTCTTCATGAACAAGACATCCTCTGCAGCCCGGGCGGCGGGCTTTGGAGGAAGCGGTCTAGAGGGCCCTGCACCTGCACCTCCAGCGGTGGGAGGCGGCGGTCCAGGTTTAGAACCGGCTGCAGCCGGTCTGGGCAGACCGGAAGGACCGGCGGCAGGTGGCAGGGGAGGCGGTGTGGATGTAGGCGGAGGAGGGGCGTCTGACATGGGCGAAGATGATCGCATGGCAGAAGATGAGGACATGGGAGAGGGCTCCCGCTTAATGGCCTTAGGGGGGCGCTGCCCTGGTACGGTTGTGGGCTTGCGCTTGACTCCTTGAGCTGGTTGGGCCGTAGGGGGCATGGATGCCCCGTTTGCGCTCATTCCGTTAGCGGAAGCGGGTCTGTGCTGTGCAGCGGGCGGCACATTCGGCTTCGGGGGAGGAACGTTGCCGGAGAATGTGTTCCGCGCATACTACGGGTCAGCTGAATCGGTCTGCAAAAACTCACGTCAATAAGCAGCCCACGATCACGGGCGTCGCTGACGATTGTCTTCCATTTGGCGTCACTGCGCTCCAGAGTAGCTGCATTTCCGATCACGAAAAGCGAACTCTTGGCACGAGTGAGGGCGACGTTCATACGACGGAAATCACGCAGGAAACCGATGCTGGAGAGGTTTGGGCCTGAACGCACACACGAGAGGATGATTATATCCTTCTCTTGGCCTTGGAAACCGTCGACAGTGTTGAAGCTGGGGTCAGGGGTGGATACATCTGGAGCACTTACTCGATGGTATCCAATATTTGACGGCCAAAGGCGTCCTGGAATCTCCGCTTCAGCTCGTTCAGCTGCTCTCGGTACATGGTAATGACACCGACGCGCATCTCCAGGTTGACTCTGCTGCCGAACTGCTGCTTCAAGTTCCGGAACAAGTCCACAGCCACCTGAGCTTCTTCAGTGTTCTTGGTAGACATGCCAGCCTTCGACTCCACGCCGTTCACGTTGATGAAGTGATAGGGACCGAAGATAGGCTTCTTGTGCCAGACAGCCACAGTCTTCTTGTCCATGTCAGGGCCGTCCTTGAGTCGGCTATCGTAGAACACCTTGGACGGCAAGACCGAAATCTCTGGGTGCATACGGTATTGGATGCTGAAAGTCAGCGTAGAGCAACTGGCCATAGCTTACCTCAGGAGGTGCATGAACGAACCCTTCTGCTGGGCAATGCGGACGAAAAGACTTTGATTGAATTTGTTTTGCTCTGCCTCCTGACTGAAAGTCGTCGGCGGGAGCTGGTTGGGGTCTGACGTTAGCTGCTTTCTGACAGGGATGACTTACCTCCTACCATGATGCAGCGCTGGCAGCCATATTTGAGAGGGATGAGGCAGCTCATTTCGATGGCCTGTGCGGCCTCATCAATGATGACGGTCTCAAAGGTGTACGGAGCGAGGACCTCCTGACCTGCACCTGAGAGTGTGGCACAAATGATGTCCGCGTCCTTCAGAACAGCGTCCTTGGCGGCGCGGCGCGCACCATCAAGGTGACGGGTGGCATCTCGCGCGGCGTCCTTCGCCTTCGAACTTGCTTGACCAAGCTTAGTACGCTTCGAGTTAAGCGTATGAAGCTCCTGCTCGAGGGCTCGCCTGCGCTCGTCATTGCCTTGAACGCGCTGTAGTTGCTCTTGTCGGTCTTTGATGACGTCCTTGACCTCATCGAGCTCTTTCTGGATCTTTGCGAGGTCGCTGCCGTCGCCGCCACGCGGCGCAGCCTCAGATGTAACCTTGCGTTCCACGATATTATCAAGACACACGTCCTTGACCGCAACATTGACAGAGCTTTCGATACCGATACGGACAATTTTGATGTCCTTGAAGCGGCCACCGGTGGCGCTCGGTACCCCGTCCATGAGACGTTTGCACACTTCGTCGATGGCGGCATTACTGGGGGCACACACAAGGAGCTTGGCCTTCGGAGGAGCCTCTCCTTGTGCGGGCTGAACGAAAGCTTTCCTCTCAGACAAGAACTTGCCAACGAGGCCACTGATGGTTTTCGTTTTACCCGTACCGGGCGGTCTGCCTGTTAGCGTTGCAACACCAACTGACTTACCCTTGGATCAACGAGAAGCCCTTCACAGCCATTGATCCTACAATAGCCCTGGCCTGAGGTTCGTTCACTTGGAAACTCTTCATCGTGTCCTCGACTTGGTGGGGCATGATATCGGGCACCCGCGCGCTCCTGGCTGCCAGCACTTCGCTCTGGACCTTGTCCTCGTAGTAAGGGAAACCCTTCAGCGCAGTGAACTCTCGAAGAGCAGTGCTCAGCGAAATGTGCTTCCTCAGCTGCAGCTTCGCCTTGACACCCATGCCACGCTGGTCCATTTTTGCCAGAATACGCAGCTTGATGGCTGAGCCCTTGTGCTGACGACGGAAGCCTCGGACTTTGGCGAACAGAGGCTTGCCAGGAACACCATCGATATTGATGATAACAATGTCCGACTCGTTCACGCTGAAATCTTGACGGAGAACACCGAGAGCATTGACGTCGATGTCGAGGAAGTCGTCCTCATAGGCTCGAGCGGCAACCTCCACCGTCACTGGAGGCTGGGGCGCATCTCCTTTGATGAACTGAGCCCACAGCTCCTGAAGGAACAAAGGCAGCATGATCTGCGAGTATTCCTCAGCCGACCTAAATGTCGTCGGCACGGGCTGCAGGTTGCTGTAGAGATCGGCATCCTTAGGCTGGTAAGGAGGTCGGGGACCTTGATGGTTGGGGTCCCACGACAACACAATCTGGAAAAGCTGAGTGATGTCTGGGCGAAGCCTCTGGTTTCGGCGTCGTCTCTCTTCCCTCTCCCGGAAGATATCGGGTACGGGAGCTCGCACAGGTCGGACATGTTGCTTGGGCTGAATTCTGAATCTTTCAGGAGCAGCGGGCTTCGTGGGAATCTTCGGTTTGATGAGAGCCCCGATACCTTTGTTCTCGTCGTCTTCGTCCGAGGAGGATTCCGATGCACTGGACCCAGAGTCCTCCATCTTTGGCTTAGGTGCCTCCTTCTTCGGACCTGTGTAGGCACCGAGACCCGTGCCACCGATGGGAGCGACAATACGAGGCGGTCCGGAGAACATCGATGTGGCCCCACCGCGTTTCTTCTCCATTAACTGCATCCGGTGCTCGGCTTCGATTTCACGCATAAACTTGCCCTTGAAAGATGAACTGGCGGAGGGCCTGGCAGGTGGATCGTATTTCGGCACAACGTTGATGATTAACTTCTCTTTCGGCTTGCCAGTCACGACATTTGCCCGCGCCTGCTTGTGCTCGTTGGTCGACAGAGCACGGCGCTCCAAGACGTCCAAATCGTGAGCCGAGAGATTGTCCAAGGTGTCGTCATTCTCAAACTCATCCAGCGTCCTCTGGCGAGGCTTCGCAGGCTTCGTGGCTCTGGGAGTGGTTGACTGAGAAGGGGTGTAAGTACCTCCTGCTTTTTTCATCATCATGGCGAACGCATTCTTAGCAGGTTCGGCTGGCTTCGAGGACAAGGTCGGGGCAGGCGTGGAAGCTGGTGAAGAGGACGAAGATTTGACGACTGCAGCCCGCTTCAGCTTATCGGCGACGCTCTGAACATCATCACTCTTGACTTCCTTGACGAACTGGATCTCGTCATCCGCCGCGATAGGGAGGTCAAACTGGTCGAGTAATTCGGTCAACTCCGATAAAAGGTCATCGGAGAGACGGCAGTTATAAGCTTTGTTGGCTCGACGCGAGAACTTCTCCAACTCCAAAAGTGTCTTCTCAAGTTGAGGCTCCTGCGAGAGATCAGGCTTGGATTTGCTGATTCTGCCGAGGATTGTCTTGATCAGTTCGAAAGCTTGGTGCAAAGTTTCCAAACTACTGTTAGCTACTCCCTTCCGGTACGAACTCACTCAGTCAAGCGCAACCAGCCCACGAGGTCCGCTAGGACGACCTTGAGCTTATCGACAAGGCGCTTGCCGACCATTGTCATCTTGAGTGGGGACTCGGCGCTCTCCTCGGGGGCGGCCCGAGTACGGTTCAGGACTGCCGACTCGAAAGTTCGAATCTGATCGGTCATCGTGCGACCGAAGATGAGCGCGTCGCGCATCCAGTCCACCATGACGTCGTTGTCGTAGAACGGGGCCCAAGACACAGTGCGCTTGAAGATGAGAGCGAGCGTGTCCGTCATAAGCTGCCACAAAGTTCCCACACGGCGAGTCATCCACTGGTTGTCGGCATAGGTGGACAGGAAAGCGTCAGACTGCAAGAGTGGCGGCGATTCTCCGGCAGGTTGGCACAGGGCATCCAGGACGTCGGTAAAACACCTAACGATCCACTTGGCAAGGGAGCAGGCTTCCGGAACGACGTTAGCGGTCTGGATGGCCGAAGAGAGGAAAGCCAGAAGACCGTCCATAGCGGGAATGGGGTACTTCTCGAGGAGAGCCCGGAAACAGTCTCCGCGATCATCGACATCGGCGAAGGTCTGCTGCACGAGGTTGATGACTGGGTCGTGGATAGTTTGCACTGGCGACAAGAGTAGTATGATGGCCGACTTGACAGCGCCAGTCTGCTCCCAGAGCTTGTTCTTAACAGCTGGGTCGGGCTGAGCGGCGAACGATTCGAGTGCTTGAGGGAAGCCATCACGTGAAGCTTTGAGGTTGGCATTGATGAGGCGAATGTTCATGATCCAGTCGTCCTCGTTAACCACCTCCGTCAGCTCACGCGCGTTCCAACCGGTGTGGCGGTCCAACTGCTCGATGTGGGAGAACTGGGCAGTCGCCTGCATGAGCAGGGTAAGCCCAGTGGCATCTTTGCCCGAAAGGCTATTGAATGCCGACGTCCACAAGTCGCTGTGGAATGTGACCCTGGCTAGCTTGTCGACGCGAGTCGCATCAGGAACCTTCATCTTCCTCCTCCTTTGTACTCGCCGGCGTTCGTTCACCGCAATCTTTCCCATGAAAAGCACACGCTCAATCACGTCTTTCCCGTCCGAGCGCAAGATCAGCGACACAGCCTCTTGCGCGACACGCTGCGCGGGCTTCCAGAACTCATCCGCTCGTTCGGCCAGCGCAACATTTGCAAGGAAGGAAGCATGAACCTCGATTGTAGAAACAAGCGCTGCAGAGCCCGTTTTGCTAGGATCGATGACGCTTTGAAGAGCCAGAAGTGTCTGTTGTTAGCCCGTGATGTTGTCTCCAAGCTTACATTGCAGCCCGCCTGCGCAGCAGCCGCTCGAGCAACAGTCTCGAAAGGCTCATTCTGCGCTTCAGAGAAGCAGAAGCTCATGACGCGTGCGAGGGCTTCTGAGAATCCGGAGCTTCCATCTTTACTCTGTACGTCGTTGACAGAGAGCAAGTAGTTGGTAATCCAGGCGAGCGCTGACGGCGCATCTGAGGAAATCTCCTTCATCTTGCCCTTGGAGGTGTCGGCCGCGGGAGCAGGCTGGGCAGCCAGCACCATGTCGCGAAAAGCGGGATTCTTCTTGATATCGCTGAAGAGAGTATGCGGAAGCTCCGGTGTGCTGTCGAATGTCCACACATGTTTAGTGGGTGAGATCTGAAGAATGGTTGTGAATGCCTCGAAGATGAGAGGAAAGGCTATCATCAGTGCCTAAACGTGTCGTTGCCACTTACTTTCAGCTGAGGAGCCAAGGAGGCGCGCGATGGGTGCCATGACAGACTTATCCGGTCGCGCTGGTGAGAGGTCGTACTTTCCTTCGAGTAAACCCCGCTGAATCGTATCCGCAGAAAGCCTATTGTTCCCAAGCAGCAGGTTGACCGCAGACCATCGTTCTCGAACATCGAGGTCACCGAAGAGAATCGCTTGCACCTCGGTGCCGACTCCGCCAGCGGCCCACTCATCGAGTGAAAGCCCGCGGCGCACATGTTCAACCTGCGAACGCGCCCATGTCCGCTTCTGAACATCGCTGGAACCCAGCAGATGCACAAGAAGTGGGGTCAATCCAAGACTGGACGCCGTTGTTGAGCCGCCTCCCTTGAACTGCGAGGCGACCTCGTCCATGGCCGCAGATATCTTGGCGTTGTTCAAAAGCGCTGGTTCGTTGAATAGAAGCTGGAGATACTGAAGGGGGAGGTCCAAAATGGTCGCTTTCGCCGCGCCGTACGAAGGTTGACAACACTCGAGCTCCTGCAACAGCACATTGGACTGCCAGCTGTCGATTTTGAGGCCGAACGCTGCACGTGTCTTGGTGGCGAACCGGGACAGGTATCTGCGTGTGTTAGCTTCAGATAAAACTGAGAAAGGACCTACAGGTGCGTGAACTGTCGTCGGGCGACACCAAACGCGCGGGCGCAGGAGGCGCAGTCGCCCACGACTCGTTCGAGAGCCTTGATCCACTCCACCCCCTTGAAAGCGAACATGAAGATCAGGTACGTCGACGCATCTCGATAGAGATCACTGGGAACCTTGGAGCAGTACCAGTGGCTCTCTGGACCGTAAGATGAGCTTGCTCCTGTTGTCGAGCTCGACGCCGCACCGTCGCTGGCCGAAGTGGAGGGGCGCATGACATAGTTGAAGACTGGCACGAGGTCTTTATCCGTGGGTTGGCCGGCATTGTCACGCATGCGCGACAGGATGGCCTGAACCTCTCGCGCCTCGGTCCCAGAGGAACCATTGGAGCTCGAGGAAGCCATGTTGCCGATCCTAGATCATGCCAATGAGGAGGGTGATGGCTACGCAGATGTCAATATTCAAAAACAAAGCTCGCACCGCGAGTGACGTGTGGTAGAAGCTTATTTGATTCCGCTAAAGGCGACGATTAGCGGGTTGATCAAGTTCGCATTACGGACGCGTCCGTCATGTTAGTAATGTGGACGCGTGACCGCGTCATGCACGGTTGACTGAATGTGTGGAGTGATGTCGAGTGATCGCGCTGCTCAACGAACTGCTCAGTAATGAGAGGACGATGGCTAAGGGCTTTCGATTGACACACAGTACTCGCATTGTGATACACCTATAGTACAACATCACATTATCTCCCTCCAGTCCGAGAGGGAAAATGAGAGCATCCCCCACGTGAAGCGATCATCCGCAGCCTCTATGCCACCCTCGCTGGCAAGTTTGTCTATCTCACGAGTGAATGCTCTTACTTGATAATTGAGCTCCTCTCTCATCTTCTCAAGAGTCGCCATCCCCGCATCCGGATGAGCAGACACCGAAGCTTCTTTCACCTCCGCAATTTCGTCATCGGAGTCGTCCGAATCGAGGGTGGGCCGCCTACGGCGGCAGGGAACGGGAGGGGCGGCTTGCGCTACACCGAACGTTGATCCTGCGACGTGGCGCAGATTCTTGGCCAAGTCAAGAAGAGCCTCGATAGTTTCCAAAGTGGTTGAGGTCTGGTGTTAGCGGCTTCTTTGAAAAGAACTTACATCAACATGCATGAAGCAGAAGTACCGCATCTGGCGGGAGCTGCTCATCAGTGGAGGGCCATAGCGACACCTACTGTTCCAGTTCGAGATTTATGAGACGCTGGAAAGACGTATTCTCGTTCAGAGCTTGTCGATGTCTTTCTGAACGCACATCCAAAACGCCGTTGATCCAATTCCAGACCGTACTGAACCGTCAGCGTTGAGTGCCGCCGCTAACTTACTCCAGAACCCAAGACAGCGCGTGCCGTAGCCTGCGCATCATGCGCAGCTCATCTTTCCGTCCTCCAGCCTGTGCTTCGGCGAGCTGTCGAGCTTCCAGTAGTTGCTTTTTCCCTCGGAGCAACCTGAGCAGGAAGGTGAAAACTTCGGAGCGCATGTCCATCGAGGTCGGTGTGAATAGCTGTGACAGAGGGAAGGGGACCAAATAATCGACTCGGATGTCACCAAGTGTTGCACGTCCATGGCCACGGACAGCGCGAGCCCGCACGGCAGGAGCGTTCATCCAGGTCGCTCCTTGCTGTTCGATAGCGTCGCGCAGCGAGTACGTGAGAAGTTGAAAGTCAGCCCATGGCTTGCCGTTCTTCATAGCGCTGAAGAGCCATTCTGCCCACTGCTCGATGACGACGGGTGCCTGCATCAAGGTCAGGCCATCGATCGCTCGGAGGTGTCCCTGCAAAGCGCAGTCTCGACCCAGAATCTCCGACAGTAACGTCTGAGACTGGTTGCAGAACGGTTCCACATAGGAAACAAGAGTGTGGCTAATGTCCTGTGTGTCCGGGCTGATGATAGTTGCAAGATCAGCCCAGTTACCCATCGTCTTGGCATCCCGGGTCAAGCTCAATAACAGACCTCTTGCCTTGCCTCCTTCCATCACCGTTTCCTGCGCGCCCTCAAGCCACTGCGGCCAACCGTGGTCTGGAATGACGTACCCGACTTCCCAGAAGTCTTCATCGGACCATGCCGAATCTCTGTCACGCTGAATGAAGAATTCGGGGCTGAGCAGACGTTCGTCGTCGGCTTCTTGCAGGGCCAAGTCAACGTCACAGGTGAGGAGGCTTGTCGGCACGGGCATCCCAAGCATGATCCAATCGCCGAGCAAACGCCACATTGGGGTTGCGGTCTGGATGAACAGCTTGATCAAAGCAGAACGCACGGACCCGGTCGTCGGAGAGACAATGGCACTGAAAATGGCATCCAAAAGGCCATTAGCTGAGGATGCAAAGTGAATGAAGTCTCGCAGATGCTCCATAAGCTCGCCGAACCTCTTGGTGAAGTCATGAGACAGTTGGAGCGGTGTCGACGTACTCGACACTGGCTCAGCCCCAAGGAATCCTGCTTCTGCGTCTGCCACCCACATGCCTATCTCATGGAGCACTGTGCGACACGCTTCGGCGAACGCCTCACGGGTTTCCGACGTCCGCGACGGCTGATGAGGATTCGACGGATGCGCAATGGAGAGTGTTTCCGAAATGAAAGCGCGGAGTCGCGCGGTCTTGATCGCTTGCAACGCAAACTCGCGGAGCAGAGCATGAAGCGCGACTGGGGAGAATGCCTCGACATCCGGATGGTCGGCTTTGATCTTATGTCAGCGTCGCCCCCGAGTGTACAGCGTACCATACAAGCTCCTTCCGCCGAAAACGAAAACATGACTCCAGGGCGGCCGGTCAGCGCGAAGAGTAGCTCACGCTGGAACTGGCTGGCCGAAATGGCTCGTCTAGGAGCCTGAGAAAGGGCAGGCGACGCCAAGGTCGGCACTGTCATCAGCTGTGCTCAGACTGCCTCTACGCACATAGTGACAAAGCTGCCCATCCCTGTAGATCCGACCTGGTCTCTATGGACGCACCACCCGACTTCCAATAGGCCCCCTGGTCCAACTCACGAAGAGCTAGTTTGGACACCAACAGCCGTTGTTGCTCCTCTTCCCTCTTTCTGGCCTCCGCCTCTCTAGCGAGCTCTGCTGAGCTCTTGTATCGTGGCTGGACCGGGAGAGGCGTTACGACCTCATCCTCACTCGAGGTCACGGAGGCTGAGTCCTCGCTGTCGGTCCACCCTTCGTGTACTTCTTCGTCCCACCCCGGGCCCCAATGTTCACCGGTAAACGGCTCAGACATGATATCCCGGTATAATCGGAGTTCGGACTTGGGTAGACGAGCTGGTCGGATGAGGTAGGCTGCAGCTATTTCTCTGGTCCTGTCCGAAGTAGGACGAGACATTCCGATCTGGGAATTCAGCGGGCATTTGGTGCTTAAGCTTACAAGAAATTGGACGTGTTGCGGAAGGTTACTGGCGTTGACCGGTAAGCTCTCGTCCCATGCCGTTCCTCCTATCCGTCGATGTTCCTCGAGGCTTGAGAGTGCCTTCTCGTACGCGTCGGCTATGTCATCGTCTACTTTGATGCGCGACGTTTTGATCAGTCTGGACTGATCAGTGCCGTAACTAATGCATCAGCCCACCCACCCCTTCAGCTTAGCGCGGACTTCTGGCCATTCCTGTCGCGAGGTTGTACCAGTGTCGTTCTTTATCCGAGCAAGTACGCGGCGAGCAGTACCGGTCGGGGCTTGCTCGCCTCTCAGGCGGACAACTAGTTGTTGCGCAAGCCCTTCCAGGCTTTGCGTCTCCGCGTCCATCCTGAGAAACGGTAGCTGCAATAACTTGAGAAAGTCGTTGTTGTCTTGCCGCGACGCGTGACCTCATCCTCTTGGGCGCGTCGGACCTCCACCGCTCATGCGTCCTCATCAGCACGTGGAATAGATTCCGTCTCCACCGCCGATCGCTGTCTGCACGGAAGGCGCAACTTCTACCCTATGAGGCAATCGGTGACTCAACCAGCCACCTCAAAGTGGTCTTCCCTGTGTCCGTCATGTCCACACCGCATCGTTTCCATTCAGCAACTTGACGGATTCTTCATCTTATCTGCTTTCATTCACCTGGACATCAGTCTGTATCAAAGCATCCATCTTATCAAGTATTTTGAAACCAGTTCTGGAGCCCGACACCATCATGCCCCCCAGACGTTCCACCAAACAGTCGTCGGGACTGACCCAAGTAAGTAACATCTCATCCCTGCAGCACTAGGTCTGACTCCCTCCAGCCTACACTGTCGTTCCAGACAAGGAGACCGACACGTGGGAGCGCCAAGTCCGCGGCGAAGAAGGCCGCATCGCCTCCCGTTGCGCGCAAGACCTCTTCGTCCGTCTCCTCAGCGGAGCCGGTCACCCCCGCCGAGGCCGTTGTCGACCTCACGTCCAACAAGGAACCGGAACGTCCGGATCTTCACCCGAACAGCAAGCAATGGGATGGTCTTTACAAAGCTGCCAAGCAAGAGATGGGAGGATTGCCACCTAGTAAGTTCCGTGACTGGCCGATAGCGAGAACTACGGCGCTGACCGAGTACAGTCCATGCTGGCCCCGAGGTCACAAAGGTGCACCGTGAGTGTGACACGCCCCACGACAATATATACTAACATGAAGACATCCTCCGCGTTTTCGATTTGACGTCCAAGTACGGACCGTGTGCGGGTATGACGAGACTGGAGCGGTGGAACCGGGCTAAGAAATGGGGCTTGAATCCGCCTGAAGGTGTGAGTTCAAACGGCCGTGTGTCCGGTTCAGTGAAAGCCGAAGCTAATTATATCGTTAGATCAAGGACATCCTCGAGACTAAGCAAGGCGAAGATGATGTGTCGTTCAGGGACCCAGTATCCCGAGATTGGGTGTGAAGGTTGAGCGAGCGCCGGCGGCGCCAGCACCAGATACGAAGTGACCTTCACGTCATTGAGGGTCGCAGAGTGTGTAGATAAGCGGAGGCCGATGAACGAAGGGGGACAATCTGTGCAATGATCAAGTAGTAGTATTTCCAGATTTGTAGTTTGCCTAAATATGCACTGTATGTAGTATCAAGATGCTGACAGTCGTTGAGGTCATCCTCATGGTCCACAACTTCCCAGCTTCCTCAGCTCCCCGCAAGGGTCGTTGAGAGCATTGCCCGCCACTGGGTCACCGAAGTGCTTGGCAGACAAGCTGGTCTGCTGGCATGCAGTTAATCCGAATGGTTTTTGCGGGGAGGTGCGGTGTCATCCAGCGGTTAGTCGAACCCTGCCTCCACATTGGAAGGGCGGCGGTGATCGTTCACCCGGATGGATAGGTGTGCAGGCGTCGAGGTGACAGACCTTGCTCATTCATGTCCGGCGCAGACCTTAGTGGCCCTTAGGTTCAGCACGACTAAAGCTACGCGCTACAGCGCTACAGGCTCTACAGCCAAGGACGCTCCGTATCGCACCAGGACCGTGAAGGACAAGATGACCTGCGCTCGATAGGGATCTGTTGAACATCTCCTGGTCTCGTGCTGCGAGCGCTTGGGCTGGGAGGTGTGCATCGGAAGAAATCGGAGCTCAGTTAGAGACGACATCGGTAATGTTCGGAGTAAATAGTAGGCCCGGCGCGAAGCTAATGGGGATTAAAAGCAGCGCGATTAGCGGGAGCAGAAGCGGGCTAATGAAGGGGAATCTGGTGCGTTTCGATTGGCCACCCGTGATTTTGGCGAGCGGCCTGATCTCTGCAGTGTCGAAGCGGTTCCTGAGGACCTGAAGGATCGAGAGCCACCGAGGCGAGGGTCGAGGGACGCCGCACGAGGGTGACGAGGGCACGACCGGGCTATTGGCCCACATCGACTGCTGCTCCTGTGCTCCCAAGCTCCCCTGTGCGCCGTCGAAGCTCGCGCCTGTGCGGCCCTGCTCCCCCTTACGCCTGCTCGCCCGGCCCTGGCAGAGGGAGAGCTTGGCTGCCTGGCATGCCTGGGGAAGGAGAGCGAAGGGCAGATGCACCAGGTCAGGATTCAGGCGGCCGGCAAGCCTGCCGCCCTAAGCCGGCGCAGGCAATCCAGGCTCATGGCCCAAGGCTACGGTTAATGTCTGGCCCAAGCAAATAGTCGAAGCACTTGTAACAGGATTACTCGATTACTGGCTTACTGGGCTTGCGGGCCTGGCCTGACACCTGACCCGCCCAGGCCGTCCACCAACGCTCGCTCGCGCTGCCTCGTCTCTCCGTCTCGCATGCTTGCAACTGCTTTTGCGGTTCTTCTCGGCGTTAGTCACACCTCAGCATCTCACCATCATACCATTCTCGTTCACTGCTCATACCTACGCCCCCGACGTCCGTCAGCGAGTCCTCGCGCTCACCGCCCTTCTCCCTCTTCCCCCTTCCCCACCGGCTTAAACAATGGATCCGGCTTTATTGCAACCGTCACTCCACCAGGCAAAGGCCGAGGACGTAAAGCCGGCTGCTACCACCGCCGGCACGACCCCTCAGACGACCAAACCGCCCGTCACGAATGGTTCGTCGGCCACCGAAGGTCGTACCGCCGCTGACTCGTCTGCTCCCACAGCGCAGGAAGACGACGCCGATGCTTCTGATACTGGTGGGGACGGAGTGAAGAGGCCGCGCCTTCGGTTGGCCCACGCCTGCGACCGGTGTAGGAAACGCAAGATTCGTTGCGACACTCAGCAGCCCTGCGGCCCCTGTTCAGCTACGAAGAACGAATGCACCTTCAACACCCCGAGCCGACGAGTCGCGAAGCCCAAGGGCGAGGCGCGGTCATCGTCGACATCTGGTGTCAAGCGCCCTCACTCGCCCACCCGATCTGGCGGCAACTCACAGTACCAGGCGTCGCTCGAAGCACGATTGGCCACGCTAGAGGCACTGCTTCGAGACGTTCCCCCTAACGTTCATAACGCATACCTCTCTACCCTTGACGCACGACTTGGTGCTGGACAGGGGGTCGGCATGGCTCAAGGCAAGGGCGACGGGGTTGGCCTTTCGGCAGAAGCTCTGGCCGCAAGTGGGCCTATGCTCGGGGGATCTGCCTTCTCATCGGCATTTGCCGGTCTCAAGGGTGATACAACACTGGCACCCGCCTGGACTGCCCCGACGAGTTTGACTGGCGCATGGGCCGGTGGCCGCAGCCTGCGTCGACGAGAAGGCAACATCGAAGACGTCACTCGCCGCATGGAGACCTTATCTTTCTTCTACGAGGACGAAATCGGTCAAGCGAAATGGCAGGGTAAGTGTTGCGCAGAGAGACCGTCGCGCACGGATAATGGTCGCATTGGCGTTTTGCTTACGTTGCCCAGGCGCCACCTCTGGCTTCCCTCTGCTCGAAATCCTCACTGCGGCTAAGACTCAGAGCGAGGAGGAGATGTCGCCGGATACCTCGTCGCCTTCGTCCACCGAAGCCGCTGGCAACCAGCCGGCCGCCGCGCCGTCGCCGCAGGACCGCGTTGGGCGCCGCGGGACTCCCCACTCGGTCGCTGGCGGCGGGGGCCGCAGTGCTTCCGTTGGTGCAAGCAAGCGGTCTTCCAGCACTCCGCCTATGAAGGACCGCTTCTTCCCCGACCGAACCCCTCGCCCTCACCAGACGTTGAACCCGGAGGCCAGCTGGAAGGTGATCACCGGAGTTATTCCGCCTGATCTTATGGACACGCTCGTGCGCTGCTATCTCAGCACGAGTCACCTCCTGTGGCCCTTCCTCCACGTTCCCTCTTTCCTGGCTGATTACGCCAACCCGCAGCAGTGGGGCGAGCCCGGTTTCGCGTGCTTCATTGTTGCCGTGTGCACGCTTTCGTCTCGTCATGTCGACGACCCTCGCGTCCGAGCGAACCCCTCAGACCCCTCCACCGCCGGAAAACAGTACTTTGAGCTGTTCAAGCGGCTACGTGACCTTCCTTCTGCCGACCGCCCCACGCTCTACTCCATCCAGGCAGCGTTCTTGGCAGCTATCTACGCCTTCGGTCTTGGTAACCTGAGCAAGGCGTTTGCGCTTCAGGCTGAGAGTGTCACGCTGTGTCTCGATGGAGGCCTTCACCGCAGCGTCGACAGCTACGACCACTTCAACCCTATCGAGTGCGAAACGCGAAAACGAACTTTCTGGTCGATTTATTCGTGGGACAAGCAGTCAGCCGCCCTCTTCGGTCGACCGCCCATCATCCACCTGCGCGACTGCGATGTGACTGAGCCGATGATTATCGACGACGAGAACCTGTCGGCCGACGGCGCCAAGGAGCAGAAGAACCCGGAGCAGAGCCGTATGTGCGCTTTCGTCGCTGCCATCCGATTGCACGTTGTGCTGGAGGGTGTCATCGACTCGTGTGTTCACCCATCTTCATTCCCATCGTCGCCGTTCCTGGCTCAAGCGAGCGCCACTATCTGTCGCCGAACGCCCCAGAACGAGTCACTCGGTGACGAGGAGAAGCTGCTGGAGGAGTGGTCTCGCATTCTCCCGAAATACTGGGCGTACGACGCGGAGACTGCGGCGTCTCGCGACCCCATCCGTATCACGCAGGCTGAGCGCCTGCACTGTCTCGAGCATCTCGTCAAGATGATCATTTACCGCCATCGCTTCTCCGGCTTCGTGACTCAACCCGCCTCGACCGTGGAGGAGATCGCCCGCCATGTCGAATGCTGCCGCCGCGCTATGCAGTGCGCCCTGACTATCATCGCTGATCACGTTCACATCAGTCAGCGCGGCATGATGACCTACTGTGAGTGCGGTTTGAGGAGCGATTTGTGTGGCAGTGACTAACTAGGAACAGATGGTGTGCACGTCATTCACCAGCTGGCTCAGGCTGGCCGTACGCTTGTGGCTGTCATTCTGAACTGCAAGAACCCCGAGTTCAAGGCGCTCATCGCCCCTTCGGTTGAGGGTCTGCGCTCGTGTGTTGGTCTACTCCGACGCTTCAGTGGTCGCTACCTGTGTGGTCTGCGCAGCGCGGATATCATCGACGAGTTCTGCCGAGGTGAGACATTCTTAATTTTGGTTCTTCCTTAGATGCTAACGACGTCCAGTGTGCAACATTCCTGTCGACTCCCCTCGTGTTCCAGACTCGGCCGGTCGACCTTCGCCTGCTTGGCTCCGACCCGTCCGCAGGCGCGCTTCTGTCTCGCCCGCACCGTCTGGCTTGCGCAACAGACTGCCCAGCGACTTCGGCCAGGACATTATGTCCGCCCAGCCGGATCTCACGGCGGCGCAGATGCCAGGAGATCTCGAATCGGTGTTCAACACGTCTGAGTACTTCGACTCTGGTCCGATGGATATCTCCACGTCGCCGGTCAAGAATGGCACCGCGCTTCCGTCCACCAATGGCAACAACAACGCTTCCACGACTACGGCTAATGCCACTTCCAACCTTAACGGCATCAATGGGTCCAATGGCGTCAATGGTGTCAATGGCTCAACTGGAAACACCAGCGGTTTCGGTGCCGGGCCTACACTGGGTGAACCGACCGCTGCATTCGATCGACTGGAAACCCTCTCTCCCAACGAGAACCTTGGATCACTTGGCAACGCCACGTTGCAGCAGTACATCAACTCTCACGCGAACTCTAACGGTTCGACGGCCATGGAGGGTGTACAGTTCACGAATGGCGACGGTACCGACGGAGCGCCCTCGACCGCTATGGACAGTGTAGGCGACGGGCTGCAGGGTGCTGCCAGCGGAGGACTGTAAGTTTACTACCACCTTTGAGCGCAAAACTAATACTCCTTATCAGGTCGGCCGCGACGATTTTGAGTCTTCTTGAAGAGGGCACCTTCGATTACGGGTCAATCTTTACCGACCAAGCGCCGCTTCCCGACTTCGACTTCACCACCGGAATGATCTCCGAGAATGGCACCTCGACTTGAGAGCGAATTGTACAAGAACGAACAAATTTCCGAGCAACATCTCGTGTGCCAATATCGTAACCTGAAACAATCTACCGAATCTTCTTACATACCCCGACCTTCCTCTGCCCGATTCCGAACGAACAAAGTGTCAACTACGTGCATGTACAGTGTATCTGTAAGCTCTGATGAGCGATATAATCGTTTTTCCCTTTTTTCGCCTCACGATGGGCAGTCGGTGAGACTACTTTACCGACTTTTCCAAAGGAGGGCAGGTCGCAATTCCGCTCCGGCGTAAAGACAACCCGGCCCCGCCCTCGCTTCGTTGTTGCGGACTGACTTTTCGGATGACACGGGGAGCCAGAGTGGGGTAAGAGTTGCTTCAGGACGTGCGCAGCAGGACAAATTGGACCCCCGCAAAGTGGTCCAATGCCTACGCCTGACGAGACGACTGATGACTCACTACTGGCTGGCTGTGCCTGAGGCAAATGAAGTCACATGACCAGCCTCCCCCACGTCCCCCGCTTTGCAGCTGATCAATGACGTCTCGAGTTGACCCTCCCCATTCAGTGTTCACCCAACTTTATGTCCTGCTGTCTTTCACTAAGAGGGTGCTGTTTCGTTTGCCGATGTTCAAGCGAAGGCACAAGCACCCGTGCAGTGGCAACATGTGATGCAACTGTCGGACTCAGCCGGGTCGTAAACTGCGCGAGCCGCCGGCTTCCACGCAAAGGCAGGCAGAGACGATGGGCGATAGGCGAGCTCACCAGGGGACGTGCGGGGCAACGATTCGCACGCGATTGTGAGCGTGGTATCAGCCGTTCACCAGCCCCAGCAGCGCTTTCCATGGAGTGCAACGTGCTCTCTCGGACAGACGATGATGAAGACAAGAGCGGACTACAGGTGGCACACCGGTTCGTATCGTCTGACGCGGTGTTTCCGGGAACCGAATATGTGACGGGCAGTAGTGACGTCGATCCCTATCAATTCTGAGGTGGAGTCCGCCGACCAGTGGATCTATGATTAATGACCGCATAGCAGCAGACTATGACTGAGCGGTGGTAAGCGGGCCCAACCTTATCCTGCGGAGCGCCACCGGCAACTACCTGAAACGCACGCTGCCCGACAAGTCGGCCAGCACTTTGAGAGGCGAGTACAGGGCCACACAGCAAACCGGCCAGCTCTTCTTGACCACTACTACTGGGCATCTGTGCTCACGGCTTCCAGTTGCATCATAGTCGGGATCGAAGGGTAACCCCCAGCCTCCAGGGCCCCTTCTATGCAACCGCGCAGCACCAGACTGAGTCCAAAGTGCCAGTGCGATCTGATCAACCTCCGAGATGCGATGACTCATGAAGGGCCAGGCGGGCCCGATGCCCCAACAAACCCGAAAAGAATCAAGACGTCAGGCCTGCTCCAGCGCTTCGTCGATGCCATCTGCCGCCCTCAGGCCACTGCATCATGTATCCTTGCAAAACTGTCAACGGGCAACTCGAAGTCCAGGGTCGTTGCAGGGCACCGTAGGGCTTGGCCCCCATCACTGCCTCGTTGCCCACCGAGGTCCTTCCACTCCGTGCCCTCCCCGATGCCCTTGCTCCCTTTCGGCCTGAGAGATCGTCATGGCGCTTTTCGGTCTCGCGTCATAGGAACAGAGCCGGTATGAGGGGTGACTTAGCGTTATCCTCCCTGCTGCGAGTTCATGCTGAGATTCCTCAATGGTGCTGCTCCCCGTCCCGACTCGATATAAGCTGAAGACTCCGGACTTCCATCAGCTGTTATGAAACTCCTCGGCAGTCACTATTGACCCCTTCAATCTCGCATTCGGCAAGGAAGCCGTACTCGAACCTCAAACCAGTTCAATCCCAACAACAAACATCTCTAAATCGTTGCGCGAACACCAATGACTGCGTGCCTTTTCACCATGAGCAACGACCGCCGGCCGACAATCGTCCAGGAGCACTCCTCTAAGACGCTTCAGCACACTCCCGGGAACAGACGTGAGTACCGTTTCTCTTTCGACAATACTAACGGTTAGCATGCCCCACGGAGCCGACACCCTCGTTCCGAGCCCGAAAGGCAAGCTACTCCGCCGCTCTCTACGGGTACACCCTGAGTCAGGTCGTGAACGACGTCTCGAAGGACGGCTCTGACACCTCTGACAAGAGTGAGGGTGGCGGTGGCGACTCGGGCCCGTTCTCGCACCAGTCCTCGTGAATCATGCACGGCGGACCGGTGCCGACGCCCGCGAAGCTATAGCCACTCGCGTGGCGGTGGCCTTCGCTGCGATCAGGTCCGCCGAAACCACCACCACCTTACCCATAGGCTCCACCTAAACTTCAACCGGCACCCCTGTGACCGAGTCTTCACCGACTTCACGTGTACACATGTGCTCATCGTTTCCTTTCTTCCGGGCTTCCGCAGCTGTAGCATAGATCTGTCTTCAATATTCCCTAATTTGGCGTATCCTTATTTCAGTAGGGGTACATATCGCCGACATAGACACTGTCTCCACCAACCTCTGGGCTCTTCCTCTCACTCCCGTCGTACTGTTGAATGCATGCATCTCTCTACCAATCGCATTCGCAAGGTCTTTCTCCTAGAACCTCCCTACTAGAAAATGTAAGCACACGGCGGGCATGGGGCTAAGTGGCGGCCAAACACAAGAAAAAAGTGAACATAACAAAGTTTCGGCACGCTCCAACATGCCCCGGTCGCTAACGTCATAGTTGGTTCCAGATGTCATGCCTACTACCACGCGAGGAAAACACCTCTTCCTTCCAGCCATGCGATCACACCACTTTGCTCTGTTCCCTATAGCTGTAGCGTAAGAGAGGCGTCATGCAGTGCTCGTGTGGCCCAAAGTAGGCACTCTGAGCCTTGCACGGCAGGGGACGGCATCGAGGAGCCACTTTCGCCCCATCGCAACTTCGCGCCCCGTGCACTGCCACTGGCATATTCTCAGCTTGGCGACTGTGCACGGCATCCAACTACACTTTCACACTTTCAGCTTGTCTGGTGGTCCCTTGAGACTGTCCCCCGGGTTAGGCCACGCCGTATGAGGCGTCAACTCCCACGACCGGTGGCGCGGCCGCAGCCCCCAGGCACACCATTTCTGTCAGCTGTGTAATGGCTGTCCGGGCCAGCGCACTGTCCTCTCAGAAGCACTCTCCACTCTATGTTCAAGGCGCTGCTCCCTGGTTCCCTCAAGCTGTCCTCTAATAAACACTTTCGACCCAGGTCCACGAACGGGAGCAGTTTCAATCTTTGCGTCGTTATCGCGTCTGTTGGGTGGAAAATTGACCGAGATCCGAAAGGTCGGCAATTTCAACCATCTCAGCTCTCCCCATTACGTTGGTAGTGCGAGATGTCCAGAACTTTACCGGACTACATGTGCGAAGTAATTAACAGTCGTTGGTCACAAGGAATACCCAAGCCTGAGAGGCAAGGGTATCACGAGATGCCCTTGGACGGTGCAAGGGCTCGTATTGCGTCCACACGGCGGAGGGCGGGTACGTCCTATTCTGGGCAGCGAAACGCCTACAAGCCCAAGCATCGAGATAGGCGGGTGGCAGCAGGGCCGCCTGTCCTGCAACTTCCATGTCCTCGGCAAGCTGTGCGTGAGGAATGCTACGGGGAAGGTTGAAGCCAGGGTAACTCCTCTCATGTGCAGTCGAGAGTAATGCCAGACTGTTTGCAGCCTCGGCATCCCCTGAGGTCACGAAGGGAAGGGCGGAGGCTCCTGGAGCAGAGCTTGCTGGCAGCTATCGATGTCCTCATGCTAGATCCTTGCCTAGAGACCGCAGCATAACCTGATAAGTCCGTGTAGGGGTTGACAACCTGAACTGCCTGGGTAAGTTATTATTGCGCCGAGTCTTCCGGGGTTGCAATGACAGGCTGGTAATTCCGCCGCCGTCTACGGACGAGTCAACGAACCAATGCAAGGCAGTCGCATCCACGACACCGACAGTGTTTCCTGCGATTGTGCCGGCGTTCGCCTTGTTTGGGCCCCGTCCAGTTGTATGTCTAACAGATTCGTATGGATCTGCTCGCATTCCGATATAATCCATTCATGCCAGTAACTTTCTGCGCCGCCTATACGTGAATAGACCCCGCCCCGAAGACCACGGTGGAGTCTAGATACTCAAGACCCAGCGACGCCGGTCCCTCAGCTGAGAGCATGTGTGGCCTAGCCAATATGTTGAGTGATATCGAGAAGCAAGATCGTCGCCTTCACCAACGTTGAGGAGGGAGGCGAGGGTGCCTACGAGAGCCTGCTGCATGGCGCTGCTGTTAGTCTAAGGTGGTCCTACTGTGTGACACGGAGAAGGATAGGCAAGTCCGAGAACGGTGAATTTCCGCCAAAATGGACGTGCTCAGATCTGAGGACCGTAGGCTGTCGCCAGATTCGGACGGATCGTCGAGGCGCGGTTCGCTCAGTGTGAGACGAGATCACTGATGGCTGCTTGGCTGAATGTGAACTGCGACGGAAACCTCCCGTGGTCCGGACTGAATGAGCACTGTTTAGCAGATGTGTCAGATCGTCACTTCAGTGTTATCAAAGGCATGGGGTTATCTGGTCCCCATGAGGTCGCGGACGGTGGGACAGATGAGGAAAGAGGCAGTCCGTGTCACGGTCGATCTGTAGCAAGGTTGAGAAGCACACAGCAGCGCGCGGCGACTTGTCGTGTGTCTGACTGTCCTTCCGGGCAAACGGGGCCTGGGGGTAAATCTGTTTAGATGTCGAGGGGCCCACGTACAGGTCATGGGACACTGTACGGATATGGAATCGTCCACAGGAAGGAAGGTTCGTTACATCCGATGCGGATGCAGATGACCACATAGGTTATTTGCATCCGCCGAGTCGTCCCATGAGCTGCCATCAGGTACTCCCGACCCAACACACTCGAGACTGCCAACAATTCGCACGTCATTCAACAGGGCGATGTTCCTTTTTCCACTGGGACACTATGAGTACGGTTAACGATAACGGGACTGCCAGCTCTCAGCAACAATATACTGATGCACAGTTCAACTACTTAGGTGAGAGCGCGCTCTTATCGGTCGAGACAGGTGAATGGCCGTCCTTCGAGGGGGTTACAGGCGAATGTCCGTCTCTGGAAGCAGCAACGAGCGGCACGCCGGACTTCAAGTCGGAAACTATCGAGGAGCATTCCTTGGACGTGGTAATCGGCGAGAGGCCATCTCTCGCCCGAGAGGCGCTGCCTCCCGATGCCTCCTGACGTACCACGCCAACTGCGGTATCCTCGGCATCGGTAGCGATATGCCGCTGGCTCCATGACTCTTTATACATGGGAGGGAGCATGGAGACCTCATCGGCATCCTCCATATCCTCAGCATGCACGGGGTGACGCGGTGTGGCGGCCGGTCGACGGCTGTTGCTGTCGGTGTTGGGCTGGGGCTGGCCAGCAGTCGTGGAAGCCTCTCCGAAGAAGGTGTCGTCGTACGAGGATCGCAACTCCTGCTGCTTTTCGGTCGTTGGCGTATAGCCCTCAGCGGAATCGGTGGTGCTGGTGTAGTGCCTCTGATGTCCTGGCCTCTCCGGAGTCGATGCTCCGTCAGAAGCCTTTGCTCCAACGAACGGGACAATGAACTGGACGTCTTCCGTCGGCTCATACTTTCCGCGGCGATTGACGGGCTTTTCAGACGTGGGCGAGGATGCATTCTGGCGTCGACGGCGGCGAAGGCAGAAGACAAGAGCGAGACCCAGGAGAGCCAAGCCTACAACACCGCCAACAACGCCGCCAGCAATCGCGCCAGCATTAGATTTCTTGGAGGCCGGCTTTCCATCCGACCCAGCGGCTCCAGCCCCAGCACTAGTCTCCTTGGAGGATGCGGAACTTGTCGACGTCGTACTGTCGTTGAGTTCGGCGGCGGCTGCCCTAGTTGAATCAGCACAGAAGGTGTCTGGGGTGCTCACGGGTCGTACGCGTATGTGGTAATGTCACTGATAGCGCAAACCGTGTCGTTGCCTCTGGCGCCAATGACAAGCTGATACGTCACTGAGGGATCTGTTGGAAGCATGAAGAGCGTCTGACCGGCTCGGTACACCGGCTTCGCCGAGTTCGATCTCGGAACCATCTCAGAAGACCACCACCAAGGTTCCGGGTGTAGAATGGCGTAGCAGCCAGCGTCCGAACTGTTGAAGACAGGTCCGGTGATGTTGATCAACGACGTTTGGGATGGGACGTTGTACACGAGCTCTGTGTAGAAAGAAAGGGCAACACTGTTGTTCACAATGTCGTGGTGTTGCGGAGGTATTGCTGCGAACTGGTCGATGGTTTTATCCGTGATGCTAAGCAGGTAATCCTCAGAGGCGAAGTCCCGAAGGAAAAACGATTCCAGGCGTGCCTTCCCGTCCTGGACGGTTGATATGGTTTGGGCCTGAGACCTCAAAGCTTCTTCGTTCGGCCTGCAAGTGTCAGTAGACTGCCAAACATCTACTGCACTAACGCTTTCGTTTTCACCGGAATCTGTAGATTGACGTAGTCAATGGTCACCGAGCTTGAGGAGTCTGACACGTTGGCAAGCGTCATTCTCCAAGAGCTCGCACCGTCTTTCTCGAACATAGCTAAGAGGCCGCTTGCGGGAACGGGGTTGTTCAGCCACTCCCACCTCTTGCTGGCAGCATTGCTTGTCCCCCACCAGGACCTGAACCACGTCGTATTGACGGGGACATCCTCGACAGATCCGTACAGACCGAATCCGTTTCCAACTGCACGCACTAGCTCCACCTCGTCAACCGGGAACGATTGGTTTCTGAAAGTGAGAGCTCCTGTGTTTAGGTTCATGTCCCATTTGGATTGCAATACTTGAGGAGACCATCCAGTGAGGTTCATGGAGATGGAAAACGCGATGTCGGCCTCCTGGGCTCCCATGACGCCACGCAGCGTGCCGGCAAGAGCGGCGACGGCGATCAGCATTGTGTTGCCAGGCAGTGAAGCAACTGGTGTCGAAGTAGGAAAAGTAATAAAGCGAGAGGAAAGAGAACGTGATGGAGATGAAAGCAACGGCAAGAGTGTGAATGAGCAGACGACTGCCTGTGAAGAGCGACCTCTCGGTGGACCAGACTGTGCAGTGTCATGTAATCGTCGCTAAGGCGGGCCTCTCCTGGAAGGCCTGGACAACAGCATGGCGGTCAGCCAGGGCCGATAGTGCACCTTAGTTTGGAGTTTATGGGGTGCAAAGAAGCGAAGCAGTGAGCGCGGAGAGGGCGCGTGGGGGCAAGGCAGATTGGACGTCAGGTGCCACGCCCGTGGGCGCCGCGCATAGACGCTCTGGGAACTGAACCGCTGAAAGGCTCGAAGCTAACAGTGTCCACTGCTGTGATGGGCATCGCGTAGGGCCCTGGGGTGCACTGTGCGATTTACGGCAGCGGTGTGTATGGAAGCAGGTCGCCACGCCTGAGTTGTCAGGAAATCGTGAGGCGGGCGTGCCTCTTCCGCGGGTCGTAATGGTCGAATACGGGGATCTGAAATGGCCAAATTGATTCAGACCGCCAGACCGTCAGGACGCCCGCCAGCCGACGAACAGGAGTAATCCACCAGGCATTGTTAGGCTGATGCCCTCCCTCAGTGCCGCGCCTCAGCAGCGCTTACGCTGCTTGTTCATTGCATTTAGCCAGCTCAGAAGCGCGAAAATGAAACAGAATGTGGTTGGCAGGCACTGAGGTCTGTCCCATACCAGCTAGCTTGCTCCTATATCTGATGCTTTCTAGTTCAGTCACAACCGATGGAGCAGCATCAGTCGATCCGTCTGTTCTACTGTCACCTTTACGGCGTTGTATTGACACTTAATGTCGAGTAAGCTATCAATGCCGCCCCTTGCTCACCTATTCTCAATGTTCTGAGACCCACCCCTGGCATTCATGTGGCTTCCAATCACGGTTATCGCCACCAAATGGGCTGTGTCGGCCTCCGCCGAGTGACCGGTCCCCAGCCCGTCTAACAGTGCGACACCCAGGTCCCCTTGCGGTCCTCTTTGTATTAAAGCTTACCCAGTAACGTTTGCTGCCGCGAGGGACCGATCGCTGCCACCTGCGGGCACCTAGCCCCGTCATTCCTCCTCTGAAGCACGAAGCGCTGTCGCGTGTTGCGCGTCTGAATTGTTTGAGTTCTCAGGCTGGTTCTGTTGGCAAGTTCTAGTACCACGTTGTTAACGGGAACCGGGAAGAACGGCATCAGACACGGGTGGGCTCGTCAAATGAAGTCTCGCAGTCAGAGGTGGTCGATGTGCAAGGCCAAGATCGACAAGCATGACGACGCGCACGACTGCGGCCGACGGTGAATGCCTGTGCGGCCATCTCTAGGTACACCGTTCACCTACGATTGGCTGAGGGCATGAGGACTCCAGCAATTGGGATCGCGGAACTAGCGCGCAATGGCGACACACGGGGCTCGTAGAACACCGACATCGGCCACCTGACCCCCGTCGCCCAACGACGGGGCACGTTATCCACTGTTCGCCGATTGTCCATCATGGAATTAAAGCATAACCAATAACTTGTCCCATTGCATCCGAATATACAGAGTCCAGGTGAGTTTGTATACAATGCCATTAGGCACGTCACGCACAGCCCTACAGGCTGCACACGTCAAATATCAGGACTATTATCTATTCAACGGGGAGACCTAGAAGTTCCCCGGGCGCCCACATGCTTCACCCTTTTTCTTCGATGCAAAGTTGGAGGGACCAGTGCCCACCGCTGCCGCGTCGCCTTCATGTTCGCGGGGAGCCGCCACCGCCCCCTCACCGCCTACGGCACCGGAGACGTAGCGCTGTCCCCAGGCTGCCTTGTACACAGGCGGCAACAGAGCATCTTGTCCTGCATCTTCCATATCTTCAGCGTGGTGGGGCGGATGAGACACCATTACCGCGGCTGTTGCGGCGGATGACGGGGCGACACCTTGAATTGATGACTCCTGGTGTTTCTCCGACTTACTCGAGTATGCCGTTTGAGATTTTGACCCTTTCCCCTTGTGCCGTTCTTCAGTGGCATTCTTGTCATTGGAAGCAGACGACCTCGATGGTGCGATGAACGGAACAACGACTTGAACGTCCTCGGTGAGCTCGAACCTGTCATTGTCCTCTCCCATACCCTCTGGCTGGACTGCAGCCGACTGAGAACGCTGGCGTCGGCGACGGAGAAGGAGCACAGCTAGCAGGCCGACGGCCAGGAAGCCGACGATAACGCCGACCACCGGCCCAGCTATCGACCCTGCGCTGACCTTTTCGGAGTTGGATTGCACCTCTCCGGCAGACTCGGACGGTTGTCCGGAGACGGTGATGGTGGAGCCTCCGGATTTGGTGGTGCGGGTCGAAAAACCCTGTGATACTGCAGACGACGGTTCCGACCTACATACGTCAGCAGTCCCCCACGTCGTAACTCACTTCACGTAGGAATAGGTAGTAATACCACTGATAGCGCAAGTCCTTGTACGACCCAGGGCTCCGACGACAAGCCGGTACTCAACAGTCGGATCGAGCGGGAGCATGAGTAGAGTCTGGTCGGGACGATACCCCTGCTTCTGAGCGTCGGCCTTCGGTAAAGCCCTTGGGTTCCACCACCAAGGCTCGGGGTTCAGGATGGCGTAGCAGTAGGATCGAGAGGGGGAGTTGTCACCGTAAACAGGGCCGGTGACATTGACGAGGGACGTGTTTGGTGGCACGCTGAAAGTCATCTCTGTGAGACCACCCAGCAGGACGCTTCCATTCACAATCTCGTGCTGTGAGGGTGGAGTAGGGGACAGCTCCGCTGGGGACTGCTCGCCACCATCTAGGATGTAATTGTCAGACTCGAACCGACGAATCGAGAAGGCAGAGTTCACTCTGTCCCCATCAGTGGTCGGTGTCGTGATTGCCGTCGACCTGAGAGCTTCCTCGGAGGGGCTTTGCGTCAGCCCCGCGCCAGCACCAGACTCACGCCTCTGTGACAATGGGAAGCTCAAAGAGAACGTACTGGACGTTGATCAAGCCCGATCCGGACGGAACAATTCGGATAGTGTAGGAGCCCAGTTGGAAGGTGCCGAGGTCTGCCAAAACCTCTCCGGGATCCGTAGGACCAAAGTTGGCAGTAAGAGACGTTCTCTCCTTCAGCGTGAAGTTGCCGAAGACCGTGTCTGTGGTTCTCGTTCTGCGATTGGAACTGCCGTACGGCACAGCACTTGTTCCGATGAAGTGCAGCCATGCCCTGGCGTCTAAGCCGGTTGGTGGGAGGCTCGTGACGCTGCCGTCTTCGAAGTTCAGATCCCACCCTTCCAGGTAGGCGAACATGGGAGACCAGCCGGTGACGTTCATGATGATGGAAAAGGCGGGGTCAGCGACCCCAACTGCTTCCACAGCGAAGAGAATGGCTACAAGCAGTATGCACCGCATTGTGGGATAGAGGTGGGTAGGGGGTTGCGGGTATTGGGATTCGCTTGCCTTAGATGAAGGACGAGAAGATGGCCAAGCGAAGCAGGGCGAGAAGATTCGTGTTGGTGTTGCTTCGTAGGGCAACATGCACGGTTCAACAGCGATCGCTGATCGACATCAACGACGAAGCGTTTTAAATCCTGAGGTTTCTCCCTTGAAGCCTTGCTGGCTCCTGGGCGTCGGAGCCCAGACGTGAGGCGCACTTTTTAGTGGCCTGCAGGCATTGAGCCTCTCGACGCTTCCTTTCGATGTGGCGTTCTTGATAACCACGTGGCTATGATCTCTTCGGCCAGCTCTCAGACGGTAGTGGACTCGACCAAGGATGACGCCGTGAGCTTCTTCGAGTCGGAATCGGAGAGGAGACACAGGTGCACAACATGCATATCCCGCTATTCTGTAGTCAATCAAATGACGTGCGGCGAAGCGTCCTTGCGCTCTTGTTTCGTCCGTCGTCCACCCAAGCTTCTACTTTGTTTGAGCCCCTGGGACCTCCGCCTCTCCCCCCGTTACGCTGTGCTCATATCTCTCTTGGCGTCAACAACAGAGATCAAGTCTCTCTTGAGTTGATTCGCCCGGCCACTCGTGTCCCTAAGGATGGGAGCCTCCTCATGGTCTTCCTCTGGGCTAACCTCCGCCGTGTCGCGTCCGCCCCATGCCTCCCTATATCGAGGTGGGAGGACGAGCCGTCCCGGAGGGTTGCTAACATCCTCATAGTCCTGGGCGTACTCCACCTCGGGTGCGCCAGAGCCATCCCGTAGATCTCGACCGGCGCGGGTGCTGATTGGGGCGGCCGCGTCAGGCAAAGGAGGTGAGTCTGACGAGCTGAAAGGTGAGCCTTTCACGAAGGAGTTCTGCGTGGACACCGTTGTTGGCGGAGTATAGGCCGAAACGGTAGGGTGACCGTTTGGCGTTTCGTCGTTAGCTCTGTCTCTGCCATTGCGTCAGGCGAAGCAGGAGCCATAATGCGAGAAGTAGAAGAAGGAGGCCACAGACGCCCCCAACCACTCCGCCGACGATGGCGCCCACATTCGTCTTCTTCGAGCTGGTGGTGTTCTGCGCCGAGGACTCCGCATTCGTAGGATCCGCCGTTCCACCCGCCGCTTCGGTAGTATTCAATGACTCCGCCGTTCCGGGAGGAGCCTCGCTGTAGGTTAGCTTTGCAGTAGAAATGCGCACATACTAAAAGAAAGAATATGAGGTGACTCCTCCGACGTGACACTGTGTGGTGTTGCCGAAAGGACCAATTGTCAAGTTGTACTTGACAGTGGGATCCGTAGGCAGTACGAACATGGTCTGCTCATCGGGGCGAACAGACCCTTTGTTCTGGGAAACCATCGGGACGCTCTTCAGATTCCACCAATCGGGCATCGGCTCCAACACAGCGTAACATTCGCCGCCCAGCCCTACGGCTGCCGTGACATTGACAAGGGTGGTGTTCGCAGGGACCTCGTAGGTGAGCTCTGTCGCTTTGTCGAGCAATGCACCATTCTGGCTGTTGGACCAAGTAGCGTTGGGAGGGATGTCCCAGGGTGACATTGAGCGAGCTTGCTCCAGATACTTCTGCGATCGTCGTGGATGAGCGCTGAAGCCTCGGCTCAGCTCATTGCTCCCGTTGACACTGGCAATCGCCCGATGGGTCTGGGACTGCATGGTTTCGAAGGACGGCCTGTGGAAATCAGACTTGGCACCTGCAGCTTTACATACGCCTGAGTCAGAACGGGAACACTGTAGCTTAAGGATTCGAAGGTGACACGGGTATTGCCCATAGGCAGGAACGATATGGTGTATGCTCCTAGAGGCAGACCGGAGATACTCCCAAGGCCTGTCGAGTTTCCCTCCGAAGGCCCGAGGTAAATCGTTCTGAGCGGATCCGTCCCCAGCTGCTGGTTTCGTGCGAGAGCTGACTCCGTGGAGTTCGGACCGGGCCGCAAGGTGCCCTTCGTCTTGTAATCTGTCCCGACGAAGTACCAGTTGATCCAGGTGTCGGCCGAGCTGTCCGGGTCTCGTTGGGCAGTGCCATTATCATTAATTTTGTAGGCGCCCCAGAAGCTCAGCATCGGCGACCAGGCGTCTAAGGTTACCGTGATGCTGGAGTTGAAGTCTGCGGCTCGGGCCAAGCCTGCAACAGCAAGAAGGAGTACCAGCAGCATGTGTTTTGCGAGTGAAGGCGGAGTAAGGGAGAGAAAAGAGGAACATCAATCGCTCTTGCGATCTGACCAGGTTATATGTGTGATTGTTCCAGGGGGCGTCCCTTACCCACCTCCGCTGCTGCAATGGGCTTTATCTAGGTGTTGACCATATGATTCCCCAAGAACCGAGAGGCAATTGCGATCGTAAGGTCCAAGATGTTTCATAAGTACCAGTTCGCGTTTCGAGACACAGCTCTCTGACGCAAAAACGGGACGTGACTGAACGCATCTGATGTGCTTTAACCTCTGAATGGGAGCACGAAGCCCTGCTCTGTGCGGACGCTCAGTGCATCGTATCGGAGGTTGTGAAAGCTGTGGCATTCGAAAGTAACGAGAAAGCTGTCCTCGAGGAGTACCGACCTTGGAGTGCCACGAAAGTGGCCTGCCGCGTGGTTTTCAGCGGCCATCTGATGACCGCCATACTTAAGCTTCCAGGACCTGCTGAATCGCCTTAGAACTCTAAGACTCTTCCGCACCACGCGGTACGCATGCTTGGCTAAACAATGCAGAGATTACAGGCTGCAGCGTCACGAACGTGCCAGCACAGCATGAGCATCCGCCTTCCCAGGTGTGCGATATACGAAGGTTAGGTGCAATTTGCACCGCAGACCTACTCGAAACGAGCCTGTGGTGGGCAGCCGCAGCAGTAACCAGCTTGAACTGGAGCGCAAGCCAAGATCGATATAAGGCGCAACGATCCCCTTGTCGCCTGAGCTGGCGTCCCGCGACCGCACGAGCATGCCTCGGACGAACGGCAATCAACCCGGGGCAAGACAAAACTAATGATCGAACTCCACATGATCTCATGATCAGCTATCACGCGACCGCCGCTTGACCGTCAGCGCCGTCTGCGAAGAACTGCCGCTTACCGCGGCTGCAGTAAGCAGCAAGCGTACCGCGCATCGCCTTGACGCTCTGAATCGCCGAGCGACGTCTCCGTAACTCCATCGATACACCGTCGACTCGGAGGATGGCTTACGTAAGTTACATCCGGTCAACTCCGTCAGCCAGACGTACCGCTTCATGACTCGCCGGCGCCCACCGATGACTCGCGAAAGCCGAACTTGGAGTCAGCACTGCGTCACTGTTGACTCCTCGTACCTTTTGTTGTCGCCTGTAATCTTCCGACTTTTATTGTCTCGGACTCACGTTATCAGAGATCTTTAAGTCAGGTATATTGATATCTAACTGAGACAAATACTCGACACTACTGCAAAATACCTGAACACGACAGCCCAAGCGAACGCAATGGTCACCATCACACGCCTTCAGCCGAAGGGCACGCTTGAAGAGACTTACAACTCGCCGGAGGTCAAGAACGCCGCCAAGACGCTCGAGGTGTCTTTCTCGACGGACGATGTCACCAAGGCGCTCAATGGCGATGACCCCAACATCGGTGGCCTTCGGATGCTCGCGAGCACGACCACGGCCGTCATGGACCTCGAGGCGTACGTTGCGAACCCCGATGGAGTCGACCCCGCCGAGGTCGCTGGCGCCGTCATGCTCATGAAGCAGCCCGGAATCGAGCACGGCAAGTCGTGAGTGCACCTTCCCATTCCGTCAGCCGAAACCGCACAGGCCTCGAGATAGGCAGGTATAGGCGCTGGATAGCGACGAGTTTCGGAGCTGATGCCTCCACCAGGGAGAATGCGAAGGGCCCGCACTCGGCCAAGTGCGATGTGATTATGGAGCAGAAGCCGGAACTGCAGAAGGCGTTCAAGGACATTATCGCCTTCTTCGGCCACCTCGAGGAGAAGGCTCTTGGCCCCGAGGCCGTCACGCCGACATACTACATCTCGCACCTGGGCACGCTGCCGGACTACCAGCGCAAGGGCCTGGCGGGTGCGCTCCTCAACATGGCGAAGCAGAAGGCCAAGTCTCAGGGCAAGACGCTTACGCTCCTCACCATGACGGAGCCGAATGTGAGTGATGCCACTGAGGAGAGGGGATCGCTGACGGATGCAGGTCAAGTACTACGAGAAGTTTGGCTTCAAGAACCTCTACTACGAGGAGGTCACCCTCAACGGTATCCTGACGCGATGGTGGGTCATGGCTGTCGACCCCAAGGACAGCTAGACTCTTTCTCCCTCCTAGATATCCTAGATTTCCGCGACATTTTCACAGCCTATCTTGCCCCGCTAAGCATAGCATTCGCGCGATGCTCGGTGATCAGCGCTGTTCCCGATCATCGCGATCGGCAAGTGCGCGTAAGACTTCCAAAGCACGAGCACGCCTGCTCTGTAGCCACCTGCCGGAGCCATGAAATATGCATGAAGGGTGGTTAGTCTACGAGGTTGATAGATGCAGGAAGACGATTACTTGCGGAGACGCTTGCGCTCGGCACGGTTGGCCTGAAGACGTCAGTTCATGTCACGACCATAATGCTCACCTTTCTCCTCTTCTTGTGCTTGTGCTTCGACATCTTCTTCTGCCTCTTTCGCCTGACCGAGTCCATCGAAACCTCAAAGTCCTGCTCAGTCTCAACCGACATGCGCGCAAGAAGGCCGTCAAGACCAGCAAGAGCGTCCTTCATGGCAGCCTCGTCGACCTTCTCGACCTCCGCAACACGGCGCGAACCGGCGCCCAGGTTGCTCATGATCAGCTCCCACTCAAAGTCAGCCTGGGTCTTGACGGCCTCGGCGGCCTTCTCGAGGTCAGAGGCGACGTGAGCGTCGGCGTTCACGTCAACGACGAAAGAACGGGGAGCGAACGAGCCGAGGTTCGAGCTAAGGGCGGGGTGAGCGAGGGCGCTCGTGACAGCGAGGTGGTCGCCGACCATAGAGCTCGTCTTCGGGAGCTCAGCGAGGGGGTTTCCGAGCTTGGGGGCCTCAAAGAGCGGCGCCTCGGGCAGCTTCTTAGCATAATGCGAGACGCCGAGCGGGACCGGGAGGGGCATGTGTCCGTTGAGACCCATGTGGAGACCGGCCTGGAAGGGGTACAGCGGAGCGGGGTTCCAGGCAGGCTTGGCCATGTAGGGCGTCTCAGACGAGATCTCCATAGGGCGGATAGCGCCGCGACGGAGGCGGCGGCCGTGAGTCGGCTTGGAAGAGGCGGGGGTAAGGTCGGCCTTGACGCGGCGAGGGACGCAGCGGACGGGACGCGAGCGTCCACGCGTCGCCGGCTTGACGCTGGCCTCGGCGACGTGGTTGAGGCGTCGCAGAAGCATCGTGGTGGTCGTGGTTAGGTGGCAAAGACGGCGGATCTGCTGCTGAAACGCAAAGAGAAGGCGAGGTCCTTGCAAAGCAAGTGCAAAGGGTCCAGCGGAATCAATCGGGCAGTTGCTCACCATTTCGGACCCACGTGGTGTGCCTAGCACGTGACTCCAAATGTCGAGATTTCGTAGTTCACGATTGTTGGGTTCGACCTGCAGTTAAGCATCCTCGTCCCACACGTCACCTCCGACATGAGCAAGCGCGACCACGAGACCATGGCCGACACGACGCCGACTGAGGGAACTGAGGGAGGCCTCCTCCGTGAGCCCCAGGTAAGCTTTCCTTGCCAAGACCGCAAGCTAACTCCTCCCAGAAGCGCTTCTACCGCCAGCGTGCGCACGCGAACGTCTTTGTCGACCATGAGCTCGACTAGTGAGTGCAGGGTTTCAGCGCAGACCGTCGAGTTGTGTATTTTGGCCCAGATACGTTCTGCATGGATGCGACGGCATCTCGCTGGCAGCTATGACCGCACATGCTGCAACTGCTTTGACCAAGTGCTAACAACAGCCCCGCTTCCCCTGACCAGATGGACTGGTCAGTCCACTACCCGAAGTACTTTCCTCCCGGAGAGAAGAAGGTCGAGTGGGCCGACGTCGGTTGTGGCTTCGGTGGACTTCTGATGGCTCTCGCTCCTCAGTTCCCCGACACCCTCATGCTTGGTGAGTCACCCGAGGCCTGTCCCAGACGCATATTTGTGGGAGGTAGACTGACTTGCAGGAATGGAGATTCGTGTTGCCGTTACGCAGTACGTTTCTGACCGTATTGCGCACGCGCGCCAGGAGAATGCCGGACCGGACGGCAAGCCCGGAGGCTTCCAGAATGTGTCCGTCATCCGCGCCAACTCGATGAAGCACATGCCCAACTTCTTCGAGAAGGGACAGCTGTCCAAGATCTTCTTCCTGTTCCCGGACCCGCACTTCAAGCTGCGCAAGCAGAAGGCGCGCATTGTTACCACGACGCTCCTCGCCGAGTACGCCTATGTGCTCAAGGAGGGCGGTATTCTCTACACCGTTACGGATGTGAAGGGTGAGCTTTCTCTGACAACCAGGATGAGCTGACAGCCAGACCTGCACGAGTGGATGGCGCACCACCTGCACAAGCACCCTCTGTTCGAGTACATTCCGACCGAGGAGCTGAAGGACGACCCGATCCTCGAGGCTGCCCGCACGGCGACGGAGGAGGGAAAGAAGGTCGAGCGCAACGGCGGCGACAAGTGGGTCGCGTGCTTCAGGAGGCTGCCGAACCCGGCAGAGTAATGTAATATGCATAGATGTACCATAGTTGGCTCAGCATTGGAGGATACATTTTGGCGCGTCGAGCGCAGTGCTGTGACAGCCGCACAGCGGTGGAGGGTTGGGTGTCGAGGTGGGGAAGGAGGAAGGAGGCAGGTGAGGAGGGGAGGTCCGTGTGGCCAGTGTGGAGGTGTTCGTGGCGGACCGTGGGGATGTGGAGGTGGGGGAAGGTGATGAGTTGAAGAGCCGGGTCATGGCATGGGATCGGGTCTGTGGGGTCCGTGGCGGACTGGCGGCACGCAGCATCCCTTCGGAGTTTGTGTTTCGGAGCGCACACGCCCTCCGGACAACGTCCCGGGGGCTGCTCGACTCGCCCGTCGGACGGCGCCTGCAGGGTGGCACGGCTAGCACGGGCTCGTGCTCACGGCAATGCTGCGGGGTCAGCGCACGTCAGGTGGTACAACAAGAGAGGTGGTTCCACCAGGATAGACCCAACGGCGCCCTTGCAGTGCACGCGCAGCGTGCGAGGAGCGCGGTGCGTCGGCTGTTCCTTGCACTGGCGCTCCGAGATTCTCCATCGTTGCCACATCCGACACACTGCAGGGAAGGCAGGGCCTAGCAGGACTCGTTGCTGTGCTCTCGCGCATTCGTGTCACTCACCCGACGTTCCCAGCAATCTGGCTGATGATGGTGCACACATCCTCCTCGTACCGGCCGACCCAGTCTTTCCCGGTGTACAGGTGCAGGTTGGTCCTGTCACCGTTGCTGTCGCGACTGATGGATGATGGCCACACTGGTGTTAGCTTGCCACTGAGGTGCGCAGAAGCGAACTGCAGACAAATCCATCAGACATGTCTCAATGGGCATTCATGGTCAGAGACTCAGATAGGCCTTGCATGGTCATCACTGGATTGTGGGTGGGAGCGGCACAGCCACGACACTCACGGCCTTCTTGGAGCATATAGTCGAGGATGTACTTTTCGAGCGTCACCCACTCGGCCCCATCAAGGGCATAGTCGAAGGAGAAAGTCGTACACTGTTGGTAAGCTTCTGATCTGAGGAACGTGCAGCTCACCGCCTGCGGCGAGACCCAGTAAGACATGGCGAGGCGGTTTGCGAGTAAAGAGTGAGGGGACCAGATCCAGCTGGATGAAGGTGAACAAGGCAATGAAATAAACTGTCAGAGTACGAAGCGGTCGAAAGTTGCAGTCAAAAGCGTTGCAGCATGCGCAGAGCAGCAGCTTATATGTGATCGAGTCATCATGACAGAACACAAGGGTAGTCCAGACAGCAAGGGCGACGGGGCGGACGGTGCACGCAGACACCTCTTGGAGTGACAAGAGCTCTCGCGCCGCTGACGCATAATGAGCACTGACGCAGGCGCATGTGTCGTCTGCGTCTCGTACCATTTGAAGGCTAAACACACTCTTGCACTAGGGTGCCCGCTAGCACCCTCGCTTCTTCTTGTCACGAGGACAGTGTGGAGACGCTCCGTGCATTCGTCTGTGCGCCCCAAGTGTCTGGGGTGCGTGTCGCATGCGTCAGTAGACTCGTCCTGGTCAGTCGGCGGACTTGAGCTCGCAGGTCACTCGGCGCGAGCATCCACCTGCTCAGGCTTGACCCCATTGTTACAGGTGCGATGGCGTCCATGGTGTTTTGTATCACGTCACGAGAGCCTGTGGGGATGTGGGCTTTGGCGTCGTCGAGAAGGTGTGCCACAGCGCCACGCTCATGTATGCCTCTCACCCTTTGTTCGTATTTCGGGCTGCATTCCTTCCTTCACCCGAAACCGTATGCATGACTCTACGGACATTCGCCATCGTTCCTCACCGGTACCCTCCGAGACTGGCTTGTCTTCGACGCTCGAAGTCAGTTCCCGGGCTGTCATTGCGCCACCCTTAACATGGTACGCTGCGTACCTACAATTCCTGGCAGCTAATGTGCAAAGTCAATCAATGAAGCCCATAAATGCATACAAAAACAATGCGTCTAAGATTGGAGATGGAAACGTGACACTGAAACTGACAGAAACTAGAACAGCTTGCGAATCGGCTCGACGATGGCACCGGGCTTCTTCGTGACGCGCGGCAGCGTGCCGCGCTGGAAGGCGGCGCGCGAGTTGAACTCGCTTCCGATGTTGGCCGCCATGGCGGCCTCGTACTGCGCCACGCTGGTGTAGGGGTACGGCAGGTCCGTGGGGAGGAAGCGGGCGGCCTTCTTGTCTTTCTTCTCCGTGATGATGACATTCGCACGTCCGGCGTCCTTGCGGTCCTCGGCGGCGACACCTGCCGTCTTCTTGAGGAACTTGGGGTTCGTCTTCCGCTTCTTCGTGCCCTTGCCGCCCCACGAGCCCCAGCCGGGCAACGACGTGTCGACCGTTTGCGGCGCGTCGGCCTCAATCAGGGCAGCCTTCTCGCGCGCAAAGTCCTCGACGACGTTGTCGCCCGCGAACGCCTCAGCGACGAGCTCGCGCTGCGTGAAGGCCTTGGGGCCATTGCCGGCGACGGGAAGGAGATCGGCATCGGAGTCAGAGTCGGAATCAGAGTCGGCAGCTCGTCGCTTGTTCGACGTAGCAGCCTTCGCCTGCTCGGTCGAGACGTCAGACTTGACCTTGAGAATCGACTTCGGCGCCTTCGCCTCTGCAGCCTTGGGCGGCGGGACAACCTTCTCAGCCTTCATGGTGGCCTTGGAAGCCTTGGGAGCAGCAAGTGAGATCTCGACCTCGTCGTCGCCCTTAACCTGGGCAGCCTTCTTGAGCTTGCCGACCGCCTTGGTCTCAGCCGTAGCAGTGAGCTTGTTGCGCTTGCGGGAGGGACCAGAGTTGGTGCCATCAAGCCAAGGGTTGACGTCGCCGAACACTCCGACAGCAGGAGAAGGGGAACGAGAACGAGCCTTGGTGGCACTTCCATTCGCTGCCGGCGCGGCAGGCTTGGCCTTCGCGGGCTTGTCGTCACCTGCAGCGCGGCCGAAGACCATGCGACCCTCTCCAAGCTTGAGCACCTCAGCCTCGTCAGAGTCGCTGCCACTGTCGCTGTCGTCGCCGAACATCTCGAGGTCGCGGCGCAGGTTGGCCTCCTCCTCGGCGACCTTCTTCATCTCGCGCTCCTCAGCCTTCTTCATGAAAGCCATCTGCATGAGGCCCTTCTTCTGGGGCACCTCGGGCAGCTTGCTGTCAAGCTTGGAAAGCTGGTCGAACGCCCGCGTCTTGATAGCCTCCTCGTCGCTGTCGTCCTCGGACTCGGACGACTCGCTCTCAGAGCCGTCCTTGGCGTGGACCTTGGCACGGAGTCTGTCACGCATGTCGAACATGTCCTGACGAGCCTCCATGGCCTCGTCGGTGGGAGCAGCGTTGGTGGCCCAGCGGTTGCGGGCCGAGTGACGCTGAGTGGCACGCTCGAGGGCGCGCTCGCGGTCGAGGCGCTCACGCTCCTCGGCAGCGGCCTCAGGGTCCAGTCGCTCCAGGTCCTCAAGGCTGGGACCGTCACCGGCAGCCTTAGCCTCACGCTTGCGCTTGAGCTTGCGGAACGTCTTCGACTTGATCTTGGCGACGCGCTTCGCCTTTGCCTCGGCGCGGAACATGAGCTCACGCTGGTGACGGAGCTCGGCTCGGCGGGCGGCAATCTCCTCCGGGCTCAGATCTTGGCCACGCAGGGCAGCATCCTCCGCGGCAGTAACGCCGGAGTCGGTCAGGTTCGCCTTCGCAAGGAGAGCCTGGACGGCGGACTCGTGCTCGTTCTCCGGCTTGAAAGTGGCGACAACCTCACCAGATGACTTAACGCCACCGCGCTCGGTCGCCTGCAGCGGGAAGGACAGATGCTCCGCCTCCTTGACGCGCTTCATGAGCGTCGACCTTCTGTCCCTCCTGCTTCGTCTGCTCGTAAGCAGCCTCTCGGTCCAAGCGCTCCTGGACTCGAGTGGGAAGGGGAGCAGCGAGCACTCCGCCCTTCAGGACGGACGTCGACTTGTTCTCCTTCTTCGACGGCAGAAGGCTCGAGGCGCCAGCGAGACCCGGGGCAGAGGCGATAAGAGATGACAGATCGACCTTGTTCTCTGTAGCTGTTAGCTCGGCCCGCTGGCAGTGACTTACGGTTCTTGAGGGCAAGGTCACCACCGTCGGCAAGACCAGGGCCCTTGGCCACCGGCAGTACTCGTCGCTTCTTCTCCGCATCCGGCTGTGCTTTGCTCTTCTTGTCCGCAGCGGCGAGGTTGTCCACAAACGCGTCCAGCCCGTCGAGATCCTCGTCAGAGTCATCAGAGAGATCGGAGGGAAGTTCGGGGTCCTCGAACATCTCCTCGTCTTCCTCCTCATCGTCCTCATCCTCCTCCTCATCATCATCATCGTCTTCGTCGTCGCCCTCGTCGTCTTCTTCATCATCCTCGTCTTCGTCATCTTCTCCTTCCTCCTCTGGGAAAGCAGACTTGAACGCGGTCTTTGGTGACCGCTCAACCTCGGGGTCGCTCTCCTCGTCGTCGGTCTCATCGAGATTGATCTTCAGTGGCTTCGCGGGCTACAATCAGCGATAGCGGAGTCCGACAACCTACCTTCAGAACCTCCTCCTTGCCCTTGCCCTTCTTTCCCTTGCCCTTCTCCAATTTCCGGAACGCATCCCCCCAGCGCTCCTCATCGCTGCCCTCGCTGTCCCAGGCGTCATCGGACTCGACGTCCTCGTCGTCACTGTCGAGCACGTCGGCCTTGTCGTCTCCGGCGATCATCATGGCGACCTTGCGGATTCGGGCGTTCATGTCGTCCTCGTCCTCGTCGTCAATCCGCCTGGCGCCGCCGACCTTCTCCTCGCGCGTAAGGGCGAACTTGGACTCGGCGGTGCGGTGTCGCTTGGGGAGCTCCTGCTCAAAGGTGTACGCGTCGTCGACATTGTCGCGGACCTTGCCCTTGCCCTTGGGCTTGGACTTCTTCTTCCCCTCGGTCGAGGCGCTGAAGACGGCACTCGCTCTGGAGTTCTTGCGCGCCATGGTCGATGCTCGGGTGGTAGTAATCTAGGTGCAGCAGGTGTTATCTTGCAGGTGGACGTCATGAACTTCAAAATATTGAGCGGCGGCAACCATGCGAGGTGCACGTGGCCACACGTAATTGTGTTTGCGATCTGATAACAGGGGAGCTCGGGTGTCTTCGGGTTGGATGCCACAGAGGGAGTTTCGGCGTTTCAGCGTGCCGTGTCCGTCCTGCTTGCTCCTGGCTGTCGATTCTCCACCATAGCAAGCGTAGCCGAGTGACACCAAGCTCAACCACCTCCCTACTCTGTACGTTGAGCTCGACGTCGCCGCCTCGATCACCATCTGACTCATCCCCCACAGCCCAAAAATGTCCGCCCTCCGCCTCTCTTCGTCGTTCCGCGTCGCCGCTCGCCAGGCCTCGATCGCCCGTGTCGCCCGCCGCGGTTACGCCGACGTTGCCGACGACAAGCTCAAGCTCTCGCTTGTTTCCCCCTCGCAGGTTCGTCTCGACTCGCGCCGGCCAAAGAAACGCAATGCACGAACGAAAGAACGGAAGCGTAGAAGCTCTGGAAGGACAGAATGAGAGGAGGAAGCGTTGCGGAGAGTCTGGAAGCGCGGCAGGGGTCGGGTTCGCGATGAGGTTGAGATTGAGAACCGGGAATTGGCGTCGGAGGGGCGGAATTGACATCGATACGATCGCAATTGCGCGCCGGTCTCAATCTCGCCTTCTCCAGAGCTCAGTCTGTTTGTTGTTGTTGGAAAGAGATCATCCGGACGAGATTGTTGTCGATTTCATGTCGACCTTCAGGGACTGCTTGCAACGTGCCCCAGACTTTGCTCCGCCTCGACCCATTCTCGCGGCCGCCGAGCGACCTGCGCCGACACTCTATGCGTCCTGCATTGCGTTTATTTGGCTGGCTTCGACTTCATTGTGCAACGTGCTGACGTCAGGCTATCTTCTCGTCGCAGGCTGTCACCCAGGTGAACATCCCCGCCGCTACTGGTGACATGGGTATCCTCTCGAACCACGTTCCTTCCATCGAGGCCCTCCGCCCCGGTGTTGTTGAGGTTATCGAGGAGGGCGGCAAGACCGGCAAGTACTTCGGTGAGTACAGACTCGGCATCGCTTGGAACACGGACGGGCGACGATGAAGGAACTGCGCAAGGTCGCTTGCTCTCGCATCATTGGTCGGGACGGCAACTTCACGTCGCTCAGCAGATCCCGACAGGATTTGCCACAACGTCGTCTATCACACGGCTCTCGATCGCTGCGACATGGTCCCGAGGCTGTCGTGCAGCTATGGAGTGCGATGAGCGCAGTCCGACGTCTCCTTGGCGGTGCCACATTCACGACCTTGGAGCATTCACACTGACCTCAGTCTCCACCGGCTTCGCCACTGTCCACCCCAACAACACCCTCACCATCAACGCTGTCGAGGCCTACCCCATCGACAAGTTCTCCGCCGACGTGAGTACCCGAGCTAACGTCTGTCCATATAAGCTAACGCCAGGCTGTCCGCAACGGTATCTCTGAGGCCCAGAAGGTCATCGGCTCGTCGGCCTCTGAGCAGGAGAAGGCTGAGGCCCGCATCGAGCTCGAGGTCTTCGAGGCCATCAACGCGGCCCTCGGCAAGTCGGCTTAAGCTGGCCAAAAGTAGCCCAAGGGAAGAGATCAACGTAGATGCCAAAAAATGAAACGCAACAAACTGCATTAGCCACTAGCTTTGGGGCGATGGCTGAGGAGCGCATGCTTGGCGTGGCTGATGCTTCTGGCCAAAGCCTTCCCTTGCGTGTCAGTGTCTGCGGCCACACTCGCATCGGTTTGCGGGTCTGTGCCGAAGCTGGAGACGTGTGGACGTGTGGAGGCACGGCCAGACTGAGCTCTGCGTGCGGGCAGAATGCCAGGCGGTCAGGACGTCAGGACGGGCGGAACGCGGACGAAGCAGCTTAACGAGGAATGCGAGCGGAATGCGAGGTCAGCTGGTCAGCGAGATCGAGTCTGGGCCAGTTCGGCCACTTGGGCGGTGCAGGGGAGGACGTCATGTGGAGCTGTCAGCTTGGCGTGTGCGGATCGTGCGGACCGTGACGCGTCGCTGCTCCTTTGTGCGGGGCTCGCGCTGTTCCTGTGCTACTGGACGGGCAGGTGGGTTCCAAAGCGTATCTGATACCCACGCTTCGGTTCTGCTCTTCACAATGACCTGTTCTCCACTTCTGAATGGATGAGTGCAGAGTGGCGCGCGCATAAGCGAGCGTGGGGGTGGATTTCTGTTAGGTTGTGGGTACCAGAGTGGGGCAGGGCTAGCAGGGCCAGCAGGGCCGGTGGCATGGATCGGGAGCGTGTCGAGCGTGTCGAGCGTGCCATCATGCCCATTTGCATGTGACAGCTGCGGAGCACGTTAGCACACCGAATGGCCCAGTGGGCGGTGGGAAAAGGGATCGGCGATCAGGACCCGTCACGACCCACAGGATCCGTCCCCAGAGAGTCTAAAAGCGGCGCGTGAGCGCGTGTGTTAGGGCCTATTCCTTCCAGTTAGATCCTGCAGAGACACCTTCCGACCATGCAGAGGAGGGCTTAGAGCCAGTCAATGTGCATGATGGAACGTTTGCGCTCGTTGCGCAGCACTGTCTTCGCCGACGCCATTGGGTCACAGAGTGGAGCAGCAGAATTCTGGTGGTCATGCAGAGAGCGGCGGCAGCGGAGAGATCTCCGGCCAGTTCCCAAGCTTTCAGGCGGGCTCGGCTCGGTAGGCCTCGGTAGGCCTCGGTGTGGATCTCCTCTCCGTTCGCTGCACGGTCTCTGACTGGTCCGACGGGTACGGGGGCGTGCCTTGATTCTCACGACGGGCTCTGTGGCTCCTCGCGTTGAACGCAGTTTGCCACGGCACCGAATGGCGAATGGCTTGCCAAGAGTTGCCCGCGCATGCATGCACGACCGGGTAACTGCACGACTGCACGGCTGCACGACTGCACGGCTGCACGGCTGCACGGTTGCACGGTTGCACGACTGCGAGAACGCGATATCAGTCGCCGTACCGAAGACCTGGACACGGAGCCAGAGCCACTACAGTCAATTGGTGATCAGACACAGATGAGGGATGCCGCTCGGTCTGCCGCCAATCTACCGCTGATACCGCTCGGGCTAGCATTGGATCATCAACTCATGTCAGTCTTCCGCATCAAGAAACGTCTCCTTCAATGACAATGTCAACGACTGCATATTGCTCGTGAGCGAACGGGAAAAGCGCGGCCCGCTCGAACGAGAGCGTGGATCGGCACACCGCGACACCTCACCAGACCTCGCCATAATCGCCGGGCGCGTGGATGCGTGGTGGTGGGCTGGAGCGCCGGAGCAGTGGGTCTTGCCGAGTCGCGGTCGCAGGACCGCAGTGCGGGGACTCGGGGCACTCGCGTAAGCCATCCTTATCTCTCCCTGTCCGGAGCACTATGCACAGGCCAGCCAGGCTGGCAGGTCGACGCCCCACTCTTTGCTTCTGCGCAATTCACCGCAATACCCACTCCCGCGTCAGCACGTCAGCAGTTGTCTGCATGTGCATGTGCAGTAGAGCACCTCGCTATTCTGAGAATGCACGAGGGAGATACATGTGATGAGTGGGCTTAAGCGAAAGGAAGCGAGCGAGCGTATGAGTGTGTGTGCTGGCTGCCGGCCCGCCCGAACGGAGGGCCGGAGGGACCACACACACCTGATAATGAATCAATTCAGGAGCTCGATGGCGTTCACGTTGGGATCAGCACCCCTCAGGTTTCTCAGTAGGCTCTCAGGCAAAGACTGCAGAGCTGCAGAGCTTCAGGTCGAACACTCGAACACGGCCGTGTGATGCGCAGTGTGAGATGCATGGGTGAGCCGAATGAGGCCGAGTGAGGCCTTTTTCCACGCCTTCCGCTTGCACTTTTTCAACACCCTCATAGACGCCCAGGCGAGAATCGCACCTGGTTTGCTTCCCTCAAGCCCCGAGTCGCGAGCCGGTCAAGCCGGAGCCACATGCCGGTCCGGACCGTGCTACCGTGGGCCGCTGATCCCCCGGGCCCTCCGGAACGGGTGATCCATCATCTTCCTTGTCTCATAGTGCGCTCATCACCCAGTGCGCCTAGGAGACAGCTCTCACGAGCGAAACTCAGCAAAACTGCGATCTGGAGTGCCGGCCAAAGGGGTAGAGGAGGAAAGGGGCAAAAAGCGCCGAATGATTAACTCGTGAAACTCTATTCTCGTCGGCTGCCTTGCCGTCTCTGCTGTTCTTGCCGTGTTGGGCATGAAGCCGGCCGGCGTGACGTTATCATGGCCCGTTTCTTGTTTCTGCTTCATTGGCCTGTCTGCTGCAGTAATGCTGCAGGAGTACACTTGAGACGTAAACATTACAAGCTGGAGGAGATGCCACATGCTTTCATGCACTTCCCTCGAAACGAAGGCGGGGCACTGGGTCCAGGTACAGCGATACCGAGATCACTAGACATGCCAGGCATGGATCTGGGAGATATAGTGGCTACGCCAACGGACTAGCGCGAGATGGCATGTACTGCCGCAGTGATATTCTCATGCTTCCACAGTCACATGCGTGTCTGCCTATCCTCGTTTATGCATGCCTTCGGATCGTCGTGCCGTCGTGCATGTGCCGCTCACACCGCGCACGGCGTGAGCGGAGGCGGACGCCGCGGCGAAGGAGATGCCGGAGCGCTAAAACTCTATGTCGACCCGTTCTCGCTCTCCTCTTCAAGTAAACGGTGATGTGTACGTTTCAGTCGCTGTTCGATCGAAGCTGTCGCCTGCATTCGTTCGCACGATAAAATCGCAGCATGCATCACTCACCACCCATGTGTCGCCGAGGTTGGGTGCAGATCAGCCGCGGCCCTGCGGCACGCGTACATGACGCGCGCAGTCGTGGACATCTGCCAGATCTGGCTCAGCTGGCTTTCGTTTCCCTTACCGGTCACAGGCTGCGTCTAATATTCTCCGTCCATAGCATCATGCGGCGTGCTGCTGCATAGCTCCTGGCGTCAACTGTGACATTGTTCTGGTCACTCCGTCACTGACTGGCGGTATTCATTGGCAGCACATGGGGGGCCAACGATGCATGCATCGCCGCATGCATCGTTATTGGAGGTGCAGGCGCAGGAAACCTGCAGAAGCAAACCATGGCTGGGGTACGCGGTGAAATAGGGTTTGGATGAGCATGCATTATTGGATTGTTCCGCTGCAGGCCAGCAGAGGGAGAGGACGTGCGATGGGATCCGGGCCGCTCTGGGACAGGGGGGACACGGTGGGACGGACGGGACGCCGGGCAGGCCGGGGTGGGTGGGACACGGCGGGCACGTCGCCTGCGCCCGCCTGCGCCGCCTGCACCGTGACCTGTGACTCTTGTAGCCTCGCGGACAGACGCCGAGACCTGAAAGCGGACACGAGACAGCGCGTAACACGCACCACGGGCTTAGAACAGCGCGCAGCTGACCGTTCGAGAGTGGAGGTCCACAGACAGCGCCTCACTCGGAGCTGCGGTGCAACCATGACAGCAGCGAACATGTCACGGAACTTCCTTAAGCTGCATTTTGCGGTGCGGACTAGGACGGCGGTGATGTCGGCGGTGCCACGACGGCCATCCGCCTCTGCTTATGCATGCACGTCACGTCGGTGGGTGCGAGGTGGAATTAAAGGGCAGACAGGACAGAGAGCCGTCGGTCGACACGAGGACTGTGGCGTCGCACTTGCATACCTCAGCTTTGGATCGAGTGCAGTCGATCCGGCTGGCTGACCCGTTGGCTGCTGGCGGGGCCGTGGGCTGAGCGGACGATGATCACTGGGTTTCGCAGCATCCATGTTCACGGTTGTAATGGGAGATTAGGTTTCGCGTTCTGCAAAGTGAATGTCCGATTAGAAAAAAAAATGGGCAGTAGTAGTACTGTAATGAATTCTGTGGGTGCAGACGGAAGCATTCCTTTGTCAGGGTCCGGTGTGTCTTTCTCGGCGCCTCCGCCAAAAGTATGACTGGCTGACAGAGTTTGCTCCTTTGCCATCCTGCGGCCAGCCTCTGCAGCCCTCTGCAGCCCTCTGCCCTGCCGCCTGCCTGGCAAAACCCACCGCCGCACCCAGCCAGGAAGCCAGCCAGCCAGCCAGCCAGCCAGCCAGCCAGCCAGCATCCTGGGTCCTAAGGTCCTGGCCCCCCCCCTCCTGGCCCTCCGGCCCTCCTCGTCTCAGTCCCATCTCCTAGGGCTCCTGACTCCTCTAGTCGCCTTTCCCCTGCGCTAGCATCCTATTCCTCTCCGTGATGCGCCCATCGCCACAGCAGACCGCGACCCCGGGGCAGATCATGCCAACGGCTGCTGCCCAGCACCAGCAACAAACGGCGATGGAGCACCAGATGACGGGTCAAGGGTTCGATATGAGCCGAGTCGGATCGGTGCAATCGCAGATCGGCGGTCAGCCGATCCGCGATGCCGATTCCTTACTTCGACCCTACATCCACGAGTATCTCATGAAGAACGAGTTGACCTCAACAGCAGCTCAGCTTCGGACAGAGGGTGGACTAGGCGAGCAGCCCCCGCTACCGATTCAGGTTCAGAAGGGCGTCTTGTCAGAGTGAGTGGAGGCAGCTGTTTATATCACCGATCGGGAATGCTGACAGCGCACAGACTCTGGGCTGCCTTCTGGGACATTGTCACCGCTGGCAAGGGACCACAGGCGCTGAATAACCATCAGGCCTCTATCTCCTCCCCCCTTCTCCCGGTGCCACCCACTATTACCACCGCCCAATTCCAATCCGGCACCAGACACCAACTCCTCCCTTCCCTCCCCTTGCCCTTGCAACCCCTCCTCACTTCTCCACGCGCGCATCACGTCTTCTCCCATCCCCCTTCTGTCTCGCAAAATCGCTTCATCGCGCGGCAGCCCGTCCACACCGCACGCCCATCATCCGCCCTTCAGCACATTCCTGTGGGAACAGATAACACATCCACCGAGGATCAGAATCCGCCGCGAGCCCCGACGAGGTATACAGAGCAAAGGCCCGCTTTCGCCCTTTGCCTCTCTTCACCTGACCCTTCCCTCCGCCGAGCTTGTATCCGATCAGGCGTCCCTGCATCCGTCAACGGCTCGAGTATCCTGTCACCCCCACACACTCCGCCTTCGACTGTTGCATCTGCTCGTCGACATCAGAGTGGATAAAAACGCCAGACACTCGGCTTTGCTTTCACGTCACCACCCCACCCCCCCGCGGCGCGTCTCCCATCTCGTCGGTCCCGTCCTTCCCTGCGTTTGCATCGAGGGCCCCCGTCCAACGCTCCGTCGCATCGCAAAGCAAGCATAACACGGGTCTTTGCGGAGTACGTGATCTCACTTGCAACGTAGAACGCGAACCCTCTCGATAGCCGCCTTCGGCAAGATCGATCTCGTTTGGTCTCGATTGCTCGCGGTCACTCGCATCGTCGTTACATCGGACACCCAACACGACATCCATCCCTGTCTGTTGCGCGTTTCATCGGATCAGAGACCGCTGCACGCCTCTCCGACGCGTCCATCCTCCCACCCTTTTCCCAGCTGCTGATTGACATCGTGATCGGCCATCACGGTCAACGCGATTGCAAGTAGTGCGCCACCTCGCCCCTTAGCATCGGCGTCGTACGGGTGAGTTTCATGCGATCGATACCGCCAAGTCCTAGAGCGTTTCTCACGTTTAGCTGTTAAACCTTCTGTCGGTGTCTACGCGCTGCTGCACCGTGCAAATCGACGTGCAAGCTCGCATCCCCGAGACAGGGCAATCGAAGATCGCAAGGTGCCCACCGCGCGACTCACCAACCTCGAGCGCCCACTACCGCCTGCGCCTCCCGCCAGCCAAGTCGACCGCGAGCTGCGTTCTCCACCTGACGCAGTTCGGAACGCATCGTTCCCCATCGCACAGCTCGACACACACACATACACACGTACACACCGCCAGGTGAACACTGTGTGGCTTTTACCGTCCGGTCATCTCGGCGACAAAACCTAGCCCGCTCTGTCATCCACCACCCCAGGTTCAACAGCTCCATCGCCATCCATCTTCCTCCATCACTTGCCATCCACACCAACAACTGTATCCATTAGCACTGCATTTTCGCTGGCATCAACGTCGGTCATCACGGAAAACCGGACACGCTTTATTGTTGAGCTTGTCGCCCCCGCCCCTTTGTCTCAAACCCGAAGTGCACAGACCTGCATCACAGGTCGGCCCTCGTTCTTCACGTACTCGCGACGACATCGACACAATCTTCTCGCACCTGGCGACATTCACTGCGTGTTCCTCGGCTTGCATAACCCCGTGACAAGCGTTATCGGCCCACACACACAAACGTCGTCACCGTTTCTCACCAGTGAAGAGAAGACATTGACAAAGCCCACACACAGTCCGGACATCCGACCACCTCCAGCAGGCGTAAGGGCAGTATTCATAAAGTACGCCCTCAACTGCAAGGTTGGGTTTCTTCGTCTCGTTGCGCATTCCTCTTTCTGCGGCGCCTCTGAGGTGACCTTGGGATAGCGACACGGAAGGTGCATTTGTGTCGAGGCCCTGGCGATAAAACGTAAGTAACACTCCCAACTAAGGCGGTCTCGCCGAGTTTTGAGTTGAGACCTCGCCGACGTCTTCCGATCTGATATCGAACGGCCCGATGCTGACGCTTCCTCACAGGCCATGGCCTTGCCCCATCCTCCTGTTATCCATTCAACTCACACTCAAGCTTCCCACCTCATGCAGCCCGGTCAACCCGGCCCGTCGGGAATGCCCATCCCAATGGCGCAGTACACCCAGACACCTTACGCTCAAGTCGTCCGACCCCAGGGAATGGGCGTCGTCGGTTTGAGCCAGACACATGCTCAACAGATTCAGCAACAACAAGCGGCGCAGGCGCAGGTTCAGCAGCACCAGATGCTCCAGCGGCATCAGCTTCACCAGCAGGCCATGGCCGCGCACCAGGTCCAGCAGGCACAGACGGCAGCCGCTGCTCAACAGCAGCAGTTGCAGCAGCAACAGCAGCAACGGATGGCTCAAGCCGCTGCCGCCGTCCAGGCGCAAAACGCCGCTGGACACCATGTCACCCCCTCTCCTCACCTCCAACACCAGACTTTCCCAGGCGCGACCGCTGCGGGCGGCGTGCAACCTCAGCAATACACTGGACATCCACCGCAGGCGGCGGCCATGGCCATGGCTGCCCGTCCAGGCGTTCAGCAGATGCGACCTCCAGGAGCGGCTCCCGGCGTGCGACCAGGACAGCTTCAACACGGTTTCCAGCAGCACCCAGGAATGCAGGCCGCCCAGCAGGCTCAGCAGCACCCTCCTCACGCCCCTGGAACGACACCCGTGATGCGCCCATCGCCACAGCAGACCGCGACCCCGGGGCAGATCATGCCAACGGCTGCTGCCCAGCACCAGCAACAAACGGCGATGGAGCACCAGATGACGGGTCAAGGGTTCGATATGAGCCGAGTCGGATCGGTGCAATCGCAGATCGGCGGTCAGCCGATCCGCGATGCCGATTCCTTACTTCGACCCTACATCCACGAGTATCTCATGAAGAACGAGTTGACCTCAACAGCAGCTCAGCTTCGGACAGAGGGTGGACTAGGCGAGCAGCCCCCGCTACCGATTCAGGTTCAGAAGGGCGTCTTGTCAGAGTGAGTGGAGGCAGCTGTTTATATCACCGATCGGGAATGCTGACAGCGCACAGACTCTGGGCTGCCTTCTGGGACATTGTCACCGCTGGCAAGGGACCACAGGCGCTGAATAACCATCAGGCCTACGTCGAAGGTATTAACCGTCTGCGAAGCCTACGACAGTCAATACCGGGTCCGAGCGGAACGCCTCAGCAACAGCCTGCGCAGTTCCAAGCCGGAACACCCAGCGCGGCTCCCGGACGACCCATTTCGAGCCAGCAGTTCATGGAGATGAGGCAAGCTCAGCAGCAACAGCAGCAGCAGCAGCCGAATCAACAGCAGCAGCAGGCTCAGCAGCAGCAACAACAGCAACAGCAGCAGCAGCAGCAAGCTCAACAAGCTCAGCAGCAACAGCAGCAGGCTCAACAGGCTCAGCAGCAACAGACGCCGCAGCAACAAGCCCAGCAAGCTCAGCAGCAGCAGCAACAGCAGCAGCACGCTCAGCACGCGCAAGCTCAAGCTCAAGCATTCGCTCATGCTCAGGCTCAAGCTCAGCAGCAGCATGCTCTGCAACAGCAGCGACAGCAACAGCAGCAAGCTCAACAGGCTCAGCACGCGCAGCAGGTCGCTCAGCAACAGGCCGCCGCCCAGCGCTTCGGACAGGCTGCCGCTGGTGGATCACCGGCGCAGAGGCCAGCTGTTCCGGGACAACACGTCTTCGGCACCCCTCAACCCGCCCACATGGTCATGCAGGGCGGTGCCCCGAACCATGCGTCACCGATGGCTCCCTCGCCTCGCATGACACCTCAGCACGTCATGCCGTCGCCTCATCAGAAGCACGTGCGACCACCAGTACCGATCAACGGGCCTACGCCGACAGGCACGCCGACGATGGTTCCTGGAATGCCCCAGCAGCACCAAGGAATGCAGCCTGGTCAGCCGGGGTTTATGCAGGCGGGAACGCCTCAGCCTGGCACTAGCCCTGCCACACCGGCGGCCATGCACAACCACAACATGCTTCAGAATCAAACGCAGGCGATTCAGAACCGGGCACAGGTTCTGCAGTCTGAGCAGCAACAGGCCCAACAGCAGGCGCAGCAGCAGCCGCACGTCGTTGCCCAGCACCAGCACGCCCAAGCCCTCGCGGCTCAGCATCAGCAGATGATGCAGCAGCACCAGCAAATGCAGAACAACGCCAACCCCGCTCTGCAGCGCCAGCACCAGATCCTGCAGCAGCAGGCCGTCATCCAAAACATGGGGTTCCACAACGCGCAGCCGCACCTGGTGGCGCAGACTTTTCACGCCCTAGGCCTCGGTGACCGCGACCCGTCCAAGCTCTCTGACGAGGACAAGGTGAGTGAGGGTAAGCGAAGATGAACTGACAGACAGCAAAAGGTCACAATGCACTACCGAGCGCAGCTGGGTGAGGCCCAGCGGCGACAGATGGTAGCGAGCACGAACGCCAATGGTGCGACCCCCGGAGCGCCTGGTGCTTCCCCGGCAGCCACGACGCCACAGCAGTTTCAGCCGATGATGCAGCAGGCGTCGCACCCCGGCCAGCAGCGACCACCGGACGGACGAGGAAGCACGCCCCCGGATCGCAAGCGCCAGCGCCGCAACTCTGGCAGCGCTGCCGCGAGCCCGTTCATCCAGCCCCAGGTTCTGCAGGCTGGTTTTCAGCCTCAGAATCCCGGTCAGCAGGGCCAGATGATGATGGGCATGCAGATGGGGCAGCGCCAGGTGTCGCTTGGTGGCACGCCAATGGAGTCGCATAGCCCGGCTCAGCAGGGACAGCAGATGCCTGGCCAGTCGCCGCGCAATGTCTCCATCAGTGGACTGCCCGGCCAGTCAATGCAGCGGAATCAAAGCAAGAGCGGTGGTGCTGAGGGGTCGATGCTGCCCCCTCAGAGCCCTGCTCAGCTCGGAGGACGCACACCGCAGGCTGGCAAGATGTCGATGACGCCCAAGATGCAGAACAAGGAGGAGTTGATGGTGAGTTGCACATTCTGGACTGAACTGACAAACAGGCCGGCACACCAAAGTCGCACCGTAACTCGCCTCAGCAGAATATGGGCAACGACGGCAGCCAGCAGGTCGCTCCGTCACCGAACAACAACGGTAACGCGCCGACACCAGCGAACACGAACGGCAACATGATGAACGGAGGTGTTGGCGACAACAATGTCGCCAATGGCAACAACAACGCCAACAACACCAACAACAACGCTGCGAACAACGCCAACAACAACAACACTACGTCGTTGTTCGGCGGCGACATCATGGGCGACACGAGTCTGTTCGGTGCCGACGGTGACCTCGACTGGGTCAGCAGCCTCGGCGGTGCTGAGGGCATCGACTTTGCGCAGTACCTGGAGAACATGGGCGAGGACAATGAGGGCGAAGTCGGCGTCGCCGGAGGATGAATCGGGCACCTTTGAGTCGGACATTTCCTCACGTCTGCCGCGCTGTGTCTGTTTGGTTCTCGGGTTGTTTGTATCGCCGGCAGGAGCGTCAGAGGACGTTCCGACTCGAGCTGCCTCTGTCCTGTCTCTCCCATCTCCTTATTCTTTCCATTTCTCTCTTCTCTTCTTTCCATTTCTTTTTCTCTCTCGATTATATATCTCTCTCTATCGCTAGTATCGTGTCTCTCGTATGATTCAAGTGCTCTCTCGTCACGCGCACGCAACACCGCAACCAAACAATTTCCTCACACAATTTCCTTTTTCATACTCTTTCTACATAATGCTTACTACTTGGGGCCGCTATACCCATACAGGCTGGAATAGTATGCAATTGCACTGGCATTGGACCTCGTGGTTGCACGGACAGACGTGTCTGAAGATCGCTGCATTGTCTGTGTCGCGGTCTTGACGAACAACGCCGATCACGTGTTAGGCTCTTATCAGCCAAATGTCTGAGATCATTGCCGAAGTCTTGAGAGCGTAAGCCACTCACTTGCTCTCACTCCGAAACTCCCATTGTCTTCGTCCTCCGACGATCGCCGAAGCGGCGCACGACGCACGATGTCCGAAATTACGGCGCGAAGCATTGTTACTCTCGTCGTGTTCTTCGTCGTCAGTGAGTGCATTTCCGACTCTGCCCACCAACTTTCGCACCACCTCCACCCTTCCGACTTGTGAGCTTGCCGCATGTGTGCTTAGCAGTGTGCACCTCCGGCACCGATCCCACTCTCCTAACTAGACATAGAGACATACTAATGACTAGATGCGCTCGTGATTTGGCCGATCAAGATCCCAATCCCGCGCGTGCTGGGTGTGGGCTATCGTCGTCTCATTGATGGGGTCGAGCATCTGCTCGGCTTCGGCCCTCTCGACCACGACGGTCCGATCTGGGGCGGCAACTCGGACGGCACACGGCAGAACGCCGTCACTGAGACGGGCGTCACGGACGCGGCCGAGTCGGTCCCTGCTCCTGACGTCGCTCCCAGCGGTCCCGGCGTGCCCAGCGCTCCTGCATCGAGCGAGGCCACGACCACAGTAAACGGCAGTGGAAGCGGCAGCACGGCCGACGCAGAGACGACGGCCAAGCAAAGAATACGAGACAAGGAGAAGGGGGTTCCTCACCACTTCAAACTCGGCCTCGTCACTGCGCCGCCGGCCGGCGTGCTCCTCTTGCTGGCCAGCACGTGCATCACGGGCCGCACGGTGCGCGAGGGCATTGTGGCCGAGCCCATCCGGCCGTTCGACGTCATGATCCTCTTCCTCTCGTTTGCGTACATTGCCCTGTCGCTCGATCAGGTCGGACTGCTGCGATACCTTGCTTTCCTGGTTGCTAAGAAGGCGACGGACCACTCTGCCGCTGTTGAGACGCCTAGCGCTACGCCGGGGGCTACGCCGGGTCAAACTCCTGGACCGAGCGGGAGGGCGACGCCGACGAATTCGGCCTTTGCTCCGGGGGCCACAGCTGTGGAGACTGCGTCGAGCGAGACGGTGGCGGCAGGCGAAGGCAGCGGTCGAGCCAGGCGCCGGAAGGGCAAGTCGGCGCAACCCGTCTTCGCGGCACTATACGCGCTGTTCATCTTCATCTCCGCCGTAGCCGGCAACGATCCCATCGTGCTGTCCGGTACGCCCTTCGTCGCCTATTTCTCGCGTACGTCCGGTTCCCCCGCCGAGCCCTACGCCTTCATGGAGATCTACGCGGCCAACCTGGCCAGCGCGATTCTGGTGTCGTCGAATCCGACCAATCTCGTGCTCAGCGCCGCCTTCGGCCTCAGCTTCCTCCAGTACTCGGCCTGGATGGTTTTGCCCACCCTCGCAGCGGCTGTGGTGCTGTACCCCGTCATTGCGCTGCAGTACCGCGCCCAGCTGAGACGGGCTATACGTCCCCCCGACGTCTATCCGCGCTCTGCCCTCGTCGATCCCGCAGGCGCGGTGTGGGCCAGCACCGTCTTCATCCTTGCCGTTGTTGTGCTCGTCGTGCTCAGCGCGACGGGACAGCTGCACGGCGCCGCGGGCGTGTGGAGCGTCGCTGCGCCTGCGGCTGTTCTCGTCGCATTGCGGGATATGTGGCACGACTGGCGGCATCGGGGACAGCGGGGGAAGGATGTGGAGTTGGCCGATCTGGGCCAGAGCGGCCAGAATGGTGCTAGTGGCGAGAGAGGCGAAAGGGGTGTGGGACAGGCGGGGGAGTGTACTTGTAGCAATGGGGAGCGCAGGAGCTACGAGGAAGAAGAGAAGGAGGACGAGGAAGACGTCGACGGCGAACTCGAACTGCACATCGTGCGGCCCGTCATGAAACGTGGCATGCGGCGGCGGCTCAGCTCGCGCGTATGCCGTTCGCGTCCTTCACCTGCTGCCCTTGCTCCGCTGGCTCCGCTGGCTCCACTTGAGGCGTCGACCAGCGCAGTGATGCCCTCTACGCCTTCTGCTTCCACCCCGACTGTCACTCCGGGCTCGAGTTCAGGTCTGGGAACATCGATCCCCACTCCAGCCTCCTCAAGCACGGCAGCCTGCAACATTCCACGAAGGCGACGAAGGCGACCAAGACACCACCCAATCCACTGGTTCCGGCGCACCTTCCCGACCGTCTCAAGCATCGTCCCGCGCCTCCCCTTCCCGCTCGTGCTCTTCGCGCTCTCCTTCTTCATCCTCGTGCGCAGCCTCGAGACGTGGATCGGCATCTGGGCGCGCTGGTGGGCCATCTACGTCGCGCGGACGGGTCTCGCGGGGGCCATCTTCATGCTCGCCCTGCTCTCTGTCGTCGGGAGCAACTTTTGCGGGACCAACATTGGCAGCGCGGTCCTGTGGCAGCAGGTGCTCGTTGAGTGGAAGCGCGCTGCGCGCGCTGAAGGAGGAGATGTGGACCAGAGGATATTGTACGCCAGCATGCTGACGCTCGCGACGGGGTGTAATTATGGCGCATACTCTTTCACCTTTTCGGCCAGCCTTGCCGGGTTGCTGTGGAAGGACCTCCTCTTCGCGCGCGGCATTCGCGTGCGTATTGGCCAGTTCTGTGTCAACAATCTCGTGCCCCTCTTCGTCACTATGCTCGTTAGCTGTCTCATCATCGCGGCCGAGGTGTGCGTCATGCTCTAGGCATAGATTGGTTTTCTCGGTTAGTGTCTTATGTAACAGTATCCATATGTGCATTATGCATCACTTGCTAGCAAGATACTGCTGGTACGCGCTGTCGAGGTCCGCGTCCGAGACGGCAAATTTCTTAGGTGTCGTCATCTTGGTGGACTTGCGCTTGCGGCGGGGCGCCGGCGTGGCAGACTCCGGGGAATCCTCCAAGCCGTCCGTGCGTGGCTGCGAGTCGAGCCAGAACCGTGCCGCGCGGCTGTGGCTGCTCGCCTGCGCCTCGAGGAAGCGCTGGTGGTCGACAGAGCGGATGTCCTTGAAGATGGCGACTGGAGGTCCCTCGTCCTCGACACGGGGCAGGGGCCCGAACCGGCTCTTGCCGAGCGTGACGCCCGTGTCGAGCAGCTGCTTGATGTCGAGGCTCTCGCCAGGCGGGATGGCCTCGGCGCTGCTCGGGGTCACGCACGGCATGTCCGTCTCCTTGCGCAGGATGTGGTCAATGTCCACGGCGGAGAAGAAGGCAATGCCCTGCGGCATGTCGTCGAGGCCGAGGTTGTAGCAGAACAGCGCACGCGTCCACGCATTCGCGATCTGGAGCGCGAGCGCCGTGCGCAGCTTGTCTTCCTCGGCCGCAAGATAGCGCACCTCGTCGTGCACGCTGATGAGGTAGCGCGCCTTGATGTCGTACTTCTTCGTGAGGTACTCCATCGACGTGATCAGGAGGTGCAGGTAGTCGACACCCGAGCTTTGCACGACCCAGTTGATGCGCGAGGGCAGATACGAGTGCCCCGCGTCGAGGAAGGACTTGCGGAGCGCCCGTGTTACACCGCATCCGAGCGCTGGAGTCGTCGGGCGGTCCATAAGCGCGATCGCTTCCAGCGTGTTGAACAGATATGACTCGCTGCCGCCGTGCCAGAGGTACTGGCTCGCAGCCGGGCCTCGGCCCTTGCTCCGGAACGTCTTCGCGCCCTTCGTCTGCTTGTACAGGTTTGTTGCGAGCTCATCGGCGGCTTCCTTGGTGAGCTTGCCGTCGCCCTGTAGCAGCAGCTGGATCGCATGTGGCTTGCCGGCACCGTAGATGCGGCTGTAGTTGAAGACCTTGGCAGCATCACGGGAGATGTTCAGGATGCTTGCGGTCTTGGAGTGCAGGTCCGTCCCGGCACTCTTCGTACCCTCCAGCGTCATCCAGCCGATCGCTGTTGCGCCGTGCATTCCGAACTGGGAGTCGCCCATGACACTGGAGATCCACAACTCCTCGGAGTCAACATCCGCGCCGACGATAGCGTAGCCAGGAGGCGCCTTCACGAGCGACTTTAGCTCCGAGCCGACGCGGTTCTTCTTGGCGTTCGAAGCGGTGAGCCAAGTTGCCTCAACCGCACGACGCGTGACGGTACCCATGGTGATGACCTGCGGGAGAATCATGCCACGATCACCATCCTTGTCATAAACGACGAACTGGTTCATGATGCGTTCGCGGGACGAGATCCAGTACGAACAGAGAGCGTTCATATTCGTCGCGGCTTTAGCTGCACTAGCCAGTTGCTTGTCCTCATCATCCGCAAGAGCCGAGGACAGTTCGCCAGACTCGACAGCCTTCAGGAAGGATTTCGACAGCGGGTTACCGACGTTGTTTCCTTCGCCATCCTTGTGAGGAAGCTGGAAGAACGCGTAGTCCTTCTCAGCCAGCTCCAACAGTTGCTCGTCTCCCTCAATGGGGAAGAACTTCACAGCCTTCTTTTCGGAGAGTGTCGAGTTCTTGTCCTGCGACAGATCGGACTTTGGCACACGGTACAGCCACTTGAACTCCTTGCTGTACACAAGTGGGTATCCGTGCCACTGCATGCGAAGCAGAAGGGGAGCCACACTCTTGCGCATGGTGAGGTCCAACTCTCCGCGGACAAACTTCTTGTTGCTCTCCGGGACAGTCAGTTCCCAGTACCACTTTGGCCAAGTGCCGTGGGGATACTTCTCAGCCTCCGTCTTCTTCGTAGTGGACCTTGCCTTGCGCTTGGGACTACCCGACGTTGACCAGTCGAGCTGCGCTGTCCATTGATCGACGTCGCCCTTCTCGAGAGTCATCTCAGCCAGTTGCTGAAGTCCCGAAAGCAAGGACTTTGGTGGCGAAGGCGAAGTCAGGAGGGTCAGCGCCGCTGGGTACGGGCTGGTGAGAACCTCGCTCTTGACGTCCTTGGCAGCAGGCTTGCCGGTAAGCTTACTGCGCCGTGACGTCAACTTGCCGTTCGACGGGACCCGGAAAAACGCCGAGTCCTCCAGCATCGGCTCCAGATGCGCGTCTCGAGGACCGAGCTCAAGTGGCATGCCGTGCTCTTCAACGAGACCGGAGACGTCGTCCAGCGGAGCTCGGAAACACCACCAGTGCTCGTTGAGGTAGTACACTGGGTAACCTTTGTACTTCAACTTTAGCAAGAGCGGAAGGATGTTGCGCTCCGACTGATTGCTAAGCAGAGCATCAGGAGTCTCGGTGACGACTGTGTACCAAGCCGGCTTGGCATCGGTTGGCTCGGGCGTCGACTCCACAACGGGCGCGATGTGAGAGGTGCCGTCAGACCAGCGTGCCTTCTTCGGTGTCCAATCTAGCTGCGACGACCACGGGTCTTGATCGTTGGGTCCCTCGCGCCTTAGCCGATCCGCCAGCGTCCTCAGAGCTTGTCGAACCTCCGTGCGAAGCTTGATGTACATCGATTCGGCATTCTTGAGGTACTTCTCCCAGTTGCGATCGACAGGGAGGAAGGCACTGCCCATAGCGAGGACTCCCGCAAACGTCGCTGGGTGCGGGCAGCTGTTCATGAACAACGGTAGCACCACTTTGTACACGTCGTGGGTAATCTGCACGTCCTTCGCACAGTATCGCAATAGATCGTCGAGCTCTGGGCGCAGCTGCGAAGCGTGGAGAATGTCCTCGTCTCCGAAGCGATCGCGAACTGTCTTGTCGACTTTGACCCCGCAATGGAGACGAGCCACCTCAGCGAGTGAATTGACGGCGGTGGTATCCTCCCACGTTTGGATGTCTATGGCGGGATCGTCGTTCATGTTCGCCGAGAACTCTGCCAGACTCTCCTTAAGAAGGTCGTCGTTCTCTGACACCTCTTGCAGGTACTCTATGGTCTCATCGCGCTGTTGAGCCTTCGTCTCCTTGATCTTCCGATGTTTCATCCAAGCAGGTCGCTGGACGGACGTGATACCGCGGGTGGCCACGTGCAGGCTGAGGGTGTCCAGCCATCGGGTCGGCGTGAGATCAAGCGAATACTCATCGGCCACTCGACCACGATCGTATCCAACGTTGTGACCGACAGCAATGGTGGGCTGCTTGTTGTCTCCAAAGAGCGGAATCAGTGTCCTCGGATGACACTTTGGAACGCTTCGGTCCCATGATTCGTTTGGCTTTGGTCGCTCATTTGGCGGATCTTCGAAGATGCTGGGGCTGAGCCACGAATACCACGCATCCGGCGATGCAGCAGTGGCCATGACGGGGTACTGCGAGAGCTTGTAAAGTGTTTCCACGTCGAAGCATACTAGCCTCTCACCCTTCAGGTCTTCAACATGCTCCACGCTTCCGTCGCGACCGTACCTCGTCCACCCAGGAACATGTGCCCAGCGCTCCGGCATCGGGGGGAGCTCTGCCCTCGCAAACTCCCGCGCCATAGACATGTAGGGCTCCGCCGCATAATGTCCCAAAGCATGGAAGTGCGTGCGGATGTTGTCGCCCTCCAATGGCGGCAGAGGAAGGTTGATCTCGGGTACGACTCCTGCTCCTTCGGGAGACAATCCATTCTGGCCTAGATGCGACTTTGAGATGTTGAGCAGTGCAGACGGAGGCCGAGGTAACGGGTCGCCGGGGAAGATCTGCCTGTGAAGATCTCTGGATAAGAGTTGCACTCCGACAGCGTTCTTCCGCAAACCAGCCGAGGCTAGGGATCAGCAACGCCAGGTGCATGGACTCACGCTTTGACCCAGGAGTGGATTCGACAGAATCCACGACGTCGAGCAGCCTCGGTGGCCGCCGCGACCCAGTCTTCAGACCGTTGATCGAAGATGAATCGGGCTCTGTCTCAACGGCTTTCTCCTTGCCCTTCCTACTCGGCGTCTTTGTTGCATCCGCGGCGCAGATGGCCGAGGTCGACGACTCTCCGAGCTTCTCATGGTCAGGAGCTGTTTCCACCTCAGCTCCGGGTTCGGGCATAAACTTGAACAGCGAGGGCAGCTTAGACTGCTGCATCACCTTGGCTGGACGTCAGATCTCTACTAGCCCTTCGTAATCTCACCATGGTTCAGTACCCTTTCAGTGTTGTCCTCTGCAATCTGAAGCGCAGCTTCATAATCGTCTCGTTCCTTGTGGCCGACTTGACGCCGAAGAACGGCACAGCGGGAGAGCGATCGGGTGCATGGTCGGCGCAAACGAGCGGGCCTCGTGAGTCGGGCCACGTCAAAAACGCGAGTAAGCATGCGTTGATGAGTATGTTTTGATATCTAAGGTTGTCAAGTGATCGCCCTCATCTCTTAATCTCTAATTTCAGAGAGGCCCAAGCAATGACAGGCGCGGACGTATTTTCGCCACTGACCAGCCAGATGTCAGACATTCCGACGTCATCGTCGTCGTGTTTTGGTCGCCATCGCCTCAACTCCATCAACTCCATACACTCCTTACATCGCCATGGGCGTCTTCTCCTGGTTCTCTAAAGTGAGTGAAGGAATGCTGCTGTGCACTCAGCGGTTGCGTGCGAGTTATCACTGACTTCAGTCGGGGTCAAAAGGCTATGAAGAGCGCCTCGCCAAGCTGGCTTCCGAGATCGAAGCCGCGAAGACGCATCTCTCAGAGGTGCGGCTACGTGAACGCCGGTTCAAGCTCGCCATCAATGCATACGGCATTGGTCTTTGGGCTATCTGGGTAGGCCTTTGGTACTTTGACCAGATCCCATGGGGTCTCGTCGGGTGGTCTTCGCACGGCAACGAAGCGCGTGCTGTCGGTACTGCCATCGTCGCTGCGGGCCCGATTCTGTAAGAGCTGACCCGGGGAAGTCGAAGCTGACACCAGGCTCTGGCTGCTTAACAGGCTCCTGAGCATCATCTTCACCCGTATCCGTATCAGCGACGGTGAGTAAACGGGAACGAGAGCGCGAGGGCGCGAGCGCTGACCGGGCAGAAACTCGTCTCCGTCTCCTGCTTAGCAAACAACGCACCGCGATCGACGAGATTAAGAAGGCTACTAACTACGACTCGACCCGCAAGCTCATCGAACAGTACGACGAAGCTGGCGGTCCTCAGGTGGGTGGCCAGTTGCCGTAACCATCCGCTAATAGCAGACGCCGAAGCGTGGCCAGCAGCGTGGCCCACAGTCTGCGCCCAACACGCCTCCTTCAGCTGGATCTGGGCCTAGCACTCCCAACAACGCACAAGGGAGTCAGCCGGGAGTTCTGAACGCTCCTGGCCCTCAAGGTCCCCAAGGCCCCGTCGGTCCTGATGGCACCCCCCGCGCTCCCGGTCACCTCGCCGGCGGCACGCCCCGCCGTAAGTTACGCGTTCCAACGCCGAAACTGACGGCCAGCCTCGACTCCTGTTCCCATTCCTCCTGGTATGACGCCTGAGCAGGCGCACTTCCTGCAGACGCACATGCAGGCGATTCAGCCGATCCTCCCTACGCCTGAGAAGAAGTGGTATGACCGGCTGGCGGACTCGATTCTGGGCGACGACCCTGGTGCGTTGAATTCTTCCTGGTGACTCTAACGCGCAGCGCAAGCCGCGGAGAACAAGTACGCGCTCGTGTGCGCCGAGTGCTTCCGGCACAACGGACTGGTGGGAAGCAAGCGGGAATGGGAGCGTATGCGTGAGTTACCTGATGGGAAATAGTGAACTAACCAACAGAGTGGATCTGCCCGCGTATGTTGGCGTCGTTCTATGGCAACTGACCCCAGGCTGCAATCACCTGAACCCGAGCCCCCTTCAGCGAGCGGCGGAGGCGGGCGACGACGACATGTTCTCGACGCCGGGACCGATCGAGACCCCCTCCAAGCCCGTTACGCTGCGCAGCGCGCCCAGTCCGACGCCACTCCGTCGCCGCCTTGCCGGCCAGCGCGCGGGTCCCGGTTCGTCCCGCTTAAGCACCGAGGTGTTCTCGGCGCAGGACGACAGCGACGAGGAGGGCGACAGTGTCGACGACGCGATGGATGTGGACAAGGACAAGTAGGCTGGTGCCGACTGAGTGTCTACCCTATGACTGTCAACATGAGCCATCGAGGTGTTCTGTTCTAGGGGATCGTGAAGGCCTGGCGGGTACGGAGACCCGCAACCCACAGTTGACTGTCAAGGAGGCGATGTCAACAGAAGGCTATACAGTGTAGCATACGTTAGGGCATGCAGCTGGTTCTATTTGGAGTCGCGACAGAAGTCGGAATCCCTTGCCGTGGTCTCGGCACGAGCTTGCGGCGCTTCGAAGCTCACGAGACCGTCCGAGTCACCCGTCGCCCTTATCGTCAGCGTGAGCTCGTGTCCACAGTTCGGCCGTGGCACATGTCCACAGCCCACGGAGCGGCAGCGGCTAGCTCACAAGACCTTCAGTGGTACCTTTGACTCTTCTGACCTGAGTGTACCCGCCAGACTTCCGTTCTGGAACAGGAACTAACTCGCACGACCAACTACTGTACGCTGCTCGGGTCCTCGGCTGACAGCTCGCCTGCTCGCCTGCTCGCCTGCTCGCCCGAGTCGCGAGCTAACTCACGAGACCTATCCTCCACAAATGCGCACGCGTGCTCAAGAGCGATCACGAGTCTCACAAGAGCGGGGGACTAGCGAATAGCAAAGCCGGGAAAACACATCAGCTCGTCCGACCACCTCGACCACCTGCTCTATTCTTCTCGTTAATGCGTAAATGGATATTCATGAGAGGCGCCCGATCGTTTCGGTCGATCGGCCTGCGTGCTCGGGTTCCAGGACGTGCTCCTGTTCCTCGTCCGTGACTCCTGTTCCGGGCCACAAAGCAGCGCGGCAGCACAAGGCGTACAGCGTGAGGGGTACGAGGGGCACAGCGAGGTCGTAGCTGACGACGCGCCCAGAACGTCTCGTTACGAGGTCCCTGTTTGCATTCTGATATTCCGTCTTGTTGCAGATATTTACAGCGTCTCGCAGGAACTTGGGTGCCCGCCGGATTTAGACACTGTCCAAATGGAGATAAGACAGCAGCCGACTGCGCAGAGGCAGGGTAAGTGTAGCCGCCGAGGCCTCCGAGGCTCTCTAGTCGAGCCCCGCCTGCCGTCGTCTTTTGGCGGGGTAGGGCAAGGGAAGAAGTCAGGGGGATTCCGGAAGATGTTCGGAACATTACTGAATCGCGCTAAGCCCTTCCCTGACATGGAGCCCTTGAGGCGGACTGTCAGAAGAAGCGAGTGTAACGACATACAATGATTGCAGACGCATCCATGAAGCATGCATACGGCCGTCGCTGAGGAGTACGGAGATACGGTCCGGTCTGCCTTCCTGTGGTCCGGAAAGCGATGCCTGAACCGATACAAGCGAGGCGGGAAAGAGGAGGGAGCGGAGCGGCGCTGCTCCACGAGTGTCCGTGGCCTGCTCCAACAGGCCCAACAGGTCCCAAAGGACCTCTGTGTACGGCCCAAAGTTCACTCTGTTGGAGCTTGATGAGGTACAAGGTTGACAGAGAACTGACAGAGGTACGATCAAAGACGACGAGGTACGACGGCGATGTCCACGGCCCACAGTACGGGATTCGGCGTGCGTGCCGTTCCACATCAGGCCCAGCCGGTCGGCACAGAAGCAACGGTATGCACTAGTTGTTCGGGCGGCAAGCTCTCGAGGGTAGCTCTGGGGAAGGCATGGGTCACAGGGGTGACTCGCACTTACGCACTTGCATGTATGCAGCAAGAGGTCGTCGGACGTCTCGGGCAAGTTCCGAATGACCAGGTATTTCTGAGCACGCCAGCGAGGCGAGTCACCGGGGTCCTGGACATTCGTGTTGGAACAATTCTGATCCGTGACCCTTTCGGACCGTGGACCTCTGGTCTGCCACCTGGCTCGTCCCACCTTCCTCCCAGAATTCTCAAGCTGCCGAGCTGCAGGCATGCAGGCTCGTGGGCCACGCACAATCCCGTAAGACGAAAATGAACCCGTCACTAGTCAGAGACATTACGGAACTGCTGCCTAGAGAGCCTCGCGAAAGTGAAAGGGGATGCTCGGAAATCGGAGGATCGGATCGCAGCAGCGTTGATCGTGCTGCGCTCAAGTCAGTCTCATGCCGTCCTGGCAGACGAGGGGTAAGTCGCGCACGACTGGTCCTACGCAAACCCCTGCAGTATGCATGTCCGCTTGAAGCTCTGTGATTCGGTTGCTGCATGCGGTCCTCGCTCGGGTGCGGTGTTTTTCCAGCAGTAGGAGGCCACGATGACTTTTTTTGGAGAGGTACAGCAGAAAAAGGTACGAAAAGGCAGAGTTCAGTCGAATGAGGCGCTGCTGTTAGAAGACCGCAGCAGGGGTTTCGGAGAGACAGAGAAACAAGCGAACAGGAGAAAGTAGGAGCGCCCAAGTGGAGGCCAGGCAATGTTCGATCGAGGTTGTCAAGGGATGGGAGAGCGTGATTGGGTGCAGGCGGAGCAGACGTTGCGCGCGCTGCGGCAAGCGGAGGCAAGTGGGTTGGCAGGACGGGGGTTCTCTCTGCTCATGCCGCAACGGTCTAGCGTTGGGCAGCATGGGCCATGGGCTCTCCGCCTCTGGCCCCATACCGGGTTGCGGATCCCCTAACCCCCTCCCCCCTGCGCTCCCTGTACCCAGGACTCACCCAGGGACGCGCTCGTCTCGGTCATACCTGGTTGGCGGGTGCAGATTACTCCTCACCCAGACTGTCCGGCTAAGATGAGAGCCTGCGGCGTGCGGCGGCCTCACAGCGTACACCGCCAGCCAGCCAGGCCAGGCAGCACCCAGCCAGCAACCAGCACGCAAGCAATCCGGCTCTGCCGCCAACTCGCCAGCCAGCCAACATTTCAGCCAGCCAGCCAGCCGCCATATCCGCCAAGCGTCCGACCAGCAGCCGCCTTGTTACAGTCTCTTCCGAGTAGCCCGCCGCCTGCAACATTTTCTTTGTTGTTGCATACATTCTTCATCTACCTCAGTGCCCACCATCGATCTCGACGCTCTCGACCTCGACGCCCGTGTCTCGACTTGCTCGGTCTCAACGCCAAAAAGCCCCCACCAGGCCACACCAGCTGATCAGGCGAATTTCGGGCGCAGAGTGACTGCCTTTCCGCAATTCAGCCTACGAGCTTAGCCTGTACCACCCAGCTCCGTTCCGGCGCTTCCGTCTACAGTTGTCTTCTTCGACACACAATCGTCTTCACTCCACTCTTTCATTTGTGTGATACACAGTGACGACACACGCAACACACCGACGACGCCGCCGCACCGAACACTACGGTTGAACCTCTCCCCATTGCTACTGAGCGAATCGGCGTCACCTGAACCCTCGATTCCCTTCACCGCTCGCACCCACTCTCGGCAATCTCTCAACGCCTTGACTCGTTCCCAGATCTTCCCGCCGCCTGGACTCTGCGCAGTCCGCATCAGTGCTACCTAACGTGAAAGCACATCTCCGTCACAACACGGAATCATTGTGCGACCAAGGTCCGCCGCCCGCCCCCGTTCACATTGACGACTGCGGCAAACTCACCCGGACGACCGGAGTGACGTGACCTTCATCAGACCCTCGGGCAAGGCAGTCGCCGGCATCATCAACCATCGGGACTTGCCTCTTTTGTTGTTGTCATACCCCCGGCGCCTCTCTACTCCGCTACTTGGCACCTAAGACGCGGAAATGGACTCGGCCTCTTCTGGCCTCTCTCCTTCGTCTTCGCAGCACTACTTTTCTACTCTCGACTTTCTGTCCTTAGCTGGCATCGACGGGTCCGCTGAGGCCCAGTCCGCCGGACGTCATTACGGCCACGACGACGACGCACCCCTCGACGACCCCAGCCCCATCACTCTGGAGTCACGCACGTCTTCGGGACCCGGACATTCGCGCAATCCTTCCTCGCCTGCTTCCTTCAAGGACAGGAAGGCTGCTGCCGCCATGGACGTCGACAATCATTCTCATACACACACGCCTGGCGCCAGCCAGACAGCCAAGGCTCACTCCTCGGGACATGCTACGCCTGCTGATGAGTTGAACAACCCGGTAGAGGCTGGCTCATCCTCTTACGACGCCATGCAGGCCGGAATGCTCCAACATCAGGTGAGTTTACGGGTCGGCAATACCAACTGACATCCAGCTCGAGCAGATCCACATGCAGTCGCCCATGGTCGGAGCGACGAACCCAACGTCACCGTACACCAACATGGCCTCCATGTTCCTCACCTCGCCACCCAGCCAGCAGAGTGCGATGCCCCACTCGGAGGGCTCCAGCTCGCAACAGTCCCAAAGTCAGTCCGAGCTCGCTCGCTCTCATTACCAGCGCAAGTACAATGCCGCAGCGGACGCGTTCGGAGGCATCCTCACGCCTGGTGTGTAGTCTGACCTTCCTTCGTGCGCAGTCGACTAACGCTTCGCAGGACCGAGCGGTGATCTCGTTCCCGACGTCCGAATGGACCTCATGAGTCCGATGCAGCTGGAGATGCTCGCTCGTGGCGAGATCGACATGGAGAATGTAGGTTGCAGCCAGCCGCAAGCGCTAACCAATCCCAGTTCCACACTGTCCCGTTATTGTCACCTGCTCTGTCGGGACACTCCAGTTACGCCTCGCCCATGGTGCAGGCGGCCTACGGCGGCAACGCCAACCACCATGCCCTGCAGCAGCTCCAGCACCAGCAGCGACACTTCCAGGAGCAGTTACAGCTGTTACAGGAGCAGCAGAAGCAGTTGCAAGCCACTGCGGCTGCCGTCGCCGCCGCTACTGGCTCACCTTACCTAATGCCCCAGGGATCCTCGTCCTCGGGTCAGCAGGGCCAGAACCAAAACCAGGGCCAGTCAAGAAGTCAGAACGGCCACCACTCGCAGCACTCGGGCGGAGGGGCTGTCTCGACCCCTTCCCCCGGCAGCTACTTCTCGCCGCTCACGTCGCCGGCGCTCGAGCCCGCGGTCAGCCGAAGTGCTGCGCTGCGAGCTGCCGCTGCGCATTTGTCACCGGCGATGCACGGCTCTAACCAGCGGGCACCCCACAGTCTCTCGGCGCTCAGCTCGCCGGCTCTGAACCCCGTTGGCTCGCTCGGCGGAGCGCAGCAGACACTGTCTCCCGCTCTCGAGCCACAGGGTAACAACGATCTCGCCGACCCCGAGTACCTTAACGCGTTACAGGGTCTGCTCGACAGCAACAACAGCAACACTAGCGCAAGCAGCGACCAGCGGGAGTACCAGTCACCGATGCTTGGCCCGAGCAGCAGTGGCAGCACCGGCCCGCACCGTAGCCTGCCCGCCAAGTCCCGACCATCGCCGATGATGAAGCCGACACACCGTCACCGGCAGGCGAACTCCGGATCGCTGCCTTCTTCGCCGATGGCGTTCAAGGTGCCGCAGGGCGGCGTCGGTTTCCTCCCACCAGCCGCAATCGACCAGCGACACCACCAGCCGCAGGGACCCCCGTCAAATACGCCGAGTCCCGTGGACCTCGCTCAGATCATGCCACCGCCACCAGTGCCTGCGCCCTCGCGACCCAAGTCGCTCATGCCGATGACGCCTGCATCGCTCATGAATTTAAAAAGCGAGGCGCAATCCTCGTCTGGACCCTCGTCGTCTGCCCCTCAGCCGGAACCCGAGGCGGAGGCTGGCGCATCCAAGCTTCCCGCCCGCGCGGCTAAGAAGGCTGCGGCCCCGAAGCGTGGCAGCCGCCTCGTCCCCACGCCGCCGAAGCGTGCTCTCGCGATCCGGCCACCGGGCGGGGGTGCGCGCAAGGCTGCCGCCACGCCCGCAACGGAGCCGGAGAACCGACGGACGTCGCACAAGGCTGCGGAGCAGAAGCGACGAGACTCGCTGAAGGCTGGCTTTGACGAACTTCGCCTGCTTCTCCCGCCGATCAACACGGAGGCGCTGGATCCAGAGACGGGCGAGCCGATCCCTGGTTCATCTGCGCCGCGACTCTTGCCCAAGTCCTCGCTCGTTCCAGACGACAACCCGAACCGCGGAGTCAGTAAGGTCGCGCTGCTCAAGTTTTCGAACGAGTACATCATGCGCCTGCATGGCAAGCTCGACAAGCGCGATGCGTACATCGAGAAGCTGCGCGCCGAGGTCGAGCGACTCCGCGAGGGCGGCGCCGAGGAGGTCAAGGGTGACGAGGGCGAGGACCTCCTCGAGATGGACATGACGATCGGCGAGGAGGAGGACGAAGACGAGGAGGGCATGGAGGTCGAGCCCGAGATCGAGGAGCGGCCGAAGCGCAGGGGGTCGGCTCGCAAACTGGCTGCGTGAGCCGCGGAGGGCGAGCATGTGTGAGGCGTAATCTAAGTGTGCATAGACTATCAGGCTAGAGACTCAAGGACTATAGAAACCAGTTTGTTATATCATTAGGAAGAATCGGGATGTAACGGTAGCTTGGCGCTAGCGAGAGCCTCGATCGAGAGACAGCTCGTGGGACCGGTGAGCAGACACTGAGTCGTGCGACCAACACACCTGCGCCCGGTTCAGCGGGAAAGCAGGGCGGGGCACGCCGAGTGAGACCGAGTGAGCCGCATGTGTCAACGTGTGTTCCGATCCGCCGTAACGGTAAGATGCGGCAGCGCGGCAGCGCGGCAGTGGGCAAGTCCTTCGACCGAGAAATCGCCGTGCCCTAGGATTCAACCGCCGGCACGGCGGGGACCGATATATCGGCCGTCCCCCCCAGCGACAAGTACATCACTGCGGCGATCTTGACAACGTACACTCAACGCCAGAAGAACAATGACGAAGCAAGTCCAGGACGTGCCGATCTTCGAGGCGGATCGCGTGCTCGAGTGCGGCAACACGCTTGGAGAGGGTGAGTTTCAACGTCTTCTTTTGCAAGAGGGGGGAAGGAAGGAGGGGAGGAGGGAAGGTGGAGGTCGTCCACACCGCAATCTCGGAGGAAAGTCAAGCTGACAAGAAGGCATCACCTGGGCCAACGGCCAGATCGTGTGGGTCGACATTGAGAACGCGTCGGTGCACACTCTTACGGGTGACAAGCATGAAACCCGCACCTTCCCGGAGACGCGATACGTGCCCGCCGTCGCCGGCGTCGCTGGCGCCGAGGACGGTCTAGTCGCAGCCTTCCACGACCGGCTCGTCCACCTCCCCTCCCCCTCCTCCTCTCCGGAGGACATCGCCCTCCTGATCCCGGAGGAGGAGAAGAGCGCAGTCCGTCTGAATGACGGGGCCTGCGACCCCGCCGGCCGCTTCCTCGTCGGCAGCATGAACCTCGACGGCCTGGGCATCTCGCCGCCTCTCGGCAAACTGTATTCCGTCTCCGCCTCTCCCTCGGCCTCTGGAGGGTATCAAGTCAAGACTCTGCTCGAGGACGTGGGCTGCTCGAACGGCATCGACTGGACGCCAGACGGAAGGACCATGTATTACATCGACAGCGCACACCCGCGCATCGACGTTTTCGACTATGACGTCTCTTCTGGGTCTATCTCCAACCGCCGCGTCTTTGTCACCGAGGCCGATTTGCCGCCACTGCCGCCTGCCAGCCGCGTCCCGGCCCCCATGGTCGCCTTTGACGGGCTCACGGTCGATGGGGCCGGAAACGTGTGGGTCGCGCGGTGGGGCGAGTCGCGCGTTGTCTGCTACCGTCCCAGCGGCGAGGCGATCCTGCAAGTCGTCACGCCTGAGGCTCGCACGCCCACTATTCCTGCTTTTGGAGGGGAGGGACTGGATGAGCTCTGGCTCGCTACGGCTAGTGCGGAGCTGGCGGGGCAGAAGGCCCAGGACTGGCCCCGGTCTGGAGATGTGTTCAAGCTCAAGATTGGGCAGGAGATCAAGGCTCTGCTGGGCGGAGGGTGGAAGGGTCGCGCGCGCCATGGGTTCCGTCTCGCCTAAGCCGTGCAGTTAACCACGAATTATTAGTTAGAAACCCAGTAGTTAGAAGAGCATAGCGCTTGTACGATGAGAAATGGAATCCATACAAAAAGGAGGAAAGAAACACACACAAATGCTAAGAGTCATGCTGGGGCCTGGACTGTCAGGCTGCTGGTTCGGCGCTGTGTCACTGGTACCGGGCTGGACCGCTGCGTCACTTCACGGGGCGTGGGTACGCTCGCCCTGCGCCGGTCATGCATCCCGCCGCTCGCGCTTCACGCTCGCGCCGGCGCTTAGAGCCACTGGCTCTTGTCCCACGCGGGGTCCTGGAGGAAGGCGCAGAGCACCTTGGATCCAGTCTGGAGCAGGGGGTGGCCAGCGACAATCTCGAGGAAGCGCTGCAGACCCTCGCGGCGCTGCTCGATCACGTCGTCTGTGAATCTGTTCGTGAACACCTTGCCCGGCAGAGGCGGAATGTTGACGCGCGTGCTCTCCCGCTCGAGAATGTCCCGGAACGCCTCAAAGTCGCTGTACCGGCGGCGCACGACAGAGTGCCGGATCTTGAATGCGGGGATGTTCGTCTGAATGTTAGCAAGGCTAGGAAAGAGCTCGTCGAGGGTGGCGAGCGTGACAATAGGAGGTTCGGTCCATTGCCTGCCTCGCCCGCCTTCATCGCTGCCACTCACCATGCACACAATCTCGTAGTCGGTGTACATCTTGCGCCCAACGCCGTGCGTCAGAGGGTTGCGCACCTCGATCTCAAGGAAGGACTCCGGAACAGCGTACATCTCCTCGAACTGGGGTTAGCTGGACACGGTATTGGCGAGCTCACTGGCTGTGGCCGTCCGGCAAGTCGGGCCATGTCGGTGAACGTCAGACGCTGCGACGAGTCGGCGCGGGCGAACGGCGAGTGCGTCGCATCAGGAGAAGGGGTAGTCGGGGCGTGCACAGCTGTGGAGAAGTCAGCGATGAGTTCTGTCAGTCACGGCTTTTGTTGTGGTCTTGTGGCCGGGTGGCCAGGAGGTGGGAAGGGATACGCACGGCCCGCCTGCTGCTGGTTCATGGTGAGTGTGGGCAAGTCGAGATGGAGTGTGACGTGGGTGGTAGTGGTGGTGGGAGGATGCTCGGGAGTCGGGTGCTCGGCTCTCTGGCGGAGGTGTGTGTATTTGGTTGATCAGACGAGGAAGACAGTGGAAAGACAAAAAATGAGGCGGTGGTGGTGAGGACGATAAGAGTAACGGTGGACTCGCCATCGGGCTGGTCCTGGCCTACGCCTGCCATACTGCGCTCGTCTCCGCGCAGGCGAGCATGGCGCAGTGGCCAACCAGTCTAGCACTTGGCCTGGAGCGGGTCTGCGCCTAGCGGCGCCCAGACTGCCCAGACTACCGAATATGGGCTACTCCTAATACCTGATTAGCACAAATGGTTCCGCTAATGATTCCAGCTTATGAGGGGGTCAGGGGCAATCCCTCCGCGAGAGCCCTGGCCGGTACCTTGGTCGCTGAGTGCAGAACGGTGTGCTCGGCGCAGGGTCGCGCTCGACCGGCCCTGTGAGCCCTGTCCGCCCAGCCGGTAGCTCTCCTAGTTCAGACAGACCAGGATCCATGAGCTCACTTTGGCTCACCTGGTGTGCGTTCGTCCTTTCCATCCGTTCCTGTCCTCGACGTTCCTTCCTTCTCTCCATATTCTACCAACTAACTCTACTTTCTCTTCTGCGCCGCCTGTCACCAACTTTCCAATCCTCGACAAATGGTCGACCAGCAGCTTCCCCACTCGTCCCCGGGGAAGGCAAGGTCCCATCGGTCGCGAGGATCGAGGGCTTCCAACGCCGGTTCAGCGTCTTCCTCGCCCCGCATCTCTTCGTCAACTACCTTCCAATCTGGCAAGAACGAGAACGCGATTCCCACCAATGTCATCACCTACAAGGGTAAGTCATCTTCTGCAGCCGCCCCATTCCTCGCCTGCTGACGCTGCCCCAGGACGCCGCATTCCCGCGCGCATCGATCCCGACGCTGTGAGTGGTCCGAGGTGATTGCGACGCGCACTTCCCAACTTAGTCCGCGGTCCGTGCGCGGCGCCGACGAAACAACCAGTCCGCAGCGGAGACAACTAACGACCAGAGCATTCTTCGCGTTGTCGAGATCATGGCCAAGAGCTTCAATGCGCCGGAACACCATGTCGCGCTGGCTCTGCGCGATGAAAGTGACAATCTGGTCACCCAGGCCAATATTGCGGAGAAGGTGGCGTCGCGTGAGACCCTAAAGTGAGTTTCAGACGAGACAACACGAATTGACCGCCCAAGGCTCGTACCCGCTCCCAACACCGAAGCCGTCACTGTTGTCATGTCCTTGATTGAGGCTAGAGGCATCAAGCGAGGATGCTGCGGGGCTCTGCCGAAGAGCGAAAACTCGCAAATCCCCGAGGACACCGGTACGCTGCCCGCCAAGCTCGCACTCTTCAACCTGCAGAAGTACATCAAGGAGGATGACTTTGCCGTCGAGTTCATGCTCAAGGGCGGCGTGAAATTCCTGGTCGACCTGATCACGGATGAGGGGCCCAGGATTCTGACAGGCAACTCCCTAGCGGTAAGCTTTCAACAGTTGGGCGAAAGCTGACAACAGTACGCGCTGCAGGGCATTAGGGGTGTCATGGATTACGACAACGGCTGGGGCAACTTCTCGGACGCGTTCATCGACCGTGTCATCCGTATCCTTGCATCCTCAAACGTCACTAATGTCGTGCGACCAGCAACCGTAATCATCCGGAAGCTCGTTAATGCGTCGCCGAAGGGCCACAACGCCAAGGGCAAGAGCAAGGCGCGGGAAGACGACGCAGTTAACAACTACGGCTTCGAAAGGATCTTTGGGCGTATCTCGGAGGCCGGGCTACAGATCGACGACGGGCAGGTGGGGCCTGGAGCTGAGCGAGTGTTCCGTCCGATCGTGAAGCGTCTGGAGGTGCAACGCGATCTCGAACTTGTCTCACAGAGTTTGGCGCTCATCAACGCGTGCCTTCGATCAGCTCAGCAAGAGGGAAGCAAGCGCTATTCGGAGCTCATCAGTGTGGTTGAGACTCTGGGAACACGGCGACATGTGGCGGTATGTGCTACTTGAATTGCCTGCCTGTTAGCTAACATCAGCGGTTGATTCCCGTTAGCTCTAATAACATGGTCGAGGGCCGTATTCTGGACTTCCAAAATCGATACGCCAACGTCCTGCGGTACCATTCTCTGCGGCCGGTGCGACCAGCGACGAACACAACACACGAGCGATATCTCAGCGACATCTGGAATGCGGGTCGCCTCGACGATGAGGAAGCGACGGCAAGCAGCATTAACATCAGCTCTACGCGGATCAGCAGCCCCGACTACCACCACTCGGGCGGACCGCGCTCTTGGGAGGGATGGCGTCGCATGGGGTTGTCATTGGAGTTTGCGGATGACTCTGAGGAGCTTAACGAGACGGAGTTGTTCCGATCAGTGGGCGAGCTCGGCCTGGAATGCCTACACTACTACGCCATGCACGAGGAGAACTTCCACAGTGTGGTGTTGGAGCAGCAGGCGCGACCTGAAGACCGACGCTGTCCCATCGGGCGCGCCAGCGCCGAGTGCGTCAAGGTCCTGTACGATCACTACAAGATCTCGCAGTCTGCCTCCCGTGGTTCATCGCATTTCCAGCCGTTCATGCTGAACTTCCCGCGACTGCACTCGCTCGTGCTCAAGTTCTTCCTCCGGATGTGGCAGGACTCTGAGTCGCGATTGGACGACTTCGAGCGTTTGAGCTACCTTGTGACGTCCCAGGTCCGACTGACACTCGCAAACGAGCACACCAAGACGTGGTTGAACCTCGAGAACGACTTCCTCGGAACCGACTACAGGAACATCCGTGACGGACAGATGGAGATGATTGACAAGGAGGATGGTCTGCTGGAGCGAGCGGCGGTTAACGACTTACGGGAGAAAGTCAGGCGGGAAGCGTATGAGGTGGTTTCGGACCAGAGGCTTCTCTGCATGATGCAAGGAAGTTGGTTTAACGCGGCTCACGTCCTTGTTCCCGGGATCGAACAGGCGAGTCGACCGACACCATCGAAGCCCTTGCGCTTCGTTCGCCTCTCGCAGGACCAGCAGACGCTGCACTGGGGAGAGTTCGTGGAGCGCAGCACCGTGCCTCCCAGCTACGAGCAGCTGAAGTATAAAAGTGGGTCCGCATACCTGCTGCTTGCTGACCCGACAGTTGACCTTGATGACGTTACGGAAGTCCACGTTCAAACTGGCTGTGCCATCGGCTCCCGCAGCCCCGACCTTGTGTCGAAGCTCTCGATCTCGCTCATGTCCGGCCCGAATCTCAGTCTGCTGGACATTGACGCTATTCACGCCCAACAGTTCGCGGAGTGGACTGATGGCCTGCTCGTCCTAAAAGGGCAGTCCGAGATGGGTACGCAGGAATCGAACAACTACGTTCATGTGAGTTGGCTACTTGTCGTACATAACTGACGTCAGATCCTTACCGAGCTTGCGCTCAAGATCCGTCTGCTGGACATTACCGGAGACGGCATTGAGATTCCGCAGCGGGTCAACTTTGGAAGTGCACCGAAGAGCACCGACTTCTGGTTTGCAGGATAGTCTAACCAGGACACTCTCCTTTCTCTCCTTTCTTTCACCCCTTGGTTCTTTGGTTCCCCGCGTATCTCGCGCTTCACGCCTGACGATGACGAACGCCCTGCCACCTTTCCATTATATAATCTTGTACATGTCGAGTATCGACGGGCATGAATATAATCACAGTATTGTACACTCCGCACTGCCGTCTATGTCTATTCCTCCTCCATATCGCTTCCGCCCGCGCTGTCGATGCTCCTGTCCATATCCTCCATGAGCTGCACATCGTCCGAGTCGTACTCGCCGCTCTCTTCAATTTGACCCGACACGCCCTCGTCGCCCTCATCCGAAGCGTCCATATCCTCGAGATCCGCGTCGAGGTCGACTTCGGCGCCTTCCTCCTCCTCGGGAACGGGCGAGGGCGAGATCGCATGCGCCTCTTCCTGGCGGTGTGACGGGTCCGACGGAGTCGGGGACTGATGTCAGCTGTCCGTATCTGTACGCAAGCTTCCGCGAGAGACACTTACCGGCGCCGTCTCCATCTCGCCGAGCGTCATCCTCCGTCCAAACGGCATAAGGAAGCGGTGTCCGAACTGATTGATGCTGGCCTTCTCTTCGTCGAGCGCGGCTTCCTCGTCGCTGAGGTCGGCCAGGTCGTGCGCGACAGCGAAGCCCGCGGGTCGTTTCCCGGTCAGTGCCCTCCTCTGCGCTCGCGCGAGACTTGATCGCCGCGCAGCCGAGGCCGAGTGAGGTGGGATTGGGACAGAGGTACGGGGTTTCCACCGTCCGCCTCCGCCTGGAGTCGGCAGAGAAGAGGTGGACGAGGAAGGTGTGCGTGAGGAAGCGGAGGAGGAGGAAGAGGCGTAGGAGTTGAGAAGCGAGGCGTGCACTCGGTCCCGGGACGAGATGGTGTAGGCGTAGTAGCTGAAGAGGGGGGAGGGTCGCTGTGGAGGCAGCGCGTTGCTCGCCATTGTGCAGCCGTGATTGTGGCGATGGAGAGTGGCTTGTTTGGTTCAGTGTCCGACAATGGTCAGGCTGAGGTGGAGGTCATTTGGGCGCGAGCCTATCTGGAGATAAGAAATCTGATTCCGTCGGCCGCCTTCGATTATGATCAGTCCTAATTATCGACCGAGACCATAGAAGGAGCCGCTGATGAGGAAGACGATACACTAAGCGGAGAAGCGGGGAGATAGGTAATGCATTACATTATGAGTACAGGTACAATGTGGATCTGATAGAGTCTAAGCCTTTTAGCGAAATCACTTGCCGCTACTGCTCATCGCCTCATCCTGAACGGTTAGCTACGGAACCCTGGCGCGTAGCTTACCTCTTCTTGAACCTCTCGAAGACAACGTCGTCCGTCGCCATCTCCGGTCGCCTCGGGCGCTCTCTTGGTTCCCTGGGAGTCTGCCCAGCCGCCTCTCTCCGCGCCTTCTCCATCTCCTTGTGCACGTCAACTTCTCGCTGCGGGCCACCGCGGAAGACTGCTGTCAGCTATATCCAACACCTCAGCTTACATCTCATAGACGCGAGGTGGTCGTCGGTACGCTCCTCGCGCTGCTCCATCTTCCTCTTCTCCGCGAGTTCTCGCTTTGCGCGTTCCGTCTCCTCGATGTTGCGCAGTCGGTTCCTGCTGTCAGCTAGGGGACGGGAACTGTGCAGCTCACTCCATGCCGAGGTCAATCTCGGGAATCGCGCTGAGCATGCCTAGCGAGTTGGTCAGATTTCCTTCCTGTTCCTCGCGCAGCGCTCCTCCCTTCACGTTGTACCTCTCTCCGAGGCCGAACAGCGCGTCTGCCTCAGCGGCCGCCTCCTTCGTGGCCTCCTCTCGCGTCAAACCCTTGCGCTTGGCCATCTCCGTCTCAATGTACTTCATCCTGATGTGTCAGCTCGTGAGTAATAACGATAGCTTACATGTGCTTGTCAACGTCGAGGGCGTTCGTCTGCTGCGTAAAGTTGTTGCTGCGGACCTTGCGTGCGAGCGCGTCCTTCTCGTCGCCTTCCTCGGCGGCCGTGGTCTTCTGAAGACCGAACTTGTCCAGCGGTACGTCGTCCGGATCAATCTTCTTCTTCTTCTCGTCACCTCGATTGAGCTTCTCCAATTCGATGCCCTGTTGGCTTCGTCGCAGTTTCCGGAGAAGCATCATCTCCTCTACACTCGCCCTGTTGTTAGCTCGCTTCTCTGACCACTAAGCTCACGACTCGGGAGTGTCATCTCTATCGGGTGATGACGCTGCCGCTGGGGAGTCCGCGGGTGTCACGTCCTCCGATGCCGGGCGAGAGCGCACCGCCGCCGGCCGGGTGCGTTTCTTGAACATGACTGAGGTAGTGGGAGATGACGAAATGAATTTCGATCACGGCCTCCACTTTCGGTTGTTTTGTTGCCACCTGAGGAGGCTTATCTCGCATCCGCATCATTCGCCATGGGCTTGCCGAACCTCCGCTGTGAGTTGCTATGTCATGGTTGAACTAACATGCAGCCATCTTCGCTTCGTCGAGGACGTCTGAGGAGGAGCGACAACTTTCGCGCTCAACGTTCTACAAGTTGTGAGTTCTGCAGCTCTGCGTTCTGTTCGAGGGCGATGTGGGGCGTGAGCTGTGGTCTTGGCCGCCGTCAGCTAACGGTCCAGCACTGCGTTTGTGGCGAGCTGCTTGGTCATCTCGCTGCTCGCGGCCCGGAGTGCCCGAGAAGTCGGACCAAGGGCGGCCACGAGGATGATCGGCATGGGGAAGGGAGCCGCTGCTGCCGCTGCGGCCGCTGCGCAAGCCGTCTAAGTGCTCCGTTCACGGTTCCAAGGAGGGCTTGCCTCCACTTCAGAATCTCATTGCCGCTCTAGGCATCGGCTGCTGAGAGCCGGAGCGCTATGCACTTAGAACATGACGTTCAGAGGGCCAATCGATGACTTGTCCTAGGTCGCCAGACCCCTCTGAGTTTGATGGCACGTATGGCACAACCGAGTTCGTTCCCATCAGCGCCTTTGTCATATTGCTCCTTCTAAACGAGCTATCTCCATATATTCCTAGACCTTTCAGCTGTCTTGTATGCATAGAGTCACCGATAGCAGGGCGCAAGAGGATTCTGAACGCGGTTCTCATCTCGGGTCACACTGATAGGCACGCAGGGTCGATGTCGATCGCCTAGGCGTGCCTAACCCCGTTTGCCACCTAACGAAAACACAATCTGTCAACATGCTCCTTGTCATCTTCCCTCCCTTTGTCTCTCCCTTCTCTACTCATACCAGATAACAAAACGCCAAAATGGTAGGCAATGAGATAATTTGGCAGGATTTACGTTGTGCTGACCGCCAGTCATCTCTGGCGACGGCCCGACTCACGGAAGAGCGCAAGCAGTGGCGTAAGGACCACCCCTTCGTAAGCAGGCAGGTCTCAATGGAGACTGACGCGATGCACAGGGTTTTTACGCTCGCCCGCAGAAGAAGGAGGACGGTACCCTCAACATGATGATCTGGGAGGTCGGAATTCCCGGCAAGGCTGGAGTGAGTGACTGCTTTGGCGAGCGGCAGCGGGAGTGATTACGAACATGATGACTGACCGCTTTAGACGAACTGGGAAGGAGGCATCTACGTCGTCACCATGACGTTCCCCGATGGTGAGCTTGGCGGTTGATCGATCCAGCTGACAGCAGACTACCCCACCAAGCCCCCCAAGTGTGCGTGTGTGGTGCCAGAGCGCACATGACTACAGCGGATCTGAACTGACGCCCCAGGTCGCTTCACCCCTCCGCTCTTCCACCCTAACGTCTACCCGTCTGGAACCATCTGTCTCAGCATTCTGGACGAGGAGAAGTCTTGGAAGCCGGCCATCTCGATCAAGCAGGTGAGGTATCGATGCAGCGTTATATTGCTAACCTTAGATCGTCCTCGGCATCCAGGACCTTCTCGACAACGCCAACATCGGAGACCCCGCCCAGATCGACGCCTACCAGATGTACAAGTGAGTCTAATTGACAGCTAGGTTCTCCCGGACGATCTGACCCACAGGAACGACCGTCCTGCCTATGACAAGCGCATCAAGCAGCAGGCGATCGAGCGTCGTCAGAAGTAGTTTAGAACACTGCAATGCCTCATATATTGTTGTATAATGGTAATTTTTGCATGTTACGTACGCGTGATAGCATGATGCGGAGAGGCAGTGGTACTGAGCGGAGGGGGTATGTGATGACTTTGAGATGTGTGCGTTGCAGATGCTTCAGTTGCTGACAGAGTTGTAGTCTCGCTGGTAGTGGACGAGACTCTCCTTTCCTTGTCCCAGATTTGAGTCGACTACTCGGCAGATGAACAGCTCGCTTCCCAGCAGATGCGCCTTCTCCTTCTCAATCTCAAAGTCCAGGTTCGCCAAACCGTCGCAAACTGCCTTCAAAGGCATGGAATGGATGACTTGACATCGCAGGTGTCCGACGGCATCCTTGAGGGCCGGCGGATCTGAATCGTCCCACTCGTACCGGCCGAATATTGGCCGCTGGTCGACACCAGGGCGAGCGAGAGCCTCTGCGATAGCCTGGTTTGAAGAGGAGAGGAGAGACACCATGAGTTCGGGGCAGGTCGTTTTCGGCGTTGACGTCGGCGCCGGCGTCGTGGCTTCTAGCGCAGCCGGGGACGTTCCGCACTCCGAGCCGGTGCCTGTTGGCGCGGCGCAGTCGTTGTCGCAACTGTTGAGCGGGATCTCGACGCCTTTGCCTGGCGCGATCGTGTGATTTGAGCATGGTCGCAGGTAGTCGGCCATCTTGGAGGGTAACCGCAGGCTGAATGCAACGAGCGGATACGGCTCAAGAGAGAGTGAGGCGAACGACGTCAGCGTCGCGCCGTGATACGGCGCCGGCGACGAGGCGTTCGTCTTCGTGACAGCGACGACGACGGGCTGAATGTCAGCTGCAAGACATTGGGTGCTAAGCTACAAGGCTGAACATACCTGGGCAACGTTCCTCAGCACATCGCGCATCGTGAGTGCCGGCTGGTGGTGCGGCGATCCTGGTCCAGCTTTCGAGGAGGAAGGCCGCGAGCAGCCGGGAAACCGCATGCTCCGCGCCACGGTGCGGGCCGTTTGTGGCCGGAGGATCATTCTTGCGTGTTCTGGGAGTAGAAGGGCGGCGCCTTCTCTCACTTCGGGCTTGCTCACGGAGTGTTGAGGGTGGAGGACGGACAGACTCAGGCAGTCATGAGATCGGCAAAGTGGCCCGAGAAAGGTACGGGTGGTGAACGGACATGTGACACTGTCCGGATCTACGGTCAAGATTTCATCATCGCCACCTGTTGCCGCCGCCTGGCAGGGAGCCTGGCGGGTTGAACGCTGCAACATGGCGACAATTCGGAGAGTGCACACTTAACAACAACTACCATCATGTCGAACGGTAAGCTGAGGAAGGGTCAATCACAGCTGATATGCAGTCGCAAACCCCGAGCTCCAGGAGCAGATCGACAAGGTCGCCGCTGCGAAGCAGACCCAGCAGACACACCCTGCCCAGAAGAATGTGCTTGTGTCCGCCCAGAAGCTGCAGAAGAACCGCCGTCTCCCGGCCACCATGATCACGCCGTCCGGTGGCATTGAGACGAGTAAGAAGAAGGGTGGAAAGCAGGTTCGCGGAAAGGGAAAGAGGAAGCAGAGTGATCTCGCGAAGGAGAAAGCGCTGGAACGCATGGAGAAGCTCGAGACCAAGGTCAGGGCTCGTGATGAGAAGCAGGTGAGTACAGCATGTTGCAGGTCACCAACTGCTGAAGTCCCATCATCGCTGACATCTTAAGGCTAAGCGGAAACGCGCCAAGCTCGCTTGGGAGTAGATGTGCCGCGCCATTACACTTTCTAGACTGTCTGACTTCTTACCTGTATGTATCCAATATTTCAAGGGAAGCCCATCGCAATCGTACCTCGGGAGGCATGAATGATTGTCATTGCCAAGATGGTCTACTACTACTGATGTTACTTTTATCTAGGTCATCTAATCTTAGCGCTTAGGGACCTGGGGAGCCTGCTGCTCCACACGCTCACCCAGGGAGTGGGTCTCGAGCGCCAGCTCGTCGAGCCTCTCCCTCCTCTTGTCGATGAGCTCCGTGAGCCCATCAGCGGCAATGTCCGGCTTGGCGACAACGAGGTTGTCCACTGTCCGGTCATAGTTTGAGGCAAGGTCGTCCTTCAGCATGTTGGTGACGCGGTCCCAGTCCTTCCACCACCGCTTCTGGGCCTTGGCCCAGATCTGCTGGCCGAGAGCGACACCCGACACCAGAGAGAGAAGGCCGGTGCCGATAGCTGTCGAGGAGGAGATGAGCTCCAGAGGCTGAACGTACGCGCACCAACTGGCCGACACTCCGGCAAGCGAGAGAGCATATGTGGAAAGGAGGGTGCGCTGAGCGGAGATCTGGAGTTTCGGCACCAACGTGCCAAGCATCTGAGACCTCCGAGACGTTACGGGTTGAAGCAGAGTGCTAGGGGAGACTCTCGGAATAGACAGCGACAGGCTGCTGAGGTGGTTGATGAGGAGAGGAGAGCTGAAAGGGTGTCCAGCCGCCTCGCCACCGGCCTTCGTCAACTGCCGCGCCGTGCTGTCGGCCGCATCACCCAAGCTGGCCTGCAGCTGCGCCAGTTGGCCAGCTTCGTAGGTCAACTGCTGCTCAATGTCGCGACCAAAGTGTCGCGAGATGTACGATCCGACCTCAGCACCGACATCGTCCACGCGCAGGCGCGCGATCAGTCCGAGCCACGAAAGCCGTCCGTCGAAGAGCTGCTTCAACCCCTGCTTGGTCGTCGCAACGCTCTGGTCGACGGATCCCTCCACAACGCCGCTGTCGATGCCACGGGCGACGACACTAAGGCGCTTGGCGCGCGCTGCTCCATTCCTTGCTTCCCTCCTCAGCTCCGCAACCGTGTCCTGGGCGTGCTGCAGAACGTGGCGGTCGCTAGCGAGAACTTCTCCGGTGTATGCCAGTGCCTCAGACGCGATGCGCGCCGCGGTCTCGAGCTGGGGGTCGACAGGAACAGTGGCACTGAGCTCCTTCTGCAGAGTATTGATGTTGGACAGCATCATGCCCTCCTGGAAAATATTGAAGGGGGTCTGTCGTCCGGGGATCTCCGGATGAGGGCTATCCTCGAGGGCCAAAGCGAGCGCCTCATGCGCGTTTAGAGCCGCGTCCGCGTTGACAAACGTGATGTCGTACTCGCCGGCCCGAGGGTGGAACTTCGCAAGCTGCTCCTCAAGTCGAGCCTGAACCTCTTCCTCAGTCATATGAGGGGGAACCATTCCGTTGATGACATAGTGAGCTGGGCCAGCAGCGATGAGCTTGATGACCTCGTTGTCGTTCGCGCGGTAAATCGGAGCATCAAGAAGTCGGATCGGGTCCATGACAGCGACGACCGAGTCAGCGTCCAGAACGGCACTGGCGGCAAGCTTGTCAGAGGTGACTTCAACAATGTCACTCTTGGATGAGCTCAGCCACGACGCCTGCGTAGACAGGCGACCTGGTGTCCGAGAGTGGGGTCCGTATGTGATGTGCAGGTAGTCGGTCGCGGTGCCGAAGTAGCGATTAAGGACGGAGTCGCGCTGAGCGGCCGAGTCGGAGAGGACATCTTGCAAAAGTGCCGAGACGACATCGTGGGACGCGCTGATCTTGTCACCAACAACTGCAGCGTCAGAGGGGGTTAAGCGAACAAAAACAACGTACAAGCAAGCTTTGCCCGGCGAGGTCGCGTCAAGTCATTCTTGGCGTTGAGGACGCGGTCGTACCAGATTCCAGAGCCACCAATATCGTTCTCCAGAATCGACGCAATGTCGTTGAGGACTCGGGTCATTTGACCAGAAGAGTCGACCGAGGAAGCAGCCGGACGGTAATCGGAGGCGGGAGGCGGAATGTCGCCCACGGCCGTCGGCTGGACCTGAGCGGCGGTGGCAAGCAGCCGTGCCCTCAGCCTTGTCCGCGCCGGTGCGCGACACCGGACCGCCAGCGCTCTGGCTCCTGCGCGGTACATGTCGACGTCGAGCTTCGAGGTAGTGCGGAGAAGGTACAGCTTGCGGTGTGACTTTCTCGGTCTTCGCCAAATGACGGGGGCTGCGTCAACCAACCGTGGGAAACTCATTTTACGTAAGGTTAAGATGCGCGCTGGTCCCTGGGTTCCTGGTTGTTGCTTGACAGTGACTTGTTGTCGCGGTTCGATCAACATACAGACCCTCATTGCACACCGTCTCACCGAACGCGATATTCGACCAACCATGGCGGAGCAAGGAGGATATGCCTCGTCCGGATCAGGAAGTGGTCGAGTTAGCGGAAGTGAGGGAGGGGATCGCAATGCGTGAGTACCTATCACCGGCGGCAACAACAACCTCCCGCGAGACAGTCACCCGTGGTCAATTGAGGGCGTGACGAAGTGGAGCAGAGAGTGTAAGCAGTAACACCAAGCACGTTGGACATGCTCTGGGGCAGCTTTGGAGCGTTCCCAGTGGTAGTTTGGATAGTTTGGAAGAGAGCTGCCGCTTGTCCTTGCAACGGTGCCAGCTTCCGCTGAATCCCGCCTGGCTCTCCCACGCACCAATCACTTGCCCTCCTCTATCGCACCGTGCGAGATGACGACGTACTGACTCGCAGGATTGTCCTGAAGGTTGGAATGGTTGGAGACGCGCAGATCGGCAAGACGTCTCTGATGGTGAAATACGTTGAGGGGAGCTTCGAGTGAGTAGCTGTCGATGATCGAACGAGACAGCGACGTACGACCCCGTCCCGTCCCTCGCGACTGACAATTCAGTGAGGACTATATTCAGACCCTCGGCGTGAACTTCATGGAGAAGGCGATTACGATTAGGAATACAGAGATCACATTTTCGGTGAGTCGTCGCGGGGCGTCTGTGCTTGTGAACAAGGATCGAGCGTCATTGTGTTGAGTGCATCTGCCTGAAACCACACGGCCACACGGCCGTACGGCACGTACCCAAACGAGGCCTGGAATGTTGGCTGACAACCAAAGATTTGGGACCTGGGCGGCCAGCGCGAATTCGTGTCCATGCTCCCGCTGGTCAGCAACGACGCCGTGGCCATCTTATTCATGTTCGACTTAACGAGAAAGAGTACTTTGAACTCGGTGAAGGAGTGGTATAGACAGGCTAGAGGATTCAATAAGGTGAGTCTCCATCACAACTCTGGACAGCTTAGGGGCGAGTAGAGCTGATCGAACAGACTGCAATCCCGGTCCTTATCGGAACAAAGTACGACATTTTCGCCTCATATCCCCGTGAAGAGCAAGAAGAAATCACGAAGCAGGCCAAGCGGTTCGCCAAGGCTATGCACGCTCCTCTGGTAAGCTCTCCGAATCTCTCATTAGCTAACTCCAGATCTTCTGCTCAACTTCCCATTCGATCAACGTTCAGAAGATCTTCAAGATCGTGCTGGCCAAGGCTTTCGATTTGAAGGTACGAGTTACCATGCAGTTGGATATTAACTGACCACAGTGTGTAATTCCGGAGATTGACCAGGTTGGAGAACCCATTCTGCTTTACCAGGAGGCCTGAGAGTGCCGTTGTATTTTATCCACGCTGTTATGCATATGATCACATGAGTTCTAGGTTACAGGTCGTGACGGGAGAGTCGCCACCTCGGATGAGGAAGCCAGACCCTTTACGTTCCTCATCTCGTTATTGGGACTAGCGCATTCGGCGCATCGGCTCTGGAGAGAAGTTACTTCGATTGTAGTATTATAGGCTGCAGCCCGTAGTCATGCAAGGCCTGCGGTCAGCTTTGAAGTAGCAGTAGCAGTACGCACGTATAGTCGAAGCGTCAGGGATCATAGGTTACACGGAATGGTCAAAAATATGTCTCGACGAGCTGCCGGTATCGAGGGTGTGTTCACCAGTCCATCTGCCCACTGGCTGTTTTCGCCTGGACATTAGTTCAGCTACTGGTACGGTTACGCACCTCTGCGAGCATGGTCTGCAGCCTCAGCTCCCTCGCCTCCGCTCTTCTCTCAGCGGCATCAAGCATCTCCAAGAGGATCTGGTTTCTCCTCTCCAGCTTTGACTCCGCCAGCTTCAGCTCCTCCTCCTTCTCCTTCTTAGTGGCAGCCTCTTTTCGCGACTCGCTCTGCTTCCTCATGGCCTCGTTTAACTCCAGCTGTTCCAAGACTGTCTCGACAAGATTACTCGGCATCGACTTGATCATGCCTGTCAGAGTCTCGACCTGTTCCAACACTCTATCCCGGGATGCAGGTGTCGGAGATCTCGGCGAAGCTTGTCGCGGCGGCGCACGGTTGGCGGGCTGCAGCTGGGACCCAAGGAGTACATCCACATCCAGCCGGTCGTTAGACGATGTGGACGTGTCGTAGTCACGCAAGCTGTGGCTGGGTCGGCTGTCGATGCGGGACCGCGACAGCGGCGTGACAGAAGTCGAAGACGACATGCTCGTCGACGCCTTCATTGCGCTTGGCGTCGATCCCCGATCCATAGACATGTTGCGAGAGTGGAGAACGCGCTTTTGCGCACCCGAGTTTCGCATGCCTGGTAGGGGCATGTTCATCGATCCCGGGAATGGCTGTGGGTTGAGGGATGGCAGGTCGCAGCATTCCTGACGTCAGCTTTGCGAGAGGAGGATCCGATTCACCTTCCAGTTGGGGCCTAGGACCTCTTCCAGCTTGGCCTCAAGCGCCTATTTCTTCAGCTTCCACACATATTAACAGCTTACCTTCATGTATTGACGCTGGAGCTCAATCGTCCGGTGCTTGCTCTCGTTGTCCCTACCGTCAGCTCAATGCCATCATGAAAATCGCTCACTTTTGAGACTCTGCGAACAACTGCTCGGTCGTCTGCCACTCATTCTTCAGCTCATCGAGATCATCCTGTGTCGGTCGGCCAGCTAGCTGTTCTTTGAGGAGTGCGACTTCGCTATTGAGCTGTTAAGGTTTATCAGTTCACGGTGCTCGTGCCTGGACAACTCACGCGGATTATCTCCAGATTCTGGGACGAGAGTCCGCGCTGCAACTGGGACGGGGGAGTGGACGAGGTCTGTGTGTCAGCTAGAGATGCTACGTAGATAACCCACGACACTAGCACCACCCCAGTCATCGAGCGAATCGTACGCCGACGTTGTCATGACGTTTCCGGACGACATGTCTGAGCCGTACATGCTGAGCGGTCGTCGGCGGGACGCTGGCGTCCGGGTACTGTTGGAGGGGAAGTTGGAGGAGAAGGAAGACATGGTCGCGAAACTTGTGTGAGCCGGTCGGGAGTGATGGCGACCTCGGCGTTGGCGTGTCCCGTTTGCAGTTGCTGCCAAAGTTAGCGTTGGAAGAGTGAACGGACCACCACCTTGCCGCCGGTGGAGGCCCATTGTTGACAACCCCTGGACCCTACGCCTAGCGCGGTGCAGACAGGCGCGTCGTCCGGTGGCGACCCTGATGTGTAGTGTGTTGGTCACGTGCGCAATCGACCTCCACCATGACATGTCCAGACAAAGATTCAAGATTCGGGCGGATCCGAGATCCCGAGTTGAACTTTGACCTCTCACAAACTTTGACCACGCACCGAGAATGGGCGCAGAGCAGTCGAAGAGCAAGGGGAAGGACCAGGAAGAGGGTCCCCTCGACTACTACGAGCTCCTCCAGGTGGACATCGAGGCCACTCCCGAGGAGATCAAAGTGCGTTCAGCTATCCTTGCACGGTCTCAGACTGACGACAGAAATCATACAGGCGACTTGCAGTGGGTCTCAGCAGCTATTGAGAGCTGGATCACTCACACTACAGCTCATAAACCACCCCGACAAGAACCCCGATCGAGTAGAGGAGGCCACAAAGCTCTTCGCCGATCTTCAGCAGGCTTATGAGGTGAGCGCAATGTTGCGGCAGCAGCTGACAAGCAGATCCTGAGCGACCCTAACGTGAGTAGTCAGCTCTGGCGACGACTGATGTCAGGAACGCGCGTTCTACGACAAGCACCGCAATGATCATATCGAGGTCAACGACGATGACTTGTACGACCATGTCCGCGCTGGTGACGCAGGAGTCAACGACCCCCGCTCCAAATTCAACAGGCGGAGGACGGGTGACCCTGGCGTCAAGCTTGACCAGCTGATGCGATTCTTCAACCCCAAGCTGGCCCGCAAGATGGACGACACGACTGAGGTAGGTCCTTATGCTGTGTTGTAGCTAACCTTAAGGGCTTCTACTCTGTGTACCGCACGCTGTTCAACGTTCTCGCCAACGACGAAGTTCTGCACACCCCTGAAGGCCACGCGCCCGTGCACTATCCGACCTTCGGCGACTCCACTACTCCCTACGCTCCCCCTCCAGGCATGACCAAGGCGGAGCGTGCGAAGACGAACTGGGCTCGCGACTTCTACACGGCTTGGGGCGAGTTCACGACCGAGAAGAAGTTCGACTGGATCGAGAAGTGGGATCTTCGCCGAGGGGAGGACAGGAATGTTCGTCGTCTGATGGAAAAGGAGAACAAGAAGATGCGTGAAGAGCACAGGAGAGAGTATATCGATACCGTCAGGGTGAGTTGTTTACCGCCGACATCCCACTGACAGCAGACCCTGGTTACGTTCATCCAGAACCGCGACCCCCGATACAAGGAGTACTTGACCCAGCAGGCGAAGCGACGCAAGGAGAAGAAGGTTGCATCGGCTGGAGCGTCGGGCACTTCAACGCCGCGAGGCGCCCGCCAGATCGACCCTGAAGCCGCTCGTCTCCGCGAGGCGGAGCGCATGCGCCAAGCCGCTCAGTTTGAAGAGCAGGACTGGCAGAAGATCAAGGAGGAGCCCCTCTCCGAGGAGGAGATCGATGAGTACGCTGAGGAGGGCGACGGAACTGGTCTCAGGATGGACGACGGCGCGGGTGGAGAGATCTTTGAGTGCGTTGCCTGCAACAAGACCTTCCAGAGCGAGGCTAGCTGGGGCAACCACGAACGCAGCAAGAAGCACAAACAGGCTGTGTACAAGCTCGCCAAGGAAATGAGGGCCGAGGCTGGAGGTTTCAGCGAGGATGACTTTGTCACGCCTGCAGAAGGATCGCCGGTGGAGGACGAAGACCAGGACCTCGATGACATCGATAATCTTGATGAGGACGACCTCGCGGCAGAGCTGGAGAAGTTGGAAATGAAGGAAGCTGAGGACGAGTCCCTTGCGTAGGTCTAAACTGTGGTCAGAGCTAACCGCATCAGCCAAATGATCCAGGAGGAGACGAAGAAGTCGACTGCAGCCGACGCTAAGCCAGCCGTTGTGACCGCCGAGTCTGTGCCGACTCCGGAGCCGGAGGAGAAGTACGAGATTATTTCTGACGAGGAAGACGGCCCTTCTGAGGCTGAATCTAAGGCTACTAAGGCACCTGAGATGTCCAAGAGGGATAAGCGGCGAGCTCGTGAGGCGCGCAAGAAGGCCGAGGAGGAGGAGCGGAAAGCCGCCGCAAAGGAGGCTCGGAAAGCCGCGAAAAAGGCCGGCGGCGGTGCACCGCCTCCGCCTCCGCTGAGCAAGAAAGAGAAGGAGGTTGCCAGCTTTGTGCAGCCCAAGCGCAAAGGTGACAAGGGCAAGGGGAAGGGCAAGAAGGTCGAGGAGAAGGCTGTCACGCAGCAGGACATCGAGAAGGTCGCCGAGGAGGTCAACTCTCTGAGGTCGAAGATGACCGACAAGTGGGCGGAAGACTGGACCGGCATGGTCGGAAGAGTCCGAGATGTCTTCGGCGATGTTGCGGAAATGGTAGTTCTGTGTCTCGGTCTCGGAAAGCCGTTTGGAGACCGCACAGCCAAGATTCAGCTGGCGTTCATCCTGGAATTGGCCGCAGGTCTTGGCGCCGAAGCTTCGGCGATCAGGGCCTTTGACCCTGTATTTGAGGACGGCGATGTTCAGCTTCTCAAGGCCCTTGGATGCGAAGTGATGGAGGAGAACTTGGTGGGTGTCTGGCTGACTTCCTGGCTAACCCGACGCAGCGAGGTGCGCATCCTCTTAGCGACAAGCCGCACCTGGTGTACATGCCGCACTGCTCGAAGCCGCTTTATGAGTCGTTCCTGCAGACAAACTTCTCTCCGCGGCTGGCCGAGAACCCGCGCTGTCTGCTCTTAGGCAATGACCTTGGCGATTACGTTCCAGGGTTCGTGCGGGTCACCGCCAAGGAAGACGATGAAGAGCCAGCGGAGGAGTTTGTGAAGCCTAAGAAAAAGCGGAAGAACCGTGGCATGGCCGCCCCTCCTCCAGTGGACAGCGTCCTCCGTCGTCTTGTGCCGCACTTTGAGGTCTTCATGCTGTCTGAGCTCCCCGAAACGAACCTTCCCGGGTTCGCGCGTGCATTCTTGTCGACCGGCTTCCAATGGGTGCCGCTGGATAAAAAGGATGCCGTCGATTGGACAACACCGTTGCCACCAGTCGAATGGCCCGAGGATGGCGAGGTGGCGTAATCTGACTCCCATAGACTTTTTTTAGAACAGCAGTGCGCTATTTGCCCACCGCTCTCACTCTGGTTGTACTGCCTCGTCATTGTGGGTTATGCATAGATTCTCACCATGTTTCTACAAGACATCAGATGCATAAACAGACGCCCCCAGGAGTGTCGCGGATGTGCAGGATTAAGGTTCATTCCAGTAAGATGCCGAGACCAAACCATCGGTGCCTGGCTCCGACTCGGGTCGGCGTACTCCGCAGGCTGTTTGTACCCCACCCATGTGGTCAGGTGGCCAGGCTCCCTTTTCTCGTTATCACTCTCACATCCTCACGACCTCGCACCACATTATCTACTCCTGCGGATCGTTACTGTCGACAGCTTGAGCGACCGGAGACTCTGCCTACCTCTCCCGTCGAGCGACAATGACGACTCCCTCCTCGCCCACTCCTCCACCCGCAGGCGACAGCGATCCGCCTGTGGGATCACCAATGACGTCGAGTACACAGTCACCTGGGCCATCGACACCAGCAATCTTGGTCTCAAGTATCGACAACCCAGAGCGCGACCGATCCAGATCGCGATCAAGAACACGCTTTGCGGTCGGTTCCAGTCCCCCGCGATCGAGATCGGCGTCTAGACACTCACGATCCCGCAGCTCGCTCCGGTATAGCGTCGACGAGCCGTTCACTCCTACAGCGCAACCAGTTCAGCTTTCCAGTTCTGACCTTCCCTCGCCCGATCAAGCGCCAAGGAAAGTACCCTCCCCGGTTATCGGCACGTCTTCTTCACCACCGCCTCCTCCGACACGACAACTAAGCACCCAGCAGGGTGCGGCACCAGAACCTCACATTCCATCCGGAGACGCGATGCTGGCCGTATCGGACACTGGCGTCCCGATCATCAAGCCAAAACCTGTACGCCCACTACGCAAAGGTTCCACCTACGAGCCCGATCCGGCAGACAGCGACCGCGAGCACAAGGACGACGATATCATCGAGCTCAAGCCCATCAAGGCCAAAGCGGGACGGGGTCGCCGCATGCGTTCACCATCGACCGCGACAACGACGAGCCAGAACCAGGGCGATACACCTCTCGCGGACGCACTGATTAAGCCGAAAGGTCAGGTGGATGACTTCCATGACCCTACCTTTGACGAGAAGTCTGAGGGCAGCGACGACACAAAGATCGGAGCCATCAAGTCGAGGTTGAACGGCACGACCAAGACCGACGCCGGGTCGAACAATTCCGATGACAGCAACGCGAAAGGCTCCGACGGCATTCTCGGCGGCGCCGCATGGGGGGAGAAGGGTGCTCGACGACGAGCAGCCCCTGCTAACGGCGCTGAGCGTCATATCGCCTTCGATGTGGAGTCGGCCGAGGGCGAGGACGACGAGGGCAAAGAGGAGGACGCGGCAGGGAAGAAGAAGAAGAAGGGCTCCAAATGGTCTCAGTCTCCACTGAAGGAGCCGATTGACAAGCTCTTGCACATCATCTGGATCTTCCTCGGGAAGCCGGAGTTTGGTTGGATCAAACCCAGGCTCAACTGGAACGACATGGAGCCTGTCTTCAGAGTCGGTCTCAGCGTACGTGATCAAGGGCGGGCATTTACTGACGGCACAGACATGGTTGGGGTTCATTCTCATCCTCATCAAGCCCTCGGGGCAGGCTATTGGCATGGCGGCCTGTACGTTCACATTTCGCTCAGCGCGCGGAGCTAACGGACAGTCCTGGTTCTCATCGTTGCGTGCATGGTGCCCCCATGGCCGCCGATTGTGCAGTACCTGGAGATCGTCCTCAACCTGTTTTTCTACGTATCCGTTGGCTGGGCATGGGTAAGCTCCTGTCTGTGTCTTGCAATGCTAAATTTAAGGTCGCTCTGGGAACCTTTGTCGCCAACGCAGTGCGGGTCGAAATGGATCCGGCGAAAGTGCAGGCTGGTCTTGCGGCTGCCGGAGGATCAATGACAAAGGCTGTGAGTGCGATCGGGAAGTGGCATACGCGATCCAAGCTCACTCCAGATCTTCAATGGAACCTTCATCCAAGCACGCCCTTGCATTGTCTGTGCGGTGTGGCTCTCGGTTGGAACGGGTATTGCGGTGAGTCACCGATGTGACTGTTCTAGGCTGACGTTAAGCTGTGGTGGAAGCTACGGACAGCGCCCAGTCCTGCGACATTCCCTCTGGTTTTAACTTGCATCATGATCGACGTGGTGAGTGTATAAGAGGGCGCACCAGCTGGCGTGCATCAACTGACATCAGTCACTGACAATTGTGCCGCTGTATCCGGGCCCATTCTACCAGATGGGGTGGACAGTCTTCAAGCCCATCGCGATTCAAGCCGGTATCGGATTCGTTTGTTCGATCTTCGTCTTCCCGCAATCAGTGACTCATCAGTTCCGCAGGAAGTTCGTTGGTGTGCTTAAGCCCCTCGCGCAGGGTATGGCTGAGCTGGAGGAGCACTTCACCCAAGCGGCGTCTCTTGTCGATGGTGGTGACGGACCCAACCATCACTCACCGCGAGAGCCGTTCCCTCCGAATGATGACAGGACATCCTTCGACAGCGACCGGAGCACAGATGAGGAGCACAAGATTCATGCCTGGGGTGACTGGTCTGCCAGCATCAGAACAACTTTGCTGGGCTCACTGGCGGGGATGCAGCCTCTCCAGGCCCAGGAGCGTTACCTCGATGTCGACATTAGTTACACCCGACTCTCCGGTCATGATCTGAAGGACCTGTTCTATCTCTTGACATCGATGCAGATTCGAGCGAGTGGCCTGTCGTTCTTCTTCAACCAGATCGTGAACAAGATCCGCCGCACGCATCTCGACTCGGGAGCGTTCAACGCCCACTCAACGCTTGGTTTGTCTCGTGCCAACTCGGCTCAGCCGTATTCTCGTCCTTTATCGCGGGCGACAAGTCATGTTGGATCCAGACCGCCATCCAGAGGTATCTCCAGACCCGCATCTGCTCGCGATATCCGTCGCAACTCATCATCGAAGGAGATCCGTGAAGTCCACTCTGCCGGCGCCAAGGAGCTTCGAGACGCGCGGAGCCACTCTTATCGAGACCTGAAAGATTCACGGAATCCGTCTGCACGCGATGTACGGGAGCATGCCCTCGTCGACAGCACTCCCGCAACCCCGCGCAGTGGTCACGTAACACCACACCGAGCCTCAACGGATGACATGCGGGACCACGCTAAAACGCTGGCTCACAAACTGCATCTCTTCCGACAAAACGACAAGAACCTGCACTCTAGTCGACAGAGTACGTCGGATCTTCACTCGCTGAAGGGCAGCACGACTGCTCTCCAAGCTCTTAGGGATCTGACCGGCAAGGGAAGTCACATCTCGCTGCTCGATCGGCTACGCAAATCTCAGCAGCCCGTCGGAGTCTACGAAAGTCAACGGTACATGGACATGGAGCTGGCCGATGACTCTGACCTGCAACCCCTAGTGCGACAGCTCGAGCTGCTCGCCGCCGGTGCGTTGCCGTTGGTAAAGTCTCTGAAGAAGTGCCTGAACGGCGCTGTGGCCTGGTCGCAAGCCAAGGACAAGAAGCGTTGGACAGAGGACAAGTCTCTGGCAAAGAGCCTTGCGACTATGAAGATTATCCTTACCGAGTTCAAGGAGCATCGTGTTCGCGTGATCGACCCGTATCGCGACATGTTCGACCCCTTACACCCGACGTGGCAACGCCTCACTCCCATCCAACACAAGGGTCTGTACTACTGCTTCGTTGCGCAGTATCATCTGATTGAGTTCTCGGAGGCCGTGCTCGCCTTCATCGAGAAAGCGTTGGAGAAGGACGCCCAACGGCCGAAGAAAAAGCTGTGGCTCCCTCGTCTGTTGGCGCTGTTCAAGCAGTTCCGCGAATCGGTCAAGTCGGAAGTCGACCATGCCGCGGGTGACAACGGAGAAGACGACGACCAAGAGCTCGAAGACGAGGAGCGCGAGATGTACGAGCACGAACTCGACCACCACGAACTTGGCGCGGCGGGGCGCAGAGATCCCGATTACTCCCCCTACACGAACGTCTTCCTCGTCATCTTGAGCAAGATCACGAAGATTCCCGACCTCATCTTCTCGAAGAGTGGCATGTATGCTGTTAAGGCCGGCATGCTCGGCTGCTTGACGTCGCTACCTGCCTTCTTCTCAAGCAGCGCTGGTTTCTACTACGCAAACCGTGGCATCTGGGTGAGTTATTGGAAGATAGGCAACGCTGACAATCGCAGTGCACTATCAGTGGGTAACGGATATGTCTACGGACTGGCTCAGTAGGACGGAATGCTGACAATTACAGTGGCGCAACTAACTCTGGCCGTCTATGCTGGTGACACTTTCTCGGCATGGTTTGGCCGTCTGCAGGCGACTTTCTGGGGTTGCTGTATCGGCACAGCCGTCTGGTACATTGGTAGTGGTAGCGGCAAGGGTAACCCGTACGGACTGGCGACCATCTGCTTCTTCGTCTTCATGGTCCTGAACGGCTTCTACCGCAACTATAACCCTGGGCCGATGCTGACCCGAGTCATGACAAACGCGAGTCTGATGCTCGTCGTCGGTTATGTGAGTGCTTCACCCGTGTATGTTCTCAGCTGATAGTTAGTCGTACATGAACGGCAACATTGTGCAGACGACAAACGCCACATGGGGCTGGGACGTTGGATGGCGTCGCTTCGTTTGCGTAGTCATCGGCATCACGTGTGCTTGGGTCTTCACGTACTTCCCTCCGACGTACAGTGCACGACACGCTATCCGATACTCGTACGCCGGAACGATCAACAAGGCCGGACGCATCCTCTGCACCATCTTGTCGGCAGCAAATGACCCGCACGAGCAGATCGATCCTGCCTGGAACCCAGCCATCCGCAAGGAGCTCGTCAAGACGCGCACCAAGATCGGCTCCCTGGGTATCCGCCACAACAATGCAAAGAAGGAGTTCTCCATCCGCGGAGAATGGCCCGAGGAGCGCTACCGCGGTCTCATGAACACGCTGATTGAGACCATGTCCCTGCTGTCGCAGCTGAACCACCTTCTGCCGCAGATGGACTGGAAGTGGCGCAAGGCCTTCCTGATGCGCACGCGCATGAACGACCCGCTCTTCCTCGGCGACGTGCTTGCCATCATCAGCATGAGCTCAACCGCTTTACGTGTCGGCAGTCCGCTGCCACAAATCACGCCTGGACCCCTGGTCGCGAAATATGTGAGTTTGCCCCGGGTTATGGAGGGATTTGGGCAATCCAGGCTGACGGATTTAGCACTTGAACAAGTACAAGGGACTCGACGTGCCGCTCGTAGACCCCGCGAAGGCTGCGTTTGACGATGACGACATTCCAAGCGTCGTCACTATCGAAGTCCTCGAATCCGAGGAGTACATGCGCTACGCGCTCGGCGTGTCGACGGCGTACGCGCTCATGTCGCGTCTGGACGCCATCATCGTCGCGTGCAAGAGTCTGCTGGGTGAGAACTACCACATCGCGAACATGAAGCTGGACGGCATGATGGTGTAAGTTAGCGGAGGGGTGGAGTATCGAAAGTCGCCGTCGTATTCGTTATCTATATCATAATGATCAGCTGGTGTAAGATGTTAGGTGCTGTAACGTCATAGATAGAGCGGAGGGGTGATGAGGTCAGTACGGACGTCAGCCAGGCTAAGCGTGTAGTTCTATCCTGCAATGCATTTTTGGTTTGACCAGTTTAACCTCTGGGATCAAGTCTAAGGGATCTGATCTGATCGGGTGGTTGGGCGTCGGTTTGGTTATTAAGCTCTCTACTCTACTCGTGGCGTCTCGGAAGTTGGGTGTTTACTTCTGGACTCGCGTGTAGATCGGGTTCTTCTTCTCGAACACCTGCGGCTCGCCTTCCGGTGATCCGGGAATGTTCTTCTTCCAGCCGAGCTTGGCGAAGACACAGTCGTTGAACTTCTTCTCGTCCTTGCGGCACGCGTGGAGGTACTGTCTGTCAGCTTGTCTCAAGAATAAAGCGAAATAAGCGTTTCAGGAGGACCGCTTCTGGATCAAGATGCCGCCAGCCGACCAGATCTTGCGACCACGGTAAAGCACCTGCCAACACCTCACAACCGCAACTCACCTGGTTGTTGTTCTCCAGGCACTTCCAGTGGTTGTCGAACTCCTGGAGACAGTTCTCCCGCAGCTTCGTGATGACAGCCTGCGCGCACCGCGTGACCTTGCGGCCCTCAGCGAGACAGTGCTCGGGGTCGCGGTTCTCGTTCTTGCAGAGCATGAAGTCCTCTGTAGGGTTAGCGACATTCCAACGGCCTGGCTGCTGGGCGACAGAGAGACGAGGGAAAGGAGAAGCGGAACGGACGGCACCGACAGCGTTCGAGTTGAAGCCGCTTCGCGCCGAGTTTGGCAGCCGAGAAACGAGACATTCCGGTCCGCGTCGATCACTAGGCACACCCAGCACCAATACTCCGCTGAGCGCCGACGTGCAAGCAACGCTGCCCTGACACACAGCGGCATCACTCTCCCAGCTGAGACCAACTAAGGTCCGGGCATAGCTCCGCTCATGCACGCTACTCGGGCGTCAACGTCGTCGTCTCCGATCGCCGACGTCCGAAATAGCAAACATGGCGCAGATGGAGATTCGGTCGATGCCCACTGGCGTTTGAGTCGTAGACGCAGCCTTTGCAGTCGTGCCGTCCCTTTCCGCTGTCCCCTTCCCTTCCTTCTCTCTGTCCCTTCGCAGCGGCTTTCGTTGACACTTGCCGTTGTACTCCTTGCAGTAGTCGCCGATGAAGAACGAGGCCGACTTGAGGGGGGCGGAGGTGGTGCCTAGCTCGTCGACATGGGGGACCGACTTGGGCATGGGGTTGGGGTCGGAGTAGGGCTGGTCATTGCGGACAGCCTCGCGGTGGGTCGACATGTTGACTAGCCGGGCTCGGTGGTGGTGTCGGAGTCGAGGTCAGGTCTAGGACTGGTCTCAGCGAGCAGAGCAGCCTGCAATGCCATGATGGTGATAGGTCTCCGCCAGCGGCTCACTGAACCAGGCGCGCATAATCCCGAATCACCGGCCCTCCACCCTGGTGGCCGCGGAGGATGTGGCGGGGCTGCCTCGAGATCGCGTGTCATGGCCCCGCACCCTGAAGTTGCCCAGGTGTTGGCGCGCGCGGAGGCGCCTCGAGTGCCCAGTCATGACGTTGGGTTGGGCTCAATGTGCATGCGTTCAACACCCGTCGACGACACACACGACTTGCACTCACAACACACTTCCGGCCGGCCGACGATCCACTCCGCTGAGCCAGCCAGCCACCATGCAGCGCAACAATGCGCTGGGCTCGCGCTTCAACATCTCCAGCCCACAAGCCAACGACGGTCTCAACCTCATGGGCGGCATGAGTGATGGGCCCTATCCCAGTCTGCGTCCGCCGGGGCAGTCTTGGTCCGGCGCAGGCGGAAGCGACCCCCGAAGCTCGCCGTCGCCTTCACCATCGAACGCGTCCCTACCTCCGGCGCGCTCCCCGGCTCGTCGATACGGCGACATACCTCCCCCAGCTGCGTCACCACCGTCGGTGCGCGCCAACGGAAACGGCTACGGAGGCTTGGGGCACTCGCGGATGCCCTCGGATGCCTCGACGGGGCCATCGCGACCGGCGCGGTCCCAACGTCGCATGGAGGGCAATGCGCCTCCCCCGAGCCGACCCCACCTCCTCGCACCTATTCGCACGAACAACCTTGGACGACCAGACTCACAGGAGATGCCCTCGCCCATCAGTCCCGAGATCCCAGTCGTCGGTACGCCGATGGCTGAGGGCGAGGACCCGTTTGCCATGGATCGCCTTCAACGTACACAAGCGCGCAAGGCTACGCTGCAGACGCCTAACGCGGCTCTGCATGCTCCTTCGCCGGCGAGCGCTGCCCTCACGCCCGAGGAGCGGATGCGCAAGGCTGTCGCCGCGTTCGCCTCGAACAGGAAGGAGAGCCACGACTCGGACCAGAAGGCGCCCGTGCGCCGTCCGCCGCGTCGTCGAGGAACGACCGTTTCACGTCCCAAGGACGAGAGCTGGGACGACTTCTACATGGGAGGCGGCAAGTTCGCCGAGGTCGACTGTGAGTTCACTTTGGCTTGCACTTAACTGACGAACAGCTGTCATGAAGGTCATCCGGAAAGAGTGGCCGTTCATTATGGGAGCCGAGTTCTCTCCGTCGACCTTGGCGCTGTCTCTACTCTCGCAACAGCCGAGTCAGACACTGGGACCACACCCCGACCTCTACCACTTCCAAGACGTACACAATGGGCTTTCGAACGCTCTCCAGAAGGCTGTCCGTGGGCATTTCCAGACTTTCGCCGCCTCGCTCCCGACACACGCGAACTTTGTTTCGACTCTGGACCGTGCTCAAGATCAGGTCAAGAGCTCGCGTGAGGCTCTCAAGCAGGCCAAGGAGGGACTAGCGGGAAAGAGCAAAGCCGAGCTCGCTAGCGTCAGGGCGCGCGAGAGAATGGTTCGCGAAATGCTCCAGGTCGTCGATCAGATGTGAGTTTGTCGGTTGGACGAGATACTGACATGCAAGTGACGAACTCAAGCAAGCACCCGAGCAGCTCGAAACGTGGATTGCGGAGAAGAAGTTCCTGCAGGCTGCTCTGCTCCTCGTGAAGAGTATGAAGGGCATCAACCGCGAGTCGTTGCAGGAAATTGGAGCTTTGCCCGACCTAAGGCAGTACTTCCAGTCACAGCATAACACGCTGTCCGACATTCTTATTGAGGAGCTCCACAATCATCTGTACCTCAAGTCTTTCAACAGCGAGTCGCGATGGAAGGCGTACTCGCCGGGTCAAACGACAGTTCCGGTCATCGATGCGCATGACGACCAGCCGACGGCTCCGGACGCCGACCACTCCCGCTTCTCTCAGTTCTTGTCTCATCTTGCCGTCAAGCCTAACCATATCCCGAACCTCGATGAGGTCACCGCCAACGGCATCACCCAGAACCGCGTGTCCCTCAACATGTCGAGGGCTCCGTCCATGACATCTATCACATCCGTGGGCGGAACGGTCGACACCAGCGGCGGCGAGACCGACTCGTTCAATTACATGGAGACGCTGCTGGAGGCGCTGGCCGCCCTTGGTCGTCTCGGATCAGCTTTGGACATCATGGTGCAGCGGGTGCCGTCGGAGATCCACCAGATTGTCGACAGCACCATGGAGGAGGTTGAGGAGCGGATAGAGCAGCGCGCCTCTGACCTCACCACCATGCTCCGCCCAACGACGATGCTGCTGGCCGACAAGAACGATCTGGGGTCGATGCCCCTGTTCGACAACGACACGCTCCGCGTTGTGGTCTCGCTCGACGCGACCGGCCCGCCCGAGAACGCGATCGTTCTCCGTGACCTCTTCTGGACTCTCTACTCCAAGCTGGCGGCAGTAATGGAGGGTCACCGTGCGGTTTACGAAGTCGCACGCTGGATCGCCTCTCGTCGTGACTTCAAGGACACGACAAAGGCTGATCTCAACCTCAATGTCCCCGTTCTGGAGATCTGGCGGCCTGTCCAGCAAGAGGTTCGCACGCTCTTGCAAGCGTATCTCTCAGATGATTCGCAAGGCTCGGCTCTTAAGAACAGTGCGCTTCCAAGCATCAACGAAATCCTCCGCGAAGGTCGACTAGTGCGGGATAAGCAAAAGGACTTGTTTCGATTTGGCGACAGCGACGCTCGTGCCGTCAATGGCGAGATCAAGGAGATCGACGACTCGCTCAAACAGACCTTACGAGCGTCTGTGCCTGGCCTCGTCAACCTGCAGGCCGGTGACACCGGGAACGTCCTCGGTGCGGTCAGCGGTGCCGATGAGCGGTATTCTACTTCTGGTAAGATCAGAACGCTCATCCCGCCTAACCCGTTCAACGTCACGGTCCTGTTCCAACCGACGATCTCGTTTATCAAGCGCGCCACCGACATTGTTCCCTCCGGTTTCGAGGACGAGATGTCGCAATTCGGCACTGTGCTCGAGGAGTTCGTCGAGAATGTGTTCATCCCGCAGCTCGACGAAAAGGTCACTGCGTCGTTCCAGCACGCCGTCACGGGCTACGACGCTTACCAGATCGACCGTCGCCCGATTTTCGGTCTTGAGAAGCCGCCGCTGAAGTCGACTGTGCGCGTACTTGCACTCATCCAGAGCCTCTGCGCTATGCTTCACGAGTCGCCCTTCCACCGCGAGAACTACAGCCGCTTGGTCGTAGGGGTTATCGGCCAGTACTACCAGCAGGTCAACCAGCACTTCAAGGAGGTCGTGACCATCAGCCGACGAGAGGATGGCTCGCCAAAGATTGGCCTTCCGGCCGACTGGGCGCTGAACGGCGACCTCGACGTCGTGTTAAACCAGATCCGAACCATCGCCCCGGAGGACGTACGGGAGATGGACCGGTTAGAACAGCAGGAAGCTCGCGTCGAGATGAGGCTGTGCGGAGACACACCGCCAGTAGAGTCTCAGCTCCTCAACAGCAGCCGCAAGCTCGAGGCATTGGCGCACGTGGCGCAGAGCGTCAGGTGGTTCATGAACTCGCTGCTCAATCTGCAGGAGCTCGTGGACGACGACGACATCGACAAGCCCTCGCTTCAGCCGCAAGAAGGCGCGCCCAAGCTACCGCTCACCCGTGCGATGGCTCAGCGGTTCGAGTCGATTGTGCAGTTCTACGAGCAGCTCGTGTCCATGACGCTGAACACGCTGCACCTTGAGGTACGCTGCCGCGTGCTCTGCAACCTGAGCGCAACCCTGCGGAGGAACGACTACCGACTGGAGAGCGAGGCGCTCGAGCCGGACCCGGATGTTGTGGATCTGAACGCGACGCTGCTGGAGATGGACTCGATTGCGTCCAAGACGCTCTCGCTGCAGGACCACAGATTCATGTTTAAGGGACTTGGGAATCTGATCGACAACATCTTCATCCAATCTGCGCGCCAGCTGAAGCACATCAACGGGGCGGGTGCGCGCAAGATCCGGCGCAACATTCTGTCGCTGCAGCAGACGCTGCGCGGGATCAATACAACCGACGTCGTGCTCAAGAGCATCGAGTACTGGGATCTGTACGAGCTCGGCCCGAAGCAGATGCTCGAGTCGATTGGCAGCAAGCCCGATTTCGGGTTCGACGATTATAACGCAATGTTGAGCTTACAGTGTCAAGAGAACGGGTTAGACCTCAACTCGCACCTGATCGACTTACACGCGCTCGCGATGGACATTGAGGACTGGGAGATGGTCTGAGAGCGAACGTGGCGGTCATGTAACGAGCTCGTCCCATCGAGGGGAGTGAAAGAAACGATAATGATAGATAATATATGTAGTCTAGCCATTATGTTTAATGACGAACATGTAATAATACCACTAGTCCATATCATTGCCTCTGCACAACATCTACAAAGACGCTGTCGCCATCCACGCCATCCATGCCATGTAGCAAGCAAACAAAAAATGGACGTGCATCCGAGCATCCTGAAGAGTTGTCCTGGGTGATGCCAGATGTCGTCATGTCTCGGCAATGTATCATTACGTAACAGAAAAGTTCGGAGGAAGCCGTTTTCGAGGCTCCGAATAGTCTGCCGCGCCGCGACGTTGGTGAGCGGCCAGGACGCACCTGAGTAAGCAAAAACAATCTTGCTTCTTGACTCCATCCTACTTGCCGCCTCCTCCCACAACCCCAAAACTAGCACCATGCCCAAGATCGACGTCGCCCCCGAGAAGAAGGAGGTCAACCCCCTCAACCCCCAGGGCCTCAAGCCGTGAGTGTCGAGCTACGGACGTGATGTGAGGGGCGGAGCAACGTTTCCTCTCCCCTCCTTGCCGCCTCGCCGCCGAGGATTGGCCTTGTGCGGTGACTGCGACTGCCAAGTCTTCCTGTATTCGATGTCTTCGCACAAGGACACCACAACGGCGCAGACGACGAAGAGGAGCAGAAGCTGGAGTTGACCAATCGAGCTGACGACCCCAGGTGCTGCGCGTGCCCCGAGACCAAGTCAAAACGCGACGACTGCTTCATCAAGTTCTCCGCCGAGGAGGCGCCGACCAAGTGCGCTGACCTCATCGAGGCGCACAAGGCGTGCATGCGCGGCTACGGCTTCAAGGTCTAAGCCCGTGCCATCTGCACACTTGACACGAGCGAGCGGCAGACGTTCGACAACAAACAATATCCAAAACATCTAGACCTATTAGCATTGTGCGCATCATGCATCACCCTTCATGGACCGAGGATCCTGGTGAGGCTAATCTGAGGAGATCGGAGTGTCGTGTGGGAGTGAGGCGGCTCAACGTGCTAGATAGTGCCCACACTGTCTTTCTCAGGACACCAGTCAGAGATTAATCTATTCATCTAAGTGTGTACTGATACAAATGCTGTTCTAGTGTCCTCGTGGTCTGCGGCGAAGACGCACAACTGCCACGTCCCAGTCTCCTCCCAGCTGGCGCTTCCACCGCCAGGCGTACCAGAGCATGAGCGGCCCACCAAGGTTCACCACGGCCAGGATAGCGAGGAAAGTCACGATCGTCGCAAAGCTGGGCAACATCGAGCATCCCAGCCAGATCATGGAGGACGTGAGCGCGATTGAGAACCGCTTTCCAGACTCCTGCTCTGTCAGTTTTGAGAGCTCAGGTCCTAACTTACGCGGACGCCCTTCGCGAGCGTGGGCCAGCCGGCGAACAGACCAGCAGCGAGCATGACGAGGCTGAACACGTGCGCTGTCGATGGCAGTCGCGATGCGAGCACGACGCTCGCACTTAGCGCAGAGGTCAGGCTAAGCGACGATGCGAGCCTGGATGTCAGTTCGCCAGATGCCGAGTTAACTCACGTGTTCTGCTCCTCGGCGACAGCGACCATGCCGCTTACGCCGCTGTTGGCGCGCTTCCGTCGCCGCCGTCTGCGTTTCCGCGCATCAGGGCCCGTCGAGAAGTCCGACAACAGAAGATGTACGAAGAACAGCATGCCTGCCAATGGCCAGATCGTGTCCGATGTAGTGGCCGATGTCAGCGTACCGAGGACAGGCGAGAGAAGCGAGAGCAGCAGCGGTGGCAGGAGCAGCGGTCGGATAGCAGAGTCAGCTGGAAGAAGTGCTGCGCTATGTTAGTTGAAACCAGAGGAACCCCGAACAACTCACGCCCGGATGGGTGTTCGTCTTTTCCCTTCGTCTCCCAGCCTATCCGCCACAGGGCGTAGGCGACCAGACCGATCATCGCGCAGGACCACCCCACGCCGGTAGGCGACAGCGTGCCCTCCAACATGCCGTAGTAGACTGCGAGAAAGAGCGCAATCACGGCCATGTGCTGCGATACGGGAAGAGCAGCTACGATCAGACTGAGAAGCTTCGGTCGCGGCCGCGGCGCTGGAGTCAGTTACTCGGTAGCTTATGCGCAACTGAGGGCAGCTCCTGCCCTCGGAAAATTCCCACTCTAAAGGTACTCACGACGTGCTGTCAGCTCGGCCAAAAAGGAAGGTGGAACATAGTTGTCTGGAAATGGCTGCCTACGCCACAACACACGCTCCCATTGCGGCGGCTCGTCTGGGACTGGAGGTTCAGATGAGGAAATCGTGGAGGCCGGCGGAGGCTGGACGTGGTTTGCAACTTGGCCCGCACCTGGCTCCTCCTTCGCAGACGAGCCACATTCAACCATAAGTGCGCCGCTTCCGAGCTGCTCCCCTTCGGTGATGTGAGGTTGCGAGATTGAAGGCTTGGGATGTCAGTTGTCAATAGCAGGCAGAGGGAAGGGCAAAAACACGTCGCGGCAGACCATTGCCAGACAGCCGGAATCTAGGCACGGTATGTGGGGATGCGGAGAAGGCGTGGTGGAGGTCTCAGGTCTTGAATCTGGCGTGCGAGGAAGACATCAGGGGTCATGGCCGGGTGCGTCGGAACTGTCCGTTATCTCATTTCCCATTGCACTCGCGCTCCCTGCCTTCCTTCGACGTCGAAACATGGCAGAGGATTGGACCCCGCCTTGGAAGCGGGACGACGGTGTCCAGGATCCTCACGAGGTCGAGGTGAGTCTCATCGCAGTTGCCGCTAGCTCTGCTGACCCCAGGTCTCCGCTCTTGAGGATGCCCTGACCGTTCCTCGGCCAGAGTCAGCTTCGACATTGACGGCTCAATCGGCAGGAGAGTACGACATGGATATCGACGACGAACTGCCCACGACCTACTCATCGTTGCCACCGTCACCCCGCGCTTCTGAGTACTCTCGACGACTCGACATCTCGGAGCTGCAATCGGCGTTCAACAGGGCAGATCCGTCACCGCGCCGGCCGTTTGCGTCATTGAGTGATGGAGAGAGTGATACGCAAGAATTCTGGCCTGCGCGTTCCAGAAGGCAGACGTTGGACTATGCCAATCGACCATCGCTGGACACCTTACAGAAGCCTCGACGGCACACCTTGTCGAGGACCTCTTCCAACACCACCCGCCAAGAGCTGACGAAGGAGACCACGCGGCTGAAGCCTGAGCCGGAAGTCGACGAGCCGGCCTCACCAGTGGAAGACTCCACGCCCCCGAACCGTGTGAAGGAGACGAAACCGGGGCTCAGTCTGTGGGACCTGCTCCGAGACGAAGACGCAGCAGAACAATGGGAAGGCTGGATCGCGGATGGAAAATGGGAGCGCATAGCCAACTTCCTCGCAGTGCCCCTCGTAGTTGAGAAGGTAAGCTCGACGCCAGTAGCTGGAAGCTGACCTTCAGGTGACATTGTTTGGGGCATTGCTGTGCTTCGACGGGTTCCTCTACAACTTCACGATTCTGCCGATCCGTGCGACTTTTGCCGCATCGCGAATAATCAGCAGGCTCGTCCGGAGGCAGAGCGTGACCCCGATTCCTCCAGCACACGTCCAGTCCCTCATGCGTATGGCTCTGATTGTCATCCCGGCAATCATCCTGCTGTGCGGAACCGATACGTCAAAGATGTATCACTCGGTGCGCGGGCAGGACACGATTAAGCTCTATGTGATCTTTAATGCCCTCGAGATCGGCGACCGTCTCTGCTGTGCGTTTGGGCAAGACGTTATCGACACCCTCTTCGCTAGGGATACACTCACATACACGGACAAGCGGCGGAAGAGAGATCATGTCCGTCCAGTCTTCTTCTTCACTCTGTCACTGGCATACGTCTGTGAGTAGCTATCGCGATGGGCTCATCTAACGGAACAACAGTCGTCCATACCCTCATCTTCTTTTACATGCTCATCTCGCTGAACGTCGCTATCAACTCTTACGATTATACCCTTATATCACTCCTCATCAGCAACCAGTTTGTGGAGATCAAAGGATGTACGTTGATTTACTGGGACAGCGACTGATGAACAGCCGTCTTCAAAAAGTTCGAGAAGGAAAACCTGTTCCAGATCATGTGCGCAGGTGAGCTCATGGCAAACGATCGGAGCTGATGATCAGACATTGTGGAGCGGTTCCAGTTGGGTCTAATGCTCGTGGTCATCTCGCTCAGAAACATGATCGAGATGGCAGGTTCAGACTTGGCCTTCCTTCCCCGAAGTTTCGTTCGCGGCAAAAGTCTTCTCGAGCGTATTCTCTCTGTGGGTGACAAGGCGTGGCTTCACTGACGCTTAGCCGGTTCTCTTCGTACTGGCATCAGAAATGATTGTTGACTGGCTGAAGCACGCCTTCATCGCCAAGTTCAACCACGTGCGCGCCACCGTCTACGGACGTTTCACGGACATTCTCGCCAAAGACGTTCTTCTCGCAGGAACGTATAAAACTGAGGGTCGCAACAAGAAGAAGGTAAGCTCGTTAGTTGTCCCACAAACTGACTCGCAGCATCCCATCCTGCTGGATCAGTCCCCTCTTGTATCGCGCCGCCTCGGCATCGCCAACATCCCTCTAGCGGTCCTCGTCGTGCGCATCGGTGCCCAGATCTTCGGAATGCTCACAAGCTCGGGGCACGCGGTCGACGGCGAAGCGCTGAGCTCGGGTCTGTTCTGGACGGCTCTAAAGTGGGTGATCGGCATTCTTGTCACTGCCACAGCATGGGGCTGCTTGGTGGTCGTCAAGCTCTTGCTCGGTCTCGGTCTCCTCAGTTACTCGGCACTAAGACAAGCTGGTATGGAGGAGCGCGAAGCCGAAGACGAGATGAACAACTTTGGTCGCGATCCCGTGGGAGTCAGCAAGGAAGAGATGGCGTACCACAAGGAAGTATCCCAGTATCTGTCCCAGCCGGCCGATGATCTTCCCGATCACCCCTCAGCTCCCATCTCTGCGGCCGACCCCGCGACACCTCGACCGACCCATACAGCGCTTCCTAAACCGCAAGGAAAGAAGAAGAATTGGAAACTTGAGGATGTCGAACGTTGGACGATGGTGAAGCGCATTTGGTAGAGCGAACCGCGTTGTAATCCTAATGTAGTGTTTTTGCATATGGTGTCTACTGCTGCTCGTTCTCCTTCTTGGTGGGCTCCCTGAGCAGGCTCTGTCCCCGGAGCTTACCAGCCCAGTCGTACTTGTCCTGTACACATTAGCTTCGATGAAGATGACAGACCCACGTCGAACTTCCAGGCGCAGACAGCAATGAAGGCAGGGACAGCGATACCCCAGGTGAGGACGTGGCGGGTAGCGGTGCGGGTGAACTTGAAGTGCTGGTACACGTTCTCACGCTGACATGTTAGCTTGGCACATCCTCGAAGAAGCTCACCATAGCCGCCCAGCGGTCGATCGCCGGGTCGTGCTGCGACGTTAGCGATTCTGCGGACATATTCTCCAGCGGAGGTCGGGTAAACGCACTCGGAGGTGGCCTGCATGTTAGCACTCATCAGCTCCTCAGACGTTGACATACCTGCCATGTTGCTTGTTGTTGGGAGGGGTAGAGTGGAGAGTCTGGCAACGGTAACGAGCTCACTACGGTGACCTGAGCTAGTCAACGACGTTCCAATGCACCAGGGTCGCTACGGTGAGCGGGGCGGAGTGCCACAGGGGCGGACAAATGGCAACTCCGGGAGTAATGCCACGCGGATATCGCGTGAGCACACACAGACTTACAACACCGTGCCTGACTCTGGCCGTAGATCAGTTGGTTAGTGACGAAAGAGGGCGAAGGACAGGGAGTTGAACGGGAGGAGTATGTACGCGATGTGAATTGTTTGCGACTCGCACTTGCAACATCAACAGCGCCATGAGTTACAGACCAAGATCGCGGTCACCCGACTACCGAAGAGGTCGCGAGCGGAGCTACTCCCCCTCTCGCGCGCGCGAGTACTCGCCCTCGCGCGGTATGGATTACGGGAGAGATGACTACCCTCCGCCACCACCGCAGAGACGGGACGATCGCCCGCCTCCGAGAAGATATGATGACGACGACCGCGTGCCGCCGCCCAGGCGCTACGATGACAGGAGACGATACAACGACGACGACCGTCGCCCACCTCCACGCCGGTACGACGAGGACAGGGGCCAACCGCGTCGCGACGATCGGGGCCCTCCACCACGCCGTGATGATCGGCGGTCACATCGCGATCGCGACGATTACAATGACCGTCGATACCGTGATCGCGACCGCGACTTTGACCGTAACGACCGCGGAGACAGGCGCGATGACAGACGGCACGACTATGACGATCGCCGCCCACCAGCTTCTGAGCCATCAAAAGACATCATCTTCCTCGGCCTCGACCCGCAACTGACAGAAGACGAATTGCTCGCCTTCCTGCGCATGCAGCACAAGGCGCAGGTCGACTCGGCCAAGATTGTGCGCGACAAGTTCACGGGCGAGTCGAAGCTGTTTGGATTCGTCCAGTTCTCCACTTTGCCAGAGGCGATCCGCTTCATGGACAACAATGCGCCGACCGTTTCCATGCCCGCTTTGTATGGGCACAGCGAACCCAAACGTGTCAAGATCGACTACGCGGGCAATAAGGAGGAACGGGACCGGGGCGGTCACCACGGCCATAGTCACGGCGGCCACGCTCCTGTGCAATCTGGCATGCAGATGCACGACGGAACGCGAGACATCGGTGCCCCCGGTGCTGGCGGAAGAGTCCTGCTCGTCCGTGGTCTCGACCCGGGCACGTACGTCGGCGAGGTGACGCGGCGGTTTGCGGACGAGATTGCGCGCTTGCTTGGCAAAGACGTCCGGCAGGCGGAGACAACGATCACGCGCGTGGTCATGATCAACGACCGTGCGACAGGAAACCCGTGGCGGTACGCATTCGTCGAGCTTGCCTCTCCTGAGCTGGCGGCCGCGCTGCTGCCTTTCCTGATCACGCCGCAGACTCAGCCGAACGGATTCCTCATCTCGCAGGTTCCTGTGGCTGTCTCGTTCGCCAACCTCGATGCGTTTGTCCCCGTGCCTGCCGGGCCGCTAGGAAGTGAGTTCCTGGTCAAAGCGGCGCCCAACGGCGGTATCGGCAGCAACACCATCGACAGCGACGACGGCGAGTGGGTCAGATACTGGCACGAGGCGGCTGGTGCTGTGCAGTCTGCGCCGCGAGGCGCCCTCCCAATCCCGGACAAGGGCAAGGAGCTCGAGCTACCTAAGGAGATGTGCGAGTTCCTCGGTCACCTGTCCGGCAAGAAATGGGTGCCTCCGCAACCGACGACGACGGCCGGCGACGCACCAGCAGCCAGCCAGCACCAGCAGCCTGGCACAAGCTCCGGCCCTATCAAGATCAGTTTCGGCAAGAAGGTTAGGAAGGAAAAGCAGCCGGAAGACGCCATGGTCACGATCATGTCGAAGCGGATCGGGGACGAAGAGGAGATTGACCTCATTGGCAAGGACACGGTCCTACTCTCGAGGAGTGAGCTAATCACATCTCTGGCGAGCTGACAACCCAGCCAAGGGCGCGAAGATTATCCCCCCGACCTCGACGAGCAGCAAGGTATCCCTCCTCACCCTCTCCGCTCTGCTCACATCCAGGTCATGAAGAATATCTCCAAATGGAACACGAAGCAGGGGGAGCTCGCGGCCCCGGATCCGCCAAAGAAGAAGGCCGAGCCCGTCCTATCGTCAGCGAACAGCATCAGCGTTGCCGGCAGCGGAGGCGGCTCCTTCAGCGACGACGGCGGCGAGGAAGCGGCCAACCTGGCCGCCATGCCCGCCGACGAGAACTTCGACTACACCGACACGACGCAGTTCAAGGTGACGCTGCGCGTGTCGTGCCTCCTGTGCCAGCGGCAGTTCAAGACGGAGGAAGTCCTGCGGAAGCACTGCAGCATGTCGGATCTGCACAAGGCAAGCCCATCCCGGATAGGACACAGAGGAAAACGTTACTGACATTGGATCTTTTTCTCTCGTACAGACTAACCTGCAAGACGCGCAGACACGAGAGGCAGGCAAGAAGCGCAAACTCGCGATCACCGGCGCGCTCGAGGCGGGTGACTACAGGGACCGCGCGAAGGAGCGCCGCAAGGTCTTCAACCAGCCCGCCAAGGTCAAGTGGCCCCAGCAGTACCCGCACCACCAGCCCGCGCCGAAGAACGCTCCGCAAACTGCAGCCCCGGCACCGGAAAAGCCCGAAGAGCCGGCCGTCGGCAACAAGCTCCTCGCCCAGATGGGCTGGAAGGACGGCGAGGGCCTCGGCAAGTCGGGCGAGGGTCGCTTCGCGCCGATCCAGGTGCAGCAGTTCGCCGAGCGCGCCGGACTTGGCACATCGAAGGGCCGCGACGTGACGGCCTCATGGCAAGACCAGAAGAAAGACTTGGTAAGAAACTCGCACCCCCTTCAACATTGTTTCTCTTGGGCAACTGACGGGCTAATCTTGGGCTATTGCTATTCTATATACATTTGGTCAATCACTAACTGAACAGACTAAGGAACGCTATGAAGAAGCTTCGAGGTCTTGAGTCACAAAAGACAACCTGAAACTACCTCAAGCCTCCATCTGAAAGCTACAACTCTTGGACGTGGTGGATTGGCGTCGACTTGTCCGTCATGATGAGTGAGGGGTATAGGGGCATTAGTGGCGTGGATTGAGGCGTAGAGCTGGCTGACTACACACAAACTGTTGTTCTCTCTTGATATGCAAACTCGTTATCTCACAGCTGGATCGGCGTGAGCTGACGAACGACTGGGAGGCCGGTCGAAAGATCTGCGGCGGCTGACAATGTCAGCTGTTACGGTAGAGATATGGCTAGCTTACCTTTGCTCCTCAGGCATATTGAACACTCGCAGACCTCGACGCGGTCGAGGCTCGACGACCTCTTCGGGGGCACAAGCAGGCCGTCATCGACAGGCATGACCTCGACGCCGAGCGATCCGGGTATGATCTCGATGCTGGGGCGTGAGGAGGAATCCGGCGACGAGTCGCCCAGGATGCTAGCGGCCGTAGCGCTCTCGCAGCTGAGGCTTGGCGTGGGGGAAGGGACAAGGCCCAGCTGGCGGGGCGACTGGAGGCTGTTATCGCTCCTGCGACGAGCCTTAACGAACTGGGCGCGTCCAAACCCCCTGCTATCCCTCTTGTTTGTGTCCTTCTGTGGCGGCGTGGGCGGGCGGTCGTTCTCGTCATGGACCGTGACCTGGGTAACGGCGAGGTCGACGAGGCGGAGCGTCGGCGACGGCTGGCGGGGAACGTTGCGGATGTCGAGTGAGGAGGGGCGAGACGAGAGCTGGCGCCCGCTCTCGTCGCGCGCAGGCTCTTCGGGCGCTTGCGTGATGACGCTGAATCCGGGCCACTTGCGGCGTAGAATGCTCAGCGGCGACTTCATCGTTGCGCTACGGCCGAGGCCTTTCTTCGCCGCGGCTGGGGGATGCTCGTCCGCCGGGCTCGTCGGAGGCGGAAGCCCGGTGACGCTATCGACCGAGTCCTGCCTGAATGGCCATGGCCGGTCCGCGGGCAGCTGGAGGCGGTCCTTTGTCTCGTCGATGGTGCCGATGGGCGACATCGATGGGATACGAGGCAGAGCAGGCGCGGCGCCCGGCGGCGTGGACGGTGACGTCCGCAACACGGGCGCAGCTAAGGAGTGGCGGTGCGACTTGTCGGCGGCCGCCATGATGCTGGAGTGTATTGATGAGGGGAAGGCGAAGTGAGAGCTGTAGAGAAGCTTTGTGCGCCGGTACCGAGTAAAGGAGGATAGGGGGGAGACGTCCGTGTGGCTGGTGCGCCGAGTTGATACCGGAGGAAGGTGGACGCAGGTGCTGATGAAGCGGCGATCGGGCGATGGCCAGACGGTGATCTCAAAGGCTTGGCGGGCGCTGTGTGAGGGTCGCGTGTAGCGTCGCAGCTGTCACTCCCAGGCCGACCAGGGGACGAGGGCGCAGTTGTGGGAACGACTAGGACTTGGTGGCTGGTACGTCGGCTGGACGGATCTTGGAACGCCGAGTCCTCGAGTCCAGAGAGTTGTCAGTGTGTCGTGTCTTAGCCTGACTCGTGGTGGTATGCTAAGCTGATCAGGATGAGAGGAATCCAGAGTCAAGAGTGAGTAAGTGAGACGTGTGATCGGGAGATCCTCACGAACGCTCGGTCGCTCACTCGCACGGTCGCACGAGCGGGCCCTCGCTAGCTGGTTGGCGCCGCGGGGTTGACCTGACCCGAGATTGTTGGAGTGCGCTAATTGAAGAGCGAGGCGGCGGGGCCTGGAGCGACTGGCGGTAGAGGGCAAGTGGGGCAAAGGGCCAAGGGGGCAAGTAGCGGAGACTGGGGGACGAGCGCAAGCCTTGGTGCCTTCAGCTGGCCGAACGTTGAGTGAGGTAGTCGGATCTGGTGATGAGCAAGTGAGTGAGGGATGAGTGGAGACAATAACAATCGGTGGCCAATATCAACACTTCGCCAGCACAATGCGTGCGGCCGCCGAAGACCGGCTGAATGGCCGACGTGCATGCACACAATGTCGTCCGGAGGACGCCGAAAGCGATACATTGCAGCCAAGATGCACCGCTCCGCGTTATCGAGCACCGCACCAAGCCATCACCCTGGCCGCCCTGCACTATGCGCCAACGCCAGCGTGGTAGAACTCGGCACCGGATCTGCCTGAAATCTGCCGTGACATGTCCGTGTCGCGCCGCTGACCGCATGCGCAGTACGCAGTCAGGCCATTGTGCGCATGGTAATCAGAAACAACGTCAGCTTCCTGTTGATTTTACTGGACGGCCTTGATGCATGAGCGCGTTCTTGAGCTTACGGCACAGCCCAAGAAGTAATGATCGCCAGTGCCCGCATTGTGATAGTTCGGCGTCTTCTTCCCAGTGTGACATCACCGCCACCGAAAGTTTATTGGTGATAGGGCTGTTATCATAGCACAGCCATCATGGAAGCAGTAAACCTTCTCAATTCAGCTCCGCATCTATCGGCGGTGCTGTCAGTGCTAGAAGACAATATGCAGAGTTGCTTGGAATGCTACAAGAAAAAGTTGACCCGGTGTCTACATGCATGAGGCTCACTCGACCTCGATCGGACTGTCCTTCAGTCCGCCCTGAGACTTCCGCCGCTTGCGCTCAAGAATGTCCTGACGAAGTCGCTCAAAATCACTCTTGTGCTCAGCAGCGTACTTCTTCAGCCCGTCTGATGTCTGCAGAGCCTCGACCTCCTCATCCTTACCCCGCTCCTTGTCCTTCCTCCGCGATGCCTCGGCCCGCTCCAGGTCGGCACGCAGCTTCGACAGGGATGCCGGATGCGACGAATCCATGTTGGCGTTGTACATCACCGTCCACTGCTGGAAGCGGGCTTCCAGCGCTGGTCGATCTCCTGAGGTTGAAAGGTCATATTTCTAAATATCAGCTACTCTCCGCGAAGGGGAAGCTTACCATAAGCAAGCCCTTCAGATCAGATAGCGAGATCAAGCTGTAGTTAGGCTTCTTTATCCGCGTGAACTCGGTCCTGCACGTCAGTTAGAGCATGATCGAATTAACATACTCCTTCGCCTTTGCGCTCCCTGATCCAGCGAATACGCGCTTCCAGTCGAGCTTCTGGTTGCTCGAGCTCGTAGATGTCGGTTTCGGCTTCGGACATCCTCGATCGATATGTCCAGGAATCGCGGCAATCTGCAGCACAGCTCCACAGATCGGACATTCGCCCTCGTCTGGACGTCAGCTTGAACCAAGACCGCCTGGAAGCTCACCAGACTCAGCCAGCTCGACAACATCGTCGTCGTCATCGTCGTCTGATGCGCCTCGGCTCTGTTGTGGTGACGAGCGAGAGCTGCCCTCTCCTCGCGACTTCTTCGTCGGTGACCGTCGCGGGAGGCTGTTTCGTCGCTTCCGTGCTGGCGGAGGTTGAACGAGATCGACAAGTTTTGGTCTACGTGTCAGCTGAGCATCAATATGCCAGCTTACCTGGCCTCCTCCCACGCATCGCACATCTCCTCCAGCACACGGTTCCGTCGGATCGATCCCTCGGTCTGCGGATCACTACATGTCGGACAGGCGGTCTTCTTCGTTGTTGAAGCAAAGAACCCCCGGATACACTGCGAGGTTTAGATGATGAAGACGATACATTCTTCCGAGATTCAGTGACTCACCTTGGAGCAGAAGGAATGTCCGCACCCGATGCTGACGGGGTGGTCGAAGAGCTCCTTGCAGATGGGGCAGAGGAGAGCCTTGTCGAGGCGGCGGAGCTGCGGCTGGGATTCAGGAAAGGGCTTCGGCTCAACGTCGGCCTGGAGCAAAGGGTGGTTGAGGTCCATTGCAGAGGACAGACACGAGGCGCAGGCTTCGGCTCGACAACAGGAGATGGGGAGTGCTTGTTTGTGCAAGCGCGACGAACGGCGAGCCAGACATTGCGATTTCTCGTCGCGTGACGCGTCTGAGACTGGGGACTGGTGGCCAATCTGCCTCCGCTGCATTAGGCGTTCATTACAAGTTCAGCAACAGTGTGCAGGTGACGTAACCTAATGTTTGTTTGTAATGTGACGGCTCAGCCAGGCCAGCCATGGAACGCCGCGTGCGGCCGTAATCTCGGGTGGACCCTGAAACGATAGAGAGGACCCAAAATGTCGGGCACGGCACGCACTGCTCTGGACGCCGACGCAGCACGCGTATGCAGCGGGAAGACGCTTCGTGGAGGGATCACGCTAATCGTTGAACTCCACGCAACGCCATCTATCTTTCCATTGTGGCCATGGCGGACGGTGAGCTGCGCAAACAAGGATGAGCTGACATCAGGTGGCTCGACATGGAGCTTCTATCTGGCGGTGGTGTTTGCCGTGCTCTTCTGCGTCGTTTGGACCATCACATTGAACGGATGGCGCGTGGCGTGAGTGCCCCAGCTCGCGCATTGGCTTCGTTAGCTGACAAACAGACGGTCACGATACGGTAAGCGAGCGGTGTCGTCGCGACTAGACCGGATGCCTGCGGCGTCAGTGCCGGGCGTGACGATCATCCGGCCGCTGTGCGGACTGGACAACAACATGTTCAACACGCTCGAGTCAATGATGCGCCTCGATTACCCGAACTACGAGGTAATTTTTGCGCTGCAGGACCCGAATGACGAGGCGCTCCCCGTCGTGCGCATGGTCATGGAGAAGAACCCGGACGTCGACGCGCGGGTTATCATTAGTGAGTTCCCCCACCCCCGACTCATGATCCAGAGGTCGCCGGAAGGACGCTGGAAGAGATTTACCTCTTGGAAAGGCATTGCTGACAGAGTAGACCCCGAAAAAGTCGGCGTCAACCCCAAGGTCAACAACCTAATGGCGCCATTCCGGGAGGCGAAGCACGACCTTCTGTGGGTTGTCGATGCCACGATTGCAGTGACGCCGGGCGTGCTGGGCCGGATGGTCGAGGCGTTCCTCGACTCGCCGGACCAGAGCACCAACATCAACGACGTAGAGTCCCATCCCTTAATTGCTGACGAGGAGCGTCCGCCCCCGACTGCCGGCCAGGTCGGTCTCGTCCACCAAGTCCCCTATGCTGTCGTGTACGAGAAGACGTGGGGAAGCCTGATCGAGCAGGCGTACCTCAACTCGACTCATGCCAAGATGTACCTCAGCATTGTGAGTGGCACCAAAACAGAGACAGCTGTCGATTCCAGCGGAGCTGACATCCAGAACGCGGTCGCGATCGAGTCGTGCGTCGTGGGCAAGTCGTGCATGTACTCTCGCTCCAACATTGGCGACATCGTCACCCCCTCCCCGACACTGCGCAAGCTCGACCCCCCGCCGAAAGGACTCGCAGGCTTCGGCCCCTTCATGGCCGAGGACAACATGATCGCGCTCTCAGTCTGGCACGACCTGAAGCTGAAGCACCGGATGGTGCCCGATGTGGCGTTGGATTTCCTCGGCGCCCTCGACGTGCGCGGGTACATTGACCGCCGGGCGCGTTGGATCCGAGTCCGCAAGATGATGACGCTGCCCGCCACGCTGCTTGAGCCATTCACCGAGTCCCTCGTTGCTGGCATTTATGGCGCATGGGCGTTCGGACGGCTGACACACGGCGCACTGCCCGGGTGGCTCTTCTTTGTCCTCAACGAGGTGCTCTGGCTCCTCGTCGATCTCGATGTGAGGCGGAATCTCGCGACGAATGTGAGGCATATCGGCCCACAACCCACCACTGCGGCTTTCATCGCGGCGTGGGCGGCGAGAGAGATCCTCGCCCTCCCCATCTGGACATACGCCATGCTCGGGTCGACGGTCATGTGGCGCGGGAACCGGTATCGCATCCTCGCGAGCGGCGAGGCGAAGCGCGTCGATTAGTGCTCAAAGCGCAACCTCCGCCGAGAGAAGCACGCTGCCTAGACTGTATGCAGCGCGGCTTCTAGCTCGTAGTCATAGATCTATCTCATCATGCAATATATAGAATACAGTTGCGCCACCAAAGATTAACTACATGTGCTGCTCGTCCGCGCCCAGCAGCCATCCGACACCCTTCACGAGGGCGCGGCGGCCCATGTCCGCCGCAGCATCGACGTCCGCGACAAGTCCGCCGCGCACGTCGCCGTTGTCCCTCTCCTCGCCCTGCGCCGGCAATCCAGTGAAAGAGCGGAGGTTGGAGCCAAAGTCCATCGCGAGCTTGGCCGCGCGCGCCGCGCGCCGGCTGCCGAGGACGCGCTGGTCGTCCTCCTGTCCCTGCCCCTGACCTCCGAACCCTCCAAAGCCCGCAGCGCTCATGGCGCTGCCACTCATCGCACCGAGACCCGAGCCGAGCCCAGAGGCCACGCTGCCAATGCCAGAGCTGAGGGAGGAGGCGGTGAATCCGCTCCCGGAGTCGGCGGGCGGCTCGAGCAGCTTCGGGTTGTTAACCACGAGCTGCTCCGCGCTCCGCCAGATGGGGAGGATGGCGCTTACTTCTTCCGGCGGGCAGAGCGCGATCGCCTGCGCGAGCAGCGCGATGCGGTCGGGGATGTTCTGGTACTCGCTCTGCCTGCCCAGGGCGAGGCAGGAACGCCACGTCACTTGCCGGATCATGCTGGCTTCGGTCGCGGGATCCCGGACAGGCGGCTCGAAGCCGCTGACGTCCGAGCGCATGCTGGCACGGCTGACTTGACGGCTTAGAGAGGCGCGGCTGCCTGGCCGCGGCGGCGCGACAGGTGCAGTCTCCAGCTCGGGCTCGGCCATGTCGATCAGGATGCCGATGTAGTCGCGCGCGATCTCCCACTCCTCGTTGCTGATCGCCGAGTCGCACAGCATGCCGTACACCTGCGCCTTGGCGACCTTGTCGTCCCTGTACCCCAGCTTCTCGACAAGCTCCAGGATGATCGGCGTGTGCTTGTAGATGTCGTCCGAGGTGGAAACGATGCGCTCAATGAGCACAAGCTTGTTTGGCGTGAATCTGTCTGTCAGCTACGAGCTAGGGATACGAAGCTAGGAAGCAAAACGAACCTGATCTCTGACGGCGTCATGCCGCTCAGCGCCTTGAACGTCGTGAGGCGCGATGTCGCCTCAATAAACTCCTTCTCGCGCTTGATGGCCGGCGTCTCGGCGCCATACACGCTGAGGCAGTCGTAGGCAAGCTTCATCTCGCCCGTGTGGATGTTGCCCGTCTCGGCACGCATGAAGAACTCGCGCGACGTCTTGAGCACGGCGTCCTCAAGATCCTGCGACGTAAAGTATCCCTCGGGCTTGAGCGTCTTGACGACCTTCTTCGAGATCTGGATGTCTGATTGTCAGCTATGTAGACTGAGATGCAACTCACTGCCTGCGGCCAGGAGGCCGGAGAGGAAGACAGACATCATCTCCTCCCGGGAGAGCTCGCCGAGCGCGCCGCCCTTCATGATATTGCTCTCGTCTCCGCGGCCCTGGAGACGGACCATGTCCTGCCAGAGGTCGAGCCACATGCGCTCCGACGCGTTGCTCGAGTTGACCTGCTTGCGGACGAGCCTCTCGGCAAGGCGGTGCTGCTCATCGTGGTCGTAGGCAAACTGCAGTAGCTCGCGGAGGTAGATGTTGAGGTTCCACTTATTGAGAATCTCGCCGCTCTCGAGGTCGAGGTCTAGAATATCGATCGCCTTCGACAGAGACGAGAACGGAAGCGGGCGGAAGAACATGAACAGGTCCTTTGGCGCGTGCATCGATTGGTGCGAAGTCGACGGCCGCATGAAGCTGGCAATTGACTCGAGCGTCGTCGCGACGGCCTCGCTGTCGAGCTCCTTGTCGCCCGTCGATGAGTCCTCCCACACAGGCAGGCACTCGAAGATGGCCGACATCGTGCCCCACGCATTAAGCGCGTCGCTGCCGTACAGAATCGCAAGCGCGAGGCGTGCGACAGCCTGGTCATCTTTGATCAACCGCTGGTGCATCGGCAGAGTCGCCTTCGACGCTTCAAAGCACGGCAGCGCAAGCGACAGTGGCAACTCCAGAATCGCATTGAAGAGCATCCGCTCAACAAGGTCTGGGTCGTTGTTCCCCGCGCGCTCCGATCGACTCTGCAGCACGTACAGGTACGGCAGGACGAGTCGCTTGATGTCGTTGACGATCGACGCCTGGGACGAGTTGGACAGGTACGCGCGGACGATTGTCTCCTCGCTCGCCTTCCTCCACAGCTCAAGCGACCAGTCCTCCTGCTGCTGCGGGGCGAGCCCAGAGTCGTAGATCAGGCGACTCAGCAGTGAGAGGTCCTCGCCGATGATGTCGAGGCCCGATACACCGAGCGCCGCGCCGTGCTGGACCCACGCGAGCTGCGCGTCCAGCAGTCCCAGCTCGTCCAGCGCCATCACACGGTGTTGATACCACGTCGACAGCGCCTCGTCCGAGAGCGCCTCGTGCTGCGCCGTCGGCAGCAAGTCGTGGGGTAACGGGTTGCTCGCCTCCATTCCGTACTGTGGCCGGAGGACGTCGAGGAACATGACCTCTGTCGGTGTGGCGTTCGGCGGCCACTGTGACTTCTCTCCATCCGTAAACGACGCTGGCAGGAGAGCCTGCATGTCGTCCGTCGCTGGTGATACCCAGCCCGGCACGCTCTCGATGATGGAGAGGCGGTACGGCCAGATCTCCTCCGAATGCCGCTGGCACACAATCCGCAGCGCCTTCATGTGCGCAGCGGTCGCAAGTCCGAGAGCCGACAGCACGATATCCTGGAGCACGAACGTCGCAGCGTCTATCGGCGGCTCGACCTGCATCATCGACTGAGCACGGGACTGTGGCCGTGGCGGCTGCGGCTCGAGCTCGGGGTCGTTCTCCGCCCATGGGTCGTCGAGCACGCCCGTGTCCTCGTCTTCGGCATTCGCCCACGGGTCGTCGAGGTCAATGTCGGCCGACTGTCCCGATGGCTCCCTCGTCTTCGGTTTCGGTGTCCGTGGAGCGTAGAAGGCGTCAAATGTGTCGATTCGTCTCCGCGCCTCTCGCAGAACAGCGAGACAGTGAACGGCAGCTGTCCTCATCTGGTCGGTACCCAGAACAGCCTTGGCGGCCGCACGCACATCCTCGGACTTGTACTGGGCCCATCCTTTCGCGCTCTCATCTCGGCGCACATGCTCCGCCTCGAGCCGAGAGCGCACGTCGTCCTCGAACTGCTGCGCCTCGGCCGCGCCGGCCTCTTCGCCGACCTCGATGATTTGTCGCAGAACGACCTGGTCGTAGAACTTGCCGCTCAAGACCAGGTTGGCGCACGTAACGAGCCGAGTCGCTGCCGGGAGCGCAGCGAGCGAGCTCAGGAGGAGTGGGAGTGGGAGCTGATGCGAGGGCGCCTTGAGAAGCTGTTCCGGGGTCATGGATGCTGAGACAGAAGCAGTCGACATGACACTCGCCGGCCGCGACGGCTGGTCGCCCGGTGTTGCCATCTTTGTCGATTTCTTGTCGGTCGTCGGATCTCGGTGCTGGCAGTAATGTTCCAGCTCATCTCCGAGCTTATGGTCTACTTGTCATCGATGAACGCATCGATTACTTGCAACTTATTCATACCACCCGTTTAAGATGGCCGACAATCCCACGGCCGCGTCGAGCGCGACTGACTTTGCGTTAGGCCGCGAAACCATACTAGGAGGACTGCAATCATGCATTACGTGCATAACATCCCCGTTGCATTATGTTCACGTACGTGAATTATGTACATACTGGTTAATACTTCCAGAACTTTGTGATGGAAATGTGGAATGGATTCTAGGGAAGACACACGACGAGTGTGGACTGTGCGGGGAGAGGGCATTACATGGAGAACTTGAGGATGGGTGAAGAAGACTTGCTTGTTGTAATGGTAGTAATGTCTTGGGTATATGGAGTCGACCAACTATGAGTCGTGCACAATCTAGCTTTCTCAAAAACAACTGTACTTAAGCATTGAGCTCAGTGAGTCAACGTCTCACAGCGCTCGACAACTGTCTGGTAAATGAACTTGAAGCTCCAGACACTTCCCCGTAACCTCTTGATGCTCAACAGGTACAGGCCGTGCAGGTTCTTGATCCTGCACAGTTCAACGGCAAAGCGCACCTCGTCACCATTGTCGATGGCGTGCTCTCCGTACAGGGGCTCCGGCAGAGGGCCGAGCGAAGGCGATTGCACGCCCGAGTTGTTCACCGAGTTGAGGAGGTCGGATTCGCTGCGAGCCAGGACGGACGAGTGCTGAGACGAGTAGGAGCTGCCACGTCGCAGAAGCATTCCCTTCAGACCTCCGAGCCCACCGCCACCGCCGCTCGAGGTGGAGGGTACACCGCGTCCCTCGGATCGGTTGGCAGCAGCCGCCGAAACTAGAGAGAACGCGCCCGACGATAAACCGGTAGTAGCGCCCGCCTTGCGTCGACGCACACGCGTGCAGCGAAGGCGGAAGTCGGCCTCCTGCTTGACCTCGATGCCCATTCCGTGGAGCACACGGAGAACCTCCTCCATGATCTCCGCTGGAGTGTGCGAGCTGAGAGCCGATTGGTCGACGAGCCCAGTGTGAACGCGCAGCTTGTTCTCATCGGCAGATAACGGCGCCGATGAGTCATGGCCCCGCTTCTCAGCGGCCTGCCGGGCCGAAACGAGCGCCGGCGTTCCATTTGTCATATCCTTTGACAGCGAAGACGGGACATGCTGAGACTTTGAGCGTGTAGGAACAACTCGGTTCGGGTTCAGCATGATCTTGTCGTCGATGTTCGTCAGGTTGTTGGCAGGAGCAAGCGGGATACGAGCCTCGGGCTTGGGCTTGTCGTCACCATCGGCAACGACGGGGGCTGGAGCCGGAGCAGGAGAGCTTTCGTGAATGACAATGGCAGGGCTGGGGGTGGCGGCCTCGAGCTTCGTGCTCGGCTCAGCCGTTGCGAGACGATCAGTAGACGGCTTTGATCGCGTGGAGCCTGTAGAAGCGGTCATTACCCGATCGGCACTGATCGAAGGACGGGAGGAAGACGCGGCTCGCTCGGTGTTCCTTTCCAGAGTCATTGATTGGCGACCACTGGAACTCGGGTCTGCAACACCAGTGTTCTTGATGTTGTGTAAAGTATCCTTTGCAGTGGACTTGCGGCGGAACCAATCCATGACTCTCTTTGCCGTGCTCGTCGAGGCTGGGCGAGCGGTATCGGCGTCGACAGTGACTGCAGACGTCGAGCTGCGCTGGTCCTGAGAGGCCGGGTGAATGCCGTGCTGGCCGATGACAGGTGATGACGTGGTCGAGCCCGAGAAATCCGTGGCAGTCGCAGCTTCCTCGGGCGATAAGAGAAGAGTTCTGGGACGCTGCCTAGGGTTGGAGTCCCTCATGCTCTCAGAAACATTGCGTTGGCGCGGCGGTTGGGCCACGGAGAAGCTCCGGCCGTGACCCTGCGACCAAGTCCGCTGAGAAGTACGAGCGGGGCTGCCACTGTCCTTGGACAGCTCGGAGGGTGTTCCCTGACCGAGTAGCTTAGCAAGGCTGAACTTGTCGAGTGATAAGCCCTTGCGGGATCGGGCAGGGCGCTTGCGGCCTTGCTGTGACTGCGTGCGCTCGGGCTCGGGCGTCTTGTTGACACTGGTGGTTGTCTCGGAGGGAGCAGCGCTCGGCTCGGCGAGGGTTTCCTCGGGTTCCGGAAGGTCGCGCGGAGATTTGTCGGGTGTCGCAGCCCCGGGCGGAAGCTTGGCGTGCGGACGCGAGGTCGACGGCACACGTTGGGGCACCTCAGTGCGGGGAGTGATGATCTGGTCAGGTTCGGCGGAAATCTGGCGAGGGGTGGACGACGAGAAAGGGGGTGTAGGGCTGCTTCCCTCCGCCATGATCGCATCACCGTTCTCGCTCTCGCGCGATCGCTTCGAGGGGGTGGAGGGTGGCAGAGCAGGAGGCGCGCTCTGCGATTGAGGAGGCGCGTCAGGGTCTGCGATGGGAAGTGTCGTGACAACGGGCGGAACCTCAACGTCGGGGGCATCACTAGTGGCCAGGGGCATCTCAACATCAGACAGCTGGCGCTTGGCCACTTTGGGGGTCTCGGCGGCTGGAGAGGGTGTAGCCGTCGGCACTTCGATCTCGGGCTGCTGCTGCGGTTCAGGCTCAGGCTCAGGCTCAGACATCCTTGCGTCCTCGGCTTCCGTCGCTGGCGACTCGACGTCCATGTCGCTAGATCGAGGCTCATCAATCTGCTGCGCATCGATCTGTTTCGGTGGGGTCACAGGGACGCTCGTCGTGGACGGTGATCGGTCCTCAGACATGCCTTCCGCGACAGCTGCGTCGCCAGCAGCGAACTGGGCCTGAACACGGTTCCACATGTCGCTACCATAGTCGACCTGGATAGTGTGTCGATTGGAAGCCGCAGGTGCAGGAACCCTAGAGGGCTCTGGAGACGCTCTCGGCATAACGACCTCCTGAGCCATTGCATTGTCCGAGTAATTGACCGACTCAGGACGCGGCTTGGGAGGCGTTCGCTGGGTGCGAGCTCGGGTGGGCAGCATGTCCTGAGGCACGGGAGCAGCCGCAGCGGGATGATCCATGCGCTGCTGCTGCAGGAGATGCTGTTGCTGCTGGTAGAGAACGTCCTGCTCGTAAACTGCAACGCCAGGAGGTACACTGGTGTGTCCTCCAGCGTTGTACAGGTACTCTGGCATTGTCGAGGTCGAAGGCAGAGCGCTGCGGTGTCGGGTGTGGTCCTTCGCCCGCCTTTGGTCGAACATATTGCCCCCGCTGCTACCCATAGCGGCCTGGCTGCGAGCTAGAGCCTTCGCAAGCTTAGCCTCCTGCTGCAGACGGCGACGCTGAGCAAGATCACGCTTGGCCATGTGGCTCTTGCGCAGCATGTTCTCCGAGAAGATCCGCTCATGGTCCTCAATCGTCCGCTCAAAGAGTGCGCGGTGAGCATCCAGCCAAGGGTGGTCCTCCACCTGAGGGATGGTGCAGCGCCTCGTCGGATCCGGCTGGAGCATCATCAGGAGGATGTCCTGCGCGATCCTCGACATGTGGTCGGGGAAGTTGAGGGGGGTGCTCATGATGTACTTATAGAGCAAGTTGATGTTGTCACCATCCGGGTTCTGCGGGTCGTCGTCGTAAGGAAGGTATCCCGAGAGCATTGCGTAAAGAATGACACCACACGACCAGACATCGACGGCGGTGCCGACGTACAGCCCTTCAGAGACTACCAGTTCCGGAGCGGCGTAGCAGGGCGAACCACAGCTAGTTGCCATCAGGTCATCCTCGTCACGCTCAAAGTGGTTGGCGAAGCCGAAGTCGGTGATGATGATGTTGCGGTGCTTGTCGAGCAGAAGGTTCTCGAGCTTCAAGTCACGGTGCACGATATGCTTCTGGTGAAGGTAGTCGACACCGGAGATCAACTGGGCAAACAAGCGCGACGCGTCTTTCTCCTTCAAAAACCTGTTGGCCAAAATGTAATCGAACAGCTCACCACCTAACACGTCAGCCTTGCTCTTCCGTAATGCAGTGCACAGAACGTACCTCCGGCAAACTCCAGGACAATTCCGATGTACTTGGCGGTGTCGATGACATCGAGCATGCGAACGATGTTGGGATGCTTCAGCTGCCGGAGAACCTCAATCTCCCGCTCGACCTTGTTCGCCCGCTGCGAGTCCTCGTCGAGCTGCCCTCGACGGATGAGCTTGATCGCGACCTCAACACCATACTCGCTGTGGACACCGAGCTTGACCTTTCCGAACTCGCCCTCACCGAGCGTCTGCAAGAGGATGTACTGGCCCAGAGCGATCATCGGTCGGTTCGGGTGCGCTTGCTTGAAGGTGTGGACCGAGGGGTGGAGGACGTATTCATCCGAGAGGTACTCAGACCGCGGGGGAGAAGCTTGGGAGCTCAGGCCATGGTGGGACTGCCGCTTGCGCTGCTGTCCTGGGACGTGCTGCTGAGCGGCCGAGTGCGAATGTGAAGACGCGTGCGCTCCAGACATGATCGCGGTAGGCTCCTGCGACGGAATGCCAATGGGCATGGTCGTCGACGCGTGACTTGCGCGATGCGTGTGACCCCTCGTTCCCGCAGTTGACGAAGGTCCCTCGGAGGGAAGATATGCTCCAAACTCGCTGGCGATGTGCTGGGCCGCCGAAGGACGGCCCGAAGCTTGCCGAGATGTCGACGCGGCGGACGCCGATGCCCTGGTGGATGCCGTCGACGGTCTCGAGTGAGCCGAAGGCACCTGGTTCACAGACATCGAATAAGAGTGGCCAGAAGGCGGGGAGAACGGGGGAGTGTAACGCGCTGCCTGGTCATCCATCGATTGGCGGTGAGGGGGAATCGCGAACGGATCGGACATGTTGGTAGCTTGCTGTACAGCGGATGCCATAAATACAAACAAGCACTACCAGCAGTCCGTTGCGGTTGATGCGGCTTGCGTCAGATCACGCTGAGCGAAGAAGCGGGCGACAGAACTGGGGGAGGATCGCGAGGTTGAAAGCCAGCTAAGAGTGCGCGACAGGGACGATTATGAGAGTGTCACGGGGCCGGCACACTAAGGATCTAAGCGCAGTAAGCACATGCAATTGCAGCAAGCGGGTGAGAAGGGGTAGAAACAGCCAAACGAGCGAATTTGTTGTTGTTGGTGGAGAATGACTGTGTCGTGTGTTGACGGGCGAGGGGGAGGGGCTGATCCAGAAGAGGAAGACGGATGATGGGGTGATGTGCGGTGTGGAGACTTTTACTCACGGCGAGGGCGATCAGCAGCAAGATGGGACCGTGACGAGAACCGGGAGTACGAGGAGTAGCGGCTGAACACGCTGACCTCGAAGACACGCCCCGTGCGTTTGTTCAGGAGAAGCGGTGGTGGTGGTGGTGGCGCACCGATGCGGTCGTCGCGAGCCGAATCCAAAGAAGAATACCAAAGGAACAAGAAATGAAATGAGCGAACAGAGGCTGAATTTTGCTGCTGCTGTCGTCGTTGATGCGAATGGGAAGGATCGAAAGAAAGCGTGCAGAAGGTGAGTTGAGAGTGAAGAGAGGGGGGAAGGGGAGAGTTGGTGATTGAAACAGGAGCAGGCGGCGGGAGGGACCAGTGCTACAGGAGATGGCACGTTACAGCACCAGTGAGCCAGCGAGCCAGGACGACCGGACCGAACAGACTACCAGGGCCTGTTTTGCACGATCGGGCGAGATGGTTGTGGCCTTTCCTGCTTGCAGTGACAAGAGAGTGTGAGTGCCGATGCGAGAGAGTGGTGTGAGGGGAGGGAGAGGGAGCAGAGGCGGGCGAGGATTAGTGGAAGGCAGGTGTGTGTACGGGGTATAGGTGGCAAAGCAAGTGGAAGAGAATCGTGAGTGTGATCTGTGTGCGTGCCGTGTGGCCGGTGTGCGGTGTGCGGTGTGCGGTGTGCGGTGTGCACGCGGAGAGTGACAGCTGAGCCTGGCGCCTGGCGGTCTAGCCCAGAGCCCCTTCCCTCGATCCCTCACGTCCCTCACAGTGGGACGCGCTATGCGGCACGAATTTCGTTGATCGCATTGATGGGTGCCATTCTAATTGCCTGCGGCTTGCCGCATTTGAACGCGCGCGATGCAACGGCACCCATCCATTAGAATCCCGGATTACAGACTGTTTCCTAATACGATCCCACTCTAAAACAAACCCGCGCGTGTGCGTGGTCGCGCGGCTGGCGGATGTGGCCATAGTGGGAGGGAGCAAGGGCCGGAAAGCTTCATACGGGTTTTTGTAATCAGGAATTTGCGCGAGCCTTTGAATTGGTGCCTGGGCACGCAGGGCGACCCGGTCCTGAAGCGCACTCAACCATCGAATTCCAGTGAGGACGCGACCCCCTACCCCCCTTCCATGCTCCTTCCCACCATGCACACACAACGCGTCACGCGTCTCGCGGCCAACCCAACAACACACCGTGGCTTGGGTCACGACCACAACCACCCACCTGCCGCTTTCGACGTCGCCGCACATCCACACCACCGTCAAGCCTTCTACCAGTGATCAACCACATGCAACCTTAACCCTCACCGCCGCACCGGAGGCGGAACACAATGGACAAGAGCTCTCTGCGCCGCCCACCGCCCTCGCCCATGCAAGCCCCTGCGTTTCCCCGCGTTGCACTCCTCGCCACGCCTTGCGCGCCACGGCGCTGTGAACCGACCCGACACACCGTGGCCACAGGGTCTCCCTCCCTTGGTCCGACAAGTCGTGGACCCCTCCCGTTCCCGGGTCTGCCCAACCTTTTTTGCCTGTTTACCATTCATGCTTCTCCCCTTCTCCCTTTTGGGAACGACGTTATAACCTGAACGGGAACCCGGAGTAGTGACAATGCCAGTGGTTTTCATTGCTCCGGTCCCTCCAACAGCGGGCAGCACTACGGCCGCTTCTTGTCACTCCGCTGTTCGTGCGACCCGTCGAATGGACGTCTCAGCGATAACTTGGGCTAGCGTGCTCACCGGCTCTTGAGACTCTCGTTATTTCAGGGCACCAGCCGGCCCATGCCTGACATGTGCATCGGGCGCATTCGCGTGCATGCGCAGAGCCGCTTAACAGAGGGTCCAAGATGCACAGGATGCAGAACGGCTGACACGACTACCGCGGTCTGCCGTGCACAACTTATGGCGTGCACTAGCGCAGAAAAGTCAAGCGAGCTGGGATTCCTTCCATTTCGAACATTTCGTGGACACCGCGCACTCCTAGGCTTAAAGTTGCTTGAATGCTTGGCTTCCACTTGACAGGCTTGTCCGGCACTGAGCATGCCAATAGAGTGTAGATCAGGCACCCAGCAATCCTCTCAACATACGCCGCTCTGGGCGCTTTGTTTGGTCTGGTTCGAGTTGCAGTGCATGCAGAAGGAAAGGAGCAGCGCCACAAGCTCGAACGTACTCCACAACGGGCTGAGGGATCACGAGGGAGACTTCTTCCGTCCCCGGCTCTGAGCTTTGCGTAGGTTGACCAAATGTCATGTAACGCTGCAGTATTCTCGCATTCGCTGTTCCCCCCAGCGGTGGTGACAACAAGGGCGCAGGCTGCAAGCAGGTGAAACTCTATTAGGCACCTTCTGTGACGAGAGGGACAGATCGCAAAACACGGTGGCGATCCACCGTGAGAAGTCTGCGTGCCGCTGCTATCTTTTGCTCGCTTGTAATAGACATGAATGCAGTAACACACCCGTAGCGCACAGCTGAGTTATTCTTCTGGCTTCGATCTCTAGCTATTCCTTCATGACCAGCACTGACACTGCTGATTCAAACCACATTGACTGCTGGTAGTGCGAACTCTCTTTCGGCTTGTACGCGCAAGCGTTCAGCACAGTCCAGGGAAGATCGAGCTCTCAGCTTCATTGACCATGTGCTCGAGATCCAGTTCTCCCTTTGAACAGCAAAGGACGTCAGCACACCATCCGCGGAGGTCACAGATCAAAGTCCAGATACGGCATGGCGGTGCCTCACTTCTGGGGTGGTTGACGTGTTACCGTGGGAAAGCTCGGACACGCGCCCATGTTTTCCACGGTTGAGTCAACCGATGTGCCTGAAGCTAACGAGTGTCTTGACCCTCCCGATCGGTGTCCTATCGTCATACACATTCCAGACTGTGCGACTTGGCGAGAAGTCCTTCAGCCCTTCTTCTGCACTCTGCTCCAGCGCGCGTAAGCGTCCCTACACACTCCACACGATAACAAAGGAACATCGTTAGCATTGGAGGAACCAGCTCCGCCGGCCTGGAGCATTGAAACCGTAAACTCTAAATCTCGCGTCAACCGCAAGTCCAAGGCCCACGCTAGACGTCGCCACCGGACCGTCTTTGTTTTCAACGACTCACACACACCATCTCTCCTCACCACTGGACAATCGACGGTGTCTGGCTCACCTCATTGCGTACAGGGAATATAAAGATCCTCGCTCCGACTGTGCACCCACACGTAGCACAGACCGACGCAGCTCTGTGTGTTCGCCACCCTTCCCTCGTGACGCTCTGCGACATCCCTCCCGTCCCTCCCTTCCTTATCCTCGATCTTCGTCTTTGGTTACCGAAAATCCAAAAAAATGCCCTCGCTTCTCGGCGCGGCTGATTCGTGAGTCACCGCTCTGGGCTGATTCGAGTCCAGTCAGCTCGATCCCTGCTGATACATATATACAGCTTCAACTCGTCCTCGGCGACCATCCGCCCCGACAACGAACAGCGGCAACGGCGCACGCAACCGGGCACCAACCAACTTGGACCAACAGACAGCATCGGGCGTTCCTTTGAGTCTCTCATCGAAGGACGTGCTGGCGTACTCCAACAAGACACTCGTTTCGAGCAGTACCTCCAGCCCATCGACACCGACTCGCCCGGCCCATCGTCGGCGGGACAGGGGACGTTCAACCCGCTCGACTTCCTGAACGACAGCGCTGCGGAGTATCCGCCGCAGCAAGCTCACACGGTGCAGCCCGCCGAGTTCTTCAGGCCGAGCAGCGCCGCGAGCCACCGATCGGCGGCCAGCGGCGCCAGCCTCAGCACCACCGACATCGATTCCACGGGCTACTACACGACGGACATGAGCGACGACGGCTTTGCCCCGCAGGACCTCGCGAGCCCGTCGCCTTTGAATGAGATCGGCGCGTTAAACCTGAACTCGGGCGGCGCCGCACCAACGTGGGCAGCCTATGAAGCGCCTTCCCCCATTGTGCCAGCGACAATCAGCCCGTCAACGGACGCTCTTGGCAGCTCAGTGCCTCGTGCAGGACCGAGTCGCAATATCCGTGGAGTGCAGAACAGCAAGGATCTTGAGGAGAAGAAGCGTCTAGACAGGCTGGAACGTGAGTATGAGACTGGTTGAGCGCAGCCACTCTCCCAAGCTGCGCCACGCGGTCCTTAGCTGACACCACAGACCGGCGCTCGATCAATAGACGATCGGCGCAGAAACACCGCCTGCGGCGCAAGGAGGAGATGGAGACGCTGCAGGCGCAGATCCGCGAGCGCGACCTCGAAATCCGGCAGCTGAAGGAGGAGCTTGCGGCTGTGCGCGCGCAGGCCCAGACGTACATGGAGATTGTCAAGGGGTTGCAAGGCAAAGGGGCGTAGGGAGCCTGAGTGGGTCGGCAGAAGAAAGGCGAGAGCGCCAGCTGAAGAAGGGAAGGCAGTTTACGGGGATGTACAGCGAGAGAGACCAGGACAGTTCCGTAGTCTTCTGGGCAAATGCAATGTAATAGTTCATACAAACGTTCTACAGCAACAGCTCGACCTGCTCCTTCACCGCGTCCCAGACGGGTCCCGGATCCACCGTGTTCTCAACCAGGAGCTCCTGATACCGCCTTCCGAGCTGGTAGCACAGGTTCTTGAAGTGGTAGTTGCGCTCATAGATCTCGTCGACCTGGAGCTCGACCATGGCCCCGCGTCCGGGGGGCGTGAAGAGCGTGAGCGCGAGCGCGCCGCCGTGTGCTCCAATCACCACATCTGTGTGCGCGAGGTACGCCACCTGCGTCTCGAGCGGGACAAGGAGGGGGTCAAGCACCGAAAACCGGATCACTGGGGCGTCGGTGCCGACGTCATCCTCCGAGACAGAAGCGGCAGGGGCAAGCCATCGGTCCGGCTCGTCATCTATCCGCTCAAAGTCGCACCGGCCGTCAGAACACATCCCGGCAAACTCAGAAGCCAGGTGGTCCAGCAAAGCAGGTTCGTTGTAGATATGTCGCGTCCCGCGCCAGTGCGAGTACTGCCTTGTGCGGAAGAACCATTTGTCCAGTTTCAGTCGGCTCAGGAACAAGACTCGGATGATCTTTCGTCCTCCGTCCGCCTCACTCCCACTCCCACTCCCATGTACGTCGACGGCGTAGGAATGACTCGGCAGCCCCGGGGGCAGCCCCGGGGGTAGGTACCCCATCAAATAACGCATGTAGTGACTCCCCGCCCATGTGATCGCGCTCGCGCAGCCGGCAAAGCGATGCACGGGGATGACGGTCAGGATGCTCGGCGCGCTGTGCGCTGTGCCGTGGATCAGGCGGCGGAAGCACGTCTGGTCGGCATAAGGGTCGAGCTCGAGGATACGCGGTGAGTACGCCCCAATGCCGTCCCAGAGGGTCGCGTAGTGGTTTCCCGCGATTGCGAATTCGTCGCTGAATGCGAGCTGTACCCTTTCTTGGGCTAGGGAGGGGTCCGCCGTCCCGACAATAAGCAGGTTGAGGAGGGCCGTGAGAATGTCCTCGGCGACGTGGAAACTAACATTAGCTGGGAAGGACGGAGGGGTGACTCACGGATTCCACTCGTCGCGCCGGTGTACCAGAAACGTCGTCGTGTTCACCCATTCCTTGCATTGTACCTCCGAGCGGACGTCGAGGAGATTCGCGAGCGCGTACTTGTCCCTTGAGCGGGGGAGGGTGCAGTCCAAAGGCGTCGCGAAGCGAGACGCATTGCCCGACGTCTGCAGTCCGGTCGAGAGGCAGGGATAGCTCCCCATCGCCCACCAGGAGGAGCCGCGCCCGTCCTTGGGGTTGAGGCAGGTGATGCTCCCCTGCTCGCGCGGGTCTCGCTCCTCCTCGCTCCTCGTGCTGATGGCCTGTCGGGCCAGGTCTCGTCCCTGTCGCGCTTGCGTGCCCGTAACTTCTGAGTCGGCGGGCGTGATGGACGAGCGCAGCTCGGTCCCTGTCCCCCGTTCAGGCGCCCTGCACGCCGCCTTGCCCGTCTTGGCCCACTCGGTGATGAGCGGCACGCCGAGCCGGTCGCGGCACGTGTCGACGCCTGCGCGCTTGACCTCCAGCTCGGCGAGTTCGAGGAAGGCACGCATAGTCCGAATAGGGTACATGTCCTTCACGTACGCGCCGCGGGGCAGCGAGCCCAGGATCTGGAGCGTCTCGGCGCTCAGCCGGTCGTCCTCCTTCGTATCCTCCTCGACGTCTTCTGCACTTGCGACTTCAGAGTCGAGAGCAGATGGAGGACTGTCAGACGGACTGGAAAGCTCGGCGAAAATCGCATCGCTGTCTTCCGTCACGACCGGGACATGCGGACGAGGGGCCATGTGCTGAGCACGGAAACCGAGCACGGCGTAGTGCAGGACTACCGCGCCGAAGAGCGCCAGCACAATGCGTAAGGCCCACCGCCGCGGGCTCGCTGTAGGCCGCGGGGACCGCGTCCCATTGCTCGGCGGTGAGCTCGGAACTCGGGTGTACTCCGCTGTCATGACTACTTCCACTGCCCGCTAGCCCTCTCCCCCTCTTGTTCTTTGGCGCTAGGTCCCGATGGACAAGATGAGCTCGGCAAGCTAACCGTGCGTAGAGGTCGATACCCGGTGTCCGGTGTTCGATGCCTGCGGCAGAGTGCGGTAAGTAGTAGTAAGCGGGTGAGCAGGCAAGTGGTAGTGAGTCAAGTGTCAAATGGTGCTTCTTGGCAAGTCGCAAGCCCTACCTGACGACCTGACGTCCTGACGTTGATCAGCAAGCGACGAGAAAAGCCCATGCGCCGCCAATGCACTTCCGATTCTCCGAACCCCACTGGTCTCGAACTAACCTGACGGTCGCGTTCCTTGGAACGGCGCCCTCCGCAGCATGGACAGCAGAGGTGCCGGCTTAGACCTGTGCACCTGCTTCGCACCCTTCCTCAAACCCTGCGAGCGGCGCTCTTGCTCCTCGATGTTCCGGCAATCACGTCTATCGCGCTCTCCAGTTGCGGACAAGAAAAGCAGACAAACACGGGCACACAGACACCCCGAAACTCTGTCCCTCACCGTTCCTCCGTCGCTAGGCAAAGCTGAGCTAGGCGCAGAACCAAATACGCTCGCTCACCCTTGGGCGACCGTGATGTACGAATCAGGGTTGCCGGTTGGTCGCGCCGGCCGGACGTGCCTGTTCAGGCGAGCCAAATTTAGTGTTCCTTCCAGCGACTCGTGCGACATGCCCAGAAAAAGAGTTCAGAGGTGATGAGTTGCCTAATGCCTAATGCTGCTGCATTGATTGATGCTAATACTTCTACTACTGCTACTGATTGATGATGAATGGGGTGGTGATGCGTTGCGATGCGTCGTGAGTCGTCTACTTCTGGTGAGCCTGCTGGGCCGCACGGCGCTGCTGGCCCTTCTTCGAGGTGTCGATGAACCGGAAAACGTGCTTGCCCGGCTTGTTGTAGTTGGAGGGGGTCTCGGGCGCTGGCGGCCGGGGAGGGTGCTCCGCGGCACGGTCCATCGCCTGCTGCGCCGCCGAGGTGCCCGAGACGTACTCGGCCTCGCTGACGAACGCCCACGCCTCCTTCTCGAGACCCTGGCTGTCCGACTGCTTGCGCAGGTCGCCGAACGAACCAAGGGCGCCGCGCTCCTCCTCCTGGATCTCGGCCTCCGTCGACTCGTGCCCGACACGAGCGATCTCCTCATCGCGCAGCGCCCGTGGGGAGGGCGCCTTCTCCTGCTTGGGGTCGTAAGGGATCGAGCAGCCGAGCAGCCGCTCCATTCCGGCCTGGTACGCCTTGTTGAGCGGAAGGTTCTGTTTGTCAGCTTCTCGTCCACAGTTGAGGTGATGTGGGGGAAGGGGTCAGAAAGCCATGCATTTGAGGGGTTGTTTAACCACGTTTTGGGTCTTCAAGACTAATCGATCTCGCTCATCATAGAAGGTAGTGTCGGGGATGGATTGATAACTCACCTGGGGTTCAAACGAAAGATACGAGACAAATACACGGCAAATCGTTCGTCGTTCGCGAGAGGAAGACAGCGTCAGCACGGGTTACACCTTGTCTAGAGGGCACGACGGCCACAGAGGGGGGCAAGGAAGCATCAGGAAGTGAAGAAATTATGTTTGAGTAACCATAAGGGAGGAAGCTCCCATAGTGTGTCTTAGGTAAAGAATGTCATGTCATGTTTCTCATCAGTGAGAGAGGGAAGGCGAGACCGTGTGTCCACTCTGAGAAGAGAGCGAACTATCACAGCGAGAGAAGAGGGGGAGTGGAGCAGTGGATAGTGTGGCCGAAGTCGCGGCATTAACTCACCTGGCGCCTGAACTCGGCCTCGACCTCCTTGAGCTTGGCGATCGCCTCAATCCTCGCCTTGGAGACGGAGAACTGAGTCGCGATCTGGCCAATCGTCTTCTCGCCTGAGCGGAGCTCCTGGTCGATCTGGGTCAGGATGGCGTCCGAGATGGGCGGCGGCGGCTGGAATGACGGGTTCGTGGCGAACGGCTGAAAGGCTGTCAGCTTGGGGGTTCACGAGCGTGAGCCAGGGTACTCACCATGTCTACTCCGAGCCACTTGGCCTTCTCGCCCTTCTTTCCCCCCTTCTTGAAGACTGCTCCGACGGTCTGGAGCCAAACTTTGTAGTTGTGCTCGAAGACGGCAGGATCGCGGTCGCCTTGCCGCGTCTTAGCCTTCCAGGCTCTCGCAAGGTTGCCCATCTCAATCTTATCCAACTTATCCGAGTTAGGAGGTCCAGCCCGGTGGGGCTGGGGTGACGACTCGGTCGACTGATGCCTGGCGCAACCCGCGGCGTTGAACGCGGACCGCGCGACACGCACTCGGCTCGGTCCCGCGACGGCGTTGGCGACGAAGGACATCGTGGGGGGTGAAAGGGAGAGTGGGAGGGAGTTGTGAGGAAAGAGAGGCAAGATGAGGAGAAAGGAAGAGGCAAGTCTGCCAACTTTTTTCGTGCAACCACCACTCGCGCCCGGGACTGCTTTCGGTGGCTTAGGAAATCCACCGCACCACCCAATCCGGGCGCTCCTGGGTGGTAGGCTGCAGCTCGCCCTCATATCGGGAAGTTTCGGTGATACATTTCGCAGGCAGGTGGAGGTCGCTGTGTGGCACTTTTTTCTGAACCGTCCCTGGTCATGGGATTGTCGATTGCAGCCCTCGACCTCTGGCCTGCTCGTCTGCGCGCAAGTCAAAAGTCATCTAGTTAAGCCCAAAGTCACTCCGACGCCGTTCGAGCACACCACCCACCATGCCGACTCCCCCGCACCGCATCCTGACCCACATCCGGAACACGTCGCGCGCCGCCCTCGCGTCCACGTCCCTCCCCTACAACAACGCCGCGCTCGGCATCTCCTCCGTCCTCCTCCGTCACGGCCTCCTCACCAACGTCTCCCTCGGCGGACCGACGCACCCTGCCCCCGCCGAATTCCCCAAGCTCCCCGTCCCCGCCCGCCGTCTCTGGATTGACCACAAGGTACCGCGCCGGACAGCCGGTGCTCCGTCGCATCGACCTCATCTCCAAGCCCTCCGTCCGACGAGGTGTCGACCACGAGAAGCTCGGCCTCCTCCTCCAGGGAAAGCGCGTGAACAACGTCCCGGGCGTCGGAACCGGAGAAATCCTCATCGTCAAGGTCCCCAAAGACAGCAGCATGGGACGCAAGGGCGTCGACATGTACATGGAGGGATGGGAGGCTTACACCGCAGGCCTCGGCGGTGAGCTGATCGCCCGCGCCTCCTAAGTCCTAGTTTATCCTCGAACCCGCGCCTACGGGCCTCGCATCATCTTTCTGGTCCCCTCTCCGCCATCGCACGGCTGCGCCCGGCCCAGCACGCCTGCTCGCGCACCTCTCAACTCCTAAGCATGTATACCGCCATTCATACCATCGTCATGACATGTAATATCATTACATCACTTCGTCAAAAGTGTGTGTTTACAACCGGGTTCATCTATGAACAGATAAAGTTTTACAACAGAGATACCGGACGGCCACTTGACAGCCGTGCGGGGTGATGCGTGATTAATGCTAATGATCTGTGTTCGATGCTGTGGCAACCTCCTTGCCAAGGGAGGAGGGCACCCTCTCCTTCCGCCTTCTTGCTGGGAGGTTGGCGAAGCGCTTGGCGCCAAACGCCTTCATCTCCTTGATCCTCGCCGCGTGCTTCGCGTAGCTCTCCTTCATCTTCGCTTCTTCCTCGAGTCTCTGCGTGAGGCGGTAGAGTTCTGTGGATCAGTTTAGGAGCGTGCTATCCAACTTACTGATAAGCTTGAACGTGTACCAATAGCCAAGGATTGGCTGGCCAACTTCGTCCTCGCGCTCCTGCCCGCCGAGGAGCTTCGTCATGTCCCTCCCCGTCTCCAGTTGACGGAGTTGACGCTCCTGGTCGCCGTACAGGTGAATGCCCGTCGTGAACGCAAAGATGAGAGCGTACAGCATGCGGAAGTTGATCCGCTTCGCCTGCTTGTACGCCGTGGTAAGTTTGCGCCTGACGTCAGTTGATGGTTGACCCGGAGAACTCACTTGGATGACACACGCTCCGGGTCTGCGATGCTGGAGAGGAAGTTGCCCATGGCGTGGAATGCCATGTTGTCACCCGACCGACACTGGTCAGCGAGCACGTTGACCGTGTGCATCCTCTTCGGGTCCTCGGTAACTTGCTCGAGTTCCCCGATCGCCGCGAGACGGTTGACCTCGACAACGAGACCGAATTCGGAGCCGGCGGCGACGGAGCCCTTCGCCGTTGAGTAGTACCGGTCGGCAACCTCGGCGAGACCTAGCTGGTGCGCAAGCTGGCCGTGCAACATGCACACTTGCGGGAAGTACGTCTTGAATAGGTTCGTATCACGGAGATGGGCGAGGATCTCCTGCAGGAGCTGCGGATGTCAGCTCGCCACAATAAGAGGAGCTCACCTTGTCCGCCTCTTCCAGCTCTGTGCGGAAAATATGAGCAAGAGCCTGCTCCATCATGATCTCAGCGCGGAGGATCATGACTTCGTGGCGGCTCTGCAGCGCGTCCAGTGGGCCGTGGACGGAGGAGACTGTTGTCAGTTATCGTCCTGGACTCTACAACTTACATCCGAGATCCCATAGCTCTCCTTGGCGCGCCTCGTTCTCGAAGCGGCGGAAGTGCGTAGCGTGCAGTATGACCCTGCATGGCCCTTGGTTGTGGGTCAGGAAGTCCTGCCTACTAGTGATAGTGACGAGGTGCGCGAGGCCCCATAGGATATTGACCGGGGTCGTCTGCACGAACAGCGGGTACGTCTGTGCGCCGGACGAGTCGCGGAGCAGCATCTGTCTGTCAGCTGGAGGACTTGGACGTTGTAGCTCACCTTGACAATGCCGCCGTTGGCGCGGAGCTTACGCAACGTGCCCTTCTCCTCGGCCATGTCCATGACGATGAACAGCTTGGCGATGCACGCCTTTGCGGTCGAGTCCTCACCTGAACGACCCTCGTACAGCGCACGGAAGGAGAGGTAGTGGATGGTGACGATCGTGCGCCAGAGTCGCTCGTTAGACGATCCAGACCCAGCAACTTCGGGAATCTCCTGCGGGCTATACGGAAGGCCGAACACAGTCGCGCAATCCTTCATCGCGGCCTCGAGACGATCCCACTTCCGCAGTACGAAGAGCGCTCGCAGACGTGCCAAGTGGCAGAATTCGACCAGCTGTATGTGGCCGTTGGAGCGGGCTTCCCTCTGCTCATTAGTTCGATACGCTTATGCGAACTCACAATGAGGTCCTCAGCCGCACTAAAGAAGTCGTTCGACTGCGAATCCTCGAGCGTCTGCAGCAGCAGGAGCTGCAGCTGGTACCGGTGGATGAACGCCTCGTGTGGTGTCGTTGCGAGGGCGTTCTTGATCACGCGGCGGCCCACCTTGATCTTGTCCTGATTGTTAGCTGAGAGATGCGTGATTCAGCCCACGTTCATGAATGCGAAGCGTGCGCTAGCGAGCTCCAGGGCGTACTTGAACCGCCGTGTATGCGGTGAACGCTGAGCAATGACAAGCTGCAGTCAGTTTCAAGAAGCAGCCAAGATAACTCACCGAAGTCTTGATCGTGTCGTCAACGTCAGCAAGCAGGCGCTTCTCGTCGATAGCGAGCACGCTCTCTGACCGAAGGCGCTGGGCACTGGTGACAGTCTCAAGGACCTTGATACCGATGTGCGCGAACTCGGCACCGAACGCAGCGTGCTCAACATCGCTGAGGGCGGGCGTGTGCAGCGCCGCCTGGAGCATATCGAGGGCAGCGACGAGCAAACCGAGCGCAGTCGACAGGGCGTGCGGGTCTGAGACATACGGCCCAGACTCGAGGGGTAGCGGGGCGTCGGACAGCTGGACATGGGGCGGGACGAACGCCTGGGTGTAGTGCCGGTGCGCGGCGGCGTGCGCGCTCAGCGCGAGATGGTACAGCAGCGCCGGGGTCGGTATCTCGTCCTTGCCGTTGCGGGAGTCGGCATCTTGCGGCGGCGTCGGCGCCGTCTTTGGCCGCTTCACTGGCGTCTGGCGAGCAGACTTGGGCTCCTCGCGCGATCGTTTTGGCGATGGCGGGGTCGTCATGGTGTGGCTGGGGACGGTAGAGGCGGGACTGGGGAGCATGGCCTGCCCCGCGCCGCTTTTGAGTGGGGGTGGGGTACGCTGGCTGTTGTGGCCGCGTGGGTGTCGCTTGTGTTGCGGAGAAGGAAGACGGGGAAGACGAAGACGCTGCGCGATGGGTGTGGTGCGAAGGCGAGTGTGAGCGAGCTACACCTGGCTTCGTCCTCTTCGTCGCCGATGGGGAGGGGGTCGAGTGTCTCGCTGCAGAGAGCAGCGTTTCCTGCGATGTGAGTGAGCTGTTGAGCTGTGGAGTTGAGCCTGTCGAGCTGGGACGAATCTTCGTTGCTTTCGTTGGGTTGGCCATAGGGCGTCGTTCGGGCGTCGCGGGCGTAATCAGACGCGTCCTAGTCCAATCAGCCCTGCCGTCATCTTCCCTGCCCGCACTGACCCTCCTGCCTCATGGCAGCGTCAGGGCGCGCTCGCGTGGCCCAGGTCACGTGACGGAAACCCGCCACCCAAGCAAAAGTCGAGCGGGCACTCGAAGCGGACGCTGGGCGGCGGGCGGCTGAAATCTTGAGCCGCCCGTTGGCCGTTGGCGGGCGAGAGAGAGAGGAAGGAAGCCGACCGAGTCGAGACGTCCGCCGCTCGGCTTAACCGATCGGAAACCAGATTGTTTTCGACACCTCTCACCTCACCCACACTTCATCAACCATGGTCCGCCAAGCTTCCGTCGAGCGCAAGACCGGAGAGACCGCCATTGCCGTCACGCTGAACCTGGACGTTGCGCCGGGAGAGAAGCAGGCGATCAACGTCTCGACCGGAGTCGGCTTCCTCGACCACGTAAGTGTAATCTAGCGGAGAGACGTTGTGCCGTGATCATGAGCGAGAGTGCAACTGAGTGCCTCTCCACTATCCCTTCGGATTGTATCCTTGCGACGCTCGAGCTGTGCGCACGTGAATGCTTAGCTGACACCCAGATGCTGACCGCGCTCTCGAAGCACGGCGGCCTCCAGCTCGACCTGCAGTGCAAGGGCGACCTCGAGATCGACGACCACCACACGGTTGAGGACTGCGGCATCGCCCTCGGCGAGGCGTTCAAGAAGGCCCTCGGCGAGCGCCGCGGCATCAAGCGCTACGGTTATGCCTACGCGCCCCTCGATGAGGCCCTCTCCCGCGCCGTCATTGACATCTCGTCGCGCCCGTACTTTGTCGGCCACCTGCCGTTCACCCGCGAGAAGATTGGAGATCGTGAGTATTCTCAGCTCCGAGCGGCCCGGAGGTCGCGAGGCTGTTTCGTTGTCGCGTCGACGGTGCTGCGACTAGTCCAATACCCTCTGCAGCCTGTTGACTGGCATGCGGTTTCGTGGTGTCCTGCTCCTCGAGGAATGCGTGCTGCTGGGACTAGATGTTGGGGACCAGCGGAACAGCAAACTAGTAGAAATTGGCCTTGCCAACCAGCAGATACCAGAGACGTCCAGCTCCAAAGCAGCTTGACAGAGCTAACCCCAGTCTCGACCGAGATGATCTCGCACTTCCTCGAGTCGTTCGCGTTCGCGTCCGGCGTGACGCTGCACGTCGACTCGATCCGCGGCACGAACAACCACCACATCGCCGAGGCGTCCTTCAAGGCGCTGGCGCTCGCGATCCGCATGGCCATCACCGAGACGGGCTCCAACGACGTCCCGTCGACCAAGGGTGTTCTCGCCATTTAAGCTAGAAACTCACCTTCCAATTTTTTCCATTTAAAACTCTATCAAGCAGATCACAGACGTTGTCATACAGTAGAGACCATGCATAGGCATCCCTTAGATATAAACGAGAGAGAAAGGGGGGGTATTCAGATGGTGGGGAGAGAGAGGTTTGGGGCAGAGTTAAGCGCCCGCTGGCGCGTACGGAGTACACTTTGGCAAAAACTATAGGCTTGTAAGGGGGTGGGTGGATGTCTAGTCTAGAGATTGGGCGCTGCGTTGAGGCGCCATGGGGTTAGAGGGATGGATGAAGGATGAAAGGTCTAGGCCGGGTGAGAGCGTGAGCGTGGGTTTGGAGTAGGCTGGGGTAGAGCGCAGCGGGTGACGGCCGGTAACGGCAGGACTGGTACTAGCGGGGATGCGCGATGGGCCCCGGGTGGGGACGGACGCTAGTTGTTTAGTCGCCTAGGACTGATCGCAATCGGTCCAACATCCTGCGATCCTGCCGCTTCTGCCGCGGACTGGTGCAGCGTCCAGCCTAGCGCCGCCTAGGCTTGCTCTTGGTCTTCGTGGCCGTCGCCTGCACCACTGGTGACGCATCGTCGCTCTCGAGCGCGCGGAGCTCGAACGACTCCTCCTCCGTCAGCTCGCGGAAGGGCGTCGCATTGCGCTCCGACACGGGCGAGAGGCGCACCGTGTCGAGCTTGGGGGACGCCTTTGGCGTCGGCGCGGCAGAGGTCGCGGCACTCGTGTTCCCGCTCCGCGGGTAGTGCTCGCCCGAGCCGCGCGACGAGTAGTACCGCCCGGCCTGCAGGAACATGATGCCTGTAAGCATCACGGCGGTGATGATGTTGTCGTTGGCGAGGTCGCGGACGGCGCCGGCGAGGCCGGGGAAGAGCTCGTGCTCGGTCAGCTCGGCGGGGAGCGGCGTCGGGAACGACTTGAAGGCTGCGGGGTTAGCTGAGCGCAAGTGGAGCAAAACAGCTTGGTACGCACTAGGGTACACCTCAGTCGCCTGGTTGTACATGATGCTCGAGAGAAGGACTGCGAGTCAGCACAGCACACAAGGGCGTTCGCACCGTGGCACACAGCGATATCGTGAAACCCGTTATCTCTGTGTGCCCCGGGCCGACGGTGGACAAGTTCCAGAGCCCGATGGCCAATCTTTCCGGTGACGAACGTTCTCACGTTCGGTCCCCAAGACTCGGCCCACAGGCTCGGCCCGCCCAGACCACTACTCACAGACGCTTGCGCCATCGAACAGGACCTCGCCGCCCTTGCCCCAGTCGGAGCACAGCTTGCCCGCGGCGGCGATGAACGCAACGAGCAGCACACCGAGGTACACCCAGCCGAGGGCCGCTGTGCCACCGGCGAGCATGCCGTAGTATCGTATGCTCTGCTCGAGCGCGGCGGGTGTCAACGGTGAGCTCCAGAGCACATTGTGGTCCGCGATCCAGTGCGTGAACGTCGTTCCTGTAATTCGAGATGCCGACAAGGAATTGACACAGCGAGGTGTGAGAGAGAGGGGCGCAGCGTTCGAGATGGTCACAAGGGCGGAACAGTGACAGAGAAGAGATTACGATCGTAGACAAGCGAAACCGACAGCAAAGGCACTGTGTGAGCTTACGTCCACGACACTCTGCAGCTGCGGTTACTCACCGAGGAGGAAGCAAGTGGTGCAGGTGATTATAGTCGTCCGCCAGACCATGGCGAGAGCGTGTGGATGGGGTGGTGTCGCAAGTGTCGCAGTGGACGCTGTTGTGCACCCGATGGAAGTTCAAAAAGTCGGAAAAGGAGAAAGGTGAAGAGTGGTGGTGGTGACAAGAAGTCGAAAGTCAGGATGGAGGTCAACGAACGGACGGTGTTCCTGCGAGTAGTCTGGGGCAAAAGGGTTCGTGTGTGGTTTCGGGCACCGAGGCTTTCGCCTTCCTTAGCGTGCTAGCGTGCAAGTTGGTAGGGGTTGCATAGGCACTGGGCGATTGGGCCTGATCAGGGTCGCTTTGGCTACAGAGAGTCCGCAGAACCGCAGAGCCGGTGAACCGGGGCAGAGGTCAAGTAGCACTAAAGTCTGTCCGAGCTCTGTCAACTACAGCCTACAGGCTAGCGTCACTCCCACCCAGCACGCAGTGCCAGTGGAGTATCCAAAGCGCCCATGCCGGCGCCAGCACGCCAGCGCCGGAGCCACCGAATTCTGACCAGCATACCTCACCCCAAGCGCACCCACTATCCTCTCCAGAATCGTGCCAGACTCGCGACCAAGACGCTCTGAAATTCTGCTCCCGCCCGCGCAATATTACAGAACCAGTCATGTCTCACCCCACAACCCCTCACCATCAGCTGGAGCGTGGGGTGGCCATCAATGGGGGAGGCCTATGACGTCCCAGGAACGTAATCAGTCATTGGATCATGAACAGCGGGCATGCTGCTTCCGGACATCCAGACTATCTTCGGACACTGCAGACTTCTCACATGACTCGGTCGACACCGAGCTCTTGAACTCTGTCGTCACGATTCGGCGGCAGGCTGCCCGGCCTAGATTGCCCAGGTGGCAACGCTGCGTGCCGTGCGTACCGTCGTCCGATGCACGACGCAGACCCTTAGATCGGCGTCTTGTGCTCTTCTCGACACCGAATCACATGCCTGATACGGAACACTGCGCACGCGGGCCACGCCGCTCGCACTTCCGCCAATCGGCGCTGTCTGCTTCTCGGCCCTCGTGCGATCGAGGGCCTCGAGAGGGCCACCCCTCACGCAAGCCTCGCTTATGCCATTCCGGCGCGGGGTGTCGGACTGTCTTCGCTCCCATCGCAGATCTCGACCTCGTTGCTTCGTGCACTGAGAGCGACGACGTGGACGACGTCACTTTCGGCTTACCCGAGTTTCTGAAGGCTTAGGATTTCACAAGATAGATTTGCATGCTAAAATAAACTATTGCTACGACTGTGGACACAGAAAGGAGAGAGAGGGCACATGATGGACTTGACTAGTTTCGTGTCATTCGTTTTCTTATTTCGAGGTTGATGATTCATTCCTTTTCCAGGTTTCAGTTCCAGAGATGAGAGAGATTACAGACATTCAAATAGAGATCAGAAAGCGGAAAGGAAAGGAAACGTGAAACAGCCCCGACCAACTTAGTTGAGGGTGAGCTGCTTGTCGCCGAGCCAGCAGTTGGCAGCGGAGACGACGGCCTTGAGACCGGACGCGGTGATGTCGGCATCGACGCCGACACCCCAGTAGCCGCCCTTGGTCTTGTTCTTCGGGTCGACGTTGGGGGGGATGACCTCGATGTAGGTCGCGGCCTTGACGTCGGAACCGACACCGATCGAGTGCTCCGAGTACTCGCGGACGGAGAGCTCGATGCCGATGCTCGACAGGGCGTCCAGGAACGACGACAGGGGTCCGTTGCCGTCTCCGGTGACCTTGTGCTGCTTGCCGTCGATGATGAGGGTGGCAGTGATCTTGCGGGGAACAGAGGGGAGGTCGTCGCTGGCGTTGCCGTTGCTCGATCCCTCCTTCTCCAGCGAGAGCGACGAGATCTTGGACAGGCCGCCCAGGCGAGACGGCGACTGCTCGGGCGTGTTCATGACCGACGAGTTGGCCGAGGCACGCTGGTTCTCCATGGAGAAGCTCTTGAGCTCGATGCGGCCCGAGTAGTCCGTGCCAAAGTGGTACGTCTCGCGGAACGCTGTCGTGATGTCCTTGACCGTGATCTCCTTTCCGGTCTTCTCGGACAGGTCCTGGATGACCGAGTAGAACGAGATCTGCATGCGGCGCGGGACGTCGAGGCCGAGCGCAGTCTTGACGATGTAGGCGATACCGCCCTTTCCGGACTGGGAGTTGACACGGATGACGGCCTCGTACGTGCAGCCGACGTCGGCGGGGTCGATCGGGAGATACGGCAGGCTCCAGATCTTGTCGCCGGCAGCCTCGCGCTTGTGCTGAGCCTCGAAGCCCTTCTTGATCGCGTCCTGGTGCGATCCGGAGAAGGCGGTGAAGACGAGCTCTCCGGCGTAGGGATGCCTCGGGTGGACCGGAAGGCCGGTGCAGTCGGTGACAGTGTCAACGATAGAGAACATGTCGGAGAAGTCGAGGTTCGGCGAGTATCCCTGCGAGTACAGGTTGAGGGCGAGGGTGACAATGTCGACGTTTCCGGTACGCTCACCGTTTCCGAGGACAGTTCCCTCAACACGGTCGGCGCCGGCAAGAACACCGAGCTCAGCGGCGGCGACGGCGCAGCCACGGTCGTTGTGCGTGTGCAGCGAGATGATGCACTTCTCGCGCTCAGTGATCGACGTGCAGAACATCTCGACCTGGTCGGCGTAGCAGTTCGGCGTGGCGACCTCGACGGTGGCGGGAAGGTTGAAGATGATGCGCTCCTCGTTGCGGCCGTCGGCGAAGACGCTACCCTTGCCGCCGAGCCAGGCCTTCTTGACGGCCTCGCACACCTCAACGGCATACGGCGTCTCGGTCTGCGAGAAGGTCTCGGGCGAGTACTCGTAGCGGAAGTTGGTGCCGTGCGACTTGGCGTACTGCTCGGCGAGCTCACGGACAAGCTTGGTGTGCTCGACGGCGAGCTGGATCGTCTCCTCGCGGTCGTTGTTGAAGACGACCTCACGGAACAGACACGAGGTAGCGTTGTACATGTGGATGATGACGTTCTTCAGACCTCCGACAGCCTCAAAGGTTCGCTTAATGAGGTCGGCACGGGCGGGGGTGAGGACCTGGATCCAGACATCGTCGGGGACCTCGTTGCCGTTGACGAGCTCGCGGACAAAGTTGAAGTCGGGCTCGGAAGCAGCGGGGTAGGCGACCTCGATCTCCTTGAAACCGATCTGAACGAGGTGACGGAAGAACCTCAGCTTCTGGGGGTTGGACATGGCTGAGGTCAGCTAAGCGCCCTGAAACAATCGGAAAACTCACGGTTGGCGAGCGACTGATTTCCATCGCGCAGATCAGTCGAGAGCCAGATGGGAGCCTTCTTGCAGACCTTGTCAGGCCACGTCCTCTGGGGGAAGGGGATGGCCTCGAAAGGCTTGTAGCGCTTGGAGGGGTCCTCACTGGGTTTGTCAGCGCCCAAGTCCGAGGGGTCGATTATGGCGGCGTGCGCCACGAAAAGTCATTTTGACACTTACAGCATGGGCATTTTGGAGACGGGTTAACAGTGGTGGATGGAGAAACAGTGAGAGGTAAAGTCAGACAGTTATACGTAGTCCGGTTGCTGGGCTTTCCGGAGCGGGCGTGGCGTCGTAAGGTGCTGGAACGAGTTGGAGGCCGCTCAGAGGTTGTGGTAGCGACGAGTAAAGTCGAGTCGAAACGCAGAGTCAAGGTGGCCGGACGAATTCGAAAAGGTAATCAAATCATGTGCCCGAGAGACGCTGCGGAGGTGCGGAGATTGGTCGAAATGCGCCCCTAAACGCCCACCATGGGGACCCCTTAAGGTCTTCAAGCTCGCGGCACGCATAAAGGTACGCGACCTATGCCGACGTGCGGTGAAGAGGGAGGGCTTGGCACGCCTGTTGGCCGTCTAGGCGCCTCCAGAGTACGGCCGGCGGCGGCCGGTAGACGCCCGCGCCTATTACCCCAGCCTGTGCGATCCGCCGATCCCTGCCATCCCTGCCGCCATGAGCGTCCCTGCCTTTTCTCATGAACCAAACATTACGGCGGGTGACCACCCTCCACAGCCGGTGCGCGCGCGGAACGCCTGTAGGCCCTGTTTACCGCCAAGCCAAAGCCTTCCATGCATCCCATGACTGCCAGGCTGCAACCAACAATGCAGTAGCAACAACAACAATACCGTCCATCTCATCGCCATCTTGATCTGACCATCACCTGCTCATCCTCTCGCCCTTTATCATACACACTGGTGGAAAGCTGTGATCACAACCTGAAATCCCTGCGGCTCTTTTCCCTGCCACGGTTATCTCACAAGTATGTCACCGTCAACCCACCTGGACCAGCCAAAAACACTCCAATCAACCGACGACATACGGCCCCAACCTCGTCGTTATCACTCTACCTCTGTGTTTTACAACTACTCTCCTTTTGCATCCAGTTCTGCTGGACTGTCGTTTGCTGGCCTTCCCGACAGCCCGTCACCTGTCACCCTCAGAACGTCATACTTTGACAGCCCTGGCGGCTTTTCAGCGTCCCGCGACCCTACCACTCCCTCCTCTGGTGTCAAACGAGGGTCCAACCTTTTCTTCCCACAAAGGCATCGATCCTTCAAGTGAGTACGACCACTTGTCTTGCTCTGCTCTCCGCTACATCACCAGTGTTGTTTGCATTCACTGACTAGATCCAGCGGCGGTTCCGTGTCATCCCCCTTGGTGACCTCCACCCCCTTGAAACAACAACACAAGGCGCCTAAGCAGACGACTGGACCTGTCACCACCTCGACCCCTAAAACACCTCCACTTCGCGACTCTACAGCCGAACACTTGAACACATCTGTGCGGTCTACACGGTCTACAAGGTCGACGAGGTCTGCACTTTCAACTCGATCTGGGGATTTATCAGACAGCCCTCTGATGGATCCTCCCCACTCTCCCACGCCCAGCGACCGAAACAGTGCTGGGCCAACACCTATCCTCGTGCGCCCCGGGCGACTCCCCACCGTCGGAGCTTTAGGCAGAATGACTGGCTCTCAGCCTAGCACCCCGGTACCCCAGCAGCGGAGGCCGAGTAAAGGGATTATGTTCATGCCGGGTAAGGGACGGGCGACCACCTCATCGTACACTGGAGGCACCCCGTCGGGGGCGAGGCCGACAGTCGCCATTAGCACAGCCGTAGCGACGGCTTCGCCCTCCACGTCAAAGTCCATCAGCCCCACCGAGGCCCATGAGAAGGCAAAGACGAACACGAAGCACAGGCGGGCGTCGTCGGGCGCTTCGCTGAACTCGTTTGTGTCTGCATCGTCGAGCTTGCGTGCCTCCACCGCGCCCAGGAGCAAGGGCACGAAGACGGCCGCTGCTCCTGCTTCGGTCGCTTCTGACTTCCCTGTTGCGCCTCACACAACAGGAGCGCTCGCGGATATTCAGCCGACGTCTGCAGTGGGATCCTTCGGTGTGGAAGCCAGGCTGGCGACGGAAGCACTCGAAAACGCCACGGGGGGCACGGGGCGCATTGTGCCATCACCTGTAGAGAAGATTGAAGACGACAGGATGTCCGAACTCTCATCTGTCATCTCATCGCTGCACGTCATGGACGAGGTGAGCTGAAAGTACTGCTCTAAAGCTAACAGCAGCCCATGGAAGTCGCCGACTCGTTCTCGGTCGCGTCGTACTCGACCAAGTTCAACACCGCGCCCTCGACGCTGTCTTCATCGCCGTCCTCATCGCGGCGGAATGTGAAGTCGTCGTCGATGGAGGAGCTGCCTTCTGATGTGGAGCCCGAGGTAGGCTCTTCGATCAGCTCTTGAGCTGACACGCAGCTGTGCGAAGTCGATGAGACGGTGCACGAGATCATCACGGACGGCTACGGAAACGGGTACATCGAGGTCGTGCCGGACAAGGAGTACACGGCGTACATCCCACCATACCAGCCGCGCAAGCAGCACTTCGCTTCGATGGCGCAACACGCCCCGCAGATCTGGGCCATCACGCTCTCGGCCTCGATCGGGCCCACGGACCTGCCGCTGAACCGGCGCCGCGTCGAGCTCGACATCTACTGGGCGCCGCTGAAGGGCCTGTGGGTCTACGTGCCGTTTGCGCGCTACATTCCGAGCTGGAAGCTGCGGCTCGCGAGTGGAAGCTCGGGCAAGAGCGCAATGAAGGCGATCGAGGCGCCCCCGGCAAAGGACAAGGGCAAGGGGAAGGCGCAGGACGGCTGCGACGGCGAGCTCATCGCGCGTGACGAGCGCACGTCGCTCGCGCGGGAGCTCGCACGCACAATCATCTCCCGCCTCCCCCTCCTGTCCCGCTTCGCGACCTGGGTGTAGAGCGCCTCATCCCCTCGAATATCCACTACACTCGTTTGATAACCTCTGTGCAGTGTCAAAATCTCTCCTCCCTCCACCTCGAACGGTCAGGTGCTGCGGCGCCTGACGCCTGTCTGAATTGTCAACCTTGTATCCGTGATTCTTTGTAACGACTTGGCTTTGCATGTACATGATCTGAACTAGGTATCCGTGTGAAGTGTTGGGCAGGTGGGCTATCCGATAGGTTTCCTGGCCGTTTGGGCCGCCCACATGGGCCCAGGTGGTGAGACAGGCTCGTGCGCCGGCTTTCTCTGCACGTCACCCGGATATCTGAGCGTGGGCAGTCAACTGAGGACGGGGAAGCTGGCTGGAAGTCAGCTTTGACGAACGGGCTACCGCAGCTGACCTATGCGCTGACTCGATTTGGATGAGAAAGGTGCTGGTGCGGTTCGGAAGGCCCGGTAATGATGAGGATCGTTTGACTCTGAGCGTGAGCTAAGCTCCAGGGGCTTCTAGCTGACCGAGAAGTGCGGGCCTGAGGTAAGCTCATCCACGCTCGTTGAAGCTGAAGGGGGGACGACACGCACTGCTCCGGACCGTATATACAGTGCTGCGGACGCGATATCACCGCCGTTCTGGGAGTTAGCACAGACGGGCTCTACAACTCACGATATCGGCCGGTGGGGTGGCCGTAGTCTGGCGGTCAGCAATCGCACATGCGCTTACTACAGCTGCCTCACGATCACGTTCGACCCGGAGCAGGACCGCGCTGTATGACCGTGCCACTGAGAACCAAGCTAAATTTCAGCTTGAATCGCAGTTGCGAGCTGACTTGCTGGCCCTGCGTAGAGCTGAGTGTCAGCTACGGGCACACACATACAGCTGGCAGTCACTGACTCACACTTTGGGAACGCAGCCGCCGCTCCACTGTTTTTGTGGTAGGAGCTGGCGGAAAAGTGACGGACTGAGAGTTAACGTGACCAGTACCAGAACTCACTGGGGATGTGAGATCAGGTGTTGTCTGGGCGTCAGCTTCACGAAACAATCCGCTCCAGCGGACTCACTCTCCATTGAGAGTTGAGACATCTCGCTCGTTAAAAGTGGCAGTTGGCAGCTCACAGCTTCGGCCATTGAATGGGAGGGAATTCTGAGCAAGTTGGCTCAGAGATATCTGCAAGTCAGCTGGCGCTACCAGTGATGGTCTAGCTATGCTGCCAGTAGAAGAGGCTACCTCACCGTGATGCGTTGTGGAAGAAGAGGAGTGGCGGCAACCACAGTTTGCAGGTTTTCACGATGGTAATCCCGGACTGAGAGTTAGTAAAGCGACGAACGCCTAACCCACTGGCTGGTCCATGGAAACGTTCTGTGTCGGGTGTGAGCTACATCACGGAGGTAACTAGCGCAGCTCTGCGCACCCTTGGAAGCGTGGCTCCTGTTAGGGCAAGAGTTGATATGGTTGCCATGGCCTGAGTGCGAGCGTCCGGAAAAAATCGCAGAGCTCACCCTCGATCGCAACACGATCGCCGAAGGCAGCAGTGATCCTGGCTGTTGATTTCTGATGAGCACGTCAGAGGAGAGGAGCTATGCTCGGTCGACTTTGCAGAACGGATCTGGGAGTTAAGGAAACATCCAACTGGTTAACTCACGGCGACGATTCACATATAGCCACGAGTCATCACACTCAGGCTGTGCGTCAGTTTCAAAGACACTCTGGACAACTCACCGTAAGCTTCATAAGATAGGCAGGTCAGCTCCCAAGCTCGTTAGTACCGTCACAAATGCACACTCTGCATGCTATTCCTCTTCACTCCTCAAGCTTCATGTGGCGGAACCCAATCCCCCTCAGAACAGCGCGCCACCCGAGCCCGGTTTCCATGAGGCGGCGCGTGAGCCACTCGTCGAACTTCCGCACATCCCTTGCAGCGCCTTCCTCCAGCTCCAGTTCCCTCGCTACTTCGCGCCAGCTCATCTCCTCCCCGGACACGAGCGTGCGGAAGTCGCCCGTGAAACGGAGTTCTGGTGTCAGCTCGTCTGGAGGGGGGTCCCGAAAGCTACGCACGGACGATCCTGAGACAGACTTGCTGTCCGAGACGCAGGGCCGAGTCCGCCCCGTCACATGCGGGCATGCGAGGTTTGATGTCTTCCATCTTTACCTCGTCATCATCGCTGTCGTCGAGCAGAGAGATGACCTCGGGCTCGGGGCGAGGCGGAGGGCGCACCTCTCGCACTTCGTTGGTCTGGGGGTCAGCTTGCAGGTAAATCTATTGTACCGTGAGCTGGCTTACCGAGCTGCGGGCCACTTCCTGTGGTGGACGATGGGTCTGGGAGTTAAATTCCACCACGACTATAACTCACCGCGCTGCCGCCTCCCTGACGCTGGCGACGACGCTCGAACTACTGTCAGCTTTTCGGTGCACAGATGGCAGCTCACCTGGCTTACCCCCTTGTCCCCCTTCCGCCTCTTGCTTGCGCTCGACGTACCAGAGTCATTGCGCGGCGCCTGGCATCAGCTGACGACTGCTCAGGCCTACCGGAGCTTACGAGACGCGGGCGCTTTGCCTCAGGCTCGCCACGAACCAAGTGATGATCAGTCTTAGCTGGCAGCGACGGAGGGGTGGCCGGTGCTGTTTGATTATTGCGCGATGCCTGAGCCTGTGCGGCGAGGAGAACGTATGCCGCGCCGAGGAAGTTCTGGACAACCGCTTCATCGACCTGACGTGAGCTACCACTGACAGACCAGAAAGCGTACTCGCTCTCCGTCTTCTGCCCTGGCATCCTTAGAGGTGGTCGCCTGGCGTCAGCTCACGGGAGTCCGGCAGCTCACCTGGTAAGTGGCAGCTGTTGTTGGTGCTGCCTCGACAGGACTGTTCTGCGCTGTCAGCTTCCTGATCGATGAAGGGAGCCAACAGTCTCGCGCAGAGCTTCCTGTTCGTTAGCTGTCTGTGGGCTTGAAGGGAGCTCACCTTCCACATCCCCTCGGCAAGAGACCCAGCCTGCGTCTTGTCTGGCGTTCGAGTCTGCCGTGCGCCTCTTCCGGGATATGTGTAGCTCATTACCTGGTGCTCCTCGGTGGGCGAGGCGCCGGTGTCCTGAAAGTCAGCTACAAACGTTCCTCCAACTCACTCGGGCGCGGTTCTCCAGGTGAGTGCCGTTTTGCGACTGAAATGTTTGGTCTCCTGCACGGGCGGCGAATGTCTGCATCATGTCAGCCGACAGCAAAGTTGCGCTGCTCACAGTTGCAGCAGTATACTCATCCTCGTCTTCATCAGAAATGATCTGCTGTCAGCTAAAGCGGCCACAGCGAAAGGAGCTCACTCGCTCGAATAACTCTGAGCTCGCCGCTCCAGGATTAGAGCACCGGTTCATGGGGCCTTCATCCTCCGTCTGCTCGCTAATCCAGTCGTCGAGAGACACGCTCTCCACGTCTCTGGTCAGCGGCTCGATGTCGACGGCGACAGCGCCAATGGCAAAAGTCGGGAGGGGAGGGGTGGCAGTGCCGCTGTGGCGGTTCTCGTCGCTGCTCATTGGGAAAGGTAGACAGCGGCGACTGTCAGTAGTGTTGAAAGGGAAGAGAGAAGAGGAAGGAAGGCATTGTTGAACAGCAGGTGGGGAAGTCCGATGACTACACGAGGGCGCCGGGCGCGACGTGTCCAGACACTCTCTCCTGCGATCCTGCGCCCCATCACACAGCTCCTCGCCCCTTTGCCCCTCTCTTCCCGCGTCGGCACACTCCACGGCTCCCCCCTCGCCTAAGACTCGCCTCGACTCCGTCTGGTGAGCGAGAGTGAATCCGTGGGGAAAGTCGCCCCCTTTGCTCGGCTGCTCACGAGACTTCCTTCATGGAGCACAAGTCCAAGTATGTGCATATGGCTTCGGTTACAAGCGCGGCTATGACTAAGGATCGAGCTTATCGACATGGAATCCCAGCTCGCGGAGTATCCCTTTCCACCCCAGGCTACCCTTGAGGAGCTGCTCCCCACAGAAGTTGTCGACTCTACGAACGCAGGGCCACAGAGCCTTGTCTGCGCCAACAGCAGCGGCGACCGCGGCCCACGTCATGTCCCGGACATCGTTACCACCAAGGGCCGTCTTGACATCGATGTGCAACCTGAGTCCTGGTCGTCAGTTCCAAAGGGAGCCTGGTAACTCACTGATGATTTGCTTACACACCTCGACGCCAAGGATGTGTGCTGCCTTGCGATGCGGCTCGCTGAAGAGCTTCGCCCGCTCTTCTGCGCCGTCCTCCTCGTCGCCGACCTCGATGGCGCGGCGTGGGGGCGGAGGAAAGACGTCACTGATCGAGACAATTTCAGACGATTCCCGACGCAAGGGCGACTGACTCTTCTTGAGCTGATGTGTGTGGTGAGGACGGGGCGCGGTGGAGGGGCGAGGTGCGACGCGGGAGGGGGCAACGGAGCGAAGCGGAGTGTGATTCTGAGAGCGCTGCTCGTCGCTGTCACTGTTATCGATAGTGATACAATCGGGAGTCTGGGACGTCAGCTCATGAGTCCTACGGGAGCTGTGACCACCCACCTTTGCGCGAGGACGCTTCTGTGGGAAACGCTTATCTGTGACGAGGGACTCAACCGCAGATGTCGAGTCAGACTTCATGGAGACTGGGGAGGGCACCTGCACATTCTCCATCTTCTCTGTCCTCTCGTCCTCAATGCCAAAGACAGAGCTGTCGGGAAGGAACGTCCTTTCCTCTTCGGAAGTCATGTCGACATCCACCTCGACACCGTTCGACGGCTTGCGGGCGCGCTTGACGATGCGCTGAACGCCAGCCCTCTCAAGTTCGTCCGGCTCTGAGTCACTGTCGCTGTCAAGGGACATGGGTGAGAATGATTGAAAGAGTGGTTCGTGGGGCCCTTTCCAGGTAGGGACGGACGGACCGGGGGTGCTTTGCTGTACGTTCGGAGTTCCCCAGCGGCGCGTTATGGCGGGCGGCGACCGCGTCGTGCGACTGTACGGCGACGGTCGACCACACCTGGGTGAAGGGGGAGTCTTCATGATGATTTGACTGCTCAGACGCAGACGTTGAGGTATGAAGGAGTTCGAACAGAGTTGATCTCCTTTTGAATGCGCTCCACCGAACAAGCAGGTCACAAGGCCGCGTGGGTTGCGGGCAGAATGCGCACTTGTGTCGAGCTTGAGAGATGAAGCAAACGAGAAAGTTGACAGTGCGAAGGAGATCTCCTCATCCTTTCTATCGTTGTGCCCCCAAAGGCATGCCTGTGGTGAGTGAATACTGAACGGAGAGTGTGGAAGTCCGAGCGGAGGGCGAGGCCGGCGCAGCTGTGTGCAGGGCCGGGGGCACGCGAAGGGTGAGTGTGCATGCCGGAGATCTCGCTGATGTCGTAATGTGTATGCATACATGATCGTGGATTAAGCGGCAGCCTTGCTCGGTCCCTGCAGCTGCTGGAACTCGCGCTGCAGAGTAATGATCTGCGGTCAGCTCGTCCTGCACTGGTCGGCTTACCTCGTCCTTCTTCTTGTTCGCCTTCTCCTGGTGCTCCTTGATCTGGTTCTCAACTCGCTTGCTGTAACGGTCAGCTATGAAGAGATTATTTGTGCAGCCTACATTTCTGACTTGATGTACTCCAGTCGCTTCTCCACGTTCGCCTTGGCCTCGGTCGGGTCCTGCCCGACGAGCGCCGGGCCGACGAGCTTGAAGATCGTGTTGTCCGCCTTCAATGTACTGAACTCCTGATCCCAGTTAGCCAAGTCCCAAAACTAACTGTATCCTCTGAAACTCACCTTGAGGACCGACTCGTTCTCCGCCTGCTGAGCGTCCAAGCGCTGTCGCGCCTCGATGACACCGGCCATCTCTATGTTGTCAGGTCAACTTCACGGAGGAACACCTACCGGCCTCCAGCTTCTGGAACTCGCGGGACTCGTCCTGCAGTTTGGCCTGGATGGCCCCAATCTTTGCGGCGGCCATGGCGTGCTAGTCGTGCTGTTGTTGTTGCAGCGTCGATTTCGGCGCTCAATGGAACATGACCGCATCTCGCGCCAGCAACGGCGCGCGATCGGTTTTGGTCCCGCGCGGCTCGGGCCTCCACCTTCCTCCACTTTCGAAGTCCACTCAACCGCTCATGTCGAAAACATTGCCGCCGACAACAATATCAACGACGACTCTGGAACTGCGACGAAGCACGACTCGAAGATGCACCCTCCCGACAAGGGGAAGGGGAAGAGAGTGGCTCCGATCTCCTCCGGAGCGTTCTCCTTCTCGCTCGGTGCCGGTCCTTCCAAGAAGCCGAAAGGCGATGAGGGCAACAACAACAAAGCCGCCGCTTCAGAACATGTCGGGGCATCGAAACCTCGATCACCAGTTGTCTCCAAGACGCTTCGACAACCTTCGAAGACACATGCGCAGACAGCAGTCACGACACCTCGCCGGCCGGAACGGCCCCTCGATTCGAGCACAGCGAAGCCCTCCCCGCGGCTACAAGCTATGCCTCCACCAATGAGCCTGACGCTCACACCGAAGCTCCAGAAGACGGACGTTACGCAGACGACACCGACTTCAGCCAGGCGGGCTCCCCCGACCTTCTCTCTAGCGGAGGCGTCCCCGAAAGGCCTCGGCTCACCGCAAATCGCCCGTACTCGCCCCCTGAACCCGGTCAGCGGGTCGCCGTTTCGACTCTCCGGCATCACTGCGCAGAAGGCTCCCAAGCCTGACGGTAAGCCGCTGCAGGGGCTCACGTCTCTGTCGCAGATGCAGGTTTCGCAGTCACTGCCGCCTCCACATCCGTCGCACACCGCCGAAACCGCTGGGGTGGTGTCTCCGCGAAAGCGGAAGAGCGCACGCAAGTCAGGGTGAGTACCATGCCCCATATTCCGCGGTGGAGTGCGTCACTGACCAGCCAGCGAGGGACTGAGTGCGCGCCTCGCGCACCTCGTTGCGTCAGCCGACACGGCGCTGATTCTGTTCTACACATCGCTATTACGAGGTGCGCGCACGCTGAGCGGCGACGCGCTGCAGAGGCGCATGCAAGACGCGCCAGTGCTGCTGCAAGTCACCCGTACTATGCGCGCTCCGTCGCCCTCGGCCGCACTTGCCCATTGCAGGGTTCTGCGCTGGGCTGCGGGAACTGGCGCTCACGCTGCAGACGAAGACGTCATGGTCGTCTTCAAAAGTCTGCCCCAGGAGTGCCCGCGCATCGGACGCGCTCTCGAGAGGATCGACGAGAACACCAGGGCAGCCGTGTGGTTTCCTACGTCAGAACTCGAGCTCCGAGCGCAGCGTGGGCCTGATTCTGGGACATCAGATGGCCGGGAGCGAGATGGCCAAGAACGCCAGGACGCGCCCGACGGGCAAGACGCGACGGTCTGCGTGGTGGCTCACGAGAGTTCGGAATCCGACAAGCATCCACAGGAACCCCAGGACGGCCAAGGGCACGCACCGGACATTCGACGCGCTGATCGCGCGGATCGCGCAGATCGCCCACTCCCAGTCCTGTTTGCGTCGCGGTACCTCCTGGCTGGCGCTTAATAGCGCATTCGGTGCATGGGGTGCGCGAATGCGCTCGCTTGCAGTCTGCACTACTCCTGCCAAGCTTTCCGGAGTCCTTAATCGAGACAGCACAGACGCGCTTTTCGGTGGGTCCAGCTGTCTCACCCACTTCACCCTCATGTCGCCTCATACCGCCGAGACCCTCCAGCCCTCATCGTCCCCCGGTCCGCCCTCCTTTGGCCCTGCATCCTGTCGGCTGGACAGGCTAGTATTGCATCCGCTGAGCTGTTGTCTGGCACTCGAACATGGTTCCGAGGCACCTGGCCCAGTTCTGTAGTCCTGCCGAGGCTTGCAAGGAGCGCTAGACGCATACGAGTTTTTAGAGTTGGCAGGCGCTTTGTGCAGCAAGGGACCTGCGAGTGCCCAGCGAGGTCTGCTGGCGCTGGACTACGACTCGCTTTACGAGAAGGCCATGATCTGCTCGTTTCATAATTAAGTTTTGTAACTGTTGTAGGATGGCGTTGAGTGCTTTACCCTGTGGACCGTGTCTCTGCGAGCTGCGATCGCTCCGGGTCGTGCACCGACCCACTGGGCGTTGGAGGGGTTCGGACGTGTTGTGTGTGATTGCATCTGATGAAATGACGATGGGGACTGAATGTCTGCCCTCTGCGCACCGACGTGGGATGGGCGCCAAGGGCCGAGGCGCCGAGGTCGGGAGGGCTCAGTGTCTGACGCGTTGGGTGAGTTTGATGGAGCTGATGGCGTACAGAATGAATTGCTGCGTAAGGAGGTTGCCACCGCTGCAGAAACGGAGGACGCGCAGGATCGCGCAGGATATTGCAGGACGCTCCGAGGATGGTGCAGGAAAGTTGAGCGGCAGATCAGATCATCAGTGGCTAGTGCATGGTCCAAATCCTGACCTCGCTGACCTCGCGCGCGCGCAGAGGCTGTGAGAGCACCACTGTTGAGCCGACTGTTGGCTAGAACTCTCGAAAGTTCACAGGGGCAGGGTCGGAGGAGCCAGGCGTGTGCAGGCGTCGCGACCTGCCCTTCTCGCGGTCTCTCGGCGTGCACCCTCCCTGGGTGGTCATTTCGTGGAGGCGAGGGCCAATCACGATCACAGAGTGCCTGCTGGCCCTTAGTTGTTCCTTGTATCCCTGACATCCGTGTGACCCTGCCACCCTGGCGAGGGGAGGTCTGGCTCACGACGCGAGAGTGTATCTGCTCCCCCCTCTACCACCGTACGGTTGCACGACTTGCCACCTGCACACCTGCACGCGCTTTCAGCTTTTCAGGTGCTGGGGACCCTGTGTCTTGGGATCTTGGGCGTGACGCCCGAGGGTCGGTCCTGTTACTGGTGTGTGGTCCAGTCTCAATATACGGGTCCCTGAAGACGTGCGCTCCTGACTTCCTGACGTACCTGTCCTCGCGCTTTTCTCACCGTACCATCGATCCACTAGGCCACTTCACTGCCCGCTGGCTGCCGGCTGCTGACCTTCCTCCGCCGAGCGTCAATCGCTCGCTGGGCCCGGCTCCCACCATAGAGCGCTCAAGAGCAGTGCTGTTCCTGGCCTGACCTCCATGTACCGCCTCCTTTTCACTCTAGTTGCTTGCCATGCCATCCTTCTGGCCACCATAGCACACACATGCATGCATACATGGACCCCTTCCCCATCTTCTAAGGCTGTTCTTGAACTGTTAGGCTTCCTCCGACATCGATAACGCAGCCCCCGGACACCAACCATTGCGACGACCGCAGCGTGTTTGATCGCTGCAACGGCCACTCAAGTGTGAGAGAGAGAGCAAGCCAGCGAGTAGTGTATTAGCCCCGTTCAAACGGGATAAACACCCACTGTTCTCACCCCAAACCCAACAGCCAAAATCGAAACCCTCTTTTCTCAACCCACCACCACCCTATCGATCCCTCCTTCCCTCTCTGCCTGCCCGACCTCGCCTCGCTCCCCCGTCGTGCTTCTTCGACATCCCATCCCATCATTTCTTGCTCTTTCTTCACCCCGTCCTCCGCCACCACCGTCGAATTACCCCCCCTCCCTCGTTTACCAGCACTACCCAACGCACACACGGAGGCGACTGCAGAGCGATCGAGCTGACTGGCGCATTTGGCCCAATAGCATCCAGGTCAAACAAAGCGTGAGTTGATTCCCTATGCTGTGACCTTGAACCCTCGACACCACCCTCTGCTGCCAGCCCTTCGGCCCTCCCTCCCTCGATCCCAAGCCCCTCGCACTACCCTGTCGCTCTTCATCTTCACTTCCACCTGAGCGAGCGCATCTCCCAACTCGCAACCTCCTCGTTGCTCGCCGTCACTTTTTCAATACCGACAGCGGTTCCGCATCGCATCGCCTCCGTATCCACCCACCCACACACCCTCCACCGGCGTCCTCACGTTCCCCCCTTCCGCTGCTTGTGCCCCTGTCGCCTTGTGCTTCATTACACCAGCAGCGTGATCCACGCCCCGCCCCCCGTCGCTCCCAGAAACGTCGTATACGATCTCTCTCCCTCCTCATCGACATCATCAGCAGCCAGCGGCTCGATACCAATCTCGATTCTCACGACTGGCAGTGCCGACACACCGGATTTACGCTTTGACAGCCTCTGACTCCCTCCCTCCCCTCCTACCCTCATTGACATTGGAATCGCCCACTGACGTCCGTGTTCAGTCATCACGCACCGCCGTCATCGTTCGCCTTCCTCCCGCTACGCTCTCACGATCTCGACACGGACTATGCAACCTTGAGCCATCTCTCAGGTCTGAAATATAACCCCGATCTCATTGTACCAAGAAAGAAACAAGAAAAACGATCCCCGTTGGTCATCGATCCAACATGTCCCGTCCCCCTTTTAACACCAACGTCTCCTTCGAGGAGAAGCCGCCCACTCCCCGACGACAGTCGAATAGGACAGGCGCGCCTCCCCCGGTCCCGATGAAGGACAACGGCGGCTCGAAGGACGGCTATGGCCAGCCTATTCCGACGCTCGGATATGAGGAAGCTGGATATGCTGGCACCAGCTACCAGGGCTTTTCGCAGAGCGCTGGCGCCAACGTCGGACGAAAGAAGTCGATGGTTCGTCCGGAGCGTGAGCGCATCGAGCCCGGACACCGTCTCTACCACTACCGGGAACACGCTGCTGCGGATGACGTCCGTGTTCAGCCGTCCAGTGAGTCTTTGCATTCCTCGATCGCGGACCTTCCGAAACTGACAAACAGCGACTGGTAACCAGCCATACGCTCCTCGCCAGGGCGGAGCTACCGGTCTCCGCCGCGGCAAGTCGGTTCTCGGCCGTGACGGTGACCTCGAACAGGAGTCTGGTCTCAACCTGTTCAAGCGCGGAGGCACTATCCGACGTAAGGCGTCTCGCGCCGCGCCGCGGCCATCGGACGGCACTGGGGAGCCTCCCGAGAAGCCTCGCGGCTGCTGCTCCAACATTGCACCTGGTCCAGTCGACGGATGGATGATCTACTGCTTCGTCATCACATGCTGGATCCCCAACTTTATCATCTCTGGCGTCTTCCGCAAGAAGACCCCTGAGGCTCAGCGAGCATGGAGGGAGAAGATGGGCATCGTCGCCATCTGTGCCGCCCTTATGGCCATTGTCGGTTACATTACTTTCGGTTTCACGCAAACGGTCTGTGGTAAGCAAGGCGCCCGTATCAAGGGTGAGAACATTTCGGTTTCGTCTGTCATCATCAACGGCTACAACTACGATCTCGGAACCTGGAAGCACCCGGCCGTCGAAAACACCGAGTTCAACGGAACGGTTACGCCCCTCTACATGGAGGACTGGATGGTTGCTGGCAAGGACGTTTCTTTCCTGTTCCAGAATGTCGCCGGCAAGTGCCGCGGTGTCATCACCAAGGCCGAGGGCTCTTCGATCCCCAGCCAGGATGACGTTCTTGCCTGGTTCTTCCCTTGCAACCCGTTCCCTTCGAACTCGTCTCTTCCCGTCAACGCCACTGGCTACGACAACGCCAAGAACTGCCACACTTCTCCTACGGCTCGCGATGAGTTTGAGAAGCTCGGCAAGACCAAGCACAAGGCCGGCGTCGTCTACTACACCTGGGACCAGGTACGTAACGAGTCCAGTTCCAGGGCCCTCGCCGTGTATCAGGGCAGTGTAATCGACCTTGGTCTCCTCAAGTGGCTCGACAACAGGCAGGTCAACTACCCCGACGTCTTCAACCTTATGATGAACGAGACCGATCGCTTTGCTCGTCGCGACATCACGTCCATGATGAACCGTGCCGGATGGAACCGTGAGGGAGACTGTCTTGCGGACACGATTCGTGTTGGTTTTGTCGACTCCAAGACCATTGGTTGTTTCGCTTCCGACATTGTGCTCTGGGTTTCGCTCGTCTTCATTCTCGGTGCCGTGCTCATCAAGTTCTTCATGGCGCTGTTCTTCGGTTGGTTCCTCAGCTGGAAGATCGGAAACTTCAACAGCGAGTCGTACAAGGACCGTATGCGTCGCGCCGAGGAGATTGAGAACTGGACGGACGACATTTACCGCCCCGCTCCTGGCTACCTTCGCCCGAACGCTCGCGACACTGGTGGCAAGAACGGAGCTGCCGGTGGTGCCAAGAAGGGCCACTTCCTGCCGAAGCAGTCTCGTTTCTCGCGCGCCGACACCATGATGATGCCTTCTTCGCGTCCTGGCACTGGCTACGGTGGCCAGCTCGACCTGAACCGCCGCCAACCCTCAAGCGTGTACGGCAACAGCCTGATGCCCACCATGCGCAATACTCCTCCGGGCTCGCCGATGCTGCGCGGTTCGCACTCGTCGGCCTCGCTCCCTCTGGAGTCGTCGATCTACGGTAGCAGCGAGTCGAACTGCCCCTTCCCGTTGAACAACTGCATTCCCCAGCCTCCTCCGGACTTTGAGCCTTTCGGTTACCCGCTCGTTCATACCATCTGTCTCGTTACCGCCTACTCTGAGTCGATCGAGGGTCTCCGCACTACCATGGACTCGATCGCCACCACCGATTATCCCAACAGTCACAAACTCATTCTCGTTGTGTGTGACGGAATGGTTCGTGGATCTGGATCTAAGCAGTTCACTCCCGACATCGTTCTCAGCATGATGAAGGACCTCGTCGTTCCTGAGCAGGAGGTTGAGGCGCACTCGTACGTCGCCATTGCCGACGGTCACAAGCGCCACAACATGGCCAAGGTCTACGCCGGTTTCTACGCCTACGACAACGACACTGTCGAGCCCTCGAAGCAGCAGCGCGTTCCCGTCGTCATGGTCGCCAAGGTCGGAAACCCCATGGAGCGCAACGATGCCAAGCCCGGAAACCGTGGAAAGCGTGACTCGCAGATCGTTCTCATGAACTTCCTTCAGAAGGTCATGTTCGACGAGCGCATGACTACGTTCGAGTACGAGTTCTTCAACTCACTCTGGCGCTGCACCGGTGTTTCGCCCGACAAGTATGAGACCATTCTCTGTGTCGACGCCGACACAAAGGTTTTCCCGGACTCGATCTCTCGTATGAACGCGTGCATGGTCAACGACCCCGAGATCATGGGTCTCTGTGGTGAGACGAAGATTGCCAACAAGCGTGAGACGTGGGTCACCATGATCCAGGTCTTCGAGTACTACATCTCGCATCACCAGACTAAGGCGTTCGAGTCCGTGTTCGGTGGTGTCACCTGTCTTCCCGGATGTTTCTCGATGTACAGGATCAAGTCGCCCAAGGGAGACTCTGGCTACTGGGTGCCCATCCTCGCGAACCCCGACATTGTCGAGCACTACTCGGAGAACGTTGTCGACACCCTCCACAAGAAGAACCTCCTGCTTCTTGGCGAGGATCGTTACCTCTCGACTCTCATGCTCAAGACCTTCCCGAAGCGTAAGATGGTGTTCTGTCCCCAGGCCGTGTGCAAGACGATTGTCCCCGACACGTTCAAGGTTCTGCTCTCGCAGCGTCGTCGTTGGATCAACTCGACCATTCACAACCTGTTTGAACTCATGCTTGTCCGTGACCTCTGTGGAACGTTCTGTTTCTCCATGCAGTTCGTCGTCTTCATGGACCTCGTCGGTACCCTCGTTCTTCCCGCCGCCATCTCGTTCACCATCTACGTCATTGTCATTGCCATTATCCCCAGCCAGCCGACCCCGACGATCTCGCTTATCCTACTCGCGTGTATTCTTGGTCTGCCCGGTGTGCTCATTGTGATCACCTCGCGCAAGTTTGTCTACGTCGGCTGGATGCTGTTGTACCTGTGCTCGCTTCCCGTCTGGAACTTTATCCTGCCTGCCTACTCGTTCTGGCACATGGATGATTTCTCCTGGGGTGAGACTCGTAAGGTCCAGGGCGAGGAGGGCAAGAAGGACGCTGGCCACGGCGACAAGGAGGGTCACTTTGACTCTAGCAACATCGTCATGAAGCGCTGGATCGAGTTTGAGCGTGAGCGCCGCTGGCGCGAGGGGACCATGTCGCGTGACTCGTACTACGACGTCATCCAGCGCTCCAACTCGCCCCACGGCGGCCGTTCGTCGACGAACCACCGTTATTCAATGGTATCGACTGCTGAGACGCACCAGTCTGGCTTCAACACGGCCGAGGGAGGCAACAATGGCCTGCTGCGCTCAGACAACATGTCGTCGCTGGCCTTACCGCCTTCCAACTCTGACCTGTCGATGTACAGGCCGAGCCGCAGCCCTGCCGACAACCGCAGCAACAACTACCCGGGCTCGGAGGAGGAGCAGCCGATCCTTGGCGCCCCCGCCCCCGCGCCCGAGCAGGCGCGGTCACCGCCAGGATCGCGTGGTGTCTCGTTAGTCGACCGCGGCTACGTCCCTCCCCCGTCGTCGGCGCAGGACCCCGTCCGCCGCGTCGCGCGCAACCACAACCGCCGCTCGTCGTCGCAGGGCGGAAGGAACGGCAACTCGATGTCGTCGAGCGGCCACAACAATGCTAGTTTACCCCCTGGTGCCGCCGCGCCCAGGTATTAGATAACCCCCCGGGAGCAGTTGCAAGCTCCCCCGGAATCACGAAGCCACCTGCTGGACTTTTTGAGGTGATTGATCCCCCCGACTTCCATAGCAAGCAACTCTGACACCCCCCATCACCCAAGTACCAACCATCATATCTCTCGCCTCATGGACTTTTAACTCTCGAGTGAGGAAGACCCAGTCACTCGTGTTTATTGATGCACAAGTTACATAGGATTTGACCCCGATATGCTACATATTCACGTACACATGGGAGGAGCTGGGCACTGACGAATTCTGATAGTTGAGCTGAAGGAGCAAGACACTGACTGGACACTCGCCATTGCATTACTCGCAGGATAAGTGAAGTATATGCATACAGATTACTTTTTAACGTGGCCACCTGAGGGCGACGGCTATAGTACAACTTTTTAACGTGGCCGTAGCTGGCGACGCTCATATCTAGATGATCTATGAGATTGGGTGTTGATGATGGGCTTAGACAAAGGTGGCGGCACGGCTCGACTTGGCACGAAGCCACGGGCCATACTTCCAGAGGACGAAGGGGATGGGGATGAACGCGACCGAGATGAAGCCCATGAGGGAGTTTCCCCAGTCAATACCCAAGTTATTGAACAAAGGGCGAGCGACAATGGGCATCGCGGCGCCCATGATGGAGCGCACAAAGTCGTTACTGGCGAGAGCAGAGGCGGGGCAGTTCGGGTACGCAATGGCCATGTAGGAGAGATAGGGGATGAAGGACCAGCAGTCTGCGAGGCCAAAGATGGCGCTAGCGATGGTGGGCGAGATCCAGTGTGTGCGGTTTGCGCTCCACGCAAACCAAAACAGGCAGATGGGATAGCAGAATGCCCCGGGCAGGCTGAGGGGCAGGTAGTCCTCGGGCTGGAGCTGCCTCCCCTCGCGCCGAGCACGCACGAAGCGCGGCTCCCACCACACCCTGCTCCAAATCACATACACGACGTAGCTCGCCATGCCGCCGATCGTGAGCGCGATAAACGGCAGCCCGCTCAGGCCAATGTTCCACCCATAGCCCTTCCAGTGCTCGTTGCCGACGCCAAAGACCATGGGGAACGTCTCAAAGTAGGAGTAGAGAATAGCGTAAGTGAGCCCCTGGTACAGGTCGATGGCGAGCACGATAGGTTCGGCGACAGTGAGCACCATGGGACGGACGAGGGCCTCGTACAGCTCGTGCGAGATGGTTTTCTCCTTGGCGGTAATCTCGCATGCGGCGTGGTAGCTCTCGTCGCCTGTCATTTTGCGCAAGCGCGCCGCGCGGCGGTACAGGATGTTGTCGGCGTTTGTCTCGGGCAAGCCGAAGAAGAGGAGCACAAGCGCAGCCCCCGCAATCATGAGCATGATCCAGAAACTCCACCGCCAGCCCTTGTTCATGATCGCGAAGCCGGCGATGAAGGGCGCCGTGGCCGGCGCCACGCCGAGCGCGACGCCGTACAGGCCCATGGCGTAGCCGAGCTTGCGGTCCGAGAAGACGTCGGCGAGCGTGGCTCCGCCCGTGGCCAGGGGCGGGGAGCCCATGAATCCGGCCAAGAAGCGGAGGACACAGAGCCCCGCAAAGTTGTCCACGAGCGCAGAGGGGATCTGCAGGATGAAGAAGATGAACAAAGACAGGACATAGGGCGGGTTCCGGCCAATGCTTGCCATCTCACTCAAGGGGGAGAGGAACAGGGGGCCCACAGCGTATCCGACGACGAACAGCGTGATGGAGAGCGTGGCCACGATCTCGGCGACGTGGAATTCCTCCGCGACCTCGTGAGTGCCCAGCGCGACGATGGACGAGCCAGCATAGATCGCAAACGTGTAGAACATGATGACGGCCACGATCCAGCACTTCAGCCTGAAACTCCAGTTTTGCGGGTTCGCCGGGTCCTCGGGCCCGTACCACGTTACGATCTTGATGCCGTCCGGCACGACGGGGAGCTTCGTCTGCCGGTCGTCGTGCCACGAGATCTTCTCGTCGTCGTCCCCCACTGCTGTCTCCAGTGAGCAGGCGGAGGGCGGCGAGGTCGGCCCGGGCGCGCGCGGGAGGGGCGGCTTCGGGTCCTCGTCGCATTGGAAGGTGGGCACGACGAAGCCCGGCTTCTCCTCCGCATACGGGAAGGCGGAGGGCTTGAAAACTCGCACGAGCCGTCCGAATGTCTGTGTCGTTAGTCGATATTGCCACAAAATCAAGGCTAAGGCCAGGAAACACTAGCCCGGGGGAGGGCGCGTGGGGCGCAAAGGGCACTCACAGTCTCACGGACAAAGGAGCTCCACCGAGCCATAGTTGTTTGTTGTGTGTTAACGCAAGAGTTTTGTCAACCAACGATCGGTATGTGGGCCGAAACGTAGCCGCGGTGTCCGATACTTATACGTTCTTGCATTGCTCCATGTGCTTTGCAGCTTTACACTTTCCACAGGACCCGCGCCGAGAACAAGCATGCGCCGACGTCGGGCCGTTCCTTTCTCTGCGACGGTATGCGGCCCAAGGCCCGGGGTGCGAGTTGAGGCAGAACTCGCGCGTGGACCCTGCAAGTCACCTGCGGTGCGGAGATACGATGCTGACCGAGCCAGTGACGACCCAGCCTGCGGTGGCTTACTCTATATGACGACCGGAAAGTACCCCTAGGGAGGCGTCGGAATTCTGCCGGCTGCACCTCTACGCTGGGGACAGTTCTGCCTAAACTCCATCCCATCAGTCAGCCAACTTCGGATAGTTGCTCCGGGTCGTCATTCGGTCGTCACTGTTGCCATCTTCTGCTCGACGGTCGTCACTTGGTCGTCATTTCGACCATTAGTTGGGGAAAAAGGTCGTCACGACCTCGAGTCTTTATAAGCGGTGCGCGCATGTGTAGATCCATCTGCTTATTCATGCTTTGTCAGGCTTTGTCAGAATGCTGCTTCTCATGACGACCGCTGACTACTTTCAGACGTACGGCCAGCGACAATGAGCCGAAGGCTATGCCACACTATCTTCATTCTAGATCCTAGCACTTCGCCTGTCTGTGCCAAGCACGAGCCCATGCGCACCGTGGGCCGCGTATCAACTTATCGAGTCGGAAAACTTGCCGCAACGTCCGGAACACTCGTTCCATCTCCGTTAATGCGAGGTGAGGAACTCGCACTGCGCCAAGACAACGAGAAGTCGGGCGAGTTGAATCACCTGAACGCGACGAATGCGCAACTGAGGCGCTCGCCCTTAGCGAGCTAGACGCGATAGACGAGCGACAACCAACGGGACTCAGGGATGGACGTGAGTTCGTGCGGACTTGTCTCTATCTCCTCACAGCTCCCAGCCTTCCCAGATCGCACTGCGGAGGACAGCACTGCAGTGGAGACCGTGAGAGACTGCGAATTAAGCAGAGGCAGCCTCGAAGCGCTGGTCGTGGGAATCTCGGACACCCCGGTGTCCTCAGGACTCGACCACGTGCCCATGACGTCTATGAACACCGAGCCCTCCATCGGTCGTCGTTTCGGGACGTTCGGTGATGCTTGCTTGCTTGGGGGCCTGGAACCAACTGGCACCAGTGCCGGGTGTTGTTGTCGCTTGAGCACTGCGTTATCAGGTCCGTGGCTGCGTGTCAGATCGGAGTCAGTTCTCCGCCGATCATTCCACATCACATCTCGTCAGCCCGTCACTTCATCAACCACTCCTCTCTCACTTCTCTCTATCCACGAACTCGACCTCCAAGGGACATCCAAGGAAACAGCAATGGTCGCCCCTCCCCCCGCCGCGAACCAGAACAACCTCCCGCCCGAAGGCGGGCTGGTGCAGGATGCCCTCCTCGGCATGAAGTACAAGTACATTCGCGAGCAGCCGACCACGCTCGTCGTGACCATCACCCCGCAGGGAAAGGGGCACCCTGTGAGTATCTCGTCGCAGGTCAGCCGACAGGCTGGCCTGCCCTACATCCTAGTCAGCTAGCTGACAGCAGAACTCGTACCACGTCGTGGACGACAAGGGCCTGCTCATCATCCAGACCAAGTCGGACGGGTCGAAGACGAACAGTGAGTGTGCTCTTTTGACTGAGCTGGACGGATGAAACGGGGGATGTTGTAGAGGACAATGGGAAGAAAGGGCGTAGGACTCCCACTGACACCCGCAGTCATCTTTGACGGCGAGGGCGGCGAGCTGCTCTGCATGTCGCCCAACCTCATCACGATGCACCACTCCATCTCGGGCACGCACGGCGGACAGGACGTGTACAAGGGTTCCGTGCACTCTGGATGTAAGTGATCTTCAACCTGCCTCGACATCAGAGAGGGTTGATCGGGCACTGCTCGCTCCGCTCGCAGACACTGACGCCCACCCAGCCGGCGGCGAGTCCGAGTACCGCGCCACGTACACCAACCACGACACAAACGTGACGACCGAGGTGGACTACTACGGCCCCTGGGAGGAGCACGACGGCAAGATCATCGACCACAGCCAGCAGGACCGCGTGCTCGCCAATGTGTGCCGGGAGAACATCTTTGACTCCAACATGCCCCGCATCGCCGCCGCGGGACCGGGCACCGAGTACTTCCTCCAGGTCGTTGCTGGGGTTGACCTCGCGAGCGTCGCGACGATTGCGGTTGGGTTTGACATGATACTCGAGCGCGACCACAAGAAGTAAGAAAAGCGGAATTGGTACACACACATATGCAGAAGTCTAGCTTGGTCTTAGCGATCTAATGTTGTTGGTTGAGGGATGGATTGTGAGGGTTGGAGGAGAGTGACGGCGGAGCTACTGCTCGTCGAGCCCGGCGCGCCAGTCCTTGTCGGCGAGGATACTCCGCACACGCGCCTCGAGCCATTCCGTGTTCCCCCAGAATCCCCAGGAGGCTTGGAAACGACACCAGTCGACCAGTGCCGTCTCCCAGTGCCGCTTGAATTCGTTCCACGGGTACGACTCCTCGCTCATGCCCCACCTCTTGCCGTTCGCCAGCAGTGTCCGTCTGTACTCCTGCAGCAGTTTCCTCTCCCCCTCCGTCATGTCGAGTGTCTGACCCACATGCCTGTCGGGCACAAGCATGACGAGCGGGATCGAGCACGTGAACAACTTGGCGAGGTCGCATGCGCCAAGCCCTAGACCGACGTACTGGAAATCGAAGAAGGCCGCGCGCATCTGGTCCGAGGTCGTGAAGAGGTTCTCGCTCTTGACGTCGCCATGAATGAGTGTCTCGGCTGGCCGTCCCCGCGCCTCAAGGACAGACGCAACGCGTTCGGCCATGTTCATCCCGTCGTTGTCTTCCGCGCAGAAAGCATCGGCCCACTCCCCGCCCTCATCCGCGAGGTTGGCGAGCTCACCCCGCCGCGTGGCGAGGTATGTGTACCCGCCATTCAACCAGAGCTTCTTGCCCTCCGGCCTGCTCTCCTCGAGCGGCGGGCGCACAAACTCGTGCGTCTTGGCGGGGAACAGTTGCCGGCTGTTACCGTGGAACTCGCCGAGCCAGCGGAGCGCGGCGCCAACCTGCTTTTCGGAGAGGTAGGCGCGCTTCTCGCCCGCGAGCGGGAAGGAGACGCTCAGGTCTTCGAGCAGCAGCGCCAGCGTGCCCTCCAGCTCGGGGTGCTGGCCATCAATACCCGCGACAGCGGGGCAGTCGGCGACCGTGGCCTTTGTGCAGACTACGGGCGCGACGTGCGCGTAAAAGTACTGCTCGACGCGGTACGAGAGCATCTTGCGCAGGTGTCCCTCGTCGGCATCAGACACTGGCGGAGGGGAGATGAGCTTGAGCACGAGGCGGCGCTGGTCCCGGCCCTTCCTCGCGACGACGGAGCACACATGGCCATACCCCGCCCACAGGGTCTGGAGCTCGCGCAGCGAGACGACCTCGTACCCGAGAGGCTGGAGGAGGAGCTCGGCGACGCGGCGCGGGGTCGGCGCCGAGCTGCGGGAGGACTGGCGAGGCATAGTCGGCGTCGCTGGCGTCGGCGGTGTGGGGGGATCGAGAAGTTGGCGCCGAGACGAGGGAGGTAAGAGAAGACGGACGGAGCTGATAAGGATGGGCGACACAAAGTCGGTGATCGGTGACGGGCTTCGGCGCGCACTGATATCGCGGCGGTCGGAACCAAATAAACGCATGTGGCGATTCTGGCGCTGGCACACACCTGTATCCAGATCGTCTGAGACGTCGTGCCCACGAGACTTGTTACCTGGGCGCAACACACATGCACACAGGCGCCGGGACGCGCAAGTCAAGTCGTTCTAGCCCTCCTTTGCTCCCTTCGCCCCTTTCCTCATCCTTTCTCTGCTCGTAGTCTTGTCCACCTTCATCATGGCACCCCTGTCTCTCATCCACACACTCGTTCACCATGGACGACGACGACCCTCCTACCCCGGAGCTTCCTTCCGTCCCTGAACCCAGCCAGAAGGAGGTTTTTGGAGACTCCCCAACCCAGGCCGAATGTAAGCTATTAATCCGCTGTAAGAGCTGATAGCAGTCCGGCGCATCTTCGAACCCCGCCAGGCCCGCGGATACAACTTTGTAGCGCCGACGGAGCCCGAGGTCGTCCGTCCCCGTCAACAATCGTCGCCTCCATCCCCGCCTCCATCTAGGACAGTGGTGACCAGGCGTCGCTCTCCTTTACCTGTAGACGGGAGCGACGATGAGGTTGTGATGATCGGGGAGTCCCCGGCACCGCCTTCTTACAAACGTCTGCGTGCCAGCGCACCTCAGCAGGAGAGGCGTGTGATTCCACGCAGCGGCACGAAGGCAAGTCCTTACTCTGTGCCCGATACGCCGCTGCGCGAGCTCTCGCGGACCGTGTCCCCTCCCACCTCTGGAAGCCGGCGAACCCTCCCCCGCCGCCCCAGCAGCCAGTCGGCCCTCCCCGAAGAGGTCCGGTATCGCCTTGCTCGTAAGCTACGTGATCCCCCACATAGCTGACAGCAGACCTGGTGCATGGCGATGTGCGGGGGCGCACCACCGATCCCTTTGCGCACGTTTCGCGCGTCAATCCCGAGCTCAGGGGGTGGGAGGATGTCGCGAGGCATGTTGGTGCGAGGCCCGAGGACTTTGAGCGCGTGCGTCGTTGGACAGGCAAGTATATGCGTGAAGGGGCGAAGCGGGCGAGCGATGCTGGGATCTTGTAAATCCTGTAAATGCAAGCTGTTCCTACACGTTGCCCATGCCGCCAAGATCGAAGCGTGTTCTATCCCACGACGTTGTGTAGTCTATCACTGTAATATGCATGCAACGGGGTCATTATGAGCTGTAAAAAAAAGTCTATCGGACATTCTAGTTGGAGGAAAGGAACTTCTCCAGGCTGTGGCGCGCCCCCGCATCCGCCTTCTCCCAGTATGGGCCCAGGCCGCGGCCTTGCGCCGCCGTCAGCGCGTCCATCACGAACCCGCGCAGCGGGACGGCCCACGCGGGGTCGGCGTCCTCGAACGCGCGCCGGCGCGCGCCCTCGGGCGTGTGCTCGATCTCGCCCCAGTGCGTCGAGTTGTCGTCCTTCCAGTGGTTCACTGTCGTCCTGTATCGTCAGCTTGCCACAGCCTAGGAAACTCACTCAGGACCCGAGCCGTCGCCGGGCTGCAGCTCGCCGAGCACGTCGAGGAAGATGTTGACTGGTGTTAGCTTGTTCCGGGGGGCTCATAGCTATTGAGGAAAGGAGGTAGGAAACTCACTGAACTCGCCATCGAGGCGCTCGAGGGCCTGCGTGTGCCCCGTCGTCAGGAGCGAACCGGCCGCCATGGCGACAGCCTTGCGCGCGCGCGTCTCGCCGACATAGTCAAAGTTGCGCCACATCGAGTCGAGCGCATCCTCCAGCAGCTTGTGGCCGTCGGCCGAGCTCTGGCGAGCCTGCTCAGCCACGAGCTGGAGGTAAATCTGGGGGTCGCGCATTGCGATGCGCGACAGGACGCCGAGGAACGCGGCAAAGGTCTGGCCAGACGCCTTGTCGTCCTCGAGCGCGTGGAGCGTGAAGGCGAACAGGCCTGACTGGAGGAGCATGCCCGCCAGCTGGTCCAGGGGACCGATCTGCACGAGCAGCTGAAGCGACTTCAGAATACGCTGAACGTTCGTCGCGTTCTTGCTCGCAGAAGAGGTCTGGAGCGCCTTCATCAGAGACTCGCCCATGGGACCGCTGAAGTTCTGGGATTAGCTGACTAGGAGTGGCGGGCAGCTTACCTGAACGATACCCGGCGCATCGAGCATGACATACGAGTCGAACAGCGGGAGAAGCTTGGGGATCAGATCCATGTTCTCGCTGATCGCGCTGAGAAGACCAGGGAACAGCTTGATCAGACCAGTCTCACTCGAGGGCTGGTACGGCGAAACCGAGTTGTAAAGTGCCGTCTGCCACCTGCAAAGTCAGCTACTTACAACGTGGCCTAAGCTCACAGGATAAGACCATCTTCCTCGAAGTAGTCCTTGGCAGGCTGCTGCAAGCTCTCCTCGATCAGGGGGATGACGAGCGCCATGAGGTCACCCGACGACTCCTTGGCGGCCTGATGTTAGCTTGTCGATAGTTTCCCTGCAGCTACGTACCGTGACAATCTTGGTCGTCAGAACCACGAGAGACGCCTTAAACAGCCACTCTCCCTCGAGTCCTGCAGCGTTGTGCCCTGATGCGTTAATTCGCAGCTGAAGCCATGAAACTCACAAAGACCCGGAATGGACTGCGCCAGAGTCGGGAGGTACGGCATGATTTTGCCCTGGACACGCTCAATGACCACACCGATAGCGTCGTTGACGTAGCGCTTTCCGTCGAGCGTCGAAGCCTCGCCGATGAGCTTGATCCTGGTCGTCAGTTCGTGGCGGCAACTGCAACTCACATCTCCTGCACGGTCTGCTCGAGGTAGGGGAGGAAGTAGCTAACGTCAAGCTCCCAAAGCTGGAGGTCAGTGAACGTTTCACCGTGGGCACTCACGTCAACACACTCCTTGACCGAGACGGCAGCGGTAAGGTTGACGGCCATGTCCGACGACTCGCCACGCTCGGACAGCAGGTGCAGCAGGATCTGCCACACGAGCGGAAGCTTGGCGCACTCCTCATCCGAGTACACCCACTGGCCGATGAGCCACGCGACACGGCGCTTCAAAATACGGTGACTGGCATTAGCTCCAGCCATTCGATCTAGGGTTAACACTCACAGAGGGATGCCCTGTCCGAGCCAGTTTCCGACTCCCTGGAGGAAGGCGTTGAAGTCAATGGCACCGTGGGTTGCGAGCGCGCGGCTCAGACGACCGACAGCACAGTATACCGACTCCTTACGCAAAATGCTCGGAAGGTCGTTCGGCGGAAGGGCTGGTGTCAGTTGGCTACACATCATCAAAACTTACCTTCAGCCTCGGCCAGGATCTTGACCATCTCCGGCTCGATCGGCTTGCGGTCAGCCGGAAGGTGACGACACGCATTGTTCAGGGCGATCAGAACGCGCTCAGCGCACGGACGGAACTCGAAGGCCCAGGCCTCCTCGTCATTGTTCTCGGCAATCAGCCACTCTTCCGGCTCATCCTCGAGCGCCTCGAGGTCAGTGGAGGTCAGGGGAAGCAGCTTGTCGACGAGGAGGTGGAGGGCGGTGAGAATGAACTCAGAAGTAAAGACTGGAGTCAGTTAACGCGGACTCAGACTAACATACTGCCGGGGTGGTCGACCGCGAGGATGGGAAGGATGTCTTTGAACAGGAGCATGCCGAGAAGCAGGAAGCGCTTCGGGTAGGGGTTGTCATCGGAATCTGCTGTCAGCTGGTTGCCAAGGACATAACAGCTCACCGTCGTTAGAGATAGCCCCGTCACTGCCGGCCATGACGCCTCCGACCGCACTCCACCACCATCCGACCGCCTCGGTGGCACCCTGCAGCTGACACCACCGCTTCGGGTCCGTCGCGATCATGACACGCCACCACTTTCCGATCGCACGCAGACTCTTGATGAGCGACTTGAGGAGCTTGTTGTAGTCGGCAGACTTGGCGTTTGGCGGGTTCTGGAGGAGACGCAGGCGGTGTTCCTGGATGATCGGGGCGAAGGTAACCGAGTGCTGCAGCAGGACACGGATCTGGGGTCAGCTCTGCGACGCTTTGCGAACTTACATGCTCGAGTCCCTGTGGAGACTGCAGGTTCTTGGCCTTGCCCCAGTGCCACTGGGAGAAGCGGGCCATGATCTTAAACGCATAGCGGCCTGCCTCGGAGATGACCCAGTCGGTGTCGCCAGCACGCTCGCGGTTGGACCAGATCTCGAGCACCTTGCCGACGGGGGGGACGAAGGCGTTCTCGAGGCTCTGCATGACCTGCTGCCCCGCAGCGAGCTTGACGGTGCGCCACTCCTTCACTAAGGCATTGATCGTCCAGAGGGTGTTGAGGAGGACTGTGGCGGTGGAGGTCCCCGGAGCGGCGGCATTGGGCGACGCCTCGAGCTGAGAGATGCAGGTGAGGAGGGGGCTGAGAAGGAGGTCGGGGAGGTTGGGGAAGACCTTGGGGTACTCGATACGGGCGATGGAGACGAGGAGGTTGAGCTGCGGCTTGGCGATCTGGTCGCGTCAGCTTTCCGGATGACCTCACCTGGGACCTCCACTTTCGAGATTATGTTGTACTCACCGCAACGTCGGGCTCCTCGAGGAAGAAGAAGAGGCGCTCGCGCACTTCGGGCTTGCGCGCCTCGGGGATGAGAGCCTTGCTGCGCCACTTGTTCTTCATCTCGCGGCCGGTGATGACAGAGGCGAGGAGACGCTCCGGCTGGGACAGGTTCCGGTCGGCGGCGAAGGTTTGCAGTGCGACGTAGAACTCGGGCTCCTTGAAGAGGTTTGTGAGGGTCTGCTGGTCACGAACATAATCCTCGTTCGAGCGGGGGTTGACGATCGAGTGGAGGAGACCACGGAGGTCGCTGTTCGGGGCCGCCATGTTGACCCAAGCAGTGGTGAGGAGGGGGTTGTGAGATCTGGACAAGATCAAAACACGGGCCACCACACTCACCATAGACCTCGCGCTCAACGGGTCGGTCTCGATGCCGCCTCAGTGTCCCTGATAAGGAAATTTCGGCGACACGTAATTGATTGCAACCACGTGGTGGCGCGTCACAAAGTTCGCGAGGGACGAGAAATGTTCAGAGGTTGCCGCCTGCAGCTCGATCAACCGATCAACAATAATGACCTCGACCGTATCCACTTTGACGACCGAGGGCAAGAGCATGTTCCACTCGCGGGTGCACATTGAGGCGGGTGACCTCGTTATCCTCTTTATGGTGAGTCTCCTTCTACAGCTCCCTGGACACTGCCTCGAGCTAATTCCCAGTCCCGCGACAACATGACCGCTATCACCGTCACGCCCGGCGCTTCCTTCCACAACAAGTTCGGCATGTACAAGCACGACGACATGATTGGAATGAAGTACGGATCAAAGGTGAGCTATACCGTTGTCGAGTTTAGCTGACGACCAGATGCACTCCCCGCCGCCGCAGTCGGGCTACCTCCACCTCCTGCGACCGACACCAGAGCTGTGGACGCTCTCGCTCCCGCACAGGACACAGATCCTGTACATGCCGGACATTGCGTACATAACGATGCGGCTAGGTGTGCGTGTCGGTGGACGCGTGATTGAGGCGGGCACGGGATCCGGATCCATGACGCATTCGCTCTCCCGCGCCGTCGGACCATCAGGCCACGTCCACAGCTTTGAGTACCACAAGGCGCGCTTCGAGAAGGCTGGGTGAGTTGCGCAGGCTTTCTTCTTAACTGACGATCACAGGGAGGAGTTCGAGTCGCACGGATTGAAGAATGTTGAGCTGCAGCACCGGAACGTGTGCAAGGATGGGTTCGGCGACGTCGAGAATGTCGAGGCTAGTGAGCACATTCAAGCTAGATGCACTGCGACGTTAGCTAACGAGACAGTCTTCCTCGACCTACCCGCGCCGTGGGAGGCGATCCCCTTCGCAGTCAAGAACTTGAACGTGAGTCGTCGACGTCCATCGAGCCCTAACATGCAGCCGAACCAGGTCACGCGCATCTGCTGCTTCAGCCCCTGCATCGAGCAGGTGCTCAAGACGGCCACGACACTCCGCGAGGAGGGATTCACGGGTACGTCGAGTTCTTCCCCCCCCCCCCGGGCCACAAGGTTGCGCAGGCTTTCTTCTTAACTGACGATCACAGGGAGGAGTTCGAGTCGCACGGATTGAAGAATGTTGAGCTGCAGCACCGGAACGTGTGCAAGGATGGGTTCGGCGACGTCGAGAATGTCGAGGCTAGTGAGCACATTCAAGCTAGATGCACTGCGACGTTAGCTAACGAGACAGTCTTCCTCGACCTACCCGCGCCGTGGGAGGCGATCCCCTTCGCAGTCAAGAACTTGAACGTGAGTCGTCGACGTCCATCGAGCCCTAACATGCAGCCGAACCAGGTCACGCGCATCTGCTGCTTCAGCCCCTGCATCGAGCAGGTGCTCAAGACGGCCACGACACTCCGCGAGGAGGGATTCACGGGTACGTCGAGTTCTTCCCCCGCCCCCCCTCCATCCTCCGCCTCACCATTACTAACTATGCAGACGTCTCGACGGTCGAAGTCCTGACGCGCACGTACGACCTGGCAGCTGCGCCGCCGCCTCACTCGCACGCGCTCCAGGACGTGTCCTCGATTGCGGACAAGCTTCGCGACCACGAGCGGCGGAAGGAGGAGCGGCGCGTGATCCAGATGAAGAACGCGAGGGCCAAGGCGCGCGCCATGAAGGAGAAGGCGGAGCGCGAAGCTGCCGGCGTCCCCGAGCCTGCCGCCGAGGAGGGCAAGATGGACGTCTCGGAGGAGGACGCGATCAACGCTGCCGCTGCCGCCGGGGAGAAGCGCAAGGACGAAGGCGAGGGTGAGGCGGCGGGTCCGTCCAAGAAGCCAAAATACGCCGAGACGGCGGCGGAGGAAGCGGGCGGAGATGACGCTGAGGACGGAGCGAAGATTGGCCAGGCTGTTCAGGGCGAGACTGAGCCTGATGCCGCTGAGCCTGGTGCGGAGAGTGCGGCGAGCGCGGCCGGGACGAAAGAGGAAGCAGCCACCCCTGCCAAGCCCGTCTCCGGCGAGCCTGACGTCGCCTGGTCGCGCATGACTCTGACCAAGCCCTCGCCCGAGATGCGCGGCCACACCTCGTATCTGACCTTTGCGACGCTGTACCCGGCCGCTATCCGGGCCGAGATGGCCAACGAGATGGAGCATGTAAAAGCTTAAGCTTTCGCCGCGGAAGAATGGCGGAACATTGGCTCTGCGCGCTGGCTGCGAGGCTGCGAAAGGGCGATCTGCCGAACGGCCCGTGGCTCATGGCTCGCGGCTGAGTACCGAGCGGCGCGCGGCGCCCGCTAGCGTCGGCTAGCGATTTTGTATCACTTTTTGTTTTTACAATGCATTTAGATGGGTGTCAGGCGACCAGCAGCATGGCGCGCATGGCGCACGAGCTGCCGTCAATGCATTCAGTTGGAGAGATCTGGCTGAGCGCGGATCCTTGATTGGTGCTGCGGAGGGACGCCCTGAGGGCCAGTCCAGATGATGAGTGGTCGGAGCCATAGGGGCAGTAGTTACTGGCGTTGACTGGCGTAGGGACATGGCGACGCCGCACCTATAAGTAACGTACCCTCTGCGTCCGGATCTGTACGTTATGCTTGGCCTTTGGGCTGAGCGCGCGATGGCGGGGATGGATTTCCGGACATGAGCTTGAAGGGCGCGAGTGTAGAGTGGGGTCGGTGTTATCAGATTGCGATGTGAAGGGGGACATGTGGCGCTGTCCGCGTGCGTGCGGGAATGCATCGATACGGCCAAAGTACTACCGGTCGCAACGCCGGTCACCGTCGAGGGGTCTCGGGTAAGCAAGGAGAAGGAGAGAAGGGGAGAAGGGAACAGGGGTGATGCATGAGATGAGACGCGTGATCCAGGGCCTGAGAGTGAAGAGGCAGACGAGCAGAGAGGAGTACAGAAACGGGGATACCTCGGCCGACTTCGGGATTACAACGAAGGTACGGTGGTAGAGCAGTGAGTGGTCTGAGTCACCCAAGGGAAGGGGCGGTTTTATCAGATAACGAAAGTACCCCCCCCCTTTGCTGGGCCAACTCACCACACCCACCAACACACCCACTCCTCCTCTCCCCGGCCACCAACCACCAACCACCGACCACCACCTGGATCCATCCCTCCTTCCATCCCTCCTCACCGACAACATTCCCTCACCACCACATCCACCCATCCACCCACCCCACCAACCACAATAACAGGCCGCGATGGCCGCCCCGAGCAAATCCTCACCGCGGGCCGGCCCATCCCAGCGCCCCATCGCACCAAACATCAACACATCCTCCTCGGGCCCACAGAGAAAAGACACCTACCCCCCACACACGCCGAGTGCGCTGTCCAACGTCTCCTCGCCCGTCGCGAGCACCTCCGCACCGCCAAAACGCGCCCTCGAGCCCGCAAGCGATACGCCCAATTGCCGCGGCCCGACCCAGGGACCGGAACGCAAGTCGGACCGCCCGCAGAGCATCATCGACCCCGCAACGGGCAAAAAGAAGCGCATCAGTTTGAGCTGTGCCCAGTGTGAGCATCCCCATCTCATTTATGAGTGCAAATCACCCATGCTAACAATGCAGGCGCGAAGCGAAAGCAAAAGGTGAGGCATCCTTCACTGACATTGCGGGCAAAAGTTTTCAGGAACACCCAGCAGTAACATCCATACTGACACCCAGTGCAACAGAGAGTACCCATGTCAACATTGTGAGTAGTGTGCTGCTTTTGCGGCGAGTATCCCGCCAGAAGACTGACGTTGCAGGTCTCGGTGAGTCTGGTGCAACCGCGTTGCGTGCGGGCGTGCGGGGTTTCGACGGACCCACGAGCCCGCCTAGCCTGTGTAGTCGCACTAAAAGTGCATCGGTCATGTCTGCTAACCGCGTCCAAAGCGAGAAAAGTCCCTGAACTATGCGTAAGTACCGTCGACCTTTTCGCTCATTCCACACCAAACATGGCTCAACATGGTCACCGTCCGTCGTTGGCAAGCGCCGGTCGGCCATGCGGCCACCGGTGTAGCGGACTTCGGGCTATCGCATCGGCGACCGGCTCCAGACCGGCACCATCGGCGATGCTACCGGCGGCATCCATCCCGCCCCACCGCACTCCTCATGCATGCATACTGACGCGCTGCATAGGTGCCCTACACCCCCGTCTCAAGCTCGAACAACACGGCCGGCCTCGACCCCGCGACGCAGGAACGCCTTGAGCGTATGGAAAACGTCCTCTCCGTCGTTGTGCGGCACAACCCCGGTATAGGCGGGTACGATGCCGTCCGAGAGTGGCTCAGCTGTAAGTTGCCTTCATACATGACACCAGGCCTTGCGTCCTTATGCGGAGCTTGCGCCGCAAGAAGCGCAAGAAGCGTAAGGGCAGTAGAGGGCCACAAGGGCGACCAAAAGGGAAAAAGAGCACCACGGGGCGCTTCAATGAAAGCACTCGACATGGCGAGGTGGCGCCGCCATGTTGCTTCGTCCTGATGAGTCGCACCACGGCCCCCGTGCATGCGCCCTGGTCCCATCCTGTGTGGCCAGTCGCTGGCAATGGAGCCTGAGCGTTTGCATTCCTGCACTCCTGCATACACACATCCTGCAATTCCTGGCGGAATCTGTGGCAGACAAGTGGCTCTTGCACACTCCTGCGCACTCCTGCACACTCCTGCACTTTCTCATGTGCGCAGTGGCCAGTGCTATGGCACGCAATGCTTGCAGGCTCGCATCGTTGCTCCGTCGCCGGGCAGAACGGTGCGATGTTTGCCCGCTGGTGATTCCCAGGGAGTGGACCAGCGGTCAGCTGGACCGGCCCACCGTGCCTGCCGGCCCGCACGCAGTGTGTGTCTGCCCGGAACGGCATCGCTTGCTTCTCCTGTTATGTGGCACAGCGATCCCGGATTGCAGGAGAATGGAGTGCACACTCTCCCGCGCTCCACAGTTGCCCTGGACCATCTCTGTATCAATACTGACCCGCAGCGTCCGCGTTCCAGCGCTTCCTGGCGACGACGCCCTCGACACCCGTGTCGCCTTCAGCTCTGATCCCGCATCACCTGCATAACCCCGCGTCCTCAAGTGGCAGCAATCGGCCAAAAGTGGCATCTACGCCGCATACAATCAATACGGATGAGATCGAGCACATCGACAAGCCGGGCGAGGAGGAGTCGCGAATCGGCAAGGGCTGGTTGGGAGATGTGGACGGGTGAGTAAGCGAGCTTGCGCGACAGCGCCGCGCTCGTCACTTTCATTTCCCTCCTGAATAAAATGCTAACAACGGCAGCGGTGTCCCGGAAACTGTGCGTCTCCAACAATGCCCGCGGTGGTAGTGCCACCACGTCGTGGCGGAGAAATAAAATAGTGACAGCGTCCCCCCCACTGACGACTCCAGATGCGCACCGACGAAAGCGTGACGATGCGGATCGACATGCATGGCACGCCGGCCGAGAACTTGCAGCGCCTGATCACCGACTGTGGCGTGTCGCCGCACAAGGTGCAGGAGCTGATCCAGGAGCTGCCGCCGAAACCATTTGCCGACCGACTGATTGACTGGTTCTTCTCGAACCTGAATCTGGTGCGGTATCCGATTGACGAGCGGTTGTTTCGGATATGTAAGTGATTGCGAGATTGCAGCCGCCAGGTTGCAATCGAGCCTTTCCGGGGGCCACGAAGGACATTATGTCTACAAAGCGGCTCTGTGGTTCTGTCGCCCAGAAGGGCAGAGGGCAGAGAGCACAAGGGGTTGTGGCAGTGGCGTAAAATGTCTTTGCGGCCCTCAAAGTGTCTCCAGAAAATTCGCTGACGCCTAGCTTACGAGGACCTGTACAACAAGACGACGTCGGTGGACCCGGCCAACGTGCGCGCGCTCCCACTCGTGTTCATCGTGCTCGCCATGGCTGTCCGACTGGTACCCGAAGGGTGGGCGGGGGACGAGAACACGCGAAAAATCTCCTCATTGAGGATGTACTGGAGCTGTGAGCACCCCTTGGATATTTTCTTTCTTCACGTACACTAACGGTTAGCCCGCCGAAGCATTCTCATTGCGACAGCGCTGCAGTCTGAATCCATCGAACTCGTCGTCACCCGTCTTCTGTCTGCCATGTACCTCGTGCAGATCCACGACCGGCGCCTGACCGAGTGCTGGTCCCAGCTGGGCGCGAGTCTGCGCACGGCACAGGCCATTGGTCTCCATCGTGACGGCACCAAGCTCGGCCTCGACCCGTTCCAGACGGAATACAGGAGACGACTGTGGAGTTATCTCTACCATGCGGACAGGCTTTATTCGCTGATCCTGGGGCGGCCGCCGAGTATCTCGGACGCGTATACTGATGCCCTGTGAGTTCTGCGAGGAGCGCGCAGCGCGACGAGCAGCCAATTCTTTCTGCTCCCCACTGCCTGATGCCACCTCCTTTAGCGATCCAAATTTCTTGGCTAACGCTCCAGTCCCCCCTCGAACGTCGATCTGAACGAGTACGACCTGCACAACGCACACGCGCCGCTGCCGCAGCCGAAACCCCTGTCCGAGCCGACGACAGCGACCTTTTTGATTCTGCGCCGGCAGCTGTCGGCCATTATCGGCCGGATTGTGCACCACTTCCAGAAACTCAACGAGCCGGCGCAGTACGCGGACGTGCAGCGGTTGCAGGAGGAATTGGACCAGTTCACGCAGAGTCTGCCCCCGCATTTCAGGATGAAGGATGCGGACAAGAGTCTGGACAAGCGTGAGTATGGCTGGCAGCGCGATAGCGCTGGCGGTGGGGTTGCTGGGCCACTGATGTGTGGCACCGAGAAGGACTGAGGGCTGACCGACAGAACACTTCTGGCTCCCCGTCCACCGATTCACACTGCTCACCGAGGTGCTCGTGACGACCATCATCCTGCACCGGCCATGGCTCCTGCGCCGCCTTAGCTCCAATCGCTATTCCAGTTCCCGCGTGGCATGCTTCGAGAGCGCGAAACTCGACTTTGAGATCCGGCAGTCGTTCGCACAAGAAGTGCCCAACTCGCACATGTACTCGGCCACGGGCCCGTTCAAGATGTTCAACAGCGCGATGATTGCGGGCATCAGTGCCATCATCGACCCGCGGGGTTCTGATAGCGAGCAAATGCGCCGCATCCTGTCGACGTTCCTGCGTCAACACCCCTTGGAGGAGATAGAGAATCTGGACGAAACGACCAAGAAGGAAGTCTCTATCATACATACGCTGAGCAGGAGGGCGGCACAGATCTTCGAAGACACGATGGGACCCGGCGAGCTGAACGCTCAAGACAAGGATTCAGTTGCGCTGTTGTTGGGACTGAGGCAGGGCGAGGACCCCTCTTCTTCTGCGCCGCCGCCGACTCCCGCCCAATCTGGAGCTGGAGGGCAAGTGAGGAGACCCACGCAGAGCTGGACAAAGTACATCACAACCTACGGGCAGCCTGCGGCCGTGCAGCCGAGTCCGGCCTCAAGCGAGGGCGAAGACCACTCCCAGCGCCTGCTCGACCAGTGGCTAGCCCAGAACAGCATGGACGCCGTCGTGCCCTTTTCGCCCTCGGTGTCATTCGGCTTCCCCAACATCCCGCAACCACTCAACCCATCCTTGACGCCCATGCCATTCCCACACACGCCGCCTACGTTTGGCAATCCCGCCCAAACGCCTGGTCCCTCTACTCAACACAATCAGCACGGACAGGTCGGCACGCCCATTGGCGGAGGGTTTGTCTGGGGCTCAGGCGGCGAGGAACACGTCCATCAGGAACTCCCCACGGGTCTCGATGGCACGGTGCTCGGCGTCGGGAGTGTGAATGCCGAGGGAAGGGAGAATGACGAGTATTGGAATACGCTGATTGATGGGATTTTGGGCGGGCCGGGGATGCCGCCGAGTCATCCGGCACAGTAGCGAGCCCCGAACGAGCGGAGCGAGTGAGGGGCGAGTGACGGAGTGACGCTTGTGGAGGATGTGGAGAGAGGCAGGAGAGAGTGAAGGAGGAGCAAGTAGGAGCAAGTAGGGGGAGCAGGCAGGGAGTAGGCAGGGAGTAGGCAGGGAGGAGGGAGTGACGAGGAGAGAGAGGGGAGAGCGTCGGAGTGAGTGGTGAGTGAAGGGCGAGGAGCGAGATCAGAGCAGCGCGCAGAGTTAGACAGGCAGATTACATCTTGAGTGCAGGTATCGTGTCAGCAGTCTAGCAAGTCACATGTACATTATAGCCCCCCCTCGCCCGCGTACACATGCATCTTACAATGAACATCTTATCGTGGTGACTCACCGCGTTGTTCTCCTGTTCTCCATTATGTAGCTCCAGTCCTTCCCGCTCAAGCCATGACCCACCACAACCACACCTCACACTTCGTCATGACGCAGCAGCAGCAGTGGGCCCACTTGGGCCATCGCATCTACCCTCCTACCCTCCTCCACAGGCCACAAGCAACGGAGCGTCACATATCAGAGAGATGCAAAAACGCTGACGCTGACGATCCGGCGCTATCGCACCTGCGCCATCGCACCTGCGCCTACAGCCGCTTACAGCCGCCTACAGGTTACATTACACCAATGCATGCTGAAATGATACAGTCTGTGTGTTCCGCAACTGCCAAAAACAAAATGCCAAATGTATATCCGAGTCATGTGTTTTCGTGTATTTGTCGTTCATAACTAGCCATCATAGCGCGCCGGGGGATTCGCATTCGACGGGCGACTCGCATTCCACGGGTGACTCGACCTGCACTGGTGAGGCCATCTCGGGTGACTGGACCTGTACGGGCGACTCGAACTCCACAGGAGATGCGGGAGCACCAGACTGAGGGGCCACCTCGACGTCCACGACCTCGACGAGCTTCGTCGGCCCCGTGCTCGGTATATCGGTCGTGTTGATGCTGAGTGTTTCCCTCTTCCCCCGGACTGGGGTCGGACGCTCGCTCCCCCCTGCACTATCCTTGCCTTCCGCTTCGCCCTCGTTCTCGGCGGCCGGGGTGGCCGTGCTGGAAAGGTTGGACTTGACGGGCGTCCGCGACGCCGCGCCAGGCGACGAGCTCACATTACTCGCGCCCGGGGACGAGGGGGAGATGTTGACGCGCCGGACGTAGTCGGCCAACTTGTTCCGCTTCGGCGAGGATATGGCCGGTATGGCTGCGGGAGCCTGGCCCTGGCCCGTCGACGACGCCCGCTTCGAGGGCGAGATACGTTCCGGCGACCCCGGAGCGAGGTCCGAGTGTAGCTGGATCGGGGACGCGGCGAGGGGAGACGCACACTCGAGTGGCGAGGCGCACTCTACCGGCGACGCGCATTCGATGGGCGTCGCGACCATCTCGGGCGACGCGGCGACGGGCGACGCGACCATCTCCGGAGACGCCGCCATGACGGGCGAATCGACCATTTGCGGGGACGCGACCATCTCGGGACTCGCGACCATCTCTGGCGACGCAACTGCCGCCTTGTCCATCGGATCTAAGGCTACGTCCATCGACGAGCCGGGCGACTCGACCAGCTCCGGGCTGTGGCTGTCGCCCACCAGTCGACCTGAGAGAATGCGCGGGGGCTCGCGCTCCTCCCCCTCCTCGCTGAGAGCGTACGAGTCCATCGACCCCGTGTTCATCGACGCGGAGCGGGACATGCTGAGCCGGTTCAGACCTAGACGGCGCATCTTTTGCACGGCCCGGATGACCGTGAACACGCGCTTCAGCGAGGTGATGGCGCTGTTGATCTCCTCGTCCGTCGGCTCCTCGAACACCTTGCCGTAGTGGAAGAGGTTCTCCTCCTCGGACATCATGGGCTGCTCGCCCCAGGCCGTCACAAAGTTGTTCCGCCTAATGTCCTCCATGGTCGCGCGGCGTTCGGGGTCCTTGCACAGCATGCCTGTCACGAGGGACTTGAGGGCCGGGTTCCAGTCGTCGGGAATCACGGGGTCCGTCTCGCGCACGAGCGTGAAGAGCTCGATCGTGTTGGACGCGTTAAACGGAAGGCGACCCGTCAGCATGCAGTAGAGCGTCACGCCGAGAGCCCAGATGTCCACAGCCTTGCCATGAATGTCCATGCTCGATACCGTGAAGCTCTCCGGTGACAGGTACGCGGGACTTCCACCAGTAGTCTTGATCCGGTCGTCGTCGGTCGTCGCAAAGATCTCGGACACACCAAAGTCGGCTAGCTTGACCATGGTCCGGTCCGAGTTGAACAGGAGGTTGTCGGGCTTGATCTGAAGTTCAGCTTGGCTGTGAGGGATTGCAAGAGCAGCGGACTCACGTCTCGGTGCGCGACGCCGTTCGCGTGCAGATACTCCAAACCCAGACAGATTTGGCGGAAATACTCGCGCGTGCACTCCTGACTGAAGGGCGGCTTGGCGTCCTTATCGTCCTGGCCAAGCTTTACGTTCATGAGCACGCCGCCGGGAAGGTACTCGAGCACAAGGAAGAGTGAGTCTGCGTTCTGGACAGAGATAGCCTCGAAAAGGTGCACCACCTGTGGGTCAGTTTTCCCTCTCCCACGTCACGCACGTTCGGGTGACTGCTTGTCAGCTTCGCACAGCACTTGTAGCTTACTCTAGCTTCTTCATGACGGCAATCTCCTTCCGGATGAGGAAGAGCGGGTCGTCCCTCAGCTTCTTCTCCATATCGTCGTCGCCTCCGTAGACGTAGTCCATCGCTGGTCCGTCCCCTTGCTTGCGCGGCATCGGAGCACCAGGCCGCGGTCGCCGGCGACGTTCACGGAACGCCTTGGCCTGGCGTTCCTGCAATGCCTGCTGTTTCAGGCGCGACTTTGAGAATTCCTTTACAGCCTGAAAGTTAGCGTCACATCCTTTCCGAAGACAACGGGTGCGGGTGCACACTGACATATTCGATTCCGGTCCCCACGTCGATAGCGTGCTCGACCGAGGCATACGAGCCCTTGCCCAGCGTCTTGCCGAGGCGGTACTGGTTGACCATCCGCTGTCCGTCGACGGTACTGCGCGTTTCGCCGTAGATCGTCTCTCTTACACGGTGCGTCGAGCTTTCGCGGCGGTGTCTCCTCTCCTTGCCAGTGACTTGCGGGCGGCTGTCCTGAGTGCCGGCGGAGGGGGAGGGGATGCGGGGCATGTAGACGCGTGGCGAGCTGGGTGTCGGGGCCGGGTTGGCGACGAGGCTCGAAAGGTTCTTCCCCGTGACGCCGGGAGACATGCTGTCGTACGGTGTCGAGAAGGGTGCAGGGGCAGACGATGAGCTCGAGTTGCCGCGCGACACGCTGAACTGCGGCGGGACGTTCATGCTCTGTTGCGCGGGCGTATGCACGAAACTGGAGCTCGCCGTTGAGGCCGTCTCGACGTCCTCGCCCGGCGACTCATACTCCTCTGGCTCCTCTAAGATTAGCACTTCACTCGGTACCGCGGATCCACCCAGCTGGAGCGGGTTATCGACGGGCGTCACGGGCGTTGGGGGCGACACGATGGTAGCGGGCGGCCCTCCTGGAGGGAGCAGGAGGCTGGGGCGGCCGGCCGTGCTCGGTGCGGACTTGGGCTGTGTCGTGGCCGGCGTGGTCGGCGAGGTCTGGGCGGTGGAGTCGGTAGTCAAGGCGGGGGCTTGGGACGCGGGGGAAGGCATTGTTGTTGTTGTGTCTGGCATGTGGGAGAGTCAAGAGGTAGAGGACATGGCCGAGTAGCTGCTGGAGGAGAGAAGGCGAGAGAGAGAGAGGGAGAGAGTAGAGATGCGAATGGGGAGGGCCAGATTGAGTTTGAGTAAGGAGAGTGGATATGTGATTGAATGGCTGAGAGGCTAGACACAAGTTGACTTGTTGGTGGGTCACGATGGACGCAACAGGCTCGTTCCTGAGATCAGGTCGCCATCCAGGTTCACCGCCAGGTCCAGCGAGTCCAGCGCGCAGCACCAGGCGCTTAAACGCTTACGTTCAGGTCCAAGTTGTCTGGTCCTGAGCAAGAGGAACGCAGACACGCAGCTTGCGATGCGCGCGACACACATTCATGCGACAATGCGATGCAACACTCTACCACGGCTAAGACCAGACTTAGCGGGGAGCGAGCTCCGGCGTGTCATGCTCCGACCCTCATCAGCGCACGCCGTGCACGCCGCACGCCGCCCGAATGGCTCGCGCCGCAGATGTCATCACCCATTTGACATGAGACCTATCGACCTTCTAGCATGCCAGACTCGACTGAATGGGCTTCGTCATGCAAATCCCCCAATGTCCCCGATCCCCGTACAGTGGACACACACACACGGACGTCGTAATCTCCCCCCTCTTCGTCCCCCTCTCATGTCAGACTCGCTCAGATCTCTTTCTTCGGCGGCGTGCTTGCCGTGACCACCGTCTGGACTACCCCGGCAGTCTCAACGCCGACACTCCGACACATCGGGCCTGGCGGCCTGGCCTTGTTGTTGTGAAACAAAGTGCAATCGCGGTCTCGTGTTTCCTGCACTTCGTATCGACTGACTGCCCTTCGGACATGCATTACACCCGAACACCGCTGAATTAGACGTCTTCCTATTATAGACCAAGAGTAAATATGTACACCAGCACCAATACGTAAACAACAAAGCAGTGACCTAGTGAACTTGTAGGATCGAGCACCCCCAACTTTGATCCGAAAGGCCGAGACCCCATCTACCCCTGCGACGTCTCATCCGACCATCCCCTTCATCACCTCTAGTCAGATTCCAGCGACCAAAGCCGGGGCGCCGGGGGTCGAGTTTGGATTCCAGTACACTCCGCCCTGGAGCTCCTTGAGCGCCATTCTCCCCAGTTCCGACATGCGACAATCTCCATACGTTTCCGCGCCGACATGTCGGCGTAACAACGTTCACAACGTTCCAGAACCCCGTCCGTAGTGCTATGCCGCGCCGTGCCGTCGTGCCGCCGTGCCGTGTGCTTGGCCCGACCTCCAGGAACACCGACAGCAGGCACGCACAGCTCACCTCCCACCTCGGTCCGGCACGTCGCATCGCATCACTCGTGCCTCGAGGCTCGAGGCTCGAGGCTCGACGCACGGCGCTATCTGTAGACCAGCATATCCTGCTCCTCGTCATACTGCGGGGGCAGCATGGGCAGATGCGGGTCCCACTTGCCAAGGATGCAGGGCGAGAAGCCGGCCATCATGGCGTACGTGTGGTTGTAGCTCATGTTCACGGCTGCATCTATGCCGGGGCGGAAGGAGAGGTCGAGTAGCGTACGCACAATGTCGAGCACGTCGTGTAAAGGGGGGAAGGCAAAGGGACGTAGCCTGTATGAAGGGAGCGTGGAGAGGGCCTGTGCGTTAG